TATTCTATAGGAATTATAGCCTAATTCCTTTAGAGTGTCCCTATAGTAAACCAGGCTATTAGTTAGCTTTTATATATTAGCTAGATAAAGGCTGTATGATAATATATCCTAAAGACTGTTAGAACTTTTTATAACTAGTAGGATAAATATCTATTTATAAAGTGATTAATATAATTAAAGATAGAGTTAAAGTTACTAAGAGTACTTACTAATAAGGCTCTAGATATTATTATCTATAAGTTTATATAGATAAACTAGAACCTATCTTTTAATAGGTATACCTAGGTTATAAAGCTATCTATTAAGATGGCTTACTATAATAAGCCAGTATATTACTGCTTAGACAATATATTAAGTTATATTACTTATATCTTATTAAGTATTAATTTAAAGATGCTTAAGAAAGGTCTATACCTAGATTACATCTTATACTTACTTAATAATCTACTTAAGATAATAGAGTTAACTAGTAAGGATATCTAGTTATAGAATAATATTAAGAATAAGATTGATAAGGTCTTTAATATAGGTAAAGTGCTTAAGTCTTTAGTCCTAGTCTACTATACTCCTCTTAAGAAGAAGAGAAATAGGAGGATATTTAAGTTTAATAGGTTTATCTTAGACTTAGATAATAAGTCTAATAATAATAAGCTATATAACTTAGCTAAGGATGATTAGAATATACTAGATAAAGAGGAGTAGGAGTTAGACAACCCTTCTAATACTTTAAAGGGTTCTAGTCAGCTAGAAGACTAAGAGGAGCTAGAGGATGATAGGGTTCTAGACTAATCTATAACCTTCCTACTGTCTAGCCCTACTTAAACTCTATCTCTATATTTAGATTCTAGTCAGTCTGTAGATAATAATAAGAATACTGATTAAGATTTTAAGAAGGAGCTTTCTAGTAGTAAGAAGTGTCTATTAGAGTATAAGAGGAAGTAGGCTAGATTAAAGAGTATATAGGCTGCTATATTAAAGAAGAAGAAGACTAAGCTAAAGAGTATATAGGTTAAGTTAAAGAGTATGCAGGCTGAGCTAAAGAAGAAGGCTGTGCTAAAGAAGAAGGCTGTGCTAAAGAGTATAAAGCCTAAATATAAGTATTAAGGCTTATCTACTTTTCTTTATAGTGATTTTAGATTATAGGATATTAAGTTGTTCTTAGAAGAGAAGAGTAGAGGGGTTTATTATAGCTAGATAATTTAATAGACTATACTTCTTCTATATGATTTTCTGTATACTATATAAGGTGCTCTAGTTTTAACCCTATAGGGTTAAAAATATTTAACCCTATAGGGTTAAAGTTGGCTTGTGTTTTTATAGCTAATTATATAGGTTGTTAAGAATATAGGTAGTGTCTTAATAATAACCCTATAGAGGTATAGTATTTCTCTAATCTTATAGGGTTAAGATTGGGCTATATTATAGGTTTATATAAATCATAAGTTAATATGATATTTTAAGTCTATTATTTATTTTATTTTCTAAATATTAGGGTTCCTATAAATACTTAGCTATAGTAGATATCCTATTACTCTTAACCCTATAGTCTGTCTAACTTATAAGGTCTATAATCTAACTATAGTAGATATTAACTAAAAATTTATTATTAAACTAAGTGTGATTTTAAAGTTATTAAGTATAGGTTGACTGGCTAGAGGATTATAAGGCCTGTTATAAGATATAGGTTGGCTGGTGGCTAGCCTATAAGGCCTGCTATAAGGTGTGGGTTAGCTAGTGGCTAGCCTGTAAGACCTGCTATAAGATGTGGGTTAGTTGGTTAAGGGATTGTAAGGCCTATTATAAGGTATAGGTTAGCTAGTTAGAGGATTGTAAGGCCTGCTATAAGATATAGATTGGCTGGTTAGTTAATAGTAAGACCTATTAATAAATAAAGATTATAGTATCTATTTAGCTATATTCTTTAGTCTCTCTTATAGCTATATTATAATCTTAAGGTTTAGTATGTATTAGTAGAGGTTATCTATAGTAGTCTTAAGATGCTATTACTAATATACATACTATTTATTAAGGGTCTTTCTCTTTTATATTATATTAAGTAATATATAATAGTAGGGAATTCCTATATAATAAAAGATAGTATAGTTATTGTTATACTAACTGATAGGATCTAGATATAGGTTCTTTTGACTTAAGATGAAGATAAGGGCTTATTAGTACTGTTGTTTAATATGCTTAAGGCTTAGGCTTGCTATAACCTAGAAGAGATTACTAAGGTAGTTACTTCTATTACTATAATAGCTTAGAACCTCATCTTATATATAAGCCTAGATAAAGTGTTGCTTTTAGTTATAAAGTATACCTTTAATAGACTTAATAAGGCTGTAAAGATAATATTAGCTGTTAAGAAGGTAGGACTTAATTATATTATTACTTACTTCTATATTAGAAGTAATATAGATTGTAAAGTTTTAATAGGTAGAGATAAAGTATTTTGCCTATTAAGTATAGAGAGGTATATATATCTAATAGAGATAGATAAGGATTTATTATTAGTTATAGAACTTTATAATAAGGTTAATCTATTTCTTTTTATATTTATCCTTAGTCTTTATAAATATAATAAGTCTTTAATATTTAAAGATACTATCTTTACTATATAGAATCTCTAATAAATTATATTATATAGGTAAGCTAGTAAGGTCGGCCTAGTATAGGACTTCTTTATTACTATCTATAAATAGATTAGATAGAAAGTAGATAGAGTTTTTAATATTACTCTTAGATATTAAGATGTCTATAAAGGTTATATCTTATAATGATAATTTCTAGAGTGTTTATATATTTAACTTTATATTTATATTAATATAGAGGATATAGAGCTGTTGTTATATGTTTAGAAATATAGCTATAAATATATCTTTTATTTACTGGTTAAAGTTAGTGATAATACCTAAGGATAATAGTATATTATATTTCTAGAGAAGTTGTTGTAGGCCTTCTACTAGAAAGAGAAACCTATTATAGTATTTATTGTTAACTAGATTAAAGGTAAGATTATAGATGGTTTTAAGATATATTTAGCTAGTGACCTAGAATAATAGTAAGTTGAACCGGTTTGTTTTATAGATGTTATTATAGCTAATAATCTTAGGATATCTTTTCTATATATCTAGACAGTATTAAAATGTCTAGATAAGCCTAATAAGATATATAGGTTTATCTTTATCTTAATAAATAATATATAGAATGTTTTGCTTATTAAATAGTTATATTAATATAGCTATAGTATTATAACTATTAAGCTTGGCTTAATTAAAGAGATGATATATATTATATATATCCTTTTATATATAAATAATATCTAGATATTGCTGTTAGATAATACTATATATATCTTATGCTTATATTTTAACTTATAGACTAGTATTCTTAATTATCTCTTAAACCTTAGATTAAAGATAATAGTAAATAGGGTAAGTAGTAAGATAAAGTAAGGGTCTGTAGTTATAGGAGAAATACTAAGAATCTAGGTATATTTATAGTTATTAAATATTAGTATTAAAAGGCTGCTTAGTAATAATTTTCTAGGTGTAATTTATCTTTTAGAAGGATGTATCTTAAAGGCTAGCTAATTTACTTAGATATAATATATTATATTAGTTATAAAGAAGGATAGTATATCATACTTAGTTTTTATAGAAGTATTATTATTACTTAATAATATTAAAGCTATACTTATATATAAATTAGTTTGTTTATATAATAAGTATATTAAGAGATAACTCTAATAGACCTAGAATCTTAGGGTTTAATATAGTATTAAAGGTTGATATTATAGAGAGATATTAAGAATATTATTTAGACTACTTAATTTTTTCTATAAATTATTCTTATTAGATAAAGAAGAAGCCATCTTATATTTATATTATCTATTTTTAAGAGATAATAATATATTTATATAATTAAATAGAATATATAGAGTCTAGAGAGGACTAAAGAGAGGAAAGGGTTAGTTGAATTAAGATAAGTTTATAATTAGATTGATAGAAAGTTAGGATATTATATAGAGATAGAAGAGAGAATATTAATTAAGTAGAAAAAGATCTATTTTAAGAATAAGAGGAGAGAATAGATATATAATTTAATAATAATTAAGAAGAGTTTATTATAGAAGTGCCTAAAGGGATGAAATGAATTATATGGAAGATGGATTGTTTATTGTTTATTTAGAGATAGGATATAGACTTATTAGCTAGCAGAAATCAGCAGAAAAGAAGATAGATAAGAGCTCTTAATAGATAAGAATATAGCTAATTAGAGGGTTTAAAAAGTCATGCCTGGCTAAGGTCATGCCTGGCTAGCAAAATAGTTATGCCTGGCTAGTAATTGCCTTATTTTATATATATTTAAAATAACCTCTTAATACTAATCTTAAAGTATATTATTATAACTTATAGAATAGATTACTTATTATTAAAGAACTATTTATTATAATAATTTAATTATATCTATTATTAAGTAAATAGCTTATATATCTAATCTTATAAACTTATATATATAGATATCTAGATAAGTTAACTTATTAGCTAGCTATAAATCTAGCTAAACTATAGTTAAGAGATTTAAAAGTCTAGAACTAATTCTAAATCTTAAATCTATATTAAAAATAACTATTAAACTTAAGAGCCTTTATAGCTAGAGAACCATACTTAATCAATCTATAATAATAACTATATTCTTATTATTAAAAACTGTTATAATATCTTTAGAATATAGGTATTATATTTATTATATCTCTTTTAACTATATTATATTAATAGTATAACTTAGCTTATATCTAATAGATATATTAAAAATAAATAAAATAGATAGATAGATAGATAAAATAGATAGATAGATATTTATTAAATATAAAGCACTACCTAAAAAAATATATACTAATCAGGCCTATATTAAAGTGACACCTTTTAACAGGTACCTACTCTTAATCTAAGACCAGTGCAAGTATTCCACTCAGCTCAGCACTCAGTGCCACTCACTTAACCCTTGCCCACAGCCTTCCTTTGCACAGCCAGCCACTCAGCTGCAATTGTCTCGCAGGTGCAAAACTGAACCGCATTCCCAAAGCCCCTAAGCCAGCCGATGAATCGATCGATCATTCCGATGATGTGCGCCAATCCACTCACATCAGGGTGCACCAGTAGGGGGAAGATGAAATCGGCCGCCTCGCACCCTTCCTTGGTGTTCGTCTCCCACAGCCACAGGAACTTGTCTTTCCACATTTGTTCCACCACTCGCGTCGACACGTAGCCCATGCTATTGGACAGGTGGGGCAGGTACATCATAGGCATCATGTCCTCGTTGTACCAGCCGCAGGGCAGCTCGACGAGCGGGTGTTTGTCGTCGGCTGGGTATGCCTGCGACGCGATTGGGGAGGGCTTGAGCCACGACTCGGCCGGCTGAGAAAAATCACACATTCTGATGGGCGGGTCGGCCGGAGTGAAGTAGGGCTGCGAGTCGTGGTGCATCAGGGACGAGTCGTAGAGGAACTCGTGCTGACGGAGGAGCTCGACGGTCGTCTCGCGGATGGTATACATGGGCGCTCGGTAGCCGCGGGGCTTTTTGCCGACGAGCTTCGTGGCGACGTCGATGCTGAATTGTAGGAGATGAGTTAACCAAGATCCGAGGCAAACGGAGCCGCGATACCATACCACTTCAGCAGGACATCTCGTTCCTGCTCCTCGCTCATCTGGTAGATGCCCTCGTGTGCATAGCCGTGGAGCCCAATCTCGGCGCCGGACGCGACGACAGCTCTGGCGGCCTCGGGGAAGGTCTCGGCAGTATGGCCGGGGATGAACCATGTCACCTTGTCGGCGACCTGGTTCTTCTTGAACATGTCGATCAGGCGGTAGACGCCGACCTGGCCGGCGAAGATGCCAGAACTATAGTCCGCCATATTGTTGTCTTTGTGGCAGCCCGTGCCCAGCCAGTGTGAGACTGCGTCAAAGTCGATAGAGAGTGCGATCTTGACATTGCGAGCCTTAGGAGGGACAACCGATGCCGCGAACGTGGATGCCGTCGGGGCGGGCGAGTCGCTATCGAGGATTTGGTACTCGCAATCTGTGGGCATTCCGCCGTTGACAGGCGCCATGTCCTGCGGGCAAGAGCTCATGACGACGATCAGGTCCTTTTCAGCGCGGAATACGACATACTGGCCCTTGTCGCTGGTGGGCACCCTGATGTCGAGGCCGCCATGGTGGTCGATGGCGACGTTCATGAAGATGTTGAGCGGGTCTGGGACCCAGTCGTCTGCGATGTGGAAACTGGGGAAATTGTCTTTAAGGGCCTGTCTACCGAGTTAGAAAGCGTGGTTGCTCGAATACTCATGTTATTTGGACACATGATCACCTACCTTGTGCATGTTGTCGGTGCAGTTGTCGTGGTAGCCGTCAAAGCCCTGCATGCAGTACCTCTCTGCATCGCATGCCGACCAGATCATGTCGTGCGTCCCACGGGTTGTGTCTTCAACAAGAGTCAAGATGGGTTTTCTGCGCGTGCTGTACAGCTTATCGCCCCTAGCGAGGGCAACGCTGAGGTTGACAGTCCTCGTGTGGACCATCGACGAGAAATCATAGGGATTGCTAGGGTTGAACGCCCAGAAGTCGAGGACCTGCTTTCCATGCGTGTTGATGATTTTCAGGTCCTGGCCGGCCTTGATGGAGAAGGCAACAGCTTTGCGCGCTGGAATGAGAGGCATGCTTGTCACTGTGCAAGTTATTGTTTCCCTTGGGGATGGTAAGCCAACAAGACGGAGGGACTGGGAAACACGACAGGTCCAATTCATAAAAGATGTAGAAACTGTTCAAGGTCGCAGAGCTATACCCCGTGCCTGCACTTCACGGAGCTTGCGTGGGGCGTCTCATGCATCTGGTCAATACAATCGTATTATCTGACTGGCCGGTTTGGCATCGGGCGTGCTAACGGCCGACAGGCGGGCGACTAGGTCGACATTCGTTGACAAGCAACCCCACCCACGGCGATCCCACCACCCTGGTCGGGTTTCAAGCACCGCTGTCTCATTTGGATAGGACCGGCGGACCCTTGGGAGCTCACCGCCGGAGCTCTATCGCGGGGAAGGGCAGTTCTCGATACGGCAGTCAGCGAACGGGTGCGATCCGGACCCCAGCGGTCTGATGACGTAGCGAAGAACATAATTATGCATGTGATCACGGCGGAGAGAACTATGTGCAGGTAGAGTTCCCGAGTCCAACACCCGGGTTCCTATGGGAACTGTATAGGACAACTTGAGACGGGTAGCTCTAATGGTGAGGCAACGCAAAAGACGTATCCTAGACACAACTATCATTGATGAGCTACAACACTAAAACCTTGGTCAGATAATCTAACAACCACTGGGCTTCAATAGGGCCAGCTGAACCAAGGAGCCCGTCTGGCCGGAGGACTGCCATTCCGCCCTCGCTCATGCTGACACCAAACTTCTCGTGTGCCAAGCTGCTGGTGTCGAAGTACGTGTCCCCCATCGGCTTGGTGCCCAATGCCTCGTAGGGAGAGCAGCCGGCGACGGGGCTGACCGTGATCCAGCCAACGGCCTTGTGCCCCTTGACTCCCTGCGCTGACGCGAGATGAGACTCCAGCCTTTGGACGGATGACCGCGTCACGTCGACGTTCCCGGTAAACACCAGGACCCAGAACTTGGCCATATTGCGTGTCACACGCTGCAACCGCACGCGCTGATTCGTGCCCGGCATCGTCAGCTCCACATCGGGCGGCCTGCTTCCCGGTACGACTGCCAGCTCCAGCTTTGATTCCTGATTCAGCACGTTGGCTGGGTACGTGATCCCCAGCCCCGTATTGAACGACGCTGCTTCCTCAAAGATCTGCCCCAGGACGAGGTAGGGATCGGCGTCCGGGTCGCCCTTGTACCACGAGGGCCACTTGTGCGTCATGAGAAGCGAGATATCCTTGTCATAGTTGATGAGGCGCTGCACGGCCGTCAACCGCTCGGCCGAGTACGTCCGCAAGACCTCTGGGCTCGTCACGCCACGGATTTGCAGCGCGAGCTTCCAACCCAGGTTGACGGCATCGTGGATGCCCGTGTTGAGGCCCTGCGCCGCGCCGCTGCTATGTGTATGCGCGGCGTCGCCGCAGAGGAAGACGCGGTCATTTGCGGAGAAGGTGCGCGCGATGCGCTGGCCAATTGTGTATCTTGGTGATCGCGGATGTCAGCGTCTCTGCCTGAGGGAGGATAGGGGAGGGTAGGGGTGTGTGCGCTCACAGTGTCCACCAGTGGACTTCCTTGAATTTAACATGGAAGGGCTTCATGCTTTCGATGGCCTCTTTGACGGCGACTTCCTCGGTCACGCCGTCGGGGTACTTGGCAGCGATCTCCGGGGTGTAGGCGTAGCCGATGCGAGTGGCGCCGTGGTCGAGGGGGGCCCAGAGGACATTGCCGTGTGTCTTGCTCTCAATGGCACTGGTCATGACCCGTCAGCTTCATGGGCTAGGTAAGGGACAGAGTGAGTCAACGTACCCGTAGGAGCGGTTCAGAGGCATATCAGTCTCGACGATGCCGTCAATCCGTATCCACTTGTCTTCTGAGGTGTCACCGTCAAAGGGAATGCCGATATGTCGGCGCACAAAACTGCGGCCGCCATCAGCGCCGATGAGGTATTTGCTAACGCACTATTAGTATCCGCAGCACCCCGCCATGTCCTCCGTGTCCATACCTCTTCAGCTTGAATGGCTTCTGCGTCTTCAGATCTGTAAAAATCGACGTCACTGCGAAGGAATTGAGTGGCGCGGACTGGTCGATCTCGAAATCGATGCACTGAACGGATTGGTAGTAAGGCGCGCCAATGGACTCGAGCTTCTCACGGAGGATCTCTTCGGTGTACATCTGGCGCAGGACAAGTGTAAAGTCGTAGGCGGTGTCCTTGATGTTCTCCATAAATGTCCAGACTCGGCCGGGGATGCTGTAGGCAGCGAAGGTCAGCGATGACGACAGCTGCGGATAGACGAGAATGCCCACATTCTCTCACCATCCTTGTAGGTGACACTCGTGCGGCAGGCGAACCCGAGCTGCAGCATGGGCTCGATCAAGTCGAGCTGGTCAAGCTGCTCGGTGGTTCTGGGGAAGAGCGCAATGGCGCGGCCGTAGGCGTCCTGCGTGTTCTTGTCGTACTGCTCAAACACGCAGACCGACACGCCGAAGCGCTTCAGCTGGTAGGCCATCAGCAGACCGACCGGCCCTCCACCGACGATGACGACATCATATTCGCCGGTATCGATGCCGACAGCCATATTGTGTGTAGGGGGACGCAACAGCGGGTAGTGAGACCCGTGTATGACGGACGTCTCTTGGCTGGATTCGGAGGTGCAACGAGATATGTATGTCTGGGCGTAAAGCTCCTGGAGTTCAAATGCGACGACGGTGTTGATCGGCGATGTTGGTTGACAGGGAGGTTTACAAGTTCATGGTTTAATAGGAAAAGAATCGTGCGAGCTTGAGATGCGACTCGATGGACTAGATCAAGCCTGGCTGTGGTGGTTGACCGAGCTCAGGACCGGCCCGTGGCCACGGCGAAGCAGTGTGACTGGCGACCTGCGCCCCCGGGAAGTCGCTCGCCGACCCGGGCTAGATATCGCCCGGCCTGGCACCTGGAATGACCAGTTTCGCGTGACAATGACATGATCCGGGAGGCACGCATTCACAACCATCACATTCAATCAAAGACGGGTGATGATCTGGACTGGCTGGTCCGAGTCAACCGCGGCGACCAGTTTGGCAACGCTCGATTCACTTGGAAGCCACTAACGATGCCCGCCCTGGAGCAACATGGGCCAAGGTGATTCACAGAAATAATTTAACGACTGTCATGACATGAATGCCAAGCAGTTTATTCCCGGGCACTGGCTGGACTTGTCAGCCTGTGTGGGTCCTTGTCTTCTTAGCAATTGGCATCCGCCGTGTCATGACGGCCGATGCTTGCCCGACTGTGACTTCCTGGGGGTGTAGAATGTCAAAAGTGAGAACCGGATCGCCCGTGACTTATGAGCGTACTTGACCGACATGCATTCCAAGCACACAGGCGGCGAGTTAATCTTCAATTTCCCCTGCTAGCTGAGATACAACCACTATAACATATATGCAGTCGGTACAGACCATATCATTTGTAATTATCGAGGCATTGAAGACCAATATCGAGATCCATTGCTTCGCCGTGTGTAGTTGATGGGAATGTATCTAGGGTGGGCACGACTTCTCAGCCTTGCCCCCATTAGGTACATCTCGGCCAGCACAGCCTCAACAGCGAATTCATTGCTTCCCCAGAGACCCGTCTTCAGCATGGCCCGGATCCTGAGCTTGTACATGCAATCCCCAGACTGGAGGTGCCTCGAGCCAGGCCTGTGCTTATCGCCTGCTGGTGTGTGTGTCGATGGATTAACGGTCAACCTTGCGGGGGATAACGGACCAATCAACGTAGAGACACGGGCGATGATAAGAAAGTCGAGCTAACTACAACCGAGTTGGAGCGAGCGAACGGACTTGTCTAATTTGCCCAGACGGGCCTTCAGGCGCACTCCCCCCTTGGTTGGGGTGGTGATCACTCGAGAGGATAAGATGTGCCGAGTTGAGTTGACTCTGCACAGCTTCAGGGAAACATTAATACGCCAGCATCATCTCGCATCTTGCCTGGCAATGCAAACTGATCAGCCAACGACTGAGATTACTTCGACACCATCTTTGCAGATATTACTTGGCACGCGAAACCGGCAACATGAACTCCAAGATGAAGACTCCAGCCGAAGTGGACCAGTCACGAGCCCCCGGGAGCCTCGACATGGAGCATACTGAGACCTACATCGATCCAGTGATCCAGAAGCGGACTCTGCTAAAGCTTGACACGGCTGTGTTGGGTTGCTTCGGCATTATGTATCTTCTGGCAAACCTGGATAGAAACAATTTGGTATACCACTGTCGGAAAAGCAAACGTTGGACGCAGCAAGCAGTTGAGCTGACATTCGCGCTTCTGTCTAGGGCGCCACCAACATCATGGGGCTTCCAGAAGACCTCAACCTCAAGGGCAACCAGTTCGGTAATGCGGTCACTGTCTTCTACGCCACCTATGTCGCCTTCGAGACGCCCCTTACCGTCCTCATGAAGGTGATGGGAGCCAAGAACCTCCTGTCCATGTGCATGTTTGGCTGGGGGGTGGTCTGCCTAGGCACCGGCTTCGTCCAAAACGCACAGCAGCTCTACGCGTGCCGGATCCTATTGGGCATGTTTGAGGCCGGCCTCATCCCTTGCATCAACGCCTACATCGGCATGGTCTACCTCAGGTCCGAGATGTCGATGCGCTCTGCCGTCTACTACTCCTTTAGCGCCATCGCGGGCGCGTTTGGCGGCCTGCTGGCCTCGGCTGTGTCCAATGTCCATCACGCCGGCCTCGCCTCGTGGTCATGGCTCTTCATCATCGAGGGCATCATCACCGTGTCCCTCGTGCCGGTCATCTTCTTCATCTTCCCCAAGGACCCGCGCACGGCCTGGTTCCTCAACGAGGAGGAGCGCAACGTCATGCGCCTACGCCACGAGCTCAACCCGCACCTGGCCGTGGAGGAGGAGTTCAGCTGGTCCAAGGTGCTGAGCGCCTTTAAAGACCCCAAGCTGTACACGTATGCCGTCACCGAGTTCGCCGTCGACCTCTCGCTGTTCAGTCTGTCGACCTTCATGCCTACCATCATCAAGGGCATGGGCTACACCAGCGTTCACGCGCAGCTCCTCACCGTCCCGGTGTATGCGGGGACTACGATCTCGTTCTATCTCATTGCCTTTTTCTCCGACCGCGCCGGCATGCGCAGCCCCTTCCTCCTACTTGCTTGCCTGGCTCTTGTTATTGGCTACGCCGTCATGCTGGGCACAGCCAACAACGCTGCCCGCTACGTGGCACTTTTCATCCTTGGGGTCGGTCTCTATACGACGGTGAGCCAACACTACTTAAGCATACTCACAACCAAACTCGCGCTCACATAATCTTCTAGACCGGCATGAACATTGTCTGGCTCAATGGCAACTTTGCCGGCCATTATAAGCGCTCCACGGCTGTTGGTTTCGCCCTCAGCGTCGGCAATACCTCTGGCGTTGTTGTTGGCCAGATCTTCACCGCCAAGACGGCACCGCGCTACCTCTACGGCATCAAAGTCGTCCTTGGCTTTACCGCGGTGGCCATGATCCTCATCATGGCGCAGACCGCATGCCTGCACTGGGTCAACAAGAAACGCAAGGCCAGGGTGGCTGCTCGAGACCCTTGCGTCTTGACCGGTGCTGATAATGCAAAGAAGGAGGTCACCGACTTTGACGATGATTTTGTTTACACCTTGTAAGCTCGGAATCACATTGGGATGCTGATGAGATGGTGCTATAGAGTTTGTGCTCCAGTGCCCGGGACTTACTGGGCTCCGGTGATTTACTCTACTAGATACCTAGCATTTCTATGATATTTAACAAGCATTCCACGGGCCTTCCACCCTTCGGGCTTTGCCACCGTGGCGCAATGCAGGATACCATCGGATGATCACGTTCCGCTGGCGGCGGCCGTTCACTCTTAGCTTGTGTCAACCCATCCCCCCAAGTGTCGTAACAGTTACACGGATCGTCATGAGGCCTAAGAGACGTAACCTGGAGCCTTGAATCTAGGAGGGCCACGAGCAACAGAAACATGAGTTCTTGATTCACTACAGCAGGATGAAGGGATCGTTCAAGCACGACTGTGCGTACACTGGTCAAACCTCTCGCTGGAGTAGTATCAATCCGACCTCATGGTGTGACGGTAGCTCAGGGGGTTAGAGCGAAGCATAGCACGTAAGACACAGGACTGAATGGGCAATCTAAGTACAAGCATGTAGATTGACGGGACTCGTGATGAAAACAGTGGACGTTGAGCAAAAAAAAACAAGAAAAAAAACGTACAACACCAGGCATTCGCTGGTCGTCACCGACCCAACTACTACTCCGGCGGTTGGCAGCTTGTCTATGGGAGAGCGGACGGGATCCCGAATTTTCCTATGAGTCCAAGACTTTGGTGCGAAAGAAACTGGTTGTGGAAGCTCGTGAGGCCGGAAAATAGTATCATTGCCTGCCAGAAAACGGGATGCAACTCAGAGGAGAAAGATTACACACTGGTCCGAAAAAACTAAAAGTCATATGACTACATTCTCTGTTTCAAATACTACTGATTCCCCGTTTTATCCACTGAGACCGTTTTCCCAACAGACCATCAATATAGGCTAATCCCTCACGCCATGCATGCTCAAAAGTGATAATTTCATGCCTGAGGTATTGATAAATGCCTTAAAATTCGAGATGTCCCAGACCGGTAAAACAAAAGTCCTATCTACCTTACCCACCCCACCTCTTAGACAAACCCAATGTGGGTCTGGCCTGTGTGGCATCTATGACGCAAGCTTTTCACCCCAACGCTTTGATCCTGGCTCCTCAATACTAATCAGAATCTCGGAAGTCATGGCTTCATCAGTCTCCAAAGGTCTTTTTGGACCAGATCAAGTCTCACCATCAGTATCTGCGGATGAGGCTCTATGCATCCTCGAAACCCATGGGTTCTTCTATCTGGCAAGCAGCAAGATCGGGGGCTATGTTGATGCTTTGTTTCAAGATAGCCAACAGAGGAGCGTCAAGATCGACAATTTCAAACCTCTTCTGGAGGAAGACACGGCAAGTAGAAGTGTAGCACAAAATATATCATTTGGGTACTAACCCTTCGTTAGCGACTACATAAAATATTTGAACCCTACGCCGATCAGCCACTTCTCACGATTCCTTGGGGCACAACTCCAGAAGGTTATTACGCCTGGAAACCAGAGGTGGACTCTGGATTAGTGTTCTACATGATAGGTTCTAGATCACTATTCACGGTGCGAGATGGGTCCTATAAATTACAAGTCGACCAAAAGAGACGGAAAATCATGGATATTGGCATGTATCAAATCCCGGATGATATTCTGGAACCATACGACAGAATATCCCTTGATGTGCGAGAAGGAGGATGGTAAGCCCATTCTTTCCAATCTCTTCACCTGATGGTTTGATTCGATTGTTTCTAATACAGGTCAGCCTGATCATCCATCCAAGCCTATCCGTTCAAACGTCAGGTCGATCCATTGCCATCGGTGGATTGCCAACAGTGCAAGCGCGAAGGCTTTTCGGCCAAGTAAGGTCCAGTGATGCTGATAAAGCCTGATACGCGCTTATGGATGGGAAGGATGCATTCCAAGACACGATATAAGTCATGTCTGGCCAAGGTGTTATTAGAGAGTGGTATTGATGGTGGCTTCATGAAGCCAACAGCTCAGAGATCTATGCTATTCAGTGCCTTGCACATCCATCCAAGCTAAATTTGACCTCTGATAGTCAACCAAATGATCCCACAACACAGACCCCCCGTCATGAGTGTTCTCTGAAACAATCGGGTCCACTTGTAGAGGCATTTCCCATAATGTGAGGTTCGAATTGCCACTGGGGGCTTCGCTCGAAAGATCCAGTAGTGATTCGTTCGAAATATCATTGAGGGTGTTGTTCGAGGTATTGCTAGCAAAATTGATGCTGAGGTCATTCATGCTATCTCTAGGGATATGCACCAGAGCTTATTGGATGTTTGCGTTGTTCATGTTGTGCACTAGGATGGGGTTCCTGTATAAGGGATCGTCGTTCGCAGTCTGCAACGAGGCTCTGTTCGTGTCGTACGTACGAACGCCACTCGGGTCGCGCATCGGGACGCAGTCGAGAATATTGCTCGGGACATCGCTCGGGACATTGCTCGGGACATCGCTCGGGATATCGGTAGGATCGCCGTTCGGCGCATTGCTCAGGCTGCATTGGACGTCCTTTGAGACACAGTTCGCGGTGTGAATCGAGGTGTTGTTCTGGGTGCCGAACTGATTTGCATCTTGGGCTGTCAAAGCTTCGGAAGAGACAGTGTTTATAGATGCATATTCTATGCGAATACCAAGCTTGACCTCAATAAGCTCTTCCCGGTTGCCTATCTGCTCTTTTGTAGGTCGTCCATCGAGACAGGTGTGTAACCTGAAGGCACCCGCTGTAGGCAGCACCTTGTCGCACTGAATACATGGCTCCTTCCAGCGGTAATCTGTTCAAAACATGTGAGTGACTGCTTCTGTCAATACAGAGTGGATGTTAGCCATACGAGTGAACCGGTGGCACCTGAGATCAGGTTTCTTCTTGAAACTCTTTTCGCAATTTGAATGTGGACATTTGTATTTGTCAACCCCTCTCTCACATCGTCTTCGCCTTCTTTGATTCTTTCTTTGGGTCGCTTCTTAAGGCGGGTGGTCCGATCGGACATCTGGTAAGGCGTTGTGCTTGCCTCCAGCTGCATGGGATTTCCGTTGAATCCAATTGTCGATATTTGCATAAAGCTGGGACTGTAGGGATGAGAAGGATTCTAAATGAACTCATATGCTTTCTCACCTGATGCCGCGACAAATGATCCAGGAGAGCCCCGTCCGAGCTAATCGCCTCGCCGCAAACGTTGCAGGGAATGGACAGTGTCATCATCGAAGTACAATTGTTGGTGTTGTTGTTGTGCAACAGGATGTCGTGATGTTGGAGCAGCTCCACATGGTAAACATCTAGTCGTCACGTGTCGCCATCGTTCCACATTTTAAGCGACTCGGCTGTCAGCATCGGACGACTTTCTTGAACGGAACATTCTCTCCTCCTTGTCACCTTGTTATGCGCGATATGATCATTCTTAAGAACTACATCGAGCGAAACACCAGCTCCGGCTAAATTGCAACAGAGGCAACTACCATTATCAATGTGGCAGTGCTAGCCGACGAGATACGATACAGCGAGACAAAGTTTCCCCGCATCCCTACCATCGCAACGTTCCTAAGTAAGGTCTTCTTGTCGTGCATCTGACTGTCCCGCTGCTGGAAAAACATCATCTGACGAAGACTACATCTTTCCAGACTTGACAACAGTGTCAAAGACCATAAACATGATGCCCGGTTGCAGTAATTGTACCAACGGTACAACTCCGGAGGGGACACGTTGCACATTATGCAGCACTAGGGGTGGGAGTAATTAAGAGGAGAACCATGTCAATATAAAACTTCATAGTGGAAGTTCATGATAAGTATCTCATCGATAGCTTCCTAATACATATTATACTCGCCGGTACTTCCCAGAGCATCCAGAGCATCCAGAGCATCCAGAGCATCCAGAGCATCCAGAGCATCCAGAGCATCCAGAGCATCCAGAGCATCCAGAGCATCTAAAGTATCTAAAGCACTTAGAGCATCCAGCCAGTGCATCCAGAGCATCCAGTGCATCCAGAGCATCCAGAGCATCCAGAGCATCCAGAGCATCCAGAGCATCCAGAGTATCCAGAGCATCCAGTGCATCCAGTGCATCCAGAGCATCCAGTGCATCCAGAGCATCTAGAGCATCCAGAGCATCCAGCCAGTGCATCCAGAGCATCCAGAGCATCCAGAGCATCTAGAGCATCCAGAGCATCCAGAGCATCTAGAGCATCCAGAGCATCCAGCCAGTGCATCCAGAGCATCCAGAGCATCCAGAGCATCCAGAGCATCCAGAGCATCCAGAGCATCGAAGATGTCCACCATAGTCAGAGCATCCACTGTGTCCAGTGCTTCTAGGACCTAGAAGACAAGCAGTGTAGTGTGATCAGTGTCCACAGTGTCTAGTATTGCAAGATTTCTTATGCCACTGATAAGTATGCTACTGTATATGGTCTGTGGCATAAGTAGAGTATTAAAGGGCTGCTTGTTGCTCTCTTCTCTCTCCTCACTCATGAAAGGACATAAGCCTATTCCTACTATATTTCATCACCACTGACTTGAACTCCTTCGCTTTGTTGCCAGCAACACTCAACCACCATGCCTGACGCAAACACCGCTGTGAAGCGAGACTGGATTTGTTGCGCATGTAGGGGAAACGCCAGAAAGCAATTGCATTAAGCCCGCTTATTAACACAACCGTCAGGCGAGCAGAACGACGGGGAGAGAACTACAAACGCTCCAACCCAGACCAATTGCACTCGCTGCTCGCATACCAAGTGTGCTGCTTGCAAGTGATGGACTGAGGCTGGTAGGAATCTACGGCCGTGTAAGTCAAAGTGCAACCAGCAGGTTGGAACCGTCTAGCATGCTTGACTGACATAATTCATACAAATTTTGTAGGATTCCTTCTTGGTTAACGTCTTCATTGGCACAAACAAGCAATTGTGTTTGCGATTGAGCTGCGGTATCTTATGTGCTTGATTATGTAGCAGACATTGACGCAATCCGCGCACTTTCCTTTCGTCTGAAATCTTTTCTTCACACGCTCATTACTAGTAAACCTGAATTACAATATACAGTACTGTTTCACACTTCCAAGACAACATAAACGTTTGCAGCAGGTGAGAGGGCTCTGGATATTAGTAAGGAGTGAGCCGGCCGGAGGGCAAGAGCATACGTGGTGCATAAGGTAACCGATTTGTGTTTCATCGATATGTTAGACTTGTATCATTGTACGATTACTAACAGTTGTGTTCTTGGAGACGTTATGTGTGGGGTTGCGCTGGGTCGTCAAGCCGCGCGAGACAAAGGGACCAACAATCTGGTCGATATAGGTGGTGCTGTTTCCAGAAATGTGTTCTCGCTGGTGATCAGATCGCCGTTCAAGACAACGAGGCCCGGGGTCTCCTTGTCGAGCATATTGTTGATGACCTGGACAGAGACGCGATCCTACGCCGGATCCCAGTCTTCCCATGTATCTACAGTGGTGGTATTAGTGATCAATCACTTGTAGGGTTAAACCCGTATTTCGTCCGGGGGCCACGTACTCTCTCGGAAATGTAGATCCCTAAAGATGGAAATCTGGAAGGCTCTGTCTGCGTTGAACCGGAGCGGCTGCCTGCGTGTGGCAGCATCGGTCCTCCGTCGTTGATTCATAAAAGTAACATTATGCTTCCAGTAGCCGAAAATACATGAGGATACGAGCCTTCTAGAGTTGTTGATTACTTAGGTTACTCCTACCATCCTACCTAAACTCTCAAGCAATACAAATAATGGCATCAACTGTTTCCAACAACTTCAAACGAGCCACATCCGGAAGTATCTAGTTCGTCATACATATTTGACAAAGCGAGCGCCATACGTGCATGTTCCGCACATTGATCTCTCACCCATCCATGTATGAAGTAGTTGACCCATCCTGAAGTTCAGGATGCAAGTGCGTCGATACTGAAGGGATGTTTAGGTTATGATGACTTGATAAACCTTCGGGAACTGGCGCTCCGCGGTTTGACGACGACAGTCGATCTTTCTGGCCAAACACCTTCCATAGGGATCTCTCAACAAGTAAAGCTTCTGACAGTAGACACTGGACGAGATGCTGTGTGTCTCGATCATATACTGCAGCTATAACCGATCCCGTTGTTGCTGCGAGGCTTACTGCTGCAAAAGAGCCTAGACTTTGGCGATTGTTCTTATCTCTCCTGGCGACAAAGAGACAAACCGTCGTAATGACGCTACTCTGAAAATGAAAGACGCTTGGCACTGCCCAGAGAAAATGATAATCATTTTCAATGAGCTGCCAGATCCCTAAGCCGAAAAGGAGGCATTGAGACATGATTCCCACATAGAAAAATATCCTCCCCCCTAGCAAGACTCCAATGCTAGGAAGTGCGTCCAGGAGAGGATATAAGATTTCGATTGCCTATGATGGATTAGGCACGTTATAGAATCGTAGAAGGGCTCTGAATACCTCGAAAGCAGCAGCAGAGATAATGGGCATGATCATCCAGGCTACGAGAAGGAGATAGGTGGCCTGGGATAGAAATCCATGGCTATCTCTAGCAAGACCTAGAAGAATTGCGAAGGCAAGTCCAATAGTCGCAAAAGAAGTTGTAACATAGAATAAGATCCAGATAACTGATGGTGGGATTGCCCGGCCCCGAGGAATATAGCCTTTCACGACAGAATAGACATAGAGACTTTGACAAAGAAATGTCAAAAAAAATGCAGTGGCTGCCAAAGCGACCTCTCGGTCTGTGACGGTATGTTGCATTGTAAAAGTAAGTCGATTTAAGGTCTTGATCTTTGCTGTAGGAAGGTATGGATTTGTTAAACAGGAAATGTAGGTATTTATCTCCTAGAGTAACAACAGGAAATCACAACCAATAAATCAAATCAAAATTCAATAAGATACCAGCTTCATTCTAGGATGTCCTATCTTTACTGGCCTTCAACCTTACCAGTCCAAGAGATATACTATTCCTCTAGATGCACTAGATGCACAGGTTGCACTGGCTGGATGCACTGGCTAGATACTCTAAATGCTCTGAGGATCCTTGATGCTCTAAGATACTATAGATGCTCTGGGTGCTCTGGGTGCTCTGGATGCTCTGGATGCACTGGCTGGATGCGCTGAATGCACTGGTCAGGATGAGCTTAGTCAGGATGCACTGAGCTTAGTCAGCGAGCGGGGTTGAATTGACCCTAAAGAGGGGTAGCTGGAATTTTGTTTGGCTCTTGTTACGATCATTGACTTGAACATCTTCACAACACCACGCCGAGAAGTTTCGATCTCCTCAACAAGCAAATCGCCTAGAATATGCCTTCACTCTACACAGACGCACCAGTTCCTCCTATCTTATCTGAAAGGATTTTGTTTACAATATCTAGCCTCCTTCGCTCACGTTACGAGATGGAGATGCCACCGTGGTGGGAAGAGACCACTCCCGTACTTACTCAGCTTGTCGACCTGGGCATAAAGGTCTCTAAGTACCCTAGCGCTTTTGAAGTCTGGAGGAAACATAAAGCCGTCGCTGAATGCGTCCCCCAAATCGATCTTATATTCTCCACAATCAATGCCCAGCTCCTTCGGAGTGCTCGGGACGTCACGGCCAGTCGGTGTGGATCGGGGCTACTGGCATTGTTTCTAGGGTTGGTGGATGGATGGCTAAGGGCATGTGAAGAGCATGTGCAGGCCGAATCGTCGCGATATTCAGTCGATGCCTCCGAGTTTCGCAGAATCTATCAGCAGCTTGATGCGATTACCCGATTACATGTTGGAGGTGTTCGAAACAACTTCAACGACCTCATCCGATTCTTTGATATGTTGCAACAGATTGAGGGATGACTCCAAAGTGTGGCTTGGAAGCCGACTCAGAACAACAGGCTCTAGAAATGCTGATGGCCGAGGACACCATGTGAGCGTGGGCCAACGGGTACGGACTGGGCGCGGACAATGGGTAGATATGAAGAGCGCTGGGCTTGTAGGAGAGTTGAGATCCTCTACGCTGATTCCCTTGATGATTTGATGTAGGTTGGAAAGGCTGATTCTTACTTTTTTCTTATACCAACTGCACATATAATACCCAAGAGAATAGGCCTTCCACTTTGCTGGAACACATCACCCTTCATTTACTGCTCAAGGGTTGCGATGGCGTAAGGAATATCAAATTGAATGGTCTATGAACACCATGCTCAAGGCCTGCATGTGGTGTGCAGCTCGTTAATAACATCTGTGATAAGTCATTACTTCCTAGACTGAGTCCATATCCCACCTTAAAGGTCTACCCTGGATCCGTGTTTGATATCTGAGTTACTCAGCTAGTCCACCTCTTCGTCGGAGTCGAAGTCGGAAGCAGAGTCGGAACCGGAGTCAGTGTCTTCAGAGTACTGGACCATACGTCGTATTTCTCTCTTTCTAATAGGTGCTTGACCGCACTTCTTCCTCTGATGATTGAAATCTTCAAGTCCGTCTTTGAATTCTGAACAGTATAGTGACCTGACATAAGCCCTGACAGTACTTTTGTCCTTTTTGTCGATCCCAAAAAAATAGATCCTTGGGTACTGACCCGAGTATTTGTCAGCAGATGAATAGTTGAGAATCTTAATATCCTTTTTGTGGCGATTCTTTAGACTGCCAGCCTTCTGTGGCTTCATCGTGAGGGCCCGGCCCCTTGCAGTGTTTTCGAATCTCTGTGTTTCAACTGGGTAATCTGTTGCTTTTACCAGACAGTGTCTTTCCTCATTGTTCGGGACACCTCTTGCATCCGCCTTCAGACTTGGCAGGCAGACGTCGAGATACCCAGCCACGGAAGCAGTGATTCTACCAATGATTGGTTGGTTTGTAACTGGATCGCAGCGACGTTTGGTGTCAGGGTCACGGTGGAGCATGATCTTGTCCCAGCTCTCCTCAGCTGGGGGAAGCTTCGCCAATATCTCATCCCTATAACTTTGTGGCTTGTGAGCCCAGGCTTGTCTTTTCTTTTCACTCCGGCCAAACGGTGCTGAAATTCGGCGCCAGTATGCATCATAGGTACGTCTGAGCTGAGGGTCATTCTCAGTTAAATCCTTCGATAGCCGTGCTTGCAAGTTAGGACATTCATCGATGAATTCCAAGGCAAGGGTGGTCAAATCCATAAGACCGTAAGACTGGTCCCTCCTCAAGATATATTCAAGATAAAATTTGACATCGGCAAAGTCGCAGTCATTGACATTTTCTCGACATTCTTCCACAATTGTGGCCAAGGGGTGATCGGTATCGTCGCCAAATACAGCCTTAACTTTTGGCCAGGGAGTGTCATGGCTACCATGACCGCTAGTACTGGGGATAGTGTCTCTGAAGCTTTGATTACTAGTGCTCCAGCTACTATTAGTACCAGCTCTAGGCTCCTTAGAACGATGAATGGACATGTAACTGGAATCTTGAGTTTATTCACTGCCCAGCCTTGATACATAATTGGAGTTCTCATTGTTGCTTGTGTTGCTCTGACTGTTAGTATCGAAGTTCTGCATAGCTTCTCGTAACTCCTGGGGAGTAATCGATCTAAGATCCAAGACCGTCTGCCCCACCGTAGGTATCGGAGCCGGAGCTGGAGCTGGAGCCGGAGCTGGTGCTGCCGGGGCTGGAGTGGCCGGAGTAGCCGCCGGAGCAGGAGCGGCCGGGGCTGGAGCGGCCGGGGCTGGAGCGGCCGGAGCTGGAGTGGCCGGGGCTGGTGCTGCCGGAGCTGGAGTGGCCGGAGTAGCCGCCGGAGCAGGAGCGGCCGGGGCTGGAGCGGCCGGGGCTGGAGCGGCCGGGGCTGGAGTGGCCGGGGCTGGTGCTGCCGGAGCTGGAGTGGCCGGAGTAGCCGCCGGAGCAGGAGCGGCCGGCGCTGGTGCTCTTTCTAATAGATCTGGTAGCTCGGGATAATCTTCTTGAAGCTTCTTATATTGCGATTCCAGTGTTCTTTGGCGTCCGAAATCCACTGGGTACTTTACCACTTTCTCCGCCTCATCACGATAGAACTCTGGGTTTCCTAGCTGTAATATGATTTTTTTGGCGCTGTCTGGTACTTTGGCGAAGACTTTGTGATCAGGATACTCTGCGAGGAAGCGCCGCATCTGGCGGGCCAATAAGGTGCCATTCTCTTTATCAGCATTGGCCATGTTGAACTGAAAATCTGAGGCGAGGTATTATTAATTCAGTAAAGCTAAAGTATGAGGGATTGGAGAGTCCTGGATGGAAGCGAGGTTCCAGATATTTTATACTCGTGGAAAACAGAGGGATCTCAAACCTACTGAGACCTCCTGTTGAGCCTAATCCTGATAGGTGGTTCCTGGAACCGGGTGTCCGGAGGTTCCAGCCCCATTCTCCGGCTCTCGTCACCGCCCTCCAGGTTTATGGTGCGGGTGGCCCACATTTTAGGGAAACGCGACCGACATACAGGAAAATGCATCTCGTCGAGAGCTTGACCCGAGATGAAACACAATGCAACTAGATACAGGAAGAGGCTTAATACGAGGGGTGCTCGAAAACGCGTAGTAGGACGCAACTAATCGTAAGGTGATGCACAGTAGACTGTCAGGCATGTTTTCTTTCGCCTCAGATGCCGAGAGTGTGGCCTGTGCATCCAGCTATAGCGCTGAGGCGCGATAGACGCCTGCCTCAGTCCCTAGTCTCGGGATCCAGGAAGGCCACAAATAATATAAATAACATGCTTTGCCAACTGCCCTTCCTGAGTCTATCAGAACATCATTTGATGCGCACATTTTCTTTGACTCATATTTTACACAGTATTTACACTTGATGTCGTCGGTGCCAGCAAGGAAAACGCGGAGTTGGGAATTCTTCAACCGTGGAGATGCATTTGGCATTTGGTCAACGCGGACACAACGAACCGAGTCATCCAAGAGCTGGAGCATTGATGATATCCGCAAGACCCATGTATATTGTCTACCTTACGATGATCCGGTTCTCCACATTTATCTCAAACCGGGGTTCTCCATTCCGAACGACGGGGTAGTCTACCTATATGGTCAAAGGACCGAAGGGTTCTGCATGAAGGACCAATACGCTTTAGGAGTGCTTCAATCCAACAAGACAAGCTGCGTTATTCAGATGCCGAATATGCCGCCCGAGACAACTGGCGTTAACATCTACATCGTGTGTACTCACAGTGACGATCTCGGTAGGATGTCTAACGAAGATATCAAGAGGCCTGGTTCACCCTTTATCATATTATATTAGAGTTATTGTCTTGAAATGTACGGATACAAGCCAAGCCACTGCAACCTCACTGAACTTCACTGACTCGCATAGTGAGAAAGGCTTGTAATATAATCTCCGGGGGATGAACATGCATGGAGATTGATGCTGTGATCACGGCTCAAGGGAGAATATGTCATAGAAGCTGATAAGAGATACAACGATGCGACAATACTCGGTGTGGCAAGCAGCCCTTTCTTGATAAGTATTCAGCTTGTAGCTCCATACCCATGAAGGCTTTCAGCTTCCTTTATCGCCTATTCATGGACTCTACGTAGCTACTCTAATAGTAAGAAACGTTGTGGTGAATGATACAGCTCAAATGGAATTAGTCTCGCGTCGAAGGACGTCGTGTCAAGTTTGCGGAGCTGATATACTTGCGGCATTTGTTGACCTGGCGGGACCAAGTGGCAGAGAGTAATGGCAATTAATTACGGAGAAACATCATCATCATCGTCCGTCATGTCGTCGAAAAGCCTAGTTTATTTGCCCCGTACCAGGATAACCTATACAAACTCTTTGGAATAGTAGTCATCCAGCTCATTGTCGTCAAAACAGCCAAACTGAAGTGTATTGATGAAGCGATCCCACTATATCGTTTTGCTGACGTCGCTTCGAGGCCTCGAGGCCGGGTCACGGCGGGTCACGGCGGGTCACACCGGATCGACTGGGCGCCGAGCTCGCGTGTGTCAAAGGCATGGCCATCCGAAAGCGTGGTGATGACACGGCATTGGACCCTTACATGATGGTGTATCGCTTATCATAGTGGTTGATAATGATCGTTTTAGGTCTTAACCGGGCTAAATGGGTACGAGGCTGATGATGACGATCCTAGGATGGCTGAAGTTAGATATCTAAGCCGGGGCGTGCCGGCGATCATTGTCCTATGCCACTTCTCATGCCTGACTCATAACAGATGATGCGATTCATCATTCATACATCATATTAGTAATTCCAGATACTAGCTGCCTAAAGATGAAGAAAACCCCAAACGCTGGATTAGCGATATGTCCTCGAAGCCAATGACTCCTCGCCAAGCCATGGGATACGACCGACCTCGGCTTTTGAAGCACCAACTGTGCTCACTCCTTGCTAGCAATTCTGCTAGCTATTAGTTATTGGGCATTCCTGCAGCCAGATTGGTGTACTGGCTATCCGGATAATGAAGCTGATTCGGGCTACTCATTAGTCCCCCCATAGCAGCTCGACTCGCCCCAATCAAGCTATTCGAATCGTTCCTATCACCGCTTGCTTCCCAGAACATACTACCAGCTAACCCTTTTGCTCGAATATATTCGATCTTCTGGTACACCATATCTATAGTGTCGTACGTGATCATGGTCCGTCCCGCGGGGTCGTAGCTGTACGAGGCGCCGGCATGGCTGTCTAATTGCTCTTTTGACCGCATCTGTGCTAGGTCCTTGTAGTCCCAAATACCCAATTCCCAACTGCCGTTTCCTACTCCATTATACGGCTTGCCAGGCCCGTCTGTATTCTGGAACGCACGCCCGTAAAGAGGCATACCGAGCATCAACTTGTTCCCGGGCACGCCGGCAGCCAGGTAATCCGTCACAGCGCGATCTGTAGAGAATGGCGTGCTGGCATTGTTGCTCAAGTTCGGGTAGAGATTTGCCTGATGCCCAGCCGTCTTGTCCCATGACCCAGCATAGTCATAGGCCATCAAGTTGATGAAGTCGAGGACGTCGGCCATGTCCTTGAGCTTCAGATGTTTATAATTTTGAGGGGCAGCGGGCGATGCAATACTCAGTAGGAAATGGTAATCATTAGCATGCTGTTTCGAGTAACTGTCGAGTGCCTCCCTGACCGCTTTCAACAGAAGCACAAAATTGGCGGCTTCAGTCTCATCTTTCGGATATTCCCAGTCGACATCAATACCGCTGAGGAAGAGATTAGCCGTATTTATATCAAGGTTAGGTTCTAGACTAGATATGTGGGACTCACTCAAATCCCCAATCCTTCATCAGGGCGACAGAAGTCTTGGCAAATGTGGCTCTGTTTGGGGCGGAACTGGCCGCCGAGGCGAAATTCCCGTTTTGGGAGTATGTCCAGCCGCCAATACTTAGGAGCACTTTGAGATTACGATTCTTCTTCTTCTGGAGATATATCTGCCTCACGGCTCCGTAGACATTTCTCCCAATATCGATCCATGCTAGAGCAGTAAGTAATTGGTAGTCACTGGGGCGAACGAAGATGCTTAAACCTACAGTCTCCATCGTAGTGCTGCTGTACATCAGCGTATTCGTCTGAGGAGTATCTAATTATCTCAGAGGATCAGCATTGTCTACTTTGTCATTCGCAAGAATGATGTAGAGCTCACACTTCACCCGTAGCGCGCAAGTTCGCAAATGCGTACATCGCGTGGGTAATTTGCGATACAGGGAGTTGAGCTGGTCGATAATTACGTCCATAAACACCCCTTGTGAACGGGATAGGTGAGCCTGGGAACGCCGATTTATTCGTGAGATTGCCTCTTACCAGTTCACAAAGTACACCGCATTGTTTAGGCCGGATTCAGTCACTCCAACTTCAGTAGTCGTATTCCGCACCTGGTGCTTGATAGTCGCCGATGCCCATACAAGGGAAATGGGTAGGCAGAGCCATATCATCGCGGCTGTTTTAAAAACCATCGTAGCTTTCCCTTGAATTTTGAAAAGATAAGGAAGCTCAAAGTAGTTCTTCCCGGATGGTGTCTTTGTTAGCGCAGGAAGATTCTGAATTTATTTCATTTCATTTGCTGTTTGTAACTAGAAGGCGGTCCCAATAAAAGAGGCTGCGTCTCTACGTACCGAGATCCCGGAACCCGGGCTTCGCAGAACCCAATCCCCGGTGACTGTCAAGATTACAAGGTAGGTTTTCCTTGTGGATCTAAATAGAAGGATGTAGTCGGTGCTCCAAATACTTACTCTCCGACGCAAGAATGGTCCCTGAATTGCCAATCGTAGCAAATTCCTTGTTAGCAGTGTCACCTTACATCTGGGATACGTGCCTGCATTGCCGTGACTTGAGTGATTGTGCGTCCAGGTTCCGGGATGTCTCACGGGTGGGCAAGATCATGTTCAATATACACACCCGTCGGCTAGCCGGTTGGGAATTCTGGGGCTCGTGCTATGATGTTATGCCGCTCTCTGAACCGGAGCTGGATCCCACTGCCTATCAATACGCTGACGATCGCATGATGGATCGACCTCTGCACGAGAATTATGGACGAATGCGGGTGGATAGCGTCGGTGATATCGAATCAATGCTGCGGGAGCTGGCGTTTGATGACGACAGCATTGCTGCAGGGGATCTAAGCGACACAAGCCTTCAAATAGACACTGACCGTGAAACAGCTCTTGTGAGCATAGTAACGATGCCCGAACCCATGGATGTAGACAAAGACACAGCGGAAGAGGAGGACACGTGTATGCAAGAACACGAGGAGGACACGTGTATGCAAGAACACATGGACGGTGACTTGCTCTTGCACCGTAGAGTCGATTTCAAGAAGAGCAAAGCCTCTCGTAGGATGGTACCGATCACTACGTCAGCAAAAAAGAGACATCTCGCCCAAGGCCACGATCGCAAACCTGAGAGTGGATTCACACAGCTGGGGAGACTAGCAACCGTGAGCCGCCTCAGCAATAGACTTCTTGGACGTGACCCGATCAGCACGTTTGCTGGGAACTGCGAAGATTTACTTCCCCGATGGATTGCCTTGCTTCGAGAAACTACATTCCCGGGTGACATAACAAGCACCGATTCCCGCATACCGCGAGCATTCAGAGCCGTAGATAGCATTCTCTGCGGACAAGACAGACCTCTTCTCCAAAGACTAGCCAGTGTCCAACTAGCCCGGCTTTTTCAAACGGTCAAGGATATCATCAAATCTGATAGACACCATAGACGCATAGATCGCGTACCCTACTCGAGAGATGCCAATCTTGCTATGAATATTTATATGAGCGCCCAAGAAACCCAATCAAACGCAAGGAGCCTAAGAATCAAGTTGGAACAGAGCCGCAAGCGCTTCAGTAAAAGGTGGAGCCTTTTGGCAGTGTCGTCACCACTCTTCGTCCTAGTCTACACTGACGCAGCTGAGGCGGTTGTGTACGTGCACCTTTGTCTGTTAGAGTACTGATAACTGACTATATCAAAGTAGGGACTTCAAGAAGGTAGACAACTCGACCCTTGCCATGGTCGCTGCTAGAATATCCAAGACATGCCCCCATCGACTTGTGGGCGTCTGTGCTGGCATCTCCAGGGCAGCAGAAGTCGCAGCCACGTCAGGGAATTGGGTAGACCCACTTTCATTTTCGTCTGAGCGCATCAGACAGTGTTTGCTTCTTTGAAGCGACAGGGGTCATAATGTGGCCAGGAGGCTCCGGACTCCCGGAGAGGTCTGGATCTCACTGTGGCTGGGGTCTCACTGTGGCCCGAGTCTAACGACTTGACGCCAAGCTTCAGTGTGTACCCCAAATCCAGGATTCTGGATGGAACATATTGGGGTGGTGGAATCTTAGGCTCCATGTATCTCAGTGTGGCCTGGTTACGGGGTTTCGGTGTGGCAGGTACATTGGTGTGGCCTATGAACCGGGTACTGGGCGACCTCGCCTGTAACTCTTCCTATATTCCTGATTCAGCTGATTACTATTTGGATAAAATCAAGACTTCCTAAGGTCCTGAGCGCCAAAAATTAGAGTCAAGGCTGATTCATTTGGCAAATATCTACAATGACTCTCAATAAATTGGAACAGGACCGGCCCGCAGACCTTTTGATTTGCGATTGTGCTGATGGTGTGTTAGCAATCAGCCAGAACATCACTTTTGTACATACGACACCAGTAAGCGATGTACTCAAATCGTATGATAACGTCTACAGTCGCTTTGCGTTCTTGAGAACCGATGCACGTACCGGAGAGGTCATATGGCTTACGACACGGCATCATGAAAATAGTATCTTGTGGATGCTTGCGGAAGCCAAGATGTCAAAGAAGTGCCGATCATTCGTATCAATTCTCGCTATTTCGGCAGCAGAAGCCGTTGCTGCGATTCAAGCAAGAGGTTTGGGAGATATGAAACTGGATAATGGCCTGCGCGCCTTGCGTTGGCGCCTTCAAGAAATGCGGGAAACCGCTCGAGATACTACGATGATCCCGACTCTTTCTACATTAGAGAACACTATATCAGATGGATGTAAAGTACATGTCGAAGGCTTAGAAGCGGCAGTAAAGGGCGATACTGTGTCTTGGGTAGTGGCAGGTCACAAGGAAACATCGCCATTACCAGCGCTTCCTGCTAGGGTGTCTGTGGAACAGATCCGGTGGCTTTCACAATACCCCAACTTCACATCCCTGTTTAACACTCTTCAGGGCCAGTCAGGTCTCGACAGGATGGAGCTTCAGAGCTTTATAGCGTTGGATGTGGCGGTTAATATCGGGTTGTTTTGTAACACACTTCAGGATTGGCTTCAGGCTGTTGATGCTTTCATATATGAACTTGAGTATATGCTCATTGAAGGAATAAATGATCTACAAGTATGATGTTTGGAGGAAAGGCCTTTAGTCTCTCTTTACTTGATGTTCGCCGTAATTATGATCTAGGTCGTTGAATTATTTAGTATTTACCAGTACTCTCCATGAACTTTGTGATATAGGCATTCGAACCCCTATATAGCGCTCCGGCTTGACCACTGTTGATGGTAATCATTGAATTCTGCCCCCCGTTTGAGGAGTAACTCTAGAGGCTCAACACGCATTTAACTCATCAGCGCTCCTTGTCATCCCTTCCAACCCTGGTTACCTTCAAGATGCCAGCAAATACAAATGACTGATAAAGGCTGTATCAAGCTACCAAGGCTGATCCTCTAAAGTGACTCAACCCTATTTGCTCTCCCTAACGACGTCAGGCTCCCCATCTCCTCGTGCTTGCCGTAGGAGGCTATATCTACCAATTTTGCGACGCTGAATACGGCTCGACCGCCTTAGGACTTTGGATGCCTTTATAGGATCCTGTCAAGGATTCTTCTTCAGCCACGCAGACTGCTGACGCTGACCTAAACGTGCACCACTGGGGCGCGGTACAGGGGCTGTTTGAGGAATGCCTTGCTCGACAACTAGGGTATACGTTAACACTGGCTAAGTGACAGGAAGGATAGGCACAGCAAACCTGGATGTTGATCCTTCTCGAGCCGCCTGTCCCGTTGCCAAAGATCCCGGACCTGTTCCCAGAGATCCAAAATATCCTGTCCTGGCTGACGTACTGAAGCCAATGCGCTGAGACTCTTCAAAGCAGGGAACTCCCAATCAGGATCACGTTGCTCAAATTCCACAATCTCGGGTAGGACATCCTCGATCGTGCGTGCCTTGGAGCACGCCTCGTGAGACGGACTTGTGGTAAGCTGGGTTGTGGTGTCTGACATGACTGAGGCTTCACAAATGTGATAAAAAAGTAGGAAGGGTTCTCAGGAAAATACAGAGGGGGGAAGGGCATATTTATATTTCACTGCACCAGCCTAACTGCTCATGCTCAATTTGCCGAGGCCGGACCCTGCCATACAACCGCCAACAGCATTCCTTTCCGAAAGCAGATTCATGCAGAGTATTCAGAATCGCCGTGAAAACCAATCACGGGCTCTCACTTGCCGCTTTGCGTAGGTCAAATTGTGTGAGATGAGCTCTCCGCATTGATGTTATCGGCAGCATTATTCCGCAGGAAGGGAAGACAGAAACGGAGCGACTTGTATGGGTGCTATTTGAATTATATAAATAACTTCTTGCCCACTCTCACTTTCTTGCAAACTCTTCCTCCATTACTTCTATTGCAGTCTTCTCACGACGGAGCTTATCATGACGGAAGATTACAAGCCAGACCACTCCTCGCAGGCCGTGTCCAAGTCGAAAGATCAACAGAATATTGCAGACATCGTCTCAGCCGCCCAACAGATTGTAGCCCTTGTTGGTGCTGGGATCAGTACATCAGCTGGCATTCCGGTTAATAGCACTCCTTCCCCAATAGACCTCGACTCCACGTCTGACATGACTAGGACTTCCGCTCCTCGAGTGGACTGTACGCCAATGGAGCAATATTCGAAGAAGCTGCGTTCTGTGACTCGCGGAAGAGCAAAGTCCTCCAGACCGCTTTAGATCTTCGAGACAGGGCCTTGCATTGTCATTCAACTAGGACCCATCTATGGCTGTCGTCACTGCATCGTCAATTACTTCGTTATTACACCCAAAACATCAATATGCTTGAGAGCAAAGCAGGCATGACAACAGGTATTGGTCCTCACTTCCATTGCATTCCTCTTCACAGAAGCTTGAAGCATCTAGAGTGTCATCTCTGTCATTCAAAGAATGAGTAGGATGACTCCCGGCAGCACATTGGAGACGAGCGGCCGCTCCTTTGCCCGCGGTGCCAGGCCCTTAGTGAGGCGCGAACGCAGGCCGGGAAGCGAGCTCTGCCCATCGGCGAGCTTCGGCCCGGTTTCATCATGCTTGACCAACCGCATCCAGAGGGCGAAAGGCTTGCTAGTCTCGCGCACAGAGACAGTTTGTCTAGTCCCGACCTCCTCCTGGTGCTGGGGACAAGTCTGAAGGTCCATGGACCAAGAGGGCTTTTCAGGCAATTTGCCCGCCAGGTCCGCAGAAATGGGGCCAAAGTTATATATATGAACCGGACGAGCCCTCCCAGATCGTACGTGTCTTTTATCGACCATTGGGTGCAGACGGACGTGGATGCGTGGGTGCAAGATCTCCAAGCGAGGCAAGAAATAGCTGTCCAAACACAGGGTGGTCGCATCAAGCGGCGTTCAAAGACGAAGATTAGGGGTTGTGTATCAACTTAAGGTTGGGAAATAAGCAACATATTAGTAGATGTAAGAGGCTAGCAAGGCGATGTTTTCTCCACGCTTGAAATCAATCATCACAAACAATTAGGTTTCATCTTCAAGAAAGGTTTGCCTCTAAAAGAAATAGCATAATGTGCTCGATCCACTGCTTAGGTATGCTCGGCGGCGCAGTCGTGCTGAAGGAGAGAGACCCAAGCCAACGAAACTGGAAGAACTCCATCAAAAGGGTTGACTTGCCCATCGTGTGGCTTGACGATTAAGCCTCCTAGCTTTGAGGTCTAGGCGGGACGTGCAGGCCCAGATCAGGGCCAAAAGTAACGCCAAAGCAAATGATGCCCAGGTAATCGCGGCAAACTTCTCGCCAGAGGATAAAGACAGTCCGATCTTATTGCCGAGGCCGTTGATCCTTGATACGGAACCTCCCCCGATGACGACAATAGTGTTTGCCACCAATAACACCAGGGCCGTTAGCAGCGCAGCCCAAAAGTTTGCCCAGCTTACTTTATAGGCACGACGGCAGAGCCAAAAGACCGAGAGACACAGAGAGACTGCCGAGAGGGCGATGGCTGTGATGTAGAGATATGCCAAGATCTTGAGCCCGTTTGAAAGCTTGTCTAGGCCATCCTGGAGGTCTGTTGCAAGGCCAAGGTCGGCTAGACTGAGGTGTAAAGGACCAGCGCCAAGCTGGCGGTCAATCAGGGCGGAAATATTGAATAGGGCTATTAGTCAAAGTTAGAAAGGCGTCTTCAAATCATCGTCGAGGCAAGTACCTACAAGTTTGCAGAGACTGTGTGCAACTTGTTGCATTGTATGCTGCGCGGGGTGCGGTTGCGTTAGGCGTAAACAGACCCTGGCAGATATCTAGAACGTGGAAAGAGTACCATTGCTGGAGACCTATTTTGTTTCTGAGGCTTTCGGCGGCGGCAGCATCCAGACTTGAAAGCTCAGCAGCGCCAGAACCGACGGCAGAACCAACTGCACCTGTTGCGTCTGCGCACAGCTTGCCAAGCGCTCCTCCAATAGGCCCGCACGATGAAGTCGATGGATGATTGCCTCCATCTGTCGCTGTCGGTATGAGCCCCTGGCCCAGGGCCGAAGTGTTCAGTAAGAGGATGTGGTAGTCCTCCATAAAGCCGGGGTTTCGGCCAGCGCCGACCGTGATCGCCATCAACAGAACAATGACTCCTGCGACAGGGATACCGACAATAGCCCGCATGGAGGATCGTGAGGTAGCCCGAAAGGTTCTCTGTACCGTGCTGCTGTGCGTTACAGAGACATTATGTACTGAAGGAAATCTCATCTTCAGAGCATATCGCATAGTTGGGCGGAGGGCAGATGTCTAGTCAATTCAGTTGTCAGCAAGAGACTATCACACGAGAATGAGGAGCAAAATGAACTCTACAAGGACGCGACACGAGCTGAGGCCGTCGCAGGAATGCCTTGAGTTGCTTATTTAAGACATGTCATGATGCCGAGATTCCGGATCCAGGACGTACTTGGCGTCCACAAACCTGGAGCTCCAGCATGAAACACTAACATTGCCGTAGGGACAGGCGAATGGTCGATATCCCAGGCTACAGCGAACAGCTCATACCTTGAGCTAATCTTCATCAAGCTGTGTGAAGGAGCATGGTCTGGCATCTTGTAAGCAGCGACGTACCCGGCGCACGCAAGTGCTTGCATACCAAAAGCCCGGTGCCCACTGTCCCTCCCAGCTAGAGAAACAAGTGCAACGGAAAATAGGACAGGACTTATATGGGGCTGTTTTAGTCTCAACCCGGTACAAAATTGTCCTGTCGAAATCCTTTCAAGTCTTATTTAGGTGAATTGTTCTTCCCCAAGCCTATTATTTTATCTAGCCACCCGTTCTATGCCACTGGACCAGGTGAATATCTTACCAAGGAGAGGCTTTCTAACACACGATGAAGCCGCGGTCTGGCACCACCTTTTTGATGTTCACGACACTGGCGAAAGCTACCTGGTTGGTGAATACCTCATCAGCGGATCGTGAGCTTGTCGCAATTGCGCACACGACACGAATCACCAGGTCTCCTGCGATGATTCGAGAAGACTCAACGCCGAACCCAACTGTTAAACCACCCCCAGAATATCTGACCATTGCCATCGTAAATCGTCAGACTGTGCCCATAAGCACATCTCACGCCTCGAACATCGGAGGTCCTAGCCCAGTCTGGGGTGACAACGGACCTGGGACTATCGCAAGCGGTGTGGCGGCCGCTGTCGTCGTGCCAACTGGCTGGGCAGGCAACGTTGCGATTTTCAACGCCGGAACGAACGGGTCCAGCCCGGCTCCATTGACCAACAGCTCTTTGATAGAGGCGTCATTTGTAGTTCCAGAGGGATACGGTACAGCTGTGGCGGATGTCGATGTGTCATTTGTGTAGGTCACCTACCATCCGCTTCTTTCCAATCTAACCAGGCTGTAGCAACGGTTTCAGTAGTCCTATCACATGTGCTTGCTCTGGCGTAGTCGTCACTGGCTGCAGCCATGACCTCTGGGACCTTGCCGCCTGTCCCGATGACGACAACAACAATGGGGCGTGTGCCAACCCCCTTCGGCCTTATCTGAATGCAACTACCGCGACGCATTTCTTTGCCCCATGCCAAGGGGCTGCTTATACGTTCCCGCATGACGATGGCGCTAACAGCTTTGCCGAGTGCCAGAGCGGTGAAATTACCTGCTGTGTTGGCAAGGACTGCCCGTCGAATTCGAAACAGATTCACGATCCGCAAGGCCGCCGGCTGCTCAGAAGGGTCAACGGGTAGTCAACTTTCACACATGATATACTTAAATGGTTATGAGACCTTATTTGTATACTACATTGCTATAGGGCTAGTTCTTTTACGTGGCACCTACGGAATCTACTTGTTAACAATTCAGATAGAGATAACACAAGACTGTTGGCAATGCCATCAGAGCTCTCTCTTCATCCATCACTTACAACGCCAGCCTTGAGTATTCAATTGAATTTGGTTTAATTATGTGATTATTGATGACCAGAGAGCGCCGAGATGTCGATAATGTTGCATTGTGGCTGTCCGCTGTCTATACTCTCCCATTCTCATATTCGAGTGTAGTCATTGCATGTCGAACGGAACTGGGCTGAGCATGCTGTCTGATGTACACACATATTTGTGAATAGAAAAGGCTATGGAAGGCCAGCTTGACTTGGATGCTGATCCATGTAAAGTTTCAAACTCGATTGTGATACGTAAATACAGGAGACCGACAATGGCGACATCTTAGTCTTTTTCCACAATCATTGCATGTGGGCTTGGAAGGAGAATCCCGAAGCCTCAATTGCTCAAATTGCTCCTCCAGATCCAGCAGGGGACAACTCGTCTCCATGGGTGGCTCAAAGCGCACTCTTTTCTGCTCGGAACGCCGCTCGTGGCAATCCGGACGCGTCACGATGCGGGGCCGTCGAGCGATCTTCTCATTTTGTACCCGGATCCTTTCTTGAATGTCCGGATCGCGCACCGTGCCGAGATGACTCCTATGGTGGCGGCTTCTGGGCTTGGATGCTGAATAAACCGGCGCGTTCTCATCAGGACCTTGCGTTTCGGGATACCTATGACTGCTCCGCCGCCTTTCCCTCCTCGAGGAGGGGCTGTAATCGTCAAAGTCATGAGACAGAACGTGCCTGTAGAGCTGCGGATGCTCATATATGACATGTCTTTTTGCGCGAAAAGGTGTAGTGAAAGGTACCGAGTATCGAAGATACCGATCGCCACGCCGTGGTTTGTCCAGCAGCCAGGGCGGCGTGTATTAGGACGGGTGGGACGGGTGTGGTGTTGGTGGGCGATACCAGTTAGACATTGTCTCTGGCTATTCGTTCCGCAATAAGCCACATCAAGATAACAATCATAATCTCGGCTGTGAACGCAGAATCATCATGGGAATGGCTCTTTAACATCTTGGACAACTAAAGGTGCCTGTAGATCCAGGAACAGGTGCACCATCGAGTCCCCCCCAAGCGTCAGCACCTGGAAGCAGGACGCTGAGGTTGTGATTGTTGGTCGAAGCCGAGAACCGGGACTCATGGCCAAAATTTTTAATAGGACCGGATGTTTTGTATCCGTGGGGCTGCTCAGCTGCAGCCCCGAAGCAGGCCGAGACTGAGCCGGAATTAGAACCACTTGTTTCAACTCCTGACCACCTTCACCGGCCCCACTGAAACGACCACCATCATGTGTTGCACATATATTGAGGCTTCTGGACGCCCTGGTAGATGACTGAGCTACCTCGCATTAGATATCAGAGATAACCAGACATACTTATTTTAAATCTTCTTTCACCTACCAACAATCTTGCCATGGCGTATAGGAAGCGATCCAGAAGCCAAGCCCAGCGAATCCATAGAAAGTTCAACGAGAGATTAAGCACTCTCCAAAGCAAGATTCTGGAACTCAACTCCATCAAAGAGAGCCGAGCAGTCATGCTATGGACGGATAAAGACAAGACGCTGGGCTGCGGAGACGAAAAGCTCCTGAAGAGCTTGGGTTACACCGTCCGGCTGCGCCCGAACTGCCACCGCCACTCCACATTAGCGGTCATGAGCTCATCATCTTCGCCCACATCACTTGATGGACAAGACCAACGCGAGAAAAGCATATTTGACGAGGGGGAAGTGTTAGGTTTAAGCCCGCCGCCGGCCCCGGCCCAGCCCCAGTCAGCCATAATGTCCAACGGAGCGAGATGGAAGACGTGGAGGAAAGAAGACTTGGAACTGTTGGCTTTTGATTTCTTTGGGGATGACTGAATCATTCAGCACACCTTCCATTTGCCGCTGGTCGGCAAGGCCGGAAGGTTGTCTCTTGTAAATGTACAATATAGCATTGCGTAGTGTCAGAATTCATCCAAGCGTTCCCGGCGCATGGGCTTTGCAACAAGCCAATACCTGTCTCAGCTATATCAGCGTTACTACCTTACCAGGAACGCATAAGTGCACCAATGTTGGTTACTGAGATTAGCGTTACGTGTATCCTTGTGTTACTGGAGATGTCTAGGCTACTTGTGTTAGGTTACTAGACATGGGAAAACTGGCAGGCATGCTTTACCAGACACTACAGGTCTGCGACGCCGACACTACTAGGGATAGAAACACATCCAGCACAGAGTTACCAGGCAACATAGTTGCGATGCTAACCCCTGCGGCGACATCATAGTAGATATGTCTAACGCTCAGAAATAGACAAAAAAGAATATGTTGCTTAACGCCTAGTTAGGCCAATGCATTATGGATATGCTGATAAAAGACATAGGAGACATTCTCAAGGTTGAATAGATGACTGTTCCTGCCTCTTTTGCTTTGAGGATCTTACAAAATAGCACTTGTGCTTGGGGGCCAATACTGTCAAGTTTCCTTTTATATCTGGTAACCCTGCCCAGTGTCTTATTGCGTAACTAGGCACCGAATAAGCGGAGGATATTTGTTCCTAGACACCTGGGATGGACAGGGTTGATGTTACTAGACATAAATCAGACCAAGATCCGGGTTACTAGACACAAACACTCTGGCCTAGCTGTATTACTAGTCACAGCCAATACAGAAGCACATCCCCTCTGGGCCACCCCGGTTACTGGTCACATTGCACTGTCTCTCGTCCGGTTACTGGGCACTGCAACTTTACGGGATCCGGGTGACTGGACACCATAAGGCCCCCTTAACCTACGGTACTGGTTACCAGCTGCTGCCATTGACTGTGTTACTAGATACATATCCGCCACACTTGGCAGGCGACGGGACATGCTGGAAGTCCGCCGGCCCATGTTACTAGATACCGTTCAAAGCCTATGCCAGGGTTGCGAGTCGCCTACACCCACCAACAAACCGATGTACATACATACATATAATATATATATATATATATATATATCATGAATCAATTGACCTGCCTATTTGGGAACCAACAACCACAACGTAGTTTCATGAGTCTTGTCTACCTAAAATGGTACCTAGACCAAATATATCAAGTTGGATTGGGTCTCAGAGCGAGATGAAAGACTCCCTTGTCGATTACACTGCCTCGATCCTAAAAGTCCGGATGTGCATGTAGCCTTCTGTTGGTGGACATCCTCTGTGGAGACGAAGCTATTTACATTTTGCATGCATTCATCCATAGCTTGGCATGGTCTGGACAAGCAGGGACTTCACATCATGAGACCACTCCGCTCCTCTTTTCCCTCCAACACCCCTACACGCACAGATGTGACATGTATGGGGTCGATTTCGTAACGAGACACAGGAACCAGTCGACCTGCCCGACAGTTCGGTTCCTGTACACCATCCCAAGTTCATCGCCAACTCGCCATTGGTCTGCTTCATCTTGGAGCCGCTGTTCGACAATCACACTGCAGCCAACAAACGCCACTAAATTTGGCTGTAGATTCATATGATCTCGCTCAGTGCGTCGCCCATCGGGCCGGTGACCCTGCTACTATCTCTCGCAGTGAAAGGAGACCCATCACCGTAGTCACTCAAAGCCGAAGATTGTCAGGATTGTGTTTCCTGAAAGTCCTGCACTGCGACAATGATGGAATTGGCAAACTGGGTCACTTCGCTCTTTCAGTCTAGCTCCTGTCTATACCGGGCGTTTTCTTGCGTCAGCCTGGCTATTGTCTTGTCCTTGTCCGCGTCGGCTCTTTTTTGGTCGAGGATCTTTTGGCACAGGTCTCTATTGTCTTGCTGCAGCCTGTTGATCTGGTCCTCGGACCAGCTCAGCGCCCGCTTGGTCCTTTTCCCGAGGGTGAGCGGGGGTCTGGTCTCTGCATGATAGCGCCTCGCGGCAATTAGGAGCGGAGGCGCAGGATCTTCGGCTGTTGGCAGCATAGGGAGCGTCTTGAACTGAGCCGGGGGATGCATATCCCAGCAAAGAGGGGAAGAGCTACGACAGGCCTCCGATCGCATTCCCCCATATACCAAGTGCTGGTTAAATAGACCTTTAACTAATACCCAAAGGCACCCGTTGCGTAATGGGGCACATTGGGTTCACGGCGACGACGTGGGGGGAGAATCAGAATCACCCGCTTGGTCCCCCAGCGGGAATCTCATCATCAACAACAACCACACAACCAGACATAGGATATATAAAGCAACTACAGAGATCCGTGCAGAGAATACAAGTAGAGGCAAGCAAGTGCAAAGTGTTACCCAAATCCCAGATACCCTACGACCTGTGATATAAGATATAATTGACAAGTTCCCCTGAGAGGCAATCCAACTCCGAAATCCCGGTTCTCAGAACCCAAAACCAGCAATGTGAGCGAGGCCCCGGGTCCCCGTGACCATTTTAGACAAGCAAGTCCCCAGATGCTTGCAGACATCCCACCCCACCCCCCCTCCCCCCGCCCCCTTACACCCCTGTCTCGGCGCACACAACCCCCAGGCCGACCCTCAGGTAAACTCGACAGCAATTGGCTGATCGCCGCCCCCTTCAGTTGGACCCCCAATCATAAGGCGGTACAGGCATTTTGAGAATGCACTCAGGCTTTTCCGCAATTTCTCAACTGCTTCTCCCACACCACCCACTGCCTGCTCCAGGGTCCGCATACCATCACGAGTCTGGGTCGATAATACCTTGGTCTCATGCAGGATCTCTTCCATCTTGTCTAGCCTTAAAGACAGGTTGATGAGTAGACTGTTTTGCGGTCAGCTCCTAGGGTAGTGCACCCATACTTGAAGTTGGGATTGATCAGTGTCACTCGCCTTTTCACGTCTTCACTGGGCGTTAGGCTATCTAGGACAGCCTAGGGCGGTTCAATTACAGGGATTGGAGCTTGCAAGCCCAGCATATCCGCGTCATGAATATAGAGGGTATCTGGAAGAAACCCTTTCCACTGATCGTCCCACCAGTTATTCCATTCTGCCCATTCGCCGAGGTTTTGCATCTAAGGCTCCATCGGGGCTCTTGAGGATGGATTTCTGTGCATATGCTGCTGCTCCTCCCAACACCCGAGCATGAGGTTGCTTAAAAGAAGATGGGAATGAGTGTTTGGGAGTCCGGAGTCCCTTAAGCCGGCACCAATGCGTCCGAGATCCAGGCACCATGAAGGGGCATGATCCCTATTTAACATTGAGGTCGATCCTCCGGTGTCGTACCGTCCAGCTCACCTGCTCTATTTTCTCTTCTGTCGATTCATCGTAGACCGCGATCCGGCCTGAGAAGTTCCAAAAAAAGGACCAAGAAGTAATTACAAGGATCAAGCCCGGGCCCAGAAATATGAGGATCACTGTCCCTCTGGTGGGCATGGTTGCTGCAGGTACGGGTATAGGTGCCTTCAACTGGCCACTCGTATGCTTATCCAGCCCTCCGGTACAGCTCATTGCTGGCACGACGAATGTCTCGGCAATGTAAGGGTTTCACATCCAGACGCTCCTCTCCCCGAGTCTAAACTAAGAATGATGCTTTTCATAGAAATGAGAACCCGTACAGCAGGAACTGCCGCGCCATCCTAGACTTTGCAGATCCGGCCTTCAAGCCAATCACGTACTCATTCACGCCAACCGCACCTTGTCCAGGCCCACGGGTGACTAGCTTTCAAATCCCTCCCGGGGCACCTGATGGAGATGCACGTATCATTTGGTTCGTTTGCAATAGCCGCGCGCTTGTGATAGAGGTAATCCTGCTTTCTTCTAACTTTGTCCACAGGCAGTGCAAATTTGCTTCTACGTGCAACCTTGCCGTCATCTCGAACAGCACAGGAGATCCACCTCTTGTGTCTCACCAGAATGGCACCGTGGAATGCCTGCCGTTGACGTTTGGTACCAAGACGAGCGTCCCGTCTGCAGGCTGGACGGAACTGCCAAGCTCTCTAGAGTCCCAGTCGGCGTCCACCACCATGCAGGTTCCTACCCCAATAGCCACGCTGAACCCCAGTGGTGGGTGGAACTTTACGAACATCGGCAACAAGTCCACTCCCGCAGAAACTGCAGAGTTCAGCTCAGCGACGCGAACGTCCGTCCCGCCTTGGACGATAATGACGATAACACACACTATTACAACGCTGCTGACAACGGCGGTTTTAGTCTAGCACCCTGAGATCCATCGAGCCAGTCACTCCTAGGGAACGCACGCGAAGAGTCCTCTTGTGTTTTGTCTTCAATGGTCTTGATTGTAGATTGTCCATTGCATACATCCTTAAACCGCTACATTGGTTGTCTTGTCTCATTCATTTTGGCTTCTGACAACTCTAAACAGATATCATTAATCTTGTGCATGCGTAAAACTCAAAGATGAAAGCACCGAAAGCATGTTTTTTCCAATCCTTATTGCGTCACAAATAGAATGTCAAAATGTAATGTAATACCGCTTGATTCCTTAGTACTACTGCCTGTCTGAGTAGGTGGGAGCCATCCCTTCTATATACAATAGTGTGAATAGCCTCAAGTACCGGTACTTCGTAACATAGGTGTCAGACTGCAGTACCTCCGATTTCGGCATAGAATAACGTTATGTTGCGTACAGTCTCAATTGATATATCTATGAATTGATAGTTATCCTTATGTGAGTCACAATGTTCACTCTGCAGCTGCTTGCCACTATATCTCCTTGGTCTCTGCCTTTTCTTTGCTCTAACGGTAGCTGGTGTATGGAGCACAGGAAGGAGGTATCTTTGCATCTGCTCTGCTTATTAGAGTGTGACTGTGGCCATTTCTCGTGGCAAGTAGCTTACAATATCTGCTGTAGTTTCCGAGTCGTCGACTGAGGTGTAAATGTACGAGCGATGACCTTTCTTCAAGGCCAGGAAGACCTCGTATCCACAGCGTGATGAAAGCTATCCGCTTTCCTAATCAACGCCTCGCGTCGTTTGAGGGCCCTGGTTGCTTGTTGCTTTGCTTCCTTTTTCCTGTGCGACTCCGTTGGTTGCTTCTGTGGTTGTGGGGTGCTCCCTCGATGGTTTCGATTGCGGCCATTATGAAGATCCAAGACTCGACAGCTGTGCTCTAGCACGGCCCTCTCTCTCGGGATCAAGATCTGGGGTAGGAGGAGGCTCGCTTTAAAAGTATGGCGGCCGCCGCACACTGGCTCCTGACATCCTAGTTCCGGGATCCACGAAGGGTCTATTGGGAAGACAAATACCGGATCAACCAAGAGACAAGTCGTCGCCCGTACGACGGTTAACTTACATGGACACAGCAAGTGATGAGATGATGGACCAACTTCCAACTGAAATCATCGTGCTCATCGTAGCATTCCTACCTTTGCCCGCCTTGCGGCATTTCCGGCTCGTGAGTCGCCGATTAGCTGAGGCCTCATATCCCGTCCTTGCGCAACACCTCTCCGTTGTCAACACAGTAGAGTGCATAGAAGAGTTCCTGCTTCATATCATTAGGAACACAGGAAGTTCTTTGTACACAAAGAAGCTGACAATATATCACGGAACCTGGCCGGTATGTTCGCGGCAGGCGTGGGAGACACACCCACTCTTATTAGGGGGATATCATCGGATGGATGTCGGCTACCGTCGAAGCCGAATAGCAGACCAAGCTTATCAAAACTATAAAAGTTTCATCATGACTGAAGGCTCTCGCGATTCATCAGACTTGGAAATGGTCTTTCAAGCTTTACCCAACCTAAGATCCGTCAGCCTCACCCGACTAAAGGCATCGCATCGCCATCAACCTCAATATGCCCGTTTACGGAGAAAGATCTGGCTTCAGCCATTTATGAGGGACTCCGTATGTCCTACAGTCACATGGGTACTTGGTGCTCTCAGCAGGTTTGGTCGCATTACAGAAGTCGAGATCAACGGCAGCTTTAGCCCTTGTGATATCGAAGGGCCTGTCCATCCAGAGCTCATACAGGACCTTAGGATTGCCTCTATGAGATGCTCAAATCAACAAAGACTTTCTCAATTTCTGGCCCTTTTTAGCTGTATTCGAAAGGTTTCCCTTGAGATGCACACCCTCAGCCCAGAGATACCCATCGACCAGGTCTTTTGGCCAGACCTGGAAGAGATGGAGCTGATCAATTGCAGGCTTTCGGAAAGCGCAATAACCACGTTCATACAACGCCATGTATCTCTTGCTGTCCTGCGGATTCAAGGCGCCGTGCTGGTTACGGAATCATGGGCGTCGGTAGCATCATGTACCGGCTATTTCAGGCACATGGCCGCGGCCGCAGCCAGGCGGCCCAATCTAACTGTGGACGTACACACCTCCTCCTGCATTTTGGGTGCGCCTACACTTCGGCTCTAGGGTACTTGGTGTGTCTGTGGCATCCAGATTTCAGGGCCTTTCCATCCTCGTCCCAGGATCCCGGGTCACGGTCCAAGATTAAGTATCCAGCGTGATTCACCGATTCATCGTCTTATTTATATACTTATCTTTTCCCTTTCTTGGGTATTGTAGACCGCAGTTATTTGTATGCCCTTTTGTATTCACACATATCCGAATCATCGACTCCATTTGACATGGCGTTCAACAACTCATTCACGAGTGGTGCCGATACCATACTCATGTTTGGCAGCTATTACCAGACAATCGCCGCCATGGAGACTGATATCGCCGAACACCGCAAGCTGCTGCAACCCGACGAGATAGCTTTCGTTCGTGGGGCTTCGCTCTACGATGACTCTGGTATCGCAGGCATCTGCCAGACTAGGCTGAACCTGGGCCTCGACTATTACTACGCCGTCAAACACCAGATTACGTCCCTCCAAAGAGCCTGGGACGCCATCCTTGACGAGAAGCGACGCTATGACGCCGTTGGATGGCCGGGGAGGAGTCGTGGATTCATGGAGTCGTTCCACCTCTGCTCGTACTTGATCCCGCAACGAGTCAGCATCGGATTCCCAGGCCCTCACGTTGACATCCCTCCACTGGACACTATGAATGATAACGGGCAAGCCTGTCAGTCACGCTCCTACAGTTGTGAGACGTCTACGATCGTTGCTTCGCCAGCGCAGTGGGCCGACCATGTAATACCAAGCATAGAGGGTGACGGCGGAGCACAATTCTCTGCCAGTGACGACGCGTACTCGGAAGCTCTCGCATTGTCAGCAACCGTTACTGAGGGGAGCTTTGAGGACCTCGGTAGACAAGACAACGAAGCCAATGTCATCTCCATCTCCAGCGGCGACGACGATGATGACAGGTACAGCGTCTATAGCCCGTATTTCGATCAGAGCGAAGACAGCCAGGTGTTCCAAACCCCTGCTGAGACAAAGGATAGTGTCGGTTCGACTGCCGTTTTCGGAACCCTCGGGGGTTATGCGCCCGAGGACACGACCGATGCACTGCTGGAGACGCTCTTGACCAACCTCCCAGAAACACCGCAGCCGAGGCCAGAGATGTTTCAAGACGCGGGAAGCACCAGCCAGCGACAGCCGACGAGGAAGGGCAAGCCCCTGAGCCTCGAGTTGAAGGGTATGCCGTCAACGAAACGGAAGTTCTCGGCGGTGCGAGGAAATGAGCACAGGCAATCACACGAGATCGGCTACGGAGGGAAGCGGCACCGGGCACTTTGAAGCTCTGTGTCGTCCATAACGTTCGTTCATGCTACGGTGACCGTAGAGAAGCGAGAAGAACGTCGAGTTTTAGCGCAGTTACGTGACTCTTTTGTTCGGCTAGTTTTAGCTTTCCTATAGAATGCATTTCAATTTAATGATACTACTACCAATGTTCATCCTTCTGAGAGCCATAGACAAGACAAACCGTATGGTCGCCTGTACTGATTGCCCTATCGAGATATGAATGTTGACGCTTTCGCGTCTTGGCACTGTCCTGAAAGTACGAAGAAGAAGAAGCTTTATCATTCGCGGTAATGAAGATCTTTAGCAGTGGATGTTGCAATAGCTCCGTACATGGATGTCATGTTTTATATTACTATCAGCCAAGCTTTAGATTTCCTCCTCTTCCTCGCTTGTTTCTTCTGCCATCCTGAGTCTTGATTGAGAAAAAGTCTCGAGGTTGATCGGCCCCGCCGTACCAAGATTTCGATGTTCGGCACTCCGCAGAACTGGAGCCGGAGAAGATGGCATTGGGGGAACGATCCATGGACGGGTCGTATTCTCGACACTTTCGGACATGCTAGGTACTTCACCCGTGACCGACCTTCCCGGAGGTTGGATGGGAGAACGCCTCGAGGTTGTTGGCGAATGTCTCGTGCTGGGTCTTGGGACGGTACCAGAGTTGGCCATCACCGTGTGATCGATTGCACCGGCCCCAAGATCGTGTACGTCCTGGGAAGAATGAACCACCTGGTGGGCAGATGCTCCCACGCCAACCGCCTTTCCTTTCCCTTTCCTGTCTATGCATGCACGAGTCGTGTCACTTCACTGGGCGGTTGAGGGTGCAGGCCGACCACGGGTATTAGCTGATGGCCTGCCGGCAGCCTCGGAGCTTCCAACGGCATTTACGTGATCACTCTGTCGGGTCCTCCTACCTACAGTTGGCTTAGAGTTGACGACTGTAAGCGACTTGTCAGAATCGGTTGAGAGGCCCGCTCGTACCTCCCTCTTCGACGATGTTGGTTTGGATTGATGAAGAGTAGAGGGCCGGCCCTTCAGAGCCGTTTCTGTTAGTCTGGATGCGGCATTTGTTCCCTGAAGCTGTTTTTTTCTCGGGCCTTTGCTGACCTCGACTCCGCTTCTGTTGCTATATCTGGCCTTGTCGACGATCCGCTCTGTCTCCTAGAGACAGGATTTTGTGACTTCTGTTGAGCCGTTGGCGTAGAAAGGATTGATGCTTGTCGCGATGCAACCCTTTCGCTGCGTCTTGGAGAACTTACGCTCGATATCTCGGCTGGTGTCTGACCGAGAAGGTGAATTCTCTCACTGCGCCGTCTCTGTAGTGTGGCTATTGGGGCGGGAATTGCTGATCGCCTCGACGGCCTGTCGGCACTTTGGCGTCCGGAAGGATTCATTGCGGAAGTCTCACCTATGGACTCAAGCAGGGTATTCTCACTGTTCCCCGCTGCTGGAGTTGATGGACCTAGGATAGGGGAACGTCTTGACGGCCCACGGGTGGTTTGCTGTTGCGAAGAACCGTGAGCCTGAGATCTAGTAACTACCACGGGTGTTTCAGGCGGATGACTGCGGGCTTCGACTCGTGCGCTACGTCTTAGCGGCCCAGGTGAAGGGACCGGGGTTCTCCTTGACTGACTGTCAGCTGTTAGGTGTGTTGAGGACCCTTGAGCCTGAGAATGATCTGCTATGGGAATCTCAGGTGGGTGGCTTTCAGAATTGATTCGGGCACTACGCCTCGTCGGGGTAAGGTAAGGTTCGTATCTCTTTCTCCTGGGCGGCTTAATAGCTGTCCGGCTGCTTGAGGAACCCTGGGCCTGAGACCTGTCTACAATGGGCGTCTCGGCTGGGTGACTACATGCATCTATTCGTGCGCTGCGTCGTACTGGGGACGATGGAGGGCTCACTGGGGTTCTCCTTCCTCGTTTATTAGCTGTTTGTCTTTCTGTGGAAGCTTGAGCCTGAGATTGGCGTAATATAGAAGCAGTATCAATAGGCTCAACGGGCTCTGATGTTGAGATTGGTGGAGCTTGGATTGGGGATCGTCGTCTTGACTGCTCCCTAGTCGCCTGGTGTCCGGACGAAGTTTCGCAGCCCTGCGACGTAGCAACCATAGGGGTCTCGGGTGGGCGACTGCGGGCTTCAATTCTCGCACTACGTCTCGTGGGGCCTACTGTTCGGTGTCTTTCGGGGCGTCGACTCTTGTGGGCAGGCTTTGCAGGAGCCTTGGGCGGGAGACTCAGAATACGACTGACATTGCCGCGCGGTGAAGCATCCACTTCCATATCGGCTGATTCATGCCCTGGAAGGTGGATATTTCCGCTGCTTGGTGGATTTCGAGCCCGGGCTCGCTTCAGCAGCTCCGCTGCAGAATGTCTGGCCTGGCGTTTATTAGAGGGAGAAGTATCTTCACGCAAACATGTATTGCTCTGGGATCTGTCGTCTGAGTCATCTCTACGCCTTTTTCGTTGCATTTCGGTGTCAATCTCCATCCGGCTCAAGTCCGCCGGTCGCGACCGACCTTCATAGCGCTCGGTTGGCCATAGAATCAAGTTCACTAGCTGATGTTGTCCGATCTGAAAATCTGATGTAGTTGGAGGATAGATATGCGAGCGTCTCTCTGGAACCGTGATGGGTTCATCCACAGCTGAAGGTGTGATTTCAGAAGCCATCATGTCAAGAGCTAGGTGGCCAGACTCTTGTTGATGATTTTCCAATGTCTGCAGCTCGAGGGTATGCTGTGGAAGGGGTCTTTCTGCTATGGCTTGTGATGAATGTTGATCGGCCAAGCTAGGTCCGGGAGGTTTGACAGGCGATCGCTTTGAGGTTGAATTATTGGCTCCGTTGGCGTCTCTTGAGCGCTCGTGCTTGTGGACCTCTGAAGATTGTGCTTTGTGACCAGTCCTCTGGCCAGCCAACCTGTCCGCAGATGTGTACGTCGGCTTTGTAGTAGTTCTGGATGCTCTTGCCTCCTTTCGTTTGGTAAGAGCAGATTTTGTGTTTTTGGCGCCTTGGGACTTGACTGATCTAGTTCTAGAATTCCTAGAACTATTGATCATGCTGTCAGTGGATGATACGAGCGCCCCGACTACATAAGAAGCACTGGCCAGCTCGGGGGGCTGGATAGGAGACCTTTCTAAAGGCTCAGCTGCTGTCATGGCAATGTCACCATGATCATCCTCTGGGACAGTACTTGATACGAGAGCCCCACTACGAGCCCGGTTGTTTCCATCCACAGGGTCCTGTCTGTCTTGGGCTCCGGAAGATTGATTTGCTTCGGCTGTATCAGGATGAACTGAGGTAACCTGGTCCGTGTGAAACTGAGACGGCTCGGGTAGCGGTAGCTCGGCGTCGATGGCTGACATAGGACTTGCATATGGTTCTCCACCACCAGCTTCATTATGAGGCAACTCCCTTCCCCTTGGACTGAAATGGGGAGCTATATCGGGATATTGAAGGGGTTGGATGGGAGATCGCTTCAAATTGTCTGTCATCCTTTCACCTGGCACAATAAAAGGGCCACATAGGGAAACCACCATATCGTCCGGCAGAACACTGTTACCGCTAATATCATTTTCATCAATATAGAGAAATAGGGGCGGGGCAGGAATCGACTCTGGCGGCTGGACAGGGGATCTCCTTGATTGCTCAAGCGCTGGTTGTTCTGGCGAGTGTACAGCCTCGAGTGTAGAGGGAATCTCGACTGCATCCTCTGCTTCAATAGTGCCTTGCGTGGGCATGTACATGGTACCTATGGCTGTCGTCATCTCGTAGGTTGAGGGCAAGGCGGCAAGCTGCTGTGGGCTAATACCCACTTTTTCAGTGGTTGATTCTGGTGGTACTGGTCCAGATATGCCCGTCTTATCCTTGGGTGGTGCATCTTGGCGCGGGGGCTGGATCGGAGAGCGAGATCGCACCCCTTCTTCGTGGGATACGGGGGATCCGCTACGGGAACGACCTTCGCGCATCCTTGGACGTCTCCTTTGATTCTCGCGCCCCCTGCCCGTCAAGTCTATAAATGTCTCAATCAGAGCTGTCGCTTTCGGTTTAGCCTCCAGCGTTGGTGAAGTCACCGACTGTTCCATAGACAAATCTGGCATTTTTTGGGTAACTGATTCCAAGGCTAGATGCTCCGGAGAATGGCTTTGCATTCCATGCGGTTTGCTGAAGCAATGACTCGGCTCGCCTTGCTGAGAGTTGTTGTGTTGTGGCTCTGATTGGGTTAATCCGTCTGTTTTGGAAGTTTCCAGTTGCGGGACGTGTGTTGTAACGGGTAAAGTTCCTTCCAGCAGGATTCCGACCTGTAAGTCGTCAACCTGCATCAATTGATAGGTTTGCTGATCTGAACGTAAACAAGTACCATTTGATTGCTGTTGCTGTTGCGGTCGGGAATCTTGGGGCTTCTTAATCATTCTAGGATGCGGTACATCTGTCAAAGGTAAGGTTCCTTCTTGCAAATCTAAGTCATCTATCTGCATCGTGTCCCCAGGAGATGTCGGCTTTTCTGAAGTCATTTCCGCATCGTCCATTATGCAGGAATATGGACCAAAAAAGGCCTCCAACATATCTTTTTGGACAAAGGCTGCCGATACGTCTTCCTCGCAATTGACTCGTTGGAGATTGGGGAGGAACGCGGCACTTTGCAGTTCGAGGAAGTTCCGAATTGTCGGCTTCCCCGCTCGCCATTCTTTTGGTAAAACGTTCCAATCCAAATTCCAGTCCACTAATCGTGGTGGTGAAGGGGTCATCACTAGGCCATGAGTGATTTTGTCTGTTCGAAAACCTAACCTCCTAGCTCGTTCTCGGAGCCGGTACACATACCAAGGATCCACGTTTGCGACAGGGGCAGGCTCTCCGCGTCTATCCTATAGAATTGGCTCTGTCGAGAGATGGAGACAGTCTCGCAGGCCGTCAAGGAACAGCAAGATGCAAGCCAGCTCGGCATTCAGGGACACTAAGGGCCGGAAGTTGTCTGCTGAAACCTCTACTTTCGGTTCGGCTGGCAAGGACCAGCATGAAATTAACGATTGAAAAAGCCCTTTCTCTTTAAAATCATTGCCTTGAACCTCGTTCTGCTCGTCAATTTCGCAATCGATGATATGCGCTTTGAGAATTTTAATGCCCACTGAAAAATGTATCATATTTCGGTGAAATATATTCAAACTCGGGAAGATCAGGTCAAGGGAGAGCAGCTTATACTTGATCCTTCGTCGCACAACCTTATCTCTTAGCCTACCAAGGATGCGACCTTCCTTGAAGTTATGTAGGATGTAGTGTCTATCGTCGCTGTTCGAAGGGTTGCGGCCTTGTAGACATAGGACTGTTGAACGATCTACATACTTAATCAAGGAGCGGTCTTCCAGTATCCACAAGTATACTTCTAGGAGACGACATAGATAGTGTTGTAGCTTTTCGCTACACCGTAATGGGAGGTATTTATGCATGTTCCCCAATTTCAACGATGCTCTCTCTCCGGGGATGTCGAGTACCGCACAGAGAGACTCGACCAGCTCTTTGTGTTTCAGCTTACCGGCTTGCCGTCCTAATAAGAGGCTTAGGATTTTCGACTTGCTCTCCGAGAGCTCACATCTCCAGTCACTAGCCAGATCGCTCCTCCCAAGAGCCAAACGGAAGACATGCCAGCAGATCTCACCGTCTGGATACCTCGTTTCGTGAGAGAACTTAGACGCGTCGTGGGTACGGTAAAGCTTCACTGGCAACCAAATTCTCTTCCCAAAAAGGCTTCAAGCAGCAGCAATCCTCTGACGACCATCGAGACACACGATACGCCTCCGAAGGCGTAACCGTAGGTATCTTCCCATGTGCACAGTGTCTCTTAGCTTTTCTTTAGAAAGACCCAATGCGGTTTGTATTATGCTGTAGGTGGCAGCATCGACTTCGCCCTTTACGTGGTGCTCCCATACATCGGCTTTGCAGCCTTCTCTCCCATTGAATATGCGAGTGAGATTTGTAACAGCCGTCGTGTTTATAGGTCTTCCTTTTGACGGTTGATAAATAAACGCGTTCAGTGGAACTCTGATGATTCCAACAATGTCTTCGTCTGCCATAATGTGTGTAAAGGCTTGTAGAGTTGCTATGAAAATAGGAAACAGGTGAGGCATATGTCTGGCAACGGTTAAATCTTACAGGGTAACAAGTGTCATCCTGTAATCCGGAACACGGGTGATAAACAAAACTGTGCCCCAGATTAGAACCTGCGCGTAACCCACCTTTAGTACATTATGGTAGGGTGCATTGCATCCCAAATTCTGGATCAGCCAGTCTCGCTTCACCAGTCACATCGTCAGACCAACCTCTATTGGCTTTGTGATCTATGGCATCCTCTACAAGAAAGAAAAAACACAGAGTTCTCCATCAGGTATCCTCGTAGAAGGCTATAGTATGTGGCACATACGGGAAGCGCTGGATGGTAAGGCTGATATGATGTAGATTGAGTGGTGAAGCTCTGCCAAAAGAATGCACCTGGCCATCTTCTAACGGGTGCGCTGTTGATACAATAAAAGGCAGGCAAGACAGAGTAGATAAGTATCATTCAGCAGCACCTGAGGATACATGCAAGTAACTGAAATTATAGACCAGAAAATTTATTCTTCATGTATTCCTCAATCCTCCTTCTTCCGCAATGGTGCTTGTGCTTGTGCTAGTGCTACGCTTACATGGGCTGCAGCCGATAGGTGAGTCACTTTATCATCATCGCCTTAATAGCCCTCCTTTAAAGAAGACTTTCTAGGTTCGCTGACTAGTGTACTTGCTAGGGAATGAAGATTGACTTCTTCCAAATCCCCGTCACTCTCGGCCCTGCACCATGTCGCAGCGCCATACTCATTCCCTCCCTTCTCAAGCAGCACAAAGTCAGCAGCACTAGTCAGCCTTTAGCCAGGTCGGTATTGAGCTTCGACAAATTCAATTGGCCTAGTTGCTCTTAAGCGAGCAATCACGGCTTCGCAGACAGTCATTAAGAAGTCCGGCTCTCCACAAGCTGTACTCAACCGATGTTAGCCGGGCGTAGGAGGATAGGGTAGATAGACTTGCCTACGACGATGCTCCTGCCATGCTGAGGAGCGTCTATCATTGAATGCAGGAATAGACTCTGATCGACTTAATAAAAGCAACACCAGTAATTATTGACTTGAAAAAAGGGTTCGCCTGCCTTGCTAGATGGATAAAGACACCAGACGACAAGAAGTTCCTTAGGTGGTCAGAATATGATTTGAGGGGACATCATAAGAAACATACATTACCGGGATCCAAGGCTTGCAGATTCATTAGCTCTCCAGCTGCCCATTCTTCCTGAGCGTTTCGTTCTAGGCTCCAGAGGATATTTACTCGGCGTAGCTGGCCTCCAGCCTTTCTACGCTCGCATAAGTACAGAGCGGAGGAGAGAATACCTAAAATTCCCGTCCCTCGGGCTGCTAACATCACAGTCTCGAAGGATTGAAGACTCATATCCTGTCCATAAGGCCCATCTAGGAGAAGTTTGTCACCTTCCTTGAAACGAACGGTGCGGAGAGGGCGATTCTTATGAGCAATTAGGAAGGCTAAATCCGTCATTGGACTCTGACCAGGTGCATACCACATTGGCACCATCGGATAACTGACAAACAGGTTGTAATGAAGGAACCTCCCTGATGGGAACACATAGAAGTAACACCCTAGGAAAACATAGACAGGACTTTCAAGGTGGACCGCAACACGGGAAGTATCAGAGTCTCCGGATTCACATCGGATGACTGCTCCAGTGGCAAAAAAAATAAGCCGAATGCACCTGTATAGGCGTCCTAATGTCCAGGTAGAAACGGAAATCAGGGCTGCGACTTGTGCTGGCCTCGAGGCATACGTGAGTATATGCCAGGTTGTTATGCCGAGTGTGCTCAGGGCCAGAAAGAGATGTATCCTAGCAAAAGTACGGAAGAGATATCGACGAACAAACCAGAATGAAGTAATCATAACAAGTAAGAGTCCACTAGTAGCCTGCATATGGTCAGACTGAAGTTCTTGAGGAGTAACACATAAACGTACACCATAACCTGACATTGTAGTCTGGTCAAGTCATGATCTTTTAAGAGATAATACGCCATGTAAGAGACCCTCTGCAATCACACATCTACCAATGAGGTGATGCAAATTATAATAAGTTGACAATGGAATGCCGAAAAAGTCTGCGACAGGATTCGTATGGCCACCGAGGAAGAGTGGCGTCGTATTGATCATTGCTAACATTGCCACCATCTTTGCCAAATTCGCTCGCCCGAGGAAGAGGAATGCCCCATTGCAACCGAAGTATAAGGCCATAACAAGCAATTCCAGACGAGTTACACTCATCCAATACCTCCTTCGCAAGACTAGTAGGTAGTGGACATGGCGGGCTAGTAGCACAAGAATACCCGGGACCATGAGGCGGCATTGTAAAACAATGAATTGCAAACAAGGTGACAAGCAATGCCGTGTTAGCACATGCAAAAGCTGCAGGAATGGGTAGAGGGCTAGGAAAGAGCCAAAGATTATTGCATATAGAGCGATAAGATCCATTTCAGCTGGTAGATCGTCACGGCCTCGACTGGCCAGACTGGGTAATGCGAGAATCCGACATTTACTACCCTTTATGGGACCCAAACTACGGACATTTCACAGTCCCGGTTCCCGAGCTGACTTGGGCATCCTGGAATAGCGGCACAACGTCGGTTCCCCGGTTCCCCGGTTCCCCGGTGCCCGCTTCCGTGATCCTGGAGTGACACGTTACTCGCCGCCGCAATGTAGCTGAGTACCTTCAAGCAGACGAGTTCGCGAAAAGGTAAGGCTGATTTGACAGAAAGACTGCCTCTAGGACAACATTTCTATCTGTATCTACTTGATATATACGACTTACAACACTGATTCGGTCCCTGACAAGCAAGTTGTTGGCGCAATGCCGATTTACAAAAACCATGATAATAGATGGACAATGAGCTAGCCACACTGGGAAGAGGACGTCTGTGTGATTGGCCAAGATTGGCCCTGGAATAAGTTAGACCAGCCGTGGGCTGTATGATCTCGCACCTTTATTATGCTCCTTTCTAAGTAGGTGTGTGCTTCACATGCACTTTCCTTTACCTCAATGTTTCCATTGAGTGTTTCATGGCTATCGCTATAATTATTTTAACATTTCTTCCTGGCCCCTAGGCTCACATAACTGCAATGGAGAGTTTAACGCGATGGCATGTTTGGAAGAAGCAAGGTTCACACGTTATGTACTTCAGTCCCCGCACAATGTTCTCACATACCACCTCAAGTTCCGCAAGCGTGCCACTGTGATGTCAGCTACATCACAATAATGGATGACGCACTAATATACTCACAATCACCGTCGACCTGAGCATACAATAACTCGTGGATCAGATAGTGAAAATCTCCGTTCGTTATCAAATCCAAGCGATATGCTTTCCGCAAGAAATTGTAAATCAGATCGGCTTCCTTCTCGAGGGTTTTCTCCACTCGTCTCTTCTTCAGCATTTGAGAAAGCTCCCAAGTCGACTTCAGCGATGTAATGATGCTCCCACAGGCAGCGAGAGTGACAATCGCCGGATACACCATTAGTGCCTCACATTCAGGGATCTGCTAATAACAGCTAGTAATTTATATTTGGCAATCACCTTGAACAAAAATTCCAATGAAGCCAAATGTATAAATGTCAAGAGGATTGACAAAGGGAGAATCATAATGTCTGACTCAACTTCGAAGGCCCCCCTATTTAAACATGCAGCGGACAGGTCAGTGTACGAGCATTCTAAGGAGTGACTCCAATTGACTCCAGTTACAATAAAATCTAACTCAAGGCCGGTTCCTGGAAGCATTACAAGCTCGAGTAGAGGACACCGGAATCCGGGCTCACGGAATCAAAATCGCGAGGTGAGGTGACCGAAAAAGGGTGAAGAGGGCAGTAGCAGGGGTTGCAGGGGTTGCATCAACGAAGGCGTGCCTGTTCACTTACAAGAGTCCTTCTGTATAGGCATCATTGCAAGGCTTTCTCAATTTATTGTATTCGCGGGCAAAGAGTTCATTGTCACCTGTATCAGTATGGATCTCTATAACAGCCGGAATCTTTTTGCAGCTTTAATACAATCAGAGGTCGAAGTACTCCAGCCAAGAAGACAGCCAACGGTTGAAATCTAATGCATTCTCTCTAATGAGGCTTTTAGCCGAGCTTCGTAGTCAAGTTTAGGAGTCTACCTTTTCTAGCCGGCAGGTTATAATTGCTCGTCAAGTATGCCATATTATTCATCTGCTATCTCCCGCCCCCAACAGCATTACATATATATAGGGAATCTCAGGAGTCGACCTTCAAATGCTTCAACCCATTTTTCACAGGCCCAGGCCATAGATTCAAACTAACATCCTTTCGCCCTCAGGTCGACATACCTATAAGGAGGGGCTGGGGGCGGTTGCAAGAACGATTTCCTAGGGTAGCAGAAATCCAGATGATCATGATCGCTATTACAAAATGGGAACCCTATTCTTATCTCTCTTCTTTGATGGTGCCAAAGTCTTACTACTAAATCGAGGCTTAACTGAGTGAAAATATAGGCGGTACCATATGTTGACTTCCAAGAAGATCCCTCTAGATATTATAAGAGGAAGAATGGAACCGTACGGCAAATAAGTATTGGGTAAGTGAAATTCGAGAAGCGAGTGTCAAGGTCGTGAAGTGCTTTAGAGATGGACTATGATCGATGAATACTTCAGAGGATTGAACCAATGGTCTCGTTTTCATATCAACCAAGCTCCCAAGTTGGCAATCACCTCACATAGTAATGGAGAAACCCCATCAATCATCTTACAATCAAGGCTTCTGCTCTCATAGGGCCATGTTTATTCCGACAAAAGGCCCTGCAAGATCACATGAGATTATTCGTCGATCCGCTGAATCATTTCCTCGCATCCTACCAGGTTAAGCCATGGCTCCCAGGTGGGTGTTCATGAAACCAAGCCCTGTTCCACAAACCGCTGCTTGTATACAACAGACCACTTCCTTCGTTGGCGCTCGTGAACATACCGTTTTGCAAGTATGCGATCCGCTAGCCAGGTTGTAAAACCCGACCTGGAATAAAAAAGCGGCTCCCGCAAGCGTGTCTGTGCTGTCGATGCATTGTTTAGACTGCTGGGGAGTATATAAATCATCCCGCAGTTACCGGCATCGGGCTGGCCTTATAGAAGACTATTGCTGTCTTGGCTATGTGTACCGCTGTTAGGCACCTTGTTACAAGGAGGACTCATTGAGAGAAAAGGGGAGAGAGGCCACCAAGCGGGTGGCTTGCACCTCTTTTGAATAGACTTGACTCCTCTCCTTGCCTCTCAACCCTTCCATCTTTCCAGAACGGCCTCTATATGTTCCTTGAAGGCGGCCAACACTACTGGGGTGTTAAAATCGGCGAACCCACGGGCATAGTCGCCGGGATGAAGACTCCTAGCCACCTATTCCTGGATAAAAATGACGTGTTTATTAGTGGCTAAGCAACGTTTATGCGTGATGCGCAATCCAGCTGGATGCTGGCCTTGCCTAAAATAGCAGTTGGCCTAAACTAGCACCTTTGACTACATCCCCTGTTTGACAATATCTCGATTGATCGAAAAGGGCCTTTCAGGTTCAAGGGGGCTGCTGTCGCTTGAGGTGTAGGGCGGCGGGGGTTCCTGAGACAATGGCGTGTCTGTCATGGTACCCGAAGAGTCTCGCTCGGTCGATGCGCGACTCACCATCCTCATTATGGCTCTTTCCTTGAGTGGCTGCAACATCACCGTTAGGCCGCCGTGGTCATCTCTATCATCATCACTATTGCTATCTGAGGCAGAGTCACCATCGTCGCCCGCATCCCAGTCACTGTCATCATCCTCATCATCCATGTCTCCTGCCGCTATGCGGTCAGTATCATCAACACCTACGTCTGCATTGGTACCGTCCAGCCCATGAACAAGTCTAGGCCTCTTCGGCCTGGCCAAGCCCAGTGTCTCCTCAGCACCACGTTTTCCCCCATTCCACATCGTATCACCCTTTAGCAATCCACGCTGCGCGGCTTGTGCATTTGTCCGCATCCAGCTGAGGCACTCACTGTCGCTCCATCCCAAGGAATCGGCTCGGGACAGTACATCACTCAGCAGTACCCAAGCCTCCTTGGCGCCGATGCCGGTCGAACTCTTCTGATCTCCGGTGTCACAAATTCTATCTTGCACGCGGCGCTCATCGCCTGATGATGGTACGAGAGGAGCTCCTCTGGCAGTGTGTAGTTCGAGCACATGTTCGTCCCAGGATTTTCTTCCGTCTACTTCTTTTCCGCATTTGGGACAACCGAAAGGGTGTTCAAATTGCTTCTTGTGCGCGCGAGTAAGATGTTGGTGCATGCCCTGGCAAACCTTGCCACAGAGCAGGCAGCATCGGAACGGACGGCACGAAGCTGGCTGGTGGACTGCAATGTGGCCGAGCCATTCATTCATGTCTTTGTAACTCAGTGAATGCTCACATTCCCTGCAGGAGATATGGCCGCTGTGCTTGGCATGCTTGTGATTGATGTGACATGCGAAAGAGCTAGGTGAGAACCTTGCGCCGCAGAAACAAAGTATGGCTTTGGCGATAGGTTTTGGAGCAAACTCCAGGCCATGTTTTGCCGTACAATGGACTGACCATGACAGTGAGCCGAGTACTTCGACTTCCTCTCCATATCTAGCACAAGCAGGGCACTTGAATGGCCGTAGGAATTGCTCTTCGTGGGTCGCTGCATGCCTCGTGAGAGAGAAGGAAGTAGTAAACAACACTTCACACAAGAGACACTGGAACTGGGATCGCCCGGCGGCTGCTGGGGCCTGTGCCGCGCCAGGGCCGCGTCCTCGTAGGTTGTCCAGAAGAAGCTCCATCTAACGAACGCCGCTCGAGCGACCTGCGCTTGCATCGCTAGCTTGCAGGAACTGTGCTATAGCAGCTCCGCTCCGAGTCAGCGAAAGCGCCGTTCTCTCCTCGAGAGCCTTGGCTCGGATAGCATCTGTCGGCAATCCACAAGCTCTAGATTGGTCGATCTGGTTGAAATACCGGCCCCTCTTGACGTCGAGTTGGAGGGCCGACAAATTTCTAATCTCAGCAGTGCAACAATCTCACCACAAAGTCCTATCGCATCCGACAGCACACTTGATTTTCAAGCGAAGGGCGATAATGTTATTGTGAAGCTTGAATCTAGCGAGCTTGTCTGCTATTAGATCGATAGGGGCATCCTCATCAGCAGAGAAGAAGAAGTCTTTCTAGGCAGCTAGGAAAGGCCGATCCTGTTCTACTTCCTTTATAAGAAGTTCTGAAAGGTTGGTAGAGAGAGAGGCCTGGTAACTATTCTTAAAGACATCGATCGAGTTGGAGAATATATAGCAGTGTAGGACATCCCTAAGCGCGCCTAGTCGAAGAGAGAATAAAAGGGTTAGTGATGACTTCAAGGAAAAGAAAAGGAGAAAGGTCTATGCCTATTGTCCGACCTCCTGCTCTAACCTGCAGGCAGTAAAAACGAGGGACGTCCTGAGCGCCGCTCACAAGACATATTCACTCCCACACCTTATGCAGAGTTGTGTCAGAAATGTCCACAATACATTTTTCCAGCATGGATTCCTTCCACCGCAGTGGAACATAGTCGGCCTTCTCTCGAAGAGGTTTAGTATAGAGGTCTTCAGGCAAGCCATAATCTACCTCAAAGGCGTTTGATGCAATGCCTAGAGCCGCAATAAGGTCAGGCAGATTAAGGAGGGGGTCAGGGTTGGCCATAACGGTGAAGACGATCTAAGGGGAGAGCTTTCGGTTGCACTTCTGACGTCACTTAAATTTAATCCTCTTTATGCGGACCTTATAGGCCAGCCTGGTCCTTCCGTCAGGGAGAGTGATGAACGCGAGTTGAAACTGAGAAAACTTCATGCTACGCAGGGACTTGGGTCGGAAACCGCCAAGAGCAGACAGCAGGTCGATGATGTAGACGCTTACCCACATCCAGGGAGTACAGAGAATATAGGCTGCTTTGTCCTATAGATTAAAGAGGACTCTCCTGACATCTAAAGGCGTCGCCACAACTTTCCGGTATAGGGAATCAAGGAGCAGATTCTCCGCCAATACCAACTCTTTATAGATCCACTGTCATCCAAAGCTTGGGTTAATGACCGCAAATCAGTGTCAGGATAGGGTAACCACTGACCAACACCACCTTGAAACCAGGCCCCGCAAGGCGGCCCTCTACATCATGAAGCCACTAAAGCCTCCAGAAACGAGCTTTCTTAGGCTGAGCCTGCCTCTTAGGCTCCATAAGATGGAAATCTGCGGCGGCAACAAGCAACCTCCAGACCTCTACAACGGTCGAAGCATTGTTGACGGTTCATACCTTTGCCCGCTCGCGCGCATCGAGAACGAAGCGCCACTGTAGTGAGTTTCAGACGTAGCTCATGAGGAAAACTTGAATTGCCTGAATGACTGTATCCTGACGCACAAGAAAATCCTCCTAGACGTAAGCAGAGTCTAAATTAGCTAAATGACAGAAGCTATGTGACCGGCTTAGCAGGCTGACGGCTACCCCTAAGTAAAGGAGTATAGCTTGCTTACCCTTCCTAGAGCCTCCATACACAATCCCTATAACACCTTGTAGACTCGCCTACAAAGGGGCCAATCTCCTTTTTTAGTCAGCTCTTGATACTCTTAAAGAGTTCTTAGAGAGTCCGCTCTTACTCAGTGAGGTGAGTGGACATCTGATCAAGCCAACCGCATTGATTAGGATGGCCGGCTATTGCTCCGGCATTCATCAATATTTAATAGGCGGGAACTGAGTGCTTGGCTTTTGCTATAATCTCAGACGACCGGAATGGAGGTTGAGAAGAGAGAAGTACGGTGAAGAGTAACTGTAAAGGGGGTTGTATTTAAGGTGGAATTGACCTCTATGGGTCCTACATCACCCAACACCAAGAGGCGCCCCGGTCCTACTTCACCGGACGAATTCCCTCAGCGTTCGACGGCCCACAGTAGGGGTGCAGAAGAAAGAAGGACCCATGATGCAGGTTGGTTGGGATTGGTTGGGGACGACGAGGCAGGTAGGCAGGCAGGCAGGCATGGTCGTCCGAAAGATCGGTGCTCCTCTCCGTCTAGACTTGTAAACGGACGACATCCGGAAAAGGGGGGCCACATCGGCACCGTTTTTATGGACCCAGGCTCTCACGCTTTGTCGGCGGCTGAAAAGGCTAGGGCTCGATGACTAAGAAGAACAGCAACCCCCACAAATGTGCAAACACGACCATAAGTTTTCTACCACCTATGGTCGTACGTGACAGAGTTTGGACAGTACAGGTACATATTCGAAGACTGTGTGATTAGCATAGGGCTGATCAATGTCAATGACAGTCATGTATGGTGTCTAGAAACCTGAATCGCTGCTTCGATTGACCTATCACCTAATCACAAACCCTCTAACCAACCACAATATACAGCGGGGGACACTCTGTCAGCTTATAGACCAGTAGGTCTAGAGCCAGGGGAGGGCCGAGAGAGCTCCCTGCCAGGCGATGTATTTTGTCATGGCTGTGCCAACGCGTGTCGGCCACCTTCACAAAAGAAAGCGAGATATGGTATGTGGAGACACACATCGACAAAGCAAATCCAAGCAAAATCACAGAGATCCAAGTGTACACAGACGGGGAAGCAAAGCGTATTGAAAGCCGCTTCGCCTATCTATGCCTTGATAAACTAGCAATGCTAGGACATGCAGTCTATAAAAGATGAGACGCAATATGTTACTCATAGCTAAGCTAAGCCCCTCCCTCCTATACTCCCTCATGTCAAGGCACAAAAAGACAGTGCAGCCCTCTTGATAACTTCAAGAAAAAAAAAACAAATGCTTGACAAGAGTGGGATTCAAACCCACGCTACAATGTGACTAGCATGTTCCAAGATAACTCCTGAAGCGAACAGCAGGTGAAAATCATCCCCAGGATGGCATGGAGAAAAGCAAAAAAAGATATGGTATAGAGAAAAGCAAAAAAAGATATGACAAGAGTGGGATTCGAACCCATGCCACAATGTGACTAGTAGTATATAAGATTTCTCCTAAAGCGAACAACAGGTGAAAATCATCTCCAGGATGGCATGAAGAAAAGCAAAAAAAGATATGGCATAGAGGAAAGCAAAAAAAGATATGACAAGAGTGGGATTCGAACCCACGCCACAATGTGACTAGCAGTATACAAGATTTCTCCTGAAGCTAGCGCCTTGGCTGTGCGTTGTTGGCTAGATTAGTATTTTTATTGGGACGAAAGGATAGTGACAGGATGCTTACACCGCTCGGCCATCTTGCCTTCACGTGATTCGTTGGAGAATTCTGTTCGAGCCAGCTCTTATCAAAGGAGATTCAGTCACCTTGTGCGTGCTTGGCTTTGTGGAGACACTGAGACAGAAAGTTTGGTAGATGCGGAATTGTGGATACAAGTGATGTATGATGTATATGGTCTAGGGTCTTTTGGTTAGGGGCGAGTCGGCTATTTCCTGCAGAGAAACGAAGTCCAAGCTGGATGTCCGAAAGCCGCTCAGAATCCCGTATGGGGTTTGTTTACTCTGCCTGTGAATTTGAGCCAGGTACCCTGGCTGCCAATGGCCATGACGGCCGTCGATTGATGCCATCAACTCGTTCATATCAGTATCTTGACTTTTCCAAATAGCTTCATCTTGTAACGTCAGACCTCCTTGACAGTCTTGCGCTCTTCTCATCAACTGCAATGTTGCTGCTCAGGTACCCATTAGCGACTATAACCCAGGCCTTATGAAAAATGTGTTTGTCAAATTTACCGACAAGAACACACCAGATTTGTTAGACAAATGAAGACGCCGGCTCTTTGGACGTCGAAGAGCTTCTCGACGATGGTATCGCGTGGCCGAGGACCTGTACAAGCAAAGTAGCGGTGCGCCTAGGGTCCAGAAGCGCCCTCGCTTGAGCGAGGCGACAGTAGGTTGCTCTTGAGATCTGCGCAGTAGAAGTCGATACTTGCAGCCGGCCTGAAAGCAACACAGTGAGTTTGATGATCCCCAGCTAAGGCCCTATCTCACGTAGTTTGCAAAGAAAAAAAACAAAAAACAAAACCTCCTTCATCTTCAAAAACCAGACATTCTCGGTCTCCCACTCGGGTAACCCTGACGCTGTATCGGGGATGAGATTGAAGTGTCTGATAACCTGCGGTATGGCCTTTCACATCTCCATGAGGCTGATATTCTTTCCGATGCATGTTCGTGAACCCTACCCGAACTGGTGAGCGCGTCGATTTAGCTTCAGGAGAAGAATAATATACGCAATCGGGAGTTACGTGCCGTCATGAAGTAAGCCTCGCGTCTTTTGACCAGCTCTGCATCTTCGAACCACCGCTCAGGGCGGAGCTCGTCCGCGTCAGCGCCAAAGACGTCCCTGTTGGCATGAGGTACCCGGGAGTCAATACCGACAACGGCCTGTCGCAGTCGTCAGCATGAGTGGAGATAATTCAAGTGATGGGATTACTCCTCGACTTACGCCAGTTGGGGGGGGAGGGATAATGTCCAGCTTGTGTGGCTCCCTCTGGTGGAACAACACGTCCAAGGATCAGCCCCGTAACAGGATGCAGCCTCAGACCCTCCTTCAAGATTGCTTGAAGGTAGGGCATGCCCTGTGCGTCTGAGAGCTTGACGGGATCGGATAGGGCACCCCTAGCTTCGGGGGAGATTCCGACCCTTGCACAGTAGAGCAGGTAGTCGGTGAGTGACGACATGATGCCCTGCATGTCCTCGCCCTTGTCGAGAAACCCGAACCGCTCGCCCACATGAGCCGTCTTTGCATACCGTGGCTAGGTGAACAGTGATTCCGTCCGACGCACCGTGATCATGCCTATCACGTCAAAGGCGTAGCACCGCATTCAGCAGGACACGTCGATCGAGGCTCCTGACTTGGCAAACTCGTTGAGTCTCGACCGCAGCACCTCGGAGCATGCATCGACAAATGATTTTAGCTGGACAAGACTCGTTATAGAGTACCCAGCGGCGATTTTGCGTTGTGCTGCGCTGTGGAGGTGTGGATCGGGCTCGACGAAAATGCTCGCCCGTTCGCTGAGTGGATTATCGCTCGCTTCGTACCACGAGGACTTGCACCAAGTCACTAAGATTAGTTATGTAAAGAAAGAGCCAGAGACTATGGAGTCTAGGCTATACCATATCTTCGGTGGAGTGCAACATTTGTCGTCGGAACGTTCCTCGATACACCTCCTTGAACAGCCAGAGCCTACCTGTGTATCTGGCCAAGAACGGCCCTGGGACTGCTTTCAACGGCGATAGCCAGAGCCGCACTGCCCAGTAAAGAAGAACAGCCGCGCACATCATAGCCAGTGTGGAAGGTGAGACAGTGCATCCATCCATCCTCGAGCTACAAGTCTTCGAGAGGGCGGACTGCGTGGGGGATCGAAGGGGACGGGCGCAATGGTTGATATAGATGCTTTGTTCTTGGAATACACGGTCTGAACTGTTCGGCGGGTTGGCTCCGACCTGCTCGGAACAGCGCCGATCGATGGTCGATCCGGCGGCCGTGCTGGTAGGTGGAGCATCCATAAGAATTAAAGCACCAGAGTCTCGGAGCTAGAGGTGCCGTTCTATCTCGACGGTTCAATGTCCCAATGTTCCATGGTTGCAATTCCACACATTTGATCTGCAGTATCAAGATCCTCACGCTTTGTTCAGGTATCGTTTTGGGGTCCTTTTTGGGGGAGCTAGTAGTGCTGTACACTCGGTAAAATGTCCTTGTACTTACAAGCCCGGAGAGAAAAAATGGGGCCAGCCTCCAGAGAGCCACGGGCGCCACGTGTGGCGTTCACCAAAACTTTCCGATTTGAGCATCGCCAGTCCCAAGGGTGACCTGATCCCTCGCAACTCCCCACGAACTCGCTTTGCCCACTGCATCCCACGACGTCTCTGCCTCGGCGCCGAGACCAGACCTTGTCAATCGTCGAGCTTGCAGCATGGCGCTATGAGATCCAGAGCTATCTCACGATGCGACCGGCGGGCCTCTCCATGCGCGCCTTGAACGGCCGCGTCTGCAGCCAGTGCGGCAAGCGGCCAGTGCTGCCACGGCTCGGCAGTGCACGACGACCGGCTGATACGGGAAGCAGCGGAAGCTTCTTCTCAACGGCGCCGGCCTCGGGCCAGGCCGTTGCGGCCGCGACCACGGCCTCACGGCGACTCAATTCGGGCTACTTTCTCTCCAACACCATCTTTGAGCGGTTTAGCATCCTGCACAGATCCACCCGACCGGTCGCTACGTCCACGAATGTCGGCAGCCCTTCCACAGAAGCCGCCTCGGCCAAAGCCTCGAACGTCTCTGGCCAAGATGCCTCGGCTCGCTCCGCAGGCGCAGCGTCTTCGTCGAGCCCCTACATAGATCAGGACCTCCCGCATCGCAGGCGCCAGGCCGCTCGACGCAAGGCTGCTGCAGAGGCAGCAGCTGCCGCCGCCATTGACGCCGGCTCGCCCTCCGACCTCCCTTCTAACGCATCCTCGACGCTCACTACTGTCGCCGAGAGAGAGCGACCTGACTCTCTCAAAAGATACCTCTCCGCGGTCCTCTCCCTCTCGAAGCCGCGACTGACCACCCTCGTGGTGCTGACAGCCATGGCCCCGTACGCCCTCTACCCCGTCCCGGCCTTCCTCTCCTCCTCTCTCCTCAACGAGGTGGCAGCTGCTACGCCATCGCTGTCGCCACTCACGCTCCTCTTCTTGACTACGGGAACGACGCTGTGCTCGGCGTCTGCAAACGCGTTCAACATGATCTACGAGCCCGATACCGACTCCAAAATGTCGCGGACCCGGAACCGACCGCTGGTCCGCAACATCATCTCGAAGCGGGCCGCCATCATATTTGCGATTGCCTGCGGCGCGTCGGGCATCGCGGCGCTACAATTCGGGGTGAACCCCACCGTCGCCTTCTTGGGTCTGGCCAACATTGTGCTCTACGCTGGCGTCTACACGCCGATGAAGCGGCTGCACTGGCTGAATACCTGGGTCGGGGCTGTGGTTGGAGGCATCCCGCCGCTGATGGGCTGGGCGGCCGCCGCAGGCGAGTCTGCCACGGGCGACGGCTCCTTCAGGGAGCTACTCTTTGCTTCCGATGGCTCGAGCATTGGCGGCTGGATCCTGGCCGGCCTGCTCTATGCGTGGCAGTTCCCGCACTTTATGGCCTTGTCGTGGTCCATCCGGGAGGAATACAAAAAGGCTGGGCTCAAGATGCTCTGCTGGGTCAACCCGGCTCGCAACGGGCGCGTGGCCCTGCGGTACAGCTTCATCTTCCTCCCGCTGTGCCTGGGACTGTGCGCCGTGGGCGTGACGGAGTGGAGCTTCGCAGTGACGACCCTGCCCGTCAATGCCTGGCTGCTGCGCGAGTCGTATCGATTCTGGAAGCTGCAAGGGCACGGAGGGTCTGCGCGGGGCTTGTTCTGGGCGAGCGTGTGGCACCTGCCGGCGATTCTGGTGTTGGCACTGGTGCAGAAGAAGGGGATGTGGCAGCGGGCGTGGCGCAGCGTGATGGGCGAGCCCGACCCGATCGATGAGGACGAGTGGGAAGACGTGGAGGAGGACGACGTGCTAGCACTCGTACCGCCTCCTGCTGCGTCGAGGTGACGGGAGGTTTTGGGGAAGGAAGCAAAGCAGTGTACGAAGATGTTGTCGAACAGAGAAGAGCGTCATTTGCATGTGCATGTCGGGCCGGAGGAGGGCATTTCTGGGGGCCGTGTGTGATTTACTCTGCGTGTACACTACGATCTACGGCGGGGTTTACTGGAAGAATCCTCACCACTACTATCCTTTGTTCACAGAGCAGCGAGAGAGTGCGCATCAGTGGATCCCGATTTGAGTGCTTGCAGCGATGAAACAAGCGGCCCCTGTGGTCAAGGCGGTCAAGTCGGTCGCGTAGAGCACGGCCAGATTTGAGCGAGCAGTGCGGAGAGAAACAAATCCGTTGTTTCACGACCTTCCCGCCGGCCCAGTCAGGGCTGGGGCGTCGCCATGTCGACACTCGGCGGAGGCTTCCGGCTGGGTGGCCCGGAGAGAGGCCTGCAAGGCAAGAATGATGAAACAAAGCCTACCTTTCTGCCCGAGGTGGCGAGGACATGGATGGATCAAAGAGAGGACCAGTAAGCGCTGAAGAGGCAAGATTGAAGTCTGAGCCGCCCGGAGTGAAGACGTTATTTGATGGTCTGGCGTTTGAGCAAAAAGGACGATTTTAGAAGCGTAGGGGGAGGCAGACAGACAGGCTTGGGAAAAGAGCCAACAGACGGGGTCTGAAACGGAAGAATGCACAAGCAAGTCGTGCTATGCTAGGAACGGCGATATGTGAGGGCTGATCTGTGCAATATTCCGCGGTGCAGTACTCGGTACGTTAGGTACATGACATTGTAAGGTCCCAAATTGATTTGACGCCAGCCAGCCAATGGGTAGCCCCTACAGCCCACCAGATGGCCATAAATAGCGAGCGACCGAGCTAAGCCTGGACAGATAAGCTAATTTTTAGACGCGCGCCTGCAGCTTCCCCCTGTCCCTGTCGCGTTTCCCCCTCCCCCCCACCCATCATCTCCAGGGCCGCGTGCAGTTTTCCCTCGACTTCATCTCAACTCTTTCTGTAGGTTACCTTAGGTACCGATCTTAACCTACCTCCGTCTTCCACCACCGTCATTCATGCTTGTCCCCTACGCACTTGCAACTTTGTTTCATGTTTATTTCGGACCGGCTTGCTCACTTCTGATTCGTGCCCGGGTCCTCGGGATGGGCTGCTGTTGGTACCTACTTTACCTACTTGTACTTGGGTAAAGTAGGAATTGAAGGGCAAAAAGGCAACGCGCGAAGAATGCACAATGGATGCGCCGCATCTGCAGTCTGCAGGGCAATTGATCTACCGTACACTGCTGCTGCTGCAAGGTACCCTTTCCCGCCTTGCTTGCCGCTCTTTCTCGCGCGCCCAGCTGGCATCCATCCACGGATCTCCATGGATCTCGTTTGTCGCCTTGCTCATTTGCGGCAAGCCACCACGCCTGCCTCCAAGTACCCTCCAGGGCTGCTCTCTCAGCTGCAAGTGCACTAAAGTTAGGTACCTACTTTACTGTACGTTAAGTTTAGTCGGTACCTACCTAGGGCAGGAATCTTCAAGGTTGCTTGCAAAGTCCCGAGTCGACTCATCATCCATCATCTCCCTGCTTGCTTGGCAGTCCACGCACAGGCTTTGCTCACCATCCATCCCATCCGCCATCGCCCACCACTCTGCTCCTGTCTCCCCCCCTCCTCTTTCTTTCTTTATTCAGCACGGCTTCTCTGCCTTCCGCGAGGCTGACGCCTGGTCTGCCCTCTCTCATTCTGGCAGCCTTCTATTTTTGACCACTCCCGTGCCGCCCTCCCCGGGTCTTCGCCTCGCCTGCCTCCACTCCATGCACGGATTGAGGGACACGGTCTGTCTCCACAGCGGCAGTCTTGCGCTCCACCCGGCCTGCATGTCTACATCTGCCCGCGCGCGAGTCTCTTTCTCTCCCTGCCTGCGGATTCCCTTTCATGCCTGCCACAGTCTCTCTCTTTCTCTCTCTTCCTCGTGCCCGTCCATCCTCCGTTCCAGATGGCAGCCCTCCCCTTGGCGGCCCCAGCGGGTGGCCCGTTAGCCGCCTTGCCCTCCTCCTCCCAAGCTTCCCCGACCCACAAGACGGTCGTCCATGTAGCCGCCCAACTTCAGACAGACGCCATCTCCAGGCCCATCAGCCAATATCAGCGGCCCTTGGTCTTGCTACCGGCCTCTTCACATACGCTGACCTGGTTTCATACAGACGAAGCTGCTGATCTTGCCATGTTTCAGATCGCCAGCCCCCAGACACCCTTCTTCTTTGCTTGGTGCCGCACGCGCGCATCCGACTTGCTCGACCTGCCTGCTTCCCTGTCTGCCCTGCCGTTCTGGCTTCCGCGACCAACGCTTGGTCCCGTCCTTAAAAGGGCCATTTCTGCCCCGTCCATGGCCGGTCGTTCGTTTTGGTCTCTCTCCCCCGAGCCTCCAAATCACTACCATCGTGACACACAAGATCTTTTTCTCTTGTAGTTTTCTCCTATTTCTTTCTTCGTTTTCTTGTTTCATTTCTTTCTTCTCTCCGTCTCTCGTGTCTGTCTTACATACGTCTCTGGACATCCTCGTCTTGCCGGAGGCCATTCATTCGTTTGATACGAAATAGTCTGCCTTCCACCACCTCACCCCAACGCCTTTCGTCTTTCCGCCTCCCGGCTTGAGGCCCGTCCCGATCCCCTAAACACAACCCATCTCTTCTCATTTCTTTCTCACTCTGTGATATTGCATGAATAATCGATAATTCTTCATCTCTTTTTCTCGGCCATCTTTCCTATTCTCAAGGATACCCCAATAGACGGTGCATTTTCGACATACCAAAAGACGCTTTTCCCCCACAATTTCCAAGGAGCATAGTTTCGACATAGTCCATCGCTAAGACACACGAATCTCTTTCTTTTACTTGACGAACCTTTCTTTCCTATCACACCGGTCATTGACGACGCATGTATTGAGCATGCCGAAACACACTCGATCGAGCAGCCACCACCAGCACCACCACCAACAGCAGCAGCAGCAGCACAACATGCCGATGCCCGTGTCCCTCGCCCCTACCATGTCCTATTACCCGGGCACAGCTACGACCTCTCGGCAAGCCGTAGGCGGAGGCTACTACGACACCATGCCGTCCTCATCCTCCCAGGCTCAACTCTCCGTCCAGACCTACGACCCCTACGCCGTCGCCGCCCCTCCTCCGCTGACCATCCCTCCCGTTGCCGCAGCCGATCTGCCCTCCTCTTCCTCGTCTACGGGCCTACCTCAGCAGCACCGCGCATCGTCGGGGGCTTGGAGCCCGCAGGATGATGCCACCCTGCTACAAGCCCGAGCACAAGGCCAGAACTGGGCCCAGATCCAGGCAGCCTACTTTCCCTTCAAGACCCCCAACGCCTGCCGAAAACGCCACGAGCGACTTATGGAGCGCCGCGGTGCAGATGATTGGGACGCGAGGAAGATGGAGAGGCTCGCGCGGGAGTACATGACGATGCGCAAGGAGATATGGGGACCGCTGGCGCAGAGGACGGGGGAGAAGTGGAACGTCGTTGAGCAAAAGGTATGGTTGCGCCCCTCGGTATTCTCGTCCAAGGACTAGAGTCACTAACGCGTCCTTCCTCCTGACCCAGTGCATGTCGAGGGGTCTCAAGAACCTGCAGTCGGCCAGCCGCTCGTGCGCCCGTCGTGAGCGCCTCGAGCGGAGCGGGCAGCATCAGCATCAGCACATGGGCCAGCATGGCGGCTTATCGGGGTATGACGACGACTCCGGCATCTCGGGGATCGGGGGGCTGACTCCGGCCGTAGACGTGGACGAGGAAGAGGAGGTGGACGAGCTGCAGGCCGCGCACTACGGAGCGGGCGGAGCGAGCAGCTCGCCGGAGCCGCACTCGTCGGCGACGAGCTCGTCTAGTGGCGGCGGCGGCTACAGCTACAGCGCGTACGCCGCCGCGGCCGCGCAGGGCTACCACCAAGGGTACGGTGGCGTGCAGCACCACCAGCAGGGTGCGTATGCCGTAGGTGCCGGTGGCAGGATGGGCAGCGAAGGCGGGATGGGGATCGATGCCATCATCCATCCTGGGCCTGGAAGGAGGGTGTGAGCTGGGGATGAGTACGACTTTCGTTTTTGCTTTTTCTTCGCTGCTATGGCGGTCCCCCACTGTGACCATGTCTCTTCTTTTTACTACCTTTCTTTCCTTCTTTCCTTTTCTCTTTTCTTTCCGAGTCAATCATCTCATGATTTCTACTGCATTATCATGGTGATGGGGAGCGGGCATCCATTCATTTTGCACCTATCGGACTATTTCGAGGTGCATACCACAACCTCGACGGCGTTGGCGGGTTTTTGCTACTCTCAGAATTTTGCTTTGCTGAGGCTTCAATGGCATGTTGGCATATCATGTCATACCACATTCCTTCTCTGATGGTTGAGCGTGAAGAAGACGGCAGAGAAAAGTGCCTCCCTGCCCATAATCACTCCTTATCAGAGGACCAAAGGGCTTTGGTCTGGCACTTGTTTTGTACCACTATTCGCTAGTGTTGAGATTTCTTCTCGCATGGAGTACTGGCCACGACTGCGGCGGCCAAAAAAAAATGAGATCTCATTCACGTTGAGGCCCTTCGGCTGGTAGAAGACAAGGATGACACTAGTTTGAAATTGAGGTTGGTTATGCATATCCGGCTCTTTGAAAACTATGACTGGCCTCACTATTATGCCTTGGCGTTGATGACAACAAGAGGTGGCTTTGCTATTCTTTCCTAATGAGCATATCATTGTAGATATGAAAAGATCTACTCATTGAGTGTAATGGCTAATTATGCGATTTCATCCTATCTCTAGGGTCAAGCACAGCATATGATGGCAAGTGTCCTGCACGTCGACGATGTCCAAGTCTGGTTGCTCAAGTACAGCATAAAAGCAAAGTACATGATTCCTTTTCTCAACTGGAAATCAGTCCGCTTCTGACATCGAAATTGGAAACGATATCATAATACATGTTCCGACTCGGATCGAGCAACTCCGCTGTGCAGGAGTCAATACCGAACTCGATACTCAATCATTCAACATCCTCGTGGAAGCTTCCTCGGGGCCACCTGGGACCTAATATGGCTAGAAAACCTGACCGCCAGGGTGAAAGCCTAAGCATAATCGAACAAGAACCTAGCCGCGTCCCTGGGAGTCTCGACGATCCCCATAAAGATTACATACCATACATGAATACACAACCTACAAAAGCAACTCAGTGAGCTTGCTTGCCACACAAACCTTGACCCTTGATGCACTAGGATATGTCTTGGCTTTCAGTCCCATGAGCTAGTCATTATAGGACTCGCAAAATGTAAAGACCTTTGTATCAGAAAGAAAATAGATAGAGAGAAGGGCTTTCGACCAGAGATGATAGCGCAACTTGTGCGATGCGTCCACTCACCAGCCGGTCCGTCCAAGATGTCTTTTTAAGACAAACCTCTACCTTGTCTGAGGGTAGGCCATTCCATGCTGGCCAGAAACATTGCCTGTCCAGGCCAGATTTGATACGAGGCTATCAACGTAACAGACCATCAAGGCCAGATACTACTCGTACTACACGGGGCAATCAGGGGAACAGCCACGGAGTTATGGCCGATTTGCTGCTCAAAACAGGACAGATCAAAGTTGACGAAAAGGGCACCCAGATTGCTCCAGAGTTCTAGAGTTCCGAGATCTTTTCCGTGGAGATACTTTGCTACGTAGGTCGACTTGTTGAAGGCCCGAGATGCCGCCGGTCTAACGCCATTGGTATGGAATGGGCAACGTATCACCAAAGCAAAAATATATTCAAAGTGCTGCTGGCGACGGGCCAAGTGACTCGTCATCGACAGCATTTGAGAACGCTAGTCCCTCGGGCCGAGAAGCGGTGGTCAGACTGCTGTTCTGCTGGTAGGCGTCATGCCGAGCGAAAGAACCGGCCTGGTTGAGCGACCTTATCGAGTGCAGCCCTGCACTACTGCAAAGTCATAAACACGCTATTACTCGCCAATGGTCAAGCTGATCTCAACTCGAGGCACGAGTGCGGGCAAGCTGCACTCATGTTCCGGTAGGGTAGGGTTCATGAGGCATTGTCAAGTGTTTCACCACCCGAAGGTTAGAACTTGGGCGATCGGTACAAAAGGGTTACCCACCACTAGTAAGGTTTAGGCCCTTTCATAGGATGATGGTTGTAGGATGTCCATGGTGCGAGCTATCGAGAAAGCTGGGGAACGAGGGAGTCCTGCACTTTCAGAAGGGCATGCTATATCTATGTCGCTCTCGATTGGAGCTTCTATTTTTGAGGATGACTGTCAATGCTTAGGCAGGACATTGCAATGAGCAAACTACCTAACCTTGCCTACACTGGCGCCTTCAGCACGAAACTCGACCGGTGATAGACATATGGGACGTTCGATGGGCATCGTCAACGTTGCGGCTCCATTAGTGTGCACAACGGCTCAACACGGACTGCTCAATAGGCCCGATAGGTACCATATCCTCTCCCGCAGAGAAACGGTCTGTATGCCGGACGTCAAGTGGGGCCCATGGAGCAATGGAGACCGGGGTTGAGGGAGCTTCTGTGCTCGGTCCCGCACTGGCAGCGGGTATTCAGGCTAAATTGCGCCAAAATGCTACTCTGCTTGAAGCCGGACGAGTAGCCGGAGCTAGTCCCCGTAAGCTTTGATCTGCACAGCTCGAACCAAGCCTTGCTTTGGTTGGCCCGGCTCTGTCTGGCGGAGCTAGGCCGAAGAGGATGCTGTACTGTGCGGGTCATGATGGCGCGGATCTGACCTCTATATGGACTTTTGGCAGTGCATGTCCTCGCTGGAAGATGACCCGGTGAACTTTCCTACCGTTGCGAGCCAAACACTTCCCCAGCAGATCTACATCCCAGGGACAGTGTGGGTGAGATTGGATTCGGAGGATGCGCATCATTGAACCGGCCTTCAGGGAGCATCCAATCTGCGCATGGCCATCTACCTTAACCGTTCACCCGGGGCGCCACCATCTAGGTCATGTCTTCCTCCTGCTGTGCCTTTCGATATCTAGCAAACCTCCAATTTTACCCCTCGCCCCGGCCCGTCTCGATGGGGATAGGATGGTGGTGTGTAGTATTCTCTCCTGCTGGCCGGCTCCAGGGGGCGAAGACGGGCACGACGACAAGAGAAGAGACGTGAGCATCAGGTAAGCACAACAAGGGGGTGTGATACGATGGTCGGTTCACGCCCCGCTTTCCTGGTTGATCTGCTCGATGGGATTTGCGCGGGAAAATCTCTTGGGAGATGGCAGGATGGGTCCAGAACACGGGGATGGCTTGGTGGTTTGTGGGACAATGCGTCAATCTCTGGCTCGCCTGTTTCGCCTGTTTTCCTGTCACTTTTCTTTTGCTTTTCCCCACGGTGTTATTGCGGAGTTGCTATTGCAGCACGCTTGGAGTTAAAGGGATCGTCTCCCACCCCTGCCCCCAGGCGCCGGGATCCTTTAAAGAAGAGCTGCATCTCCCGTGCCTCTGGGTATTGATCCCACCTCTTTTCTGCTTGCTCTGATTGAGTCGCAGCGCAGTGTATTTGCCGCGCCTTTTTCTGTTCCTCAGCTCCAAGTCGGCGAGCTTCGGACCGCTCGAACCTGACCCTACCTCAACTTCGGAACGATATACCACAATGGGTGGCGGAGTCGACGCGGGCACCGCGTTCTACGATGCGGCCCTCCACCGGCGCGAGGCCCTCATGGGCGCGTCAGGTGCTCGCGCTCTATGGAAGAACTTTAAGGTTTTCCGCATCGCCGCCTTTGCCTGCATCGGAGGCGTGCTGTACGGGTACAACCAGGGCATGTTCTCGGGGGTCCTCGCCATGCCTGCTTTCAAGAAGCGTGGGTATCTTCTGTCCGGTGTCGCCCAACATTCCGTCGCGGGAGCTGACAGTGCAGGTGCGAATGATAAGACATGGGCGAATACGACCCTTTTGACGACTCGGCGAACCAGACGAAGAAGGGCTGGCTGACGGCTATCCTCGAGCTCGGCGCCTGGCTCGGCACCCTCCTCTCTGGATTCACTGCCGAGGCGCTGTCGCGCAAGTATGCCGTCCTGGTTGCGTGTGCCGTGTTTATGCTTGGCGTCGTCATCCAGGCAACCGCAATCAGTGCTGGGTATCAGGCTATTCTGGCCGGTCGATTCATTACGTACGTGCTCCGTCAGCCCCATGCTGGCGATGTTGACTGACGCCGAAGGCTTGCAGCGGAATGGGTGTTGGTAGTCTGGCTACCATTGTCCCGATCTACAACTCCGAAGTCGCTCCTCCCGAGGTCCGTGGCGCTCTTGTCGCCACGCAGCAGCTTGCCATCACGTTTGGCATTATGATTAGCTTCTGGATCGACTAGTAAGTCTACACCCTAGCACTAGCAGGACCGCGTCGAACGATGAACCAACCCTTTCTTCCACAGCGGCACAAACTATATCGGCGGCACCGAGGTCAACACCCAGACCGACGCCGCCTGGCTCGTCCCCATCTGCCTTCAGCTTGCCCCGGCGCTCGTCCTCTTCTTCGGAATGATCTTTATGCCGTTCTCCCCTCGCTGGCTCGTCCACCACGGCCGCGAGGAAGAAGCCCGACGGGTGCTCCTCCACCTTCGAGGCCTTGAGCCCGGCCATGAGCTCATCGAGCTCGAGTTCCTCGAGATCAAGGCGCAGTCGCTCTTTGAGAAGCGAACCGTGGCGGAGCACTTCCCGCACCTGCGGGAGCAGACCGCGTGGAACACCTTCAAGCTGCAGTTCGTCGCCATCGGGAGCCTGTTCCGCACGAGGGCCATGTTCAAGCGCGTGGTGGTCAGCACGGTGGTCATGTTCTTCCAGCAGTGGACGGGCATCAACGCCGTGCTGTACTACGCGCCTACAATTTTCAAGCAGCTCGGCATGAGCAGCAACACGACTTCTCTGCTGGCTACGGGTGTGGTCGGCATCGTCATGTTCATCGCGACGATCCCCTCGGTTCTGTGGATCGACCGCATCGGACGCAAGCCCGTGCTGGCTGCTGGCGCGGTGGGCATGGCGACGTGTCACATCATCATCGCGGTCATCGTGGCCAAGGATCAGGATCGGTGGCAGGATGAGGCGGCTGCCGGATGGGCGGCGGTCTGCATGGTGTGGCTCTTTGTCATCCACTTTGGATATTCGTGGGGACCCTGCGCGTGGATCATCATTGCCGAGATCTGGCCCCTCTCTTCGCGGCCGTATGGTGTGTCGTTGGGCGCTTCCAGCAACTGGATGTAAGTTGCGCCGTGTCCTTTCTCCGTCCCGACATGGTAAGACTGACAATTGTCTGGGACAGGAACAACTTTATCGTTGGACAAGTTACGCCGGACATGCTCCAGGGTATCACCTATGGCACTTATATTCTTTTCGGTCTGCTCACCTATCTTGGCGCGGCATTCATCTGGTTTTTTGTTCCCGAGACCAAGCGTCTGACCCTCGAGGAGATGGTAAATTTCACCCGTTGTTTTATTGAGCTTTGTCTTATTGGTGTTGCTTTCTAACCCGCTACCCAGGATATCATCTTCGGATCCGAGGGCACTTCTCAAGCCGACTTTGAGCGCATGGAGGAGGTCAACAGCGAGATCGGCCTCACACGCATGATTCGCGGCTCTGGCCCGACCGGTAGCGAAGCCGTTGTTCCCGAAAAGAAAGAGGCCGTGGATGTGTAGAAGTCAGGGATGCGCCGTGGTCACTAGGCGTCGGGTCGAGGAGGGAGATGTGACAGGGTGCGTGGAAAACCGGAATGCAGAACGTATTGGTCGGGATGGTTTTCGTGGAAATGCAGTCTCTTGGCTGACACTACTTTCTGTAGTGGTATTCACCTTCGGCAACCCTTTTGTACTATTCAAAGATTGAAAGTCGCTATGCCCTTCAACCTTGAACCAATTGCTTAGGAGACCTTTGAAAACAAGAGTATTTTTCGTATACGGATGTCCAGGACATGGGGAGGTCGAGCGACTACTTGAAAGACTTCCGTAATGAATCAATCAATACATTAGTCCCACGGGACTAATTCATCCAGACACCTCTGAACCGGGTAAAGTGTAGAAAGGGGCGCATCGAATGGGGGACGGTCGGACACGAAACGATCCATGTTGACATGGGCACTGGTAGCTTCGGTGAGAGCAAATATTTGAATGTTGCAACTGAAGGAAAGAAAATGGGGTAAAAAATAGGAAGAAAAATAGTTGCTGATAAGAGAACACCTTGGCAAATCGAGCGGGTAGACAAGTGTCAAAATATGAAGCCATGTACTCTTTGTATTATGTCCAGGTTGGGAGCCTTGCCCGCGTGTCCTTCAATGTTATTCAGCCTTTTGACAAATGTGCCCACACAACTAGCTTCGAGGTAAGAACAGTCTTCAATGACGAGTTTACCTGACGTGGGGTCAAGGCCTATCGCGTGATGTACACTAAAGGGTAAAGAAACTATGATACAATGTGTAAGAGGTGGTTGGTAACAAGGGAGTGGAAGTACCTCATCGCAGAAGTTGCTCCAACCAGAAAGGTATCAAAACAAGTCGGGGGACCCAGTGACGTGCTGCGACCTACGTGCCGGGATGGTCGCCCTGAACGCCGCCAGTGACGATGTACTTGTCTAGGGTCGAATTGGTTTAGAGGCCGATAAGGGCAGCTTCAAAGTAACCCCTTCGAGCCTCTACCGTGACCACCTGTTCATCTAAATCAAGCACAGCGCTGCCGGCGGTGTCTGTCCACGAGAGGTCTCCTTCTGGCAGTGCTTGATCAAATCCTCCTGTGAAGGGGCGCCGTGTGACGGTCGCGACCTTCCTTGTATATCGACATATCGACCGGAACATGTCTTTTGGCCGTTGTGATGGCCACAACAGTACCAGGCGTGATAGGCCTGGACTGCATCCACTGGATCTTTCGGCCGCTCTGTTCCTGCCGCTCTTGTTCCGGCCGAAAAGTTCGGGATGGTAACAATGCTCTCCTTGAACAGACCATTGGCACCAAACGGCCAGAGAAGTCCGGCAAGAATGATCCACGCTCTCTTAGCGCTGCTGAGGCGGCTCGCTGGCCATGGTTGCTCGTGGGGGGGGGGGGGGGGGGGGGGGGGGGGGGGGGGGGGGTGGGGGGGGGGGGGGGGGGGGGGGGGGGGGGGGGGGGGGGGGGGGGGGGGGCGTGGAGAAGCGAGGTGATGAAAAGGATCATCCCGACCACATACCCACTCACGCTCAATCCACGGGCCTTGGCCTATGCCCACGCCGCCGTAATAGGGGGAGCCCGCGCCGCTGCTTGAGATGTCTGGCGTGCCGTCCGCTTCTCCCATCCTTCGTTCATCAACCGCGTGGGGGCGCATTTCCTGCTCGTTACTGCGATGGCTGATTCATTCCTCCTAAGTTGTGCTGCAGGGTGGCGGGGAACCTGGCTCAGAGCATCGTTCGTCTTGGTCGCTGTCGCGCTGCCACGATAATGGGTGGTGCTCTCGGGTGATAGTTTGTGAGGGAGCGCGCCCCGAGTGTAGACAAAGCTCCAAGCTCGTCTTGAGAAGATGCTTCACAGGAAGCTCAGTACTCGGAAATCGTGGCCTGGAAAGCATATATGAGTACTGGTGATAGCTTGCACCGTGTCCAGGGGTTAAGTCTGACCTTTTGCGGGACCATCAAGTTGTTGAGGTTCTCAGCCTTCAACACCGGGGAGAGTTCCTGGAAGACTCCACAGACAACGGGCTGGAGAACAATCGCAACGCATCTTGCGGAAGAACTTGCGTTGGTCAAGAGAATTTGCTCTTGGTGTTGGTATAGAGAGAGAAGGGGGCGATGAGAGGAGAGTTGAGAAGAACGATCATATACATAATAAGTGAAAGGATGAGAGAAGCAAAGTCAGGATGAGGAAGTAGGTGGGTATTGGTGTGGGTGGCATGGTGAGGTGAGGTTCAGGTGCTATTTGTGGGAGAGCATTTGGGGCTTTGGAGAATGATGAAAGAAAAGAGAAGAAGCTAGCGAGACAGAGAGCAAGTTGGAGAGGATGAAGGGGAAAAGGGGGCCTTTATAAGGTTTTCTGGTGGGAGTTGAGACTTTTGAGAGGAGTTCCGGAAGCTGCCGGAAATCTGCCAGATTTGACCTCACTTTTTCCTTAGAAAGGTCCGGAAATATACCGGAAAGTGACGGAACTGGTGATGGCACTTTTAATTAAGCTTTGTGACTCATTGAGACTCTTCTGGTTTTTGAAATATGGGAGACGGTGGATGAGCTCTTGAAAGACAGGTTTGTGAGCCCTAGAAGTTTCCTGGGGCCTCGTGTTTGTCAGTTTCGCCAAGTGACAAGGGTCTTTGGATCTGTGCAGCTGTCTGCCTGTCCGAAGAAAATAGCATGCTTCAGATTCAAGGCTGGTAGCCAAGTACCTCGGTTGCAAAATGTGAGCCGAGCTACAATGCATTCACAAGGATCTATCCCGGTCAAGCAAATAGATAATTAGATAAATGTGCTGTTTGTGGGCTGCCATTGAGGATCTTAGAAGTCATCAATACGAGTCATACCACCCATAAGCAGTTTGTCGGCCCTTATTTGCCTGTCAAGTCCATCGTCCATTCCAGAGACCCAAGCACGCTGCCTCCTACCTACCTAGGTAGGTTAAGTAAGGAGGTAGGTAGTCAGTCCAAAGGGTTGGTGGGCCTGAGTCACCCGTATGTCCGCACCCGAGCGGCAGCCTAATGCCCTATTGCTCTCGTGACCCCGAGGCGCCAGGTAAAAGTGTTAGAGCACACATGCCTCACAGAGAGCACAGCTTTACTTGAGACTACCTAGAAGCTGGTAGGTAATACCTCCTCCTGGTGCGCCTGTCCCTGTCTGTCATCAGCCAACCTCCCTTTTCTGCTGTTCACGCCCGCGCTTGCTCTGACTTCCTCATTCACGTCCACTTTGAAGTCAGCAACACGGATTTCTTCATCCACCGACCTTTCTAATCGGCCGGGAGGAGACGTTTCCTACCCCATTCGCAGTTCAGGCATCTTTCATCATGAATGATCGAACAGACGAGGCTGCCGACATCACGGCCAAGGCCATGGCAAGCCTGAAGCTCGTTGAAGACCCGTACTGGATTCGCCACCTTCGACTTCTTCGCAAGATCCACAAGATGCCCCCCGAGATTCGCAACCAGATTGAGGGACTAATGTTGCCATCCAACGGCGTCAACTTCGTCGCGGTTGGCCGGTATGATGCCGCAATCTTGCCCCCCTTACACTCTGCGCCCGTCTGGGAGGATGCCATGACTTGCATTGGCATGGAGCTCGTGGAGGACCCGGCTCGTGATGGCCCGCGCGATGTTGAGGATCCCAAGAAGGATGAGACACCCAACTTTCCTCCCTACCTACAGTCAGGATTCGTCAGGGTGATGAACGCTGTCAAGGGCTCAGGCCTGGCCAAGCTTCAGAGAGAGAAGTCGTTCGGCCCCAACGACATGCTCAAGAGGGCTTACTACACCGAAAGCGGCCAAAAGTTGGATCTCAACGTCAAGGATGAGCTATTTTACTGCAAGTTCGTGAAGGGCTTACTTCAGCATCCCAACTGGGGTCGAGTCCCGGACGAGGAGCTTATCTGCTTCCCACCATTCAACTCCCTGCGCTTCTACGGAAACCCATAGGAGGGAATCCGTAGAGTGGCAGTGGAGATAGATGATTCCCTATTGTCCAATTGTCTCTTCATCTTCCAGAGAAATGCTGAATGGTTCAACAGCGAGGCGTCCGAGATTAGGGTCAAAGCTGAGGGCGAGGACGACGACGACACTGAGGGCGCTTCTGATGCGGCCCAAGCTGGTGCTCTCGCTAGTGGACTCAATAAACCCACCGATGGTTGCCTGGCTGAAGGCGAACTCTCCCCTTTCTCCGATACTCTCACTTCCATTGAGGCCCTCGAGATCTTGGATGACTTGTCGTACAGATGCTTCGCGTGCGGCAAGCATTTCCACCTCCACGACATACGACTCCACGAGAGACTTCGCCAGTACGCCAGGTTTCTCCAACGTTTCCCGGACCTCGAAAGTGTATACCTCGTCTTTCCTCTGGAGAAGACTGCCGAAAATTTCGCGTCGGGCCCCCAGGAGCCTCGGTACGTTGCGACCGGTGCTGCCCGGTTCGCCGACCCTCAGGGTCGCCGTTGGGTTCAGGCCAAAGGCGAGTTTTCCACTCTTTGGCAAGAAGCCCACTATTATTGACAATGTTTGATACACAGGAGAGAAGTTCCAGGTCTGGGACCCAAACTACACCCTTTGGGAGGTGTCCGGAGGAAACAATCATCCAGTATCCACTCGATTCACTCGCATCGTGGACGTCTTGCAGTATGACGTCGTCCACATGGAGGCGGAGCACCGGCCGTTGACAAAGAACAAGGCCAAAGAGGTGGTCTTCAAGATGATGGCTTGGGGCGATTTCGGCTACGTTTGAGAGGAGATGGCACTTTGGCTTGGCGCGCAATGGTGGATAAGCTCTCTTCACGAGTTGCTATGATTACAGTCATGGAAAGCAGACATTTGTTCTAGGGTCCAATATCACGCGGACCATATGCATATGCATCGCACATTCACATTCGAGGTCCCTCCCTGTGATTATTTTCAGCCTAGAGTTCTTCCGCAAGCTCGCCATTTCCGCTTCACGACATCCGTAGCACCCTCCTTGAACAGGTTACCGGGAATACCAAGGCCAAGGCATCGGCGTTCCTAGTCACGCAATAGCGCTTTTCTGTCTCCTCCATAGGCGGATAGGCGGCGAGGCCTTGGGAATGTCTGACACCACTCTCATCGCCCACTCGGGGCTATCCATCTTTCCGGGCTCCTGCGTCGCTCCACTCATGCTCGACCTCCTTCTCGGCAACCTTGTACAGACTACCTTTGGGCAGCGTAGGATAGTGACCGCCCTCTTGGTTGGGAAAGAAGTTGATCTGCACCCCTCCGGCCTTGAGGTCCACGACCTGCACGCCAAAAGGTTCGAGCTCGAGACGCAGCGTGCCAGAGAGCATAGCGAGCGCGGCTTTGCTAATGTTGTATGTCCCCAAGAGCGGGTAGGCCACAACACTCAGACCCGACGTGTTGTTCATAATGATGGGGTTGCGGGCGGTAGCAAAGACGCGGTGGCCCCGTATGTGCAGTTGCGTCGCCTGGGCCGCCTTCGGAGCAGCCTGTGATGAGCACTGTGCCATTCCCGGTGGTTATGATCGTAGTACATGGGCAAACCCTGTCTCCCGGCTAATGGTCGGCCCAGTCAAGATGGCACTTTCGACATCTGTTGCGAGCTGGCCAGATCTTGAGGCCCGTAGTGGGCCATGCAAGCAAACACTACACCTCTTTGCCTGAACTCGATAATACATCACTGGCATAATCATCCGTAAATGGATTCAAAGATATGGATCAATCAGCGCTTGGATTCCATTTCACCTCATCTAGATGAGGTTTCTTTCCCTGGTTGATATTGCTGATGTGGATTCTATTTCCAGTCCCGTTCGATTTTGTAGGTACGGAATGTGGTATGCAGACTATGCCCCTATTTGCATGCTGCTCTTGCATGGATCAAGTGCTCCAAACACGAATGGTTCCCATCCCGCACTACAACTGCTTATCCAAGCCCCCAAGCCTTCTGAAGAAAGTCTTTCAACTTGATAGTGTCTAGGTCGGGCAAGCTTTTGTTCAACGACGTGCTCTCGTCTAGATCCAGGTCTCCACGAGCAACCCAGACGCCAAACCTGCTGCCCAGAGCCTGGAGGAAACCCGCGGGCAAGGCACCGTACAGCGCCGCTTGCGACGGGAGCTCGGTCAGGCGCCCTTTCTTCAGGTCATCGATGTCGTCGTAAATGACATTGAACTTGGTGCCTAGACAGTGCCTTCTACTCAGAAACTGGTTGGTAATGTGAATGTGTGGATAGACTACTTGCCCTTCACTGCCTCGGCCAGCTTGACGGCTTCATTCAGCGCCATTTTGTCGCCGACGATGACGCTGATCCGGTCCCATTTGTCGATATCCACAATGGCTGCCACGAATCTTCCAACGTCGGAAGAGTGTGTAAATGTCACTGGCGTATTTCCGTCCCCAGGGATACTGGCTGTGTTTTCGGCCATGTCCATGAGTATGACATGCGGCGCGAGGTAGGATGGAAGCATCAGCATGCCCAAGTATTCCATAAAGTAGCCGATGTGAACGACTGTAAGCGACGAGACATTACAATCGTCGGCGGCTAGGATGAGATTCGGTTCCAAAGGGTCCGGCCGTGCCTGGCATCCTGATCAAGGCAGAGATCACCGTGTGGACGTTGTTGTCCTCGAGAATCTTTCTGGTTGCTGACACTTCTTTGTAATCTGTTCCAATAGCTCGAACGCCGATTTCCTTTGCCTTGAGGGGATTGGCCTGTGAGCAGTCAGCTAGGTAGCGGATGAAGCAGCATGAGAGGCAGAAAATACTGTGCGGCTCTGAATGATGACCTCGTGGTTCGCCTGAGCAATGAGAGCCTCAGCAATATTGCGGCCTACCGTACCGGTACCGCCAGCGGCTGCTACAACAACCATGTTCGAGGAGTTGAAAGAAGCTGGAGTGTTCGAGAGCACATGAAGGGTTGGATGCACGGTACCGGGAGTCAGGTCGGGTCGAGGAATGCTTGTGGAGGAAGTGATCCCTCAAGTAGGTTCACTGCCTCTACCAAAAAAGAGTAAACAGAACAATGCTGTGCCCATGATTTATTTATCATCTGGACGGAATCAGCTCTGGACTCGCTGAGAGCAATTACGTACCTAGGTAGTTACCAGCCAGGCGGCCAGGCACGATGTGTAAGCTCGGAAGCAAACCCGGCGCCTGAGAAACGGGCTTAGCCTGATTGCGAACCCCCCAAGCCCGCCCACACCTTGGCACTCACAGAAAATTGCTTCCGAGCTTTTTCCACCGCCATCCAGCTTGCTTCCGCGCGGACTGCAGATCAACAACCTCCAACATTTCACGATCATTTCGATGGAAGAACGACTGTACTCAAAAGCATAGGATAGTCAGTTTGGGGAGATGTTAAGGATGCCCGCGGAAAGAAAGGACCGGCGTTCTTCCCAGGTCAAAGCATCCACCCGAAAGAACAAGGTGTTCAAGGTAAGGCGACGTCCGGGGCTTGTTACGCAGCCCCCGTCTCCATGGTTTTTCATAAGAGCGCATGGAAACGAGTCTCTGACAAAGCTGTAGGCTTGCACGCCCTGCAGAGACCGCAAGGTCAGCTGCGATGGAGCGTTGCCAGGGTGCTCTCGCTGCAGCAAAGATGGCGTGCGTTGCGAGTACAGAGCTATCCGCAGATTGAGAGGCCCCGGGAAGAAACAGTCAGCCGAGTACTTTCAACTTGATGCCACTCTGTGCTGACTTGTAAAGGACCAGAAAACCCAGCAGAAACATAGAAACAGAGGCCCATGCCCGAAGTACCGGCCCAGACCTGGAGACGAGCGACATGAGCGACGAAATTCCTCTCCAGAGTACGGGCGACTTGCAATCACTTTGCAGGAACATATACCCTGTTCTATTTGACACTGAGAAGACGAGCTGGACCCTTGAAGAGCTGAAACACGCTGCGCGCGAAGATCAAAAATCGCCTGAAGGCTTCACCTCTCTCGTCCACAAGGACGTCTTTCAATACATGCTCGCAAACACCTACGACGAGGTCGCGGCGCTCTGCCCCATCTTCGATCTTGCGACGCTAAAAAAGCTCACCAAAGAACAGCAATCTTTGAGTGTCACTCATCCGTCCGGCAACCCCGCTCGATGGGCTATCTTGAGCACCTGGATTGCTGTGGCTCTCCGTTTCAGAGCGGCCGGAGGATCAGAAGGCGAATACTCCCACGTCATCAAGAGCTACTATTGTAATGCGACGTTGGTCCTCTCAGATCTCATATTACAAAACACGACGCTCCAAAATATCCAGTCGTTGCTGTTCATGGCTATATTGGCAGAAGTCCTCGGGGACCACCGATCATTTGTGATGCTGGTCACCAATGCTGCCCGGCAGATGGAATTGGTGGCCAGGACTCCTCCGACGATGCTTAGCAGTGAAGCAAGAGAGCTGTATGAGCGGCTGCTCAGCTTCTCGCAGATCCTCGACAGAAAGGTGGCCCGGGATCACAGTCTCGTGGCGATTTTGGCGCCCAAGGACGTTACAACATGACCTCCCCTCTGGCATGCAGTGGAAGACCACGATGCACAGCGTTGAAAGTTGCGGAAGTGATAGTAGCTGATTGAGAAAGATGATACGGGGGTCATATGAATAAAGCACCAGAAGCCGCTTTTGTGTGGTAGATGGTGAAGCACCTGAGCCTGGCCCCAAAGGTCGTGGTTGAATTCTGTCTTGATCACCATTCTAAGGCCTAGCAAATAGCGACCTGGAGCTCTAAAACTCACGCAATGCAGTACCAGGCAGGTAGCTAGCTATGAATAACCTTCTCGGAATTGGTATTTCTGCCTTGGAGTCTCTCTTCAAGTAAACGAGACCGGGAAGAACTGCAAGCTGTTCTAGCTAGGTCTCTGGAACCCATTGATGCAAACGCATGACTCTCAAGACTGATGACGATCCCTACCTATTTTCCAATGTTTTCCTTTGCATTATGAAAACCCTGACCCGAAACAGTCACGTTCAACACTGCCTGAACGCGGCTTCCCCTTGTACTGTGCAGGGCGGAAGAGGCTGGCAGGAAAAGCGAAGTCTTGCAAATGCATCGAAAATGACATCGAATCTCGTCAATACTTGTAGCCATGTTTCCATGCACGAGGATCCCCAGTCGAAGAAGCTAAGCGAGGAGTGAATACTCGGCCCCAAATTCTGGCATAGGCAAAGTCCTGTCACTAAAAAGAGGTAATGTGACGAAACCTATCACTCTGAACCTGCCCGTCAACGAGGCAACTGGCCAAGAAAGTATATATTGTGAACTAGATGCCACTGCATCAATCTTGGGCCGCACGCGACGACCGCGCAGTCCAGCCGGGCAGGCCACAGAAGGGAACTCTCTGGCTTGAGCCCCGTCTGACTTGCTTGCATCACAAGCCAAAGTTGTGGGAGGTAGCTTGCGATTGCTTTGGGGCAATGAGGCCCAGACCAAGTATGCATCCATGATTGCCGAATGGCCCAGGTCGTATCTGGCCCCCCGGATTTAAAATACAGGAATCATGATGCAAACCCAGTCCAATGCTCGCGGCTACACTTGGGGAATGATCTCGGGTGGGTGGCACGGGCTGGCCGTGTTTCCGACACAACATACTTCGAAGTAAATATGGGAAGAACTCTGGGCTCTGCCGTCCTATCCGTTTGTTGGCTTCTTGATCGAACTAAGTCCCTGACGCCGGGGATGGATGACTCGCATCTTGATAAAGGAGTGGAGCGAAATAACTACCTACTTGTAGTTGTATTAGGGTATCACGGAAGTCGGTCGGAAAACGAAGATCCATCAATGCAGGGCTACCTAGAGTAAGTACCTAGGTAGTTAGCTTCTAGTAGCGAGAGTCGGTAGGTAGCTGCCTACGTACCTAGGGCTACAAGTGCAAGTAGTTTGGAGGAACGTTCAGGCGCAGGGTGCCGAGCCAACCTCGCCTAAAAGCTTGACTACAGGGCTAGGTTTTGGGGTTGTATGCTGCAACCCTACCCCGCCCCTTGCGTGATTTTCCCAACTATTGCCAAGTTTTGTGGAAGCTTGTTTTAACGAGATTACTTGGCAGGGTTGCCCACGATACGAAGCAGATAATTAGTGTCCGCGCCACTCTTGGCCCAACGTACGTGGTGCATCCGGCTCGTTAACCTGACGCTACGGAGGATCCTGCCATGTGGGACGGACACACTGGTCGTGGCAGAGTCTACCAGCTAACTACGGAGTAGTTACGTACTTGCACTTGTACTTGTCAATAGGAGGCGCCCTGGGCCACAGAAGCATGCGTGGAAGCCTTTGCCATCAGAACCCCCTGCACAAGCATTTCAAACCTAGTCAGTCAGAAGCGATAGTGTTGACGAAGCGACTTGAGACAATTGTTGTATTGGATGTCGGGTACCCAGACTTGCAATGGGTGAACCTCGTGTGTGTACAATGAGTGCAGTATTCATCCATAGTTGCAGTATTGTTGAATTTTCAGGTAGTTAGACGATCAACCACCGACTGAACTTAATCTCGCTCTCTGTTTTTCTTTGCAACATTGTTTGTATATTTTTATGTCTACAGATGTGTTTTCATTGGTATGTACATGTGTCGCAACAAGCAAGACGTCTTTGCCTCGGTAGTCTTCACACTACTTTCAAGCAAACGCCGAGTAGCAAGATTGGGCCGTGTCCTCGGCTGTCCAGCCGACGCACTTGTAGCAGTTCAGAAGTTTCTTTGGGTCGTACTTGTTCTTGATGCTCAGCAGCGCGTCGTAGTTGTCGCCCCACCAGGCCTGCTGCCAGTTGTCCGTAAACATGCTGGCCTCGTTCATGTATGCGCTGCCGCCCGTGAACGCGCTCATGGTCGCGCCCACGGCCTTCAGTGCCGTGGCCGCCGCCTGCCGCTGCGCGAGCGAGCTGTTCCACGCCCACGACGAGCCGACGCCGAGCTCCCACACGGCGGTGCGCCACGCCGGCGTCGCCGAGGTCGAATTGGCGGGCGCATCGTAGAGCACGGGGCCGACGACGGGGATGTAGGGGCTGGTGCCGGCGTTGACGATGTTGGTCAGGAACGACAGGATCTGAGCGCGGCCCTCGGCGGTGCCAAAGGCGCCGTTGGAGACAAGCTGCGAGCCGGCCAGGTGGGTGTTGCCGACGGCGACCTCGTTGGCGCGTACGTACTTCTGGTAGAAGGGGTACCACGAGTCGTACTCGGTGAATGTGGCCGCCCCGCCCTGCGACTCGGCGTAGGCGGCAAGGGACGCGAGGGACTCCTTGGCCTCGTCGAGCGAGAGGAGCGGCGTGATGTTGATGAGGGAGCTACCCGAGACGTGGCCGCCCCAGCCCTCCTGCGCCCACTTTTGGGTGTTGTTGACGATGATGTCGAGGAAGGGGATTATGGTGGTCTTGTTGGAGGTGAAGGAGACCGAGGCGGCGACAAAGGGAATGGCGGGCTCGACCTTGTGCGTCGACTCCAAGACGACGCCAAAAGTACCGCCACCACCACCGCGGAGCGCCCAGAATAGATCGGGATCGCTGCAAGAGTTGACGGTGCGGAGCTGGCCGTCGGGTGTGACGATCTTGAATTGCACGACGCGATCGATACCAAGACCGTAGACAGTAGACAGGACGCTGTGGCCACCGCCCATGACCCAACCACCGGATGCGCCGACGGTCGACGAGTAACCGCCGAGCAGAGTGACGTTGTGCTCGTCAGCGAAGGCATACGCCTGGTCAAAGTTGACACCAGCACCGGTAGTAATAGCCTGCACGGGTTTCTCCCCGGAGCAGCCCTCCGGGACGAAGGCGGCGTCGTAGCTCAGCCCCTGGAGCTTACGGGTCCACAGCATCAGCGTGCCCTTGCCGCTGCTGCGCGCGAGGTAGTCGTGGCCGGTGTTCTTGATAGACAGGCGCGTGCCCGTCTTCTCGGAGAACGCAAGGGCAGCCTGCACATCGGCGGGCGTGGCGACCTCGACGTAGTAGTCGGGTAGGTTGCCTTGGTTGCACGAGGCACCATCCGCAAAGGCAAGCGGGTCCGTTGGCGTCTTGTTGTCGAGCAAGCACTGGTCGACCGGGTTGGAGGCGCACTCCTCGACCTGGTTGTTCATGAAGGCGCCGGCGATGTCGGTGCGGAAACCGGGCTTGGTGTAGCCGGCCTGGACGGCGGCGCAGGCAGCGGCGTCGGGGGCCACCGGGTTGTTCTTGTAGACGGAGAAGCATGGGAGGGCCAGGGGTTCCAGCGCGTGCAGGCGGCCCCCGACAGTTCCATTGAGCTTCTCCCAGGCGCAGGACCTGGCGGCCGAGCCTGAGTCGACGGCAGCCGCAAAGGCGATGGGCAATACGGCTGCCGAAGCAGCCAGGGCTACTGAAAGGGAATGCATTTTGTTGGACTTGGCTCCCGTCTCCTCAGGAATCTGCACCCCGTCCGTGCGGTCCTGGGGTCGAGCAGGGTTTCGGGGAAGGGGAAAGAGACAGGTGACACAATAAGAATGGATGGGCAAGGAAACGAATGACAGTCCGGAGCGCGAGGTGCAGAGCGGTAGGGAGGCCGACCTGCTTGCGACCTGACAATTACAGGAGTGATCAGCGCGTCTTATAATCTCAAATTCCCCGACTGCCGGCAGCTACCACCGCACCAAAGACCGATAGACCGCGTCCCGGGCCTACGAAGTAACTCAAGGCGGAAGTGAGCGACAAGGGCAACGCCATGCCCGTGGAGTAATTATTCGCGGCCACCTCGCCGCTCACGCAGCTATCCGACCACTGATTGCCCAAGGACGACTAGGTATGTAGCTAGCTCGACGGATGAGTCCTGGTGCGGGAGCTACTCCTTGCAACGGCGTCAAAAGGGTGGGATTAATGCGGAGACTGGTTCCAGGACGCTTATGCAAAGCGCATCAAACCCATACTGGCCAACTCCATACCTAATGGAGAGCTCTCAATCAGCTCGTCTCCCACGGCGGCGCAGATTTCGCTCGTCTTGCCCAAACAGGTCTAAGGTGTGCCCTCGGACACTTTTCTTTCCTTTGCACCCGGTGTCGGAAACCCCTGAGGTGCCATGCATTGTCGGGATGCTGGTCTCTCTTATATCTTAACTCTTCAGCAATAAGAACGGCTCCATTGACCCCGGTCTGTCATCCTGCAGCCCACAAACATAAAGGTCCTCATTTCGCGCGTCGAACCCTCCCGTTGTCAAGGGTTCCTCTGTCGATCTTTTTCTCAGATGCCAGTCGGTGTCCCCACCAGCCACACAGTTCATCTCGCGACAATTGCGCAGCCACGATCACCGTCCCAATGGCCGGGGATCTTGCAGTGATAGCGGAGGCCGTGCCGACGCGCATCGTCGAGACAGAGGACCCGTACTGGAAGACTGTGCTGATCGCAGTGCCCCTGGCCATGTGCGGCCTGGCTACGCTCTCGTACATTCTGCGCCTTGTCTGCCGTCGGCTCGTCACGGGCGCGGCTCTCAGGTTGGAGGATGTGCTGATGGGTATCGGCCTGCTGCTAAGCTATGGTGTCACTGCGTTTACAGTCTACAGTAAGCACTTGCCCGAGTTTAAGGGGTAGAACACATCGCTTGGCTAACACTTGTCTGTCAATAGCCGCCTTCAATGGCGTGGGTGTTCCAACCAGCGAGCTCCCGGCTGATGAGCGACGGCGGATCAACTTTGTGAGACAAGCCATCAATACACAAAGTGAGACAGACAGCAGCTAACCCAATACCGCGCCCTGCATGCAGGGAAGCTGGATGATCCAAAAGTTCTGGGCGCCGTCCATGGCCTTTGTCAAGGCTAGTATCATCGTCTTCTTGAACTCGACTTTGGGCACCGAAAAGAAGTTCCGAATCGCAGCCTATTCCCTGATCACCTTTGTTACGCTCTGGGCGACAGCCGCGCTGCTGACAAACATCTTCCAATGCTGGCCGATCCAGTTCTACTACGACAAGACAATCCCCCATGGCCACTGCATGAAGGGCCAGACCTCATTCTTCCAGGCCATGGGGTCTTTCTCCCTCATCGCCGATATCGCGATTCTGGTGTTGCCCATGCCGGTGATTTGGAACCTCAGTATGAACCTCAGACAGAAGCTGGCCGTCATTGGTGTGCTGTCGATGGGCATCATGTGAGTTTGTCGTCAGGTATGCTTGCCCAAGCGCATGGCATGAGACTAACGTGCCCCCGCGGACAGTGTCTGCATATTTAGTCTTCTCCGCTTGGTGGAGTTCAACTACTTCATCACAAATGATCTGTCATGTAAGCACACACCCAATTCCCCTGTTTAGTTGAAACATGGCAACTGACATCAGGAATAGCATCGAGCGCCAAGGAATCAATCTGGACGACCATGGAAGTGAATGTCGCTATCATCTGTGGGTGCCTCCCTCTAATGAGACCCATGTTTGAAGGGTGCCTGGGCAGGATGTCGTCGACAGGCTACAGTCGCTCGAAAACATCGCAATCCAACCCGGCGTCAGCATCGCAGCTCTACTACCGCTCTACAGCATCGCACAACGACAAGACGTTCCAGAGGCTGCACGATGTCAAGTCAAAGGCGTGGTCGCCAAGCGACAAGAACTCCGAGAGGCAGTTGCGCAGTGGCACTACAAGGTCCCGGTCCGACGTTGAGCGCAGCTCGTCCGAGATCGAGCTTCAAGGCATCGGTGTACAGACGGATATCTACCAGACGACCGAGGAGAGTCAGAAGGAGCAGCGTGGCGAGCATGTCGTGTAGGAGACGACCACTCTTGAATGTTCTTGCACGTCGTTCTTGCACTAGCCCAAATCATATTGATACCTTGCCTCATATGCATACAGCCGAGGCCAAATTCCATAAATCTTGATAGTCACAAGATAGTCGATGGCTCAAACACGTCTGGCCAGACAACCGTCGGCCTTGATAAGGTGAAATAGTGACCAAGACCGCGCCTCGCCTCAATAGGCCGCCTCATAATTAGCAGTTGCAATCGCAAGCCAGTACTTCATTTCATTCTCTTGATGCAGCCGATGCCCTTTGAGGCGCCTGTTAATAGGATAGATCTGCCAAACAGGTTGAAATGCCTTGGATCGATGTAAGGGTAGGTGCCATTATGGTGAAAATGATGCCGTCTATCGCTGCGTAATTAGTTGGCGAAGATAGAGTTATCTTTGGGTGCCATCGTGCTGAGTCCTACGCCTTCGATGTTGGCCTGTTGATTGATCTTTCGAGTCGTCGTCTGCTCTGACAAGGATTCACAGGCGTAATTCCAATGCAACTTTTGAGCTTTTGGGACCGTTTGAATAAGGCTGTTGTCGCCATGAGCCAGTTAGTCGGCCCGAACGGACAACTTGTCCCTCAACTCAGACCAATAAAATCTAGGGTCTCGAACCGAACTCTGCTATATGTTCAAAGTTTATTGACCCCGAGAGTCCAAATACCAATTGGGGGTCGTGATATATCTCACTTCTATTCGTTTCTTTCCTACACTAATGTTATCGGACGTGGAGCGCACTTCCCGTTTTCCAGCAGCACCCGCTGACAATCGGCAGTCCCTGGTTCACAAGCGTTTATGGAAAGAAATTCGATAATGTTTGAGATTCTTCCCGACAGCAAGGTGGAAGGAGTGATATACAAGCTCTTGTCCATCTCAACCAAAGTTTCCATAGCGCCGACCTTGGGCCTCTTGGTCCTGTGGATGGACTGAACGAGAATAATTTGCAGAATGCCGATCCGCTTCCATTTTGGGGTCTGAAGGTCAGGCTGGTGAGGCCTGACAACGATCCCAGCGATCTGCGTGGGATTGCAGTAAGTCGCTATGAATCTCATGTTAGTCACTGGTGCGGCCGATGTAAGCATCTGCGCCCCGTGATCGAGTGCCACAAGGATTTTGGTGTTCTCAAGGCTCTTGCCGCCGATGATAATGTCAGAGTAATGAGGTGGAGATCCAACCACCTTCATATTGAGACTGTTCATGTTCCCCAAGACTGTAAGTCCCCATGTGTCGTCGCTATAACCAGGGCCCAATAAGCGCCCTTTGTCGTGTCTTTTCAAGGACTCAGGCAGCTCGATCAAATCCATCGCCACGATATCGTCCTTTTGTCCAGGTGACAGACATGTGTACATCTCTTTGCCTTGGAATGTGGCATAGTAGATCAACCCCACTGGATGTGTCACCTGTCTCTTGACCGAAAGCCACGTCCAGCTCGGTGCATACAATGAAAGCGAGTCATCCGCAGGTGATGCTTGGGCCTCGTCAGTGGGCCTCCAAAGCAGCGCCCTGCCAAGGTCTGCCACGCATATCCCTCTAACAACAGGGATATCGCAGCTTCCCGCCCAAAGCCCGGACAACCCGCGCACCGCGTCGAGCACATCAGTCTGGTGATATAAGCGGCGCCGGGAGAACTTTTCGACCTGAAGAAGCCAGTTCTGAGGGGTCACTGTTTGATATTGGGAAGGTTTGATGCCAAAGCTCTCTGTCCGACAACATTCTCTGCAGGACCATGCCATCTCGTAGCCGCCGAGGTGCAGCGTTCGCCTTGCCAAGTTCTCCTCTTGGAATATCCAAGCCCTGGAATCCAAGAGGACTTGATCAGGCAGGTCGTCGTTCCGTGGGCTCAATCTTACTGGCTTGCCGTGACTGTTCACTAACAATGACTCCGCGTGGTACAGAGCGCATCGGTTCGAGACTAGTGGCTCATCGCTATGGATAGCACCGGTTGCTGAGATGTTGATGCAGCCGTAACGATAAACGCTGCGCAAATAATGGAGATCGTCGTTCCCGTTTCCATCAACTCCATCTGCCGGCTTTTCTGTCATTTCACTCTGAGGTGCTGTATCGTCCTCGGTGTCCTGGATGATACACAATGCATCTATCCAGATAAAAGATATTCCCAGTCCTCTGGCCACGTGCATGGCATCTTGCAGAGCCATAGGCAGGGTTTCCACAGGGATGTATTGCTCCAGCTCGTGCCTGTTCTCGAGCAACAGCATCGGAGACGGTCGGAGAGGACTTGGTCTCCTGTAGCTGACTGTTGCGTATGGTTCTGCAGGCCATGTTTTGGAGACGGTGACCACCTTCACATGCGCATCCTGATCACCAAGGTACACTAACCGGCGCGGGGACCATACTTGATGCTTTGATGTGCATCTCATGGCATGTTTCGCATCGCACTCGCCAATCCACTTCCGGACAAGACTCAAATCGCAATTTGTCCCATTGGCTTCGTGCAACGCGTCGCCATTTGGTTTCTCGTGCTTAGCCCGAAACACTGAGAATTCGGTTAATAGGCAATAGGAGGCTGAAGGGCGAACGGGTGGGTGGATAATACCTCCTGGACCCGGGTGTCTGCGGAACCTACTCCGGGTACTCGAATAATTCACTTCAAAGGGAAAGTCAAGAGCGAAACCTCCCAGTTCAATGGCGCAAGAGGCGATATACTCGTAGCCGTACCCATCTTCGCCTTCACCGAGAACTACAGCCGGATGACGATAAGCTGTTCGCATCGGCCCATCATCCCATTGCTCGCGACGCTCCGGATGATACAATCTGAGGTTTTGGCGGAATACAGAGCATACCCAGCAGCAGCTTTTGCTGTCCGATGCCACTGTACAGCCGTCAGGACCCGGGCGAAGGAAAGGTGTCGGGTCAGGAGCGGCATGCGTCTCAACGATCCACTGAACCACCTTTAGGCACGTATCGCATATCATGTTGTCTCTTGGACACGAGGGCCTGTTCTGGTGCACAAGCTGAGCTTCTCGAAGCGAGAAAATAAGTTGAGAACTCAGACTGGGGCTGAACTTCCAGCTCTTGGCGACCGCTTTTAGGACAAGTTCGTTGCCAAGACCAGAGTCTTTATTGGGAATAGTGTTGTTTGATGCTCGGGCTATATCTCTGATGAGCCTTTTTGAACCGAATCGACCAGGTTGTGCTTCTTGAATCGCATCGAGTCGCAAGAACTCAGTGTCTGCCTAGGTCCACGTGACCTTGCATGGATGTTGGTCAGGATCAAAGATTTGACAACAACGTTCACATCTACCAAAGTCATCATCTCCGAACCTCCCTGCCATCATGACAGCCAAAGTCATCTTGGATCTCCCAGATGAGCTCTTGAGCCATGTGCTTACACTATCAGTGGGCCCCTTGCGAGGGTATCGCCTGCGCCACGATGGTCGGCGAGGCCGCTTGGTGCCTTTGGCCAGTCTCGCAAGAGTCTGTCGTCGCTTCAATCGACTCGCAACACCCTTGTTATACGAAGGGATCTTCGTTTCACATGTATACCAGTGCTCCCGACGACCCGTAGAGGAGCATACCGCCTCAAGAGAATGGCAGGTTATGAAAGCGAATCCATCGACAAGACAATTCTGTCGACGGCTGGAAATCGACGCAGCCAGGAGTGACCAATGTGACAAACACACGTCGGAAGCCCGAGATCTCATCAAGTGGCTCACCAATACAACAACGCTCAAATTACACTCATGGCCGGCTACCTACCGAGATACCGGGTCACTTGCTCGCCTGGCCCTGACTTCTATGCCGCGACTAAGGTCTCTGACTCTGACGGGCTGGAAGGGATCCACACTGCGTCCCCCTGTTGTCCGGGAAGCCTTGGCTGGGTTTGGGTACTCGCTCGCCCTGCGGTCTCTGCATTTACAGCACATCGGCGAGCATGAAGGCACTCTCGAACAGTGGGCTGAATTGACCCCACACGCTCTTTCTGTGACCAAATTGACAGTTTTTGAGTTTCTTCAAACCTCCAAAGTACTCTCCCATCTCATTCAGTGGGTTAAGCGCCTCGAGCACTTGGAGATTCACTACCTTTTCTCGGCCGACTACGCGGGGAATGAGACCTACATCGGTTGGAGCCTCGGAAAATTGCAGCCCATGTTGGAACTTCAGCGAGACTCTCTGACCTGCATCAGTATCTCTCACATCTGCGTTGAAGGCCTTGCGGGCTTCGATGTGACGAGCTTCCCTAATCTTCGATTTCTAAGCCTCTGCTATCGAGCCACTGGCCTCGATATTCATCTGGTATCTCGACTTGCCGCCCCTCGGCTCAATAGGTTCCGGTGGGATCTGACCCTACAAGACCAACAATGCTCTGAGCAGCTCGGTCATCTCGACGAACCACAAGAGAAATTCCTCCGAGCCGTTGCACAGACCCTGCTCGTGGAGCTCAAGGTGCCGCTGAGAGAGATTTTGGTCCAGTTTAGACCAGAATACGACCATTGGCTTTTTGGAGCGCCTTGGGCACCGGAGGTCCTGCCCTGGGATCGACTTGATTCCATTCAAAGGGACTATAGCGAGCACGGGCTAGCCGTCATTTGCAGCCCACCCGGACCGACCGAGGAAGAAAGATTCGACGAATCAAAGCTGGAGTATGGAGGTACAGAAGAGTATGACCTGCCGGACTTTGAATACGATGATCTAGCAAAGGACAAGTAGAGGAGGGGAGGATTGTTGATGGACAGAAACACGCACCCCTTACATGTACACGTGCCATTTGGAAAATGTGACGGTTTGCACAATTTGCCTTAGCACTCTAGGGTCATTTTCTTGTGGAAATATGAAAAATTGACCGCGAATCCTGGGGCAGGTCCATCCGATCCTACGAGTGCGTCAAGTACGAAGGGAGACTAAACCAGTCATTCGTGCGACCCTTGGCTTGCTTGATGAGCAAAATAGACCTCAACAATGTTGCAAAACATGTTTGATGTCTCAAAGCCTCCCTTATGAGGAGTGTTCCGACTGCTGTATCTTAATTAGCCAGGCCCTTTGGGAGGAGGAATCTAAATCGCTGGACTTTGTGATGAGCTTTAACATCTAATGCGTGATCACGAAAACCTCGCACCTGGCTTTCAAGTGCTGGAAGTGCAATTGTATTTACCACCGAACAATAAAATGAACTAATGCTACGAGGAGTTGAATCCCTATTCCGCTAGCGCTTCTTGTGAAACCGGCGATGTTGCAAATGGAAAATTGCTGAAACGGAATTTTGTGAGGGACGCCCGATTAACCTCCGAGGCCTCTCGGAGCTTATCCATCTCAGCAAGCAAGTCGGAGTCTATGCAGTCAACGACTAACACCGAGAATCATGCAGATAAAAGGGGACGAAAATCACTACGAGAATTCTCTACTTCGCAATGCTATTACACATCAGCACGCAGCTCTCATACTCTTTTGCAACCAGTCCGCAATTTTCAAAAACCTCTTGCCACACACTGCGATAGCAAGCTACATACCTCCTCAAGGGCAATAGAAACCATGGCTTCCAGTCCTGCCTTGCCCAAGAAGCTCCGGATCGCCGTATTGATGGAGGCCGTCCAGGCCACCGACATAATGGGCATCGACATTCTCAACGGCCTCCGCAACCCGCCCCCCGAGATGGCGGATGGCCTGGCGGCTCTAGGCCCCGCCATGGCCGAGGTCGGGGCCACGCTGGCCAAGTACCAAGACGACATGATTGATATCGAGTGGTTTTACGTCGCGAGCTCGCTGGAGCCCGCGCATTTCTTCCTGTCGTTCAAGTGGCTGCCTAACTGCACCTACGAAACGTGCCCGCGGGACCTCGACATTGTCATCCTCGGCGGCAACATGCCCACCTGGCGGCCCGCCGAGGCTGACCGCTTCATCAAGGAGGCGTTTCCCAAGACGCGCTTCTGGCTGACTACGTGCACGGGTTCCGTCTGGCTAGCGAGCGCGGGCGTGCTGGACGGCAAGCAGGCGACGACCAACCGGGCGTTCCGGCCTGTGGCCAAGCTGCTGCACCCGAACGTCGAGTGGGTCGACCAGCGGTGGGTGGTGCAGGAGAAGTTGTGGGAGGGCGAGGGCGGCACGGGCGAGGTGTGGCTGGCGGCGGGCGCCATCGCCGGCTTCGACATGATTGCACAGTTTTGCCTGCAGAAATTCAACCCGGACCATTTGAGAGATCTTTCGTTCATGGGGCTGGATTATTATCCTGAGCGTGCGATGGGACAGTACTATGAGCAGTAGAGGAGTGGAATGGGAATGTCAATACGATGTTCCTTGAAAGCCTCGTATAGTATCGTTGCAGTCTGCGTTACCATTCTCCCATAAGAATCAAAGCGCTTCTTTAAGTAGTCAGGAAAGAGAGAGCCTCTACAGTCTCTGCACGAATAGTCTTTCGCCTCCTCTCAGCCTCAGCCCGCTCGTTCTTCCCAATATCTTTCCGCTGCAGCGTTTCCATGATTGCATTGTCCTGTCTGGCAAGTTTAGTCAGGAGCGAGCTCCGAACTTCGTCCACATCACGGGCTTTTATAAGTGCCTGGCCGAGCTGCTCATTGCCGAGCCGTCTTATCCGCCGTCGTTGTAGCTCTTGCAGCCGCACAAGCCGCAGCCGCCTGTCGTGTTCGAGGCGCTCTGCCACCTCCTTTGACATAGTCGGCTGGGTGGGCCATCCACGTGCTGCGAAGTCCTTGACCGCGGGCGGCGCGTGCGGAGGGACAGGCGACAGAGTGTGTGCACTTCCTTCAGAGGGCTGGAGTATTTGAATTAGTCCTGGGGGTTTCAAGTTTCGCTCAAAATTGAAGGCTTCTCACCGTCGCAGACCAGACAGAGGTCTGAACCACCGAAACATGCTTTTCAGAGTGGATGGCTCTCGGCATCATGTGCGGCACCGAATGACGGATTGCATCCATTGTCGCTCTGATAGCTGTCGTTGGTGTTCAGATGAAGCCTGCAGACTGAGGAACGTGGTGATTTCTTCAATCCGTCATGGCTGGCCTTAAGGCATGCACAGTGGCGATGGCGTAGACTGACGTGGCATGTGTGCCCGCATGAATGTGCAAAACCTGGAGCGGATTGGTGGATGCCTCGACATGATTTTGGGCCTCCGGATTTGGGCCAACGTTGTAGAAATGCAGTCATCTTGAATTACAGCAATTCTATGGCCAGGACCTTCCACCTCAGTCATTTGCGCCTCCACCGTTTTCTTTTTCTGTTTTACGCATTCTGTTGCCGGATGTGGCGATTGATTGCAGCCGTGGCCGACATGGGAGCCAGCATACAGGCGATTTCATATGCTGAAGATAGGGATCATCCTGGGGTTGACAATACGGACAAAGAATTCGTTAGATAGAACTGGCGTCACTGCAAGGGCTATCTTTCGGAGCCTCAAACGACACCAGAGTCGAGGTTGGGTTGTCTGGAAGAGGTTGTCGTTGTTAAGAGATATTCAGGTGCCCTGGCCTGGTCTTATCTGCCGTTGTCTTCCTCGAGCCGGCAGGCACTAAGAGCCGCTAGGCATGCCGATGCCCCGTCGGCAAACTTTACCGAAACTTTGCCGCGACTCTCAAAACTCTCATCGGCCCCGACGTCCCCTCGTCTCGTCGGTTCATCATACTTACTTTCTTACGCGTTGAAACAACATCACGCAATTCATGGCCGACGACGCATCCCCGCCGCCGGGGGTCGATCAACCTCCCGCCCGGCCGTACCGGTCCCACAAGATCCCGGCCTGCGACTACTGCCACCGGAGGAAGACACGCTGCGACCGTGCGAGGCTGCGAGAGCCATGCTCGCTTTGCCGAGCGCATCGGAAAGAGTGCACGACGACAAACGCCAAGGATCGCGTGGGCCGGGGGAGCTCCACGCCGGCCTTATCGCGAGTGAGGAAGTCGGGACGAACCTTGACTCGAGCGTCGTCGCCCGCCGCCGCCACCCCGACCGCGACGGCAGCGAGCATTCAGGCGTCGACAGAAGGCCCTCATCATGTCACGTTCAATACGACCCCGGTAGACGACCCGCCGACCGCGATGTCACCGCTGGCGTCTGGGACTGGCGGTCTTTTCGGTCATATCGTCGGTCCGGCCCTGGCCAGGGATGCTCAGATGCTGGAGCAGTTCATGTCTCCGCGCGACAATGTGGCTGAGAGCCATGTGCATCCGAACCCTTATAGCGTCTACTCGGATGATCCGCGAAACCCGGTGGTGTATCTCAAGGTTCCGAGGCAGCGGCCGACAGCTTCATCCGGGAACGGGACGCCGGGTTTTAAGCAGTGCGAAGTCGTTGAAAAGATTCTGGAGCCGCTGGGGGCGAATCTTATGGGACTGTGAGTTTATTTTTCATTTCTATCGAGAACTACCATATGCTCACATTCTCGTGACGAAGCTACTTCGATGTCATACATCCTCCCTTTCCGATCCTTGACGAGACGGCAGTCAGAAAAGCTTACCAACAAGGAACACTGCCTCACACACTTGTTTGCGAGATCTACGCCGTCATATTGGTCTACTGGGAGCTCTCTGAAGCGGTCATTACCACTGGTCGACCTGTTCCGGATGTAAGGTACATCTGGAACCTGACTGTCAGTGCCATGCACGACGACTTCCTATCGCCGACCCTTTCCACCGTCCTTGCCTGTATCCTCGACCTTCTTGGCCGGCCAATTACCTCGATCACCTACAACGCTGTCAATATCGGCAGCACTGTTGCCCTTGCGCAGAGTTTGGGACTCAATCGAGATCCTAGCAATTGGAATCTCGATCCCAGGCAGAAAAACCTACGCATCAAGACTTGGTGGGGCCTGCTCATACATGATTATTGGGCAAGCCTGAGCCACGGAACCCCGGGTCATGTCCATCGCGACCAGTGGGATGTTGCCCTCCCCCAGCTGGACACAATACTCGACAACTCTCAGACCTCCAGCACAGCGACTCCTCAGGCCAGGGAAAGGGGGGCTGAGTCCTTCATTGCACTCTGTCGGCTGACCCAACTGCTGGGTGACTTGCTATCGGTCATCTACTCACTAAGAGAGGAACCTCTCGAGCGGATGCTCAAGACTCTCCGGCGCATCGAGACGGCCGTGGATGACTGGCAGGACTCTTTGCCAACTTGGCTGAATCCAGGGGAGTCCGGATTTGAGCGGGATCAGCCCGGCTCTTTGAATCTAAAGCTCTCCTTTCTGGCCGTGAAGATGTGTATTTGTCGTGTGGCACTGCAGGTTGGTCCCCCCACCCTGATCTCATATTTTTACAAATCTCACAATAGCAGGCTACACGGGCGAGCGACCAGGAGGAAGCAGCCTATCATCAGTCTCGCTGCATCAAGTCTGGAACCGCATTCATAGATTTTGTCACTTCACTATCTGTCAACGAGAGCAGGGCTTTTTGGTTGCCTTGTAAGCAGAGTCGTCCCTAATCAGGTTGTATCTTCACTAACTCGCAACAAGACACCGCCTATCATTTTGCATCCGCAGCAACTCTCATGATGAGATGCGCATTGGAAGCTCAAGCTGATAACACAGCGGATAACTGCGTTGCTACAGCTCGCAGATTCATAGACTATCTTCGCGACATGAGGACTAGTGCAAACTGGGACTTGGTGGATATTTGTCTTGGGCAATGTGAAACCACGGTAAAACAAATGAGCGAGGGTGCACTGCCTGTATTCCGCAGACGCAATAATGGAACGGTTCGTTCACGACAAGGCGCGCAAGGGCGGACGCAGAAGCCTCCTGAGAGCGAAAGGGCCATCGACGGCGAGAACCAGGCCGGAGCGGATGTAGTCATGGATGAGACTATAGTCCTACCAGAGGAGACCATGGACCAGAATATGTTCCTGGATGACTGGCAGGAGCAAATGCCGGGGGACTTTTACTTTCCCGAGTTGTGGGATGTAGCGCGTGGAGATTTCCGAGCATTCTAGAACTTTGCGCGCTTGTTAGTAATATAAATATCATGAACCAACCTTGAGCACATTGGTATACATTCTAACAATCAACCCTCTATATATTCAATCAACTCACAGGATAGGCGATGCCCCGACACCGGCCCAGATTCAAGATTAGATGCTTACCGCGGCAAGCTATGTGGAGCACAGTTTGCCGACAGCTCGGGAAAGTTTCCCGACACCGAATAACCTCACCTCATAAATACACGAAACGCTTACCGTACGTCTGTCATCAACGAGATATTTTGAACTCATCTCCCTTGATAATACTGCAAAGTCCTTCACGATTCGATACCCAAGTCACACCACCTCACAACACATCATGAGTGCCATCACCAGCGCTGCCGATGCGGTCAAGCTCCCGGAGCCATTCGCGTCCATTCCCCGCGAACCCCTTCTCTTCGGCCCTTCACCAATCCAGCACCTACCTCGTATCTCCAAGGCACTCGGAGGCAAGGTGAACATCTACGCGAAGAGAGAGGACTGCAACTCGGGCTTTGCCTATGGCGGCAACAAGACGAGGAAACTCGAGTATGCCAATCTGCTCACACCGCGATGCTTCCATCTGCTGACGAATATCACCCTAGGTACTTCGCCCCGGACGCCATCGCCTCCGGCTGTGACACGCTCATCAGCATCGGCGGCGTGCAGTCCAACCACACGCGGCAGGTCGCTGCGTTGGGGGCCAAGCTCGGCCTCAAGGTCGCCCTGGTGCAGGAGAAGTGGGTCGACTGGGAGGACCCCGTCTACGAGAAGGCCGGCAACATCCAGCTATCGCGGCTCATGAACGCCGATACCAGGCTCGACCCTTCGCCTTTCGGCATCGAGCACAAGCCCACGCTCAAGAACCTGCAGAAGGAGCTGGCGGACGCGGGGCGTAAGCCCTACTACATCCCCGCCGGTGCGTCAGACCACCCGCTCGGCGGGCTGGGCTTCGCCAGGTGGGCTTTTGAAGTTGAGCAGCAGGAGAAGGAGCAGGGCGTGTTCTTCGACACGGTTATAGTCTGCGCCGTCACTGGCTCGACCATGGCTGGTATGGTCGCCGGCTTCAAGCTGGCCGAGAAGCTGGGCTCGAGGCCCAGGAAAGTCATCGGCATCGACGCCTCCGCCAAGGTCCAGCAGACTGCCGACCAGGTATTGCGCATCGCCAAGGCCACTGGAGTCAAGATCGGTCTGAAGGAGGACGACATCACGGAGAAGGACATCATCCTGGATGGCAGGTACCACGCGGGTGTATACGGTATCCCGGACCAGCAGACCATTGACGCTATCAAGTTTGGAGCGGCGACGGAGGCATTCATCACGGATCCCGTCTATGAGGGAAAGAGCTTGGCTGGAATGATGGACATGGTTCGGAAGGGCGAGATCGCCGAGGGGTCCAATGTGCTGTACGCTCACCTTGGTGGCCAATTGGCCCTGAATGCTTATACCTCTATGTAGATGATAGAAACATCAAGGAAATGAAATAAGTACAAAATGTTGCCTCGAAGATTTTGGTCTCTAATCCGTGCAACTATTATTCCTAGTGAAGTAAGTATTGGGCATGATGCTTCACAAATAGCTTTTGGAGATGAAGGATACAGACTACGGTCAAGAAGATCTACGTGGAAGGGATGTCTTGGATATCATTGAATTGAGAGTCAAAAAATCACCCACGACTGGCAGGCTGTGCGTCGCGGAGCTCCATGCCAAACATCAAGACTTGGCGTCTCTGAACCAAATGCCTGAATGCAGGAGGCCCAAGTGGTTACTAATGAGCATGCCGGGCCAAGTTTAGATGTGGTTTGAGCCTTTATAGTTTTTTGATCATGTCCCCAATAATAGCCCCTAGGGCATCATTGCTTTGTCTCATCAAATCACGAAAGCATGCTATGCAACATGGTCATCAATCCCTGCGTCTATTTAGATATATTGCTCGTTTCTTTTAATGCTACTGTTCTACAAAGCAACCATAGCCTCGCCGGCAGAGACTTTGAGGTCAGTAGTCTTGCCACCAGCAATCTGCACAGCCGCGTCAGACTCAAGCTTACCCTCCACAACCGCCACCTTGACTGAGCCCTTGCTGCTCTTGACGGACAGCTTAGCCTTGATCTCGCCCAAGTTTTCATGGTCGGGGATCTCGACCACCTCGTTCATATCCTCGGTCGGGTTGACGAGGATGGTAACCTTGTCGGCCCAGTCGTAGGTGACCTTGTCCTTGGACAGCGCCTTGTCGCCGAGAACGATGGCCTTGCCGGGCCGCAGGAGGACGGGCAGGCCGAAGAAGTCGTGCTTCTCGGTCACGTACCCCGAGCCCTCGCGCCACTTGCCGTCGAGGATGCCGTACCACTTGCCCTTGGGCACATAGTACGTCACATCGCCCTCGCCGTTGAACACGGGCGCGACCAACAGCGAGTCGCCAAGGAAGTACTGCATGTCGAGGTTCCAGGCGATGGGGTCCTCAGGCAGCTCGAGCAGCGAGCTGCGCAGCATCGGGACGCCCGTGCGGTGCGTGGTCAGTGACTGGGAGTAGAGGTAGGGCATCAGCCTGTGCTTCCACGACACGAAGTGGGTCAGGACGCGCGAGGCCTCCTCGGTTGGGTCGATGAGCCATGGCACGCGGAAGGAGCCGGAGCCGTGCAAGCGCGAATGCGACGAGAAGAGGCCAAAGGCGATCCAGCGCTTGAAGAGGGCAGGGTCCGGATTGCCCTCGAAGCCGCCAATGTCGTGGGCCCAGTAGCCGAAGCCGCTCAGGGCGAGAGACATGCCGCCTCGCAGGGTCTCGGCCATGGCGGGGAAGGTCGAGTACGGGTCGCCGCCCCAGTGAATGGGAAATCGCTGTTGAGAATTGTGTTAGTGATTGGACGTCTCAACGGGGCACTGGATACTTGGCTACGAACCTGGCAACCCGCGGTCGCGGATCGCGCGAAGAGCGCAGCGTTGTTCTTGCCGAGCGACTTCTCGAGCACTTCAAAAGTGACCTTGTTGTAGAGGAAGGAGTAGTAATTGTGCATCTTGGCCGGATCTGAGCCGTCAAAGTAGACAGTGTCACCAGTGGGAATACGCTCGCCGAAGTCAGTCTTGAACGAGTCGACGCCCATATCTACCAAGGCCTTGAGCTTAGACTGGTACCACTTGCAGGCGTCTGGGTTGGTGAAATCGACAAAGGCCATTCCAGCTTGCTATGAAAATAATCCAATTAGAATGATCTTCCCCGACAAGGCAATCGCGTATGTGAAACTTACCCAGAAATCGTACTGCCAGACACTGCCATCGCCTCGCTTCACAAAGTAGCCAAGCTCAGCGCCTTCGTCGAAGAGCTTGCTTTCTTGGGCGATGTATGGGTTGATCCAGACGCAGACCTTAAGAGACAGAGGGATCAGTCATCGCGCTCAACACCGGGACTTGCGCATTTTAGGGCAAATCTTAAACTCACATGCTGGCCCCTCTCCTTCAACCTCCGGAGCTGACCGGCAGCATCGGGGAAGAAGTCCTGGTCAAATTCAAAGTCGCACCACTGGAAGCCCTTCATCCAGAAGCAATCGTAGTGGAATACCGACACGGGGATGTCCCTCTGCTGCATGCCGTCCAGGAATGAGTTCACAGTAGCCTCATCATACTGGGTGGTGAAGCTAGTAGTGAGCCAGAGACCAAAGGTCCACGCTGGAGGAAGCGCAGGCTTGCCGGTGAGGATAGAGTACTTGCTGATGATCTCCTTGGGGCTCGGGCCGTAGATCAGGTAGATGGACAGCGATTCGCCGGGGACGGCGATGTTTACACGCGTGGTCCTCTCGGATTGTATCTCGAGCGACACGAGGCTGGAGGTGGGGATGAAGATGCCGTAGCCCGCGGAGCTGAGGAAGAAGGGGATGTTCTTGTAGGTCAGCTCGGAGCCGGTACCGCCGTCGTCGTTCCACATATCGACGGTCTGGCCGTTCTTGACGAAGGGGCCGAACCGCTCACCCAAACCGTAGATCTTCTCACCGACGCCAAGGGACAGCTGGTAGGTTGTCCACCGCTCGCCCTTGTTCGGGTTGGTGTAGTTGGCCTTGGGGTGCAGAGCTGTGGTGTTTTGCTTGACATAGCCGATGGACCGCCAGCCGAGCGAGGTCAACTGGCGCGAGCCACTGGCAAAGTCGAGGTTGAAACTCTTGGGGGCTGTGTTGACCGTGGCGGTGAGGTCGCCGACGGAGAACCTGACCTCCTTGTCGGTCTTGGCCGTGCTGACCGCCTTGTTGTGGTCCGGCTGGCCGGCAGGAAACAGCTCGAAGTGAGGCGCGGCAGTCACGCTCTTCTGGCCCTTCCAATGGGTGGACGAGAGGTAGAGGACATCATCAACTGGAGAACTGACATGGTGAGTCAAGGTGGGATTATTTAGGGTATCACCGCGATGATTGATGGGTTTGGAGCACTATGTGTTTCTTGTCAGCATTGTCGCACATCGAAACAGCCAACACCGGCCCTCCAAGCTGTCTGGCTCATCTTGATCAGACGATACCGAGCTTGCTCTGGGGGATGCACTGCATCAAGTTGACCATCGGGTAGACTGACAGTAACAAAGTGTAGGTGGTCCTCCTTGGCTTCGGCCTTGACGACCTCGACCGCCCAGTCGATGAGCGTGTCTGGGCTCGGATGCCAGCAACCGTGTGAAAACTTGACCATCTTGGCGGTGCGCTGGATGACAAGTTACGGAAACAGGCAGACGGATCACGAAGAAGAGACGTGACTGACGACGATAATTTATCCTACGCCCAACATGGGAAGGCATGGCATCTCTGGCGACATGTCCCTGTCCATATCGATCAATCGCTACCTATGCCCAGAGCCTGCGGTCCACTGAGCTCCATAATTCGTTGGCCGCCATACCTAGTGGGCTGTTGACATCTCGTGGTTGGAGCACTCGAGCGCGCTAGATATTTACCCTGAAGCCGGGCTATATCCGCAACGAGTCAAAGCAGTCGACCATAACTTGGAGCCCACGAGTCAGACTCCGCTTTCTCCGACAATTTGGTTTCGCGTCTGGCAGGGAGTGGAGCGAGGATCTGCCTGTGGAAGTCCTGGGACATGGCGTGATGGGGTAGAGACGCCCAGTTGTCGAAAGAGGCCCTGCTGTATCTGGTCTAAGTTGGGACATCCAGGAGAACTACCATTCCACGAAGCCTGGAGCAGCCTGGCCTTGTGGATCATCCATTTACATTCAGGCTAAATGCAGGTTTGCCGAGGCCCACAGCATTCCAAGACGCCATTTACCTGATCGTAGCGAGGCGTAGACTTGGTGTTTCTAGTGTCAGCTGCAACGAAGTGGTTTTCATCAGCAGAGTTCATGACCGAAAGGGAAGCCAAGCCAAGCCAAGCTTTGGGGCGTTAGGAGCCTCAACGCCCTCTCGCGCGCCAACGTGCAGGTGGCCTCAAGGGTTCTGTTAACGGCTTGGGTGGAAAGCCGCCAAACACCACCCTCGGGAGTTGGGGAGGCTTGATCCCCGTTGTGATCAGAAGCCGTCCCGATGGCTTGGAACCTCACATTCGCTTGTTCAACGACCTGGATGCCCGTGGGGGTTCGGAAGCTGCGGCTCTGGCAAACGTGGGGGTTCATCCTATCATCTGTGACTCCCCGTAAAACCCCCCCAGCGGAGTGAGTGCGGCTGACATCTTGTAGACTCGAGGCCATGTGAATTCGGATTTAGCCTAAATGTCTTTTCTGGGTGATGTTTGGCCCACAGGAAGACCCCAAGTCCTGTTTTGCTTGCCTGGTCGCGGAGCATGTCCGTTGACCGGCCGTCATTGGGGCAGGCCTTTTCCGAGGTGGCGCGCCATATTTCGGGAATTGAGCGGCCCTATGGCCGACAGTCGTCCCATCGGCCCCCCGGGCTAGTGCAGGCACGATGTGGTCCAGACAAGCAAGAGACATGGCGACTCGCTGAGCAGGTTATAAAATGATAATCCCTTTTCCCCAGCTGGGGTTCAGCAGTGCCTGTTGTTACCCCAATTGACTCAATACAATACTTGATCAAAGAGCTCGCTGTTATCGGAAAATATCCCACCCACGCAGACAAACTTGCATAAACTTGCAGCCAGTTGTGCCCACCATGGCCGAGAAAGATAAGCAGCAGCAGCAGATCAGCTGGTACACCTGGGGGTGTGCCCTCTTTGCCGCCGTATGCCTCCCCTTGTTGAGCCTTGGCTCTGTTTGTACGGTTTTGCAACTGCTCGTGCTGACTTGATGGATGATCACAGGTTGGATCTTTACTGTGAGTACTAGCTCTTGAGCTCAGGCTGAGCATTACCCAGATAGATCTCCTGTTGACTCCTCACCGCTAGTTACGGTATTGATTCAGGTATCGTCTCGACAGTCATCGCCCAACCAAGATTTGTCCACTACTTTGATCCGTTCACTCCCAGTATCAAGGGTGCCCTCGTCAGCACGTTCGGTGCAGGTTCTGTATTCGGTGTCTGGTTTGCCGCCTGGAGTGCAGATGCCATCGGCCGCAAGAGGACCATTGCCATCGCGGCCGCGATTGCCGTGATTGCAGGCATCATTCAAGCCGCCGCTGTGCACATCGGTATGCTCATCGCTGGGCGCATCATCGGTGGCTTCGCTGTCGGTATCATGAACGTGACTATTCCCATCTACAACTCAGAGATTGCCCCGCCCGCAAAGCGTGGCATGATAGCCGGGCTGCACGCCCAATTCGTTGGTTTCGGTTTCGCAACTGCTAACGTAAGCCTCGACAACCTTCTGCCTCGTCTCCCATCCTATTTCTGTACTGTTCAAGACTATTAATCAGATGCAGTGGGTTGGATTTGGTTGTTCTTACTCTACCTCCGACTTCCAGTGGCGTTTTCCACTCGCCTTCCAGTGCCTACCCGCCATCATCGTCCTGGTCGGTATCTACTTCTTGCCATTCTCTCCCCGCTGGCTGCTCGAGAAGGAGCGCGACGACGAGGCATACGAAGTCATCAAGCGCCTCCACGGAAACATTGGTCATGATGACACCTTCTTCCGAGCCGAGTTCAGCCAGATGCGGGAGCAGATTCGTTTCGAGAAGTCTGTTACCAACATCGGCTGGGGCGAGGTGTTCAGGACCCCCAGCAACAGGAAGAGGCTACTGCTTGCCGTCCTCGTCCAGGTCTTTACGCAACTCAGTGGTATCAATGTCGTCAACTACTACCAGACCGACCTGTACAAGAGCTTGGGCATGTCGGGCCACATGCCTACATTGCTGGCTGGGTACGTAACGCATAGGGGTTTTCTTGCTCTGCCATGACGTGAGATGCTGACAATTGTCTCGTTCTAGTATCTACGGTCTGGTCGGCCCTCTTGCCAACTTGATCTGTCTCTACTACGTCGACAGCTGGGGCCGCAAGAAGACTCTTTGGATCACAGGCCTCTTCATGACGCTAGACATAGCTCTCGTCATGGGTCTGTCCGGTGGCTATGGCTCGTCGGATAACACTGTCGCCAAGGGCTTCACCATCGCCTTCATCTTCTGTTTTACCGCCATGTAAGTCTCCCCACTCTGCCTCGCCCGCTAAGACTCCATCAGCTGATCGTATATCAAGTTACTCACTCGGTTACAACTCGATCCACTACATCTACGTCCCCGAAATCATGACGATGGCAATCCGTGCCAAGGTAAGACCTCACGCCATTTGGAATACTACCTTGATGCTAATCTAGGTAAACAGGGCTCCGCCGTCGCCGTCATCTGCAACGTCTGCATCAACATCATCTTTAATCAAGTGTCGCCCATCGCCTTCAGCGAGGTTGGCTACAAGTACTACTCGCTCTTTATCTGCACCAACTTTGTCGGCGCCATCGTCGTCTTTGCCATCTTCCCCGAGACCAAGGGCAAATCTCTCGAGGAGATTGCCCAGATCTTTGGTGACGAGGTCGTTGTCGCCGACCTGAACCGCGTCCAGGACAAGGTTGGGGAGAACGACGAGGAGCACCATCAGGCTGAGCATGCGGACGGCCAGGAGATTACTCCTCAGCAGCCCAAGACGACGTAAACAGGCTCCAATATTAAGCGTAATCCGCCTAGAGAGTGGTGTAATCGGCGGCCACCTTTGATGCTGTTCCAAGGCAAGATAGCCTCGGACACCCGCGCCTAGGTGGAGCTGCAACCACACCAGGAACTGTGCCACGGCCGCCCCAGAGAAATGAAAACAACAACAACAACAACAACAACAACAACAACAACAACAAATAACTTGAACTTAAGCACAAGGGATGGCCAAATAGCTTGATTATAGATGCTTTACATTGTTCAAAAGAGGATTCAGAAGTAGCAAGTAATCCAAGGCCATTATTCCTCATAACTTTGCCATGCTCCATGACCAGAGCCTGAAGAGCCTTAGCCCTTGTGTGACAACTCTAACTATGCTTGGAACTCTGCGGCACGCTTGCCACCAGTGCCCTTCCAGACCGGAGGGCCGGGGACGGTGTACTTCTGCTCCTTGGCGTGATTGTTGATGTCGACCTGTCCAAATCGTCAGCACCTACAAAGCTCAAGCATACGAGGAATCTGCTCTTGTGTCTCAGACCTACCCTGATGTTGGGGTCGCTCTGCTTGCAGTAGCCAGGGATGGCCGCCTTGTACGAGGCATCGGGCTGGGCGGTGCCGGAGCCGCCGACGACCAGCTGGGCGCACTCGGGGTAGAACTGAGGGGTGTTGGCCTGGTGCAGGGCGATGAGCTCGTGGCGGATGAGGTAGTTGCCCGGCGCCAGGCCCTGGGGGATCGTGCTGGTCCACTGCTTGTTGCCGCCGACGAGCTTGGCGATATCCCAGCCCGAGGGCCTCTCGGTGTCGAGGAAGACGCCGGAGCCGTCGCCGTGGAAGCCGGCCTCGTCAATCTTGAACCAGCCCGCGCCGGAGCCGTCGCAGGAGCTGAAAGCTCCGGGGCACTTGTACATCCAGACGAGAATGGGGCCCTGGCTGTGCGTCCACTGACCCCAGGTGGCCGAGACGGTGTCACCGGGCATGACGGGGGCGCTCTGGGTGGCCGAGTGGCCGCCGTTGCAGCGGAGCTTGGGGTCGCTGGCCGACATTATGGGGTTGTAGTCGGGCCATTGCCACTGGATGACGTCCCGGGAGTTGCCCGGGGAGAAGCCTTGGTATCTGCAGGCTCTGGCGTCAGAGGCAGAAACACTTTTCTCGGGGCTTAGCCAACAAGAGACTCACCCTGGGTAGTTCTTGCCGGCGACGACATAGCTGGTGACTGCGCCATGGGCAGCGGCCTCGGCGGCGAGCAGAGCGACGGCGGCGAAGAGGGACGAGCACATTATGGTCAGTTTGTCGATGGCCTGGGACACATAGCGACACAGGAAGAAACGAAAATGGCCTTCTCTCAACTGCTAGGACGCAGAGGGCCTTTAATATTTCACCCACATCTTCATTCTGCCAAGCAGCCAGGCTCGTTCTGGGTTTCCCCGGGTTTGCAATCAATCTATCACCGCCACTCATCTGGCGGCTAATATCCCGATCCCACCTCCAAAAGACACAGGTGATCTACTTGAGATGCCGTAATTGGCTGGGGGGCTCTTGAAAGCCGGGGATATTAATCTACAGTAGTGGGATGGAAGCCAGCCACTGCGTTGCCGTGTATACCATTGCAACGCATTGTTGAGCGAGTTTTTCTCTTGCAATCTATACATGACCACTCGGAGTGCCAAGCAGGTTGCGCCCATGACTTGCACGGGCCGCTATCCGCATCGCACTCGAACGCAATTTAGGAAGCTGCCCAATAGCTGCGGATGGTCGAATGCCGACGTGTTGTCCTCTGCCGCCCGGCACTCAATGCTCGCAAGCGCCAACACTGTCAGTCATCACTCTTCCCGAGTGTAAACAAGGCATGGCACCAACTTACTTGCCGCAACATGAACATGACCTCAGTCGTAGTCTATCTGAGAGAGGCATTTCCTAAGTAAGCTCAATATAATTTGCAACGCAGCGCAACGCAACCCTTTTTGCGATCACTCCGCGATCTGTGAGGTTCGCTCTGACGACACCTGGACCGTTCTCGGTCGGGGTCATTCCGACTTTTCTGCCCAGTCTCCGACTTCCAACAGGTTCCGTGCGAGCATGCGGGCCTGGCAGGACTTTGGCCTCCTGTACGTCATACGGAGAGGGCAGCATCGTTGGCCTGAGGTACATGGCATCCGGAGTGGGAGTGGTAGCCGCTGGCACTTCCGACGTTTCGGTGCAGGCAGGTGGCCGGTGTGTTCGGGCTGTGTATTAATTAACTAAGAGATATCTATGAGCTGGGAAGCCCGCTCTTGCCTGAAAAAAAAACCTACGTTACTCTCCGTGTATGTAGGACATTGTTGGCCGAGCGAACGCCCCAGCCTTCCGCGCTCGGAATGAAGGGTCGGAACAGGGAACAGCGGAGGGCCTTCATGTCCCCCGATCAATTGACTGCATGTGCCCAATAGCCCGGCCCCACACGCCCGGAGAACCCCATCGCATCCACCGTATGAGTGCTGTGGCAGGTGCTACACTTTTCGCTACAGCACTTCGTTTTAGTGGGCACCTTTCGCACGGCGGTCCAGTCAACCAGAACATCCGAGCTGGACATCCGTCTCGCAGATGGTACAAACCTTGGAAGCTTTGGGATCACACCGTTGTTGTTTCTTCTCCTTTCTTCTCTTTAGTCGACGTTTTGAATGATGACTCTCAATCACTACCAACAAAAGCACGCTTCTTTAAAAAAAATAAAAAATAAAAAAAAAGCTTGTTCCCGTTGGGCCTCGCAACAAAGAAGCTTGGCGATGTCGACGGAAGCATCACCCTCCTCCACCTTTGTCGTCTTGAGCCTCAACCCAACCCATCCAGGCGCCAAACAAAACAAGCACTGGGATCTCTTTCTTCCAAGGAGGTCATTACTTACCTAGGTAGCAAATAGACTAATTGCAGTTGTGCTCCCCGCTAGTCTCGCCATGCCGGAACCAAAAAGAAAGCAACAAGGCGGTTTACCGCTTCCGGCGGCCATTGTCTTTGTTCGGTCTCTTTGCCCCCATTCAACATTCAACCCCATTGACCCTATTGACGAACCCGTCAAGCGCTATCGCTATTGATCGCTATTGATCGCAAACCTACTAACGACCCGAGGCACACACCAGCACCCGTTTCTTTGTTGTCAACTGATTGACATGTCTCAATCAGGACCTCCATTCATCCGCAAAATGCTGGCTCACCAGCCTTCTTTGTCCTCCTGCACACCTTTATCTGCCCGCGATTCCCTCTCGGCCCTGCAAACCCCATCCTGTCCTCCCTTCTTCAAACACAATTCCCTCTGCTTCCATCTCTCTCTTGACCTTCTAGTTTCCAATCTCTTCCTTATTCGGGCCTACTACCACTGATAGATCACGACCATCAACTCTGCCACAGGCACGTAAGTTGATTCATTTCTTGGTCAACGCGCACGTATGGAATCACAACCACTCTCCCCTCTGTTTTTTTCTCTCAAAGTCACCATGCCCTCCCCAGACATCAACTCTCCCTCTTCCTCTAGAATGCCTGAGCCGGACATGTACGGCGACATCATCAGCCATCCCAACTTGAACTTGGAACCCGCCGTCCAACAGGACTCGGGTCACCATGAGAATGTGCTCGTAGAGCTCGACAGGCAGCAGGCTCGCGACAAAACAGCAGGGATAGCAGCCCAGGCTGACCAGCCAGCAGCAGAAGCACCACTCCAAGCCACGCCGCCATCTCAAGTCAGCGTCGCCATGGCCCCAATGCCCCTGGGAACCCCTTTGCCCCCGGACCATCCGTATCGTCAGGCGGCACGCACCGATTCCGTAGCCAAAGCCCGTGCCCGCGTTACAATAGTAGAGGCGGAGCGAGATCTCTACTATGACGAGCCAAACAGCGACCACGGGTCTGATGCGGAGTCTGGCACTGGGGATATGGAGTCGGACGAGGAAGCAGAGGTGCGGGAGTATGCGAACGAAGAGGACGACGAAGAGGACGAGTACGAGGATGACGACGATGAAGAGGATGACGAAGAGGATGATGAAGAGGACGACGAAGAGGACGACGAAGAGGACGACGAAGAGGACGACGACGAGGACGCCGACGAGGAAGGGGAAAGGGAGGCCCATGAGACCAAGGTGACTCCACCAAGGCCAGCAGCAAGCAAGCCCAAGCCCAAACCGCTGGATCTCGTCCAATCCAACACACTCAGCCTTGACAAGAACGTCCGATTCTTGCCGCCCCAGAAGTCCTCGCGTCCCTCCGATGGCCCCCTGGTTCCGGCAAACACACCCACCATCCAGCCATCCACTCCCCGGCGGCCAGCCACGACATCCCCGTCGCAGTTGCCGCGGGCCTCAAAGTCAGATATCGGACCCACCCCCCAGCGGCGCCACTCAGACCCCAGGGACTTTACGGCGCACTCAGACGAGGCAGGAGAGCAGGAAGGCCCCGAGCCCAGCGGCGGCCCCAGCCCGCGGGGCGCGCATGGCGCCCCAGACACCTGGGACCAGGGCGACATCGATCCCGACGAAGAAGATCCAGAGTACTTGCTGCAGCAACTGTACCCGCCGAACCCGTTCTTTCGTGACACCACCCTCAACCCGCCCATCGAGGCCCGGGCGGCCACGAACCGGGCCAGCGCGCGCGTCTCGGTTGCGCCACGGATCTCCGCCGCCGTGCTGACCCCGACCGAGGTGCTCCGTCTGCAGCAGGAGAACTTCCGCCTGGTCCGGCAGCGCGTCCACCGCCTGCAGAATTGCCCCTTTGACGAGTGCGCCTTCACCAGCCCCATGGACCTGCGCCAGGAGCAGTCCCGCTGGCGCAGACACTTCGAGGAGGAGCACTCCCTGCAAGCCGCCGACGTCCCGGAGACGACGCCCTCACCCGTCCACTGTCCGTACTGCAAGGCAGATGTGGGTATCGGGGCCAGGAGCGCCGTTGCCCACATGATCAAGTGTCCAAAGCTTCCCAGGCAGCCAACGCCCACTGAAGCGCGCGTAAACCCGTTCACAGGAGTCGTGGGAACATCGGCCAGACGTGGCGTCGCGGACAAGGATTCTCAGCCCTTGGAGACGGAGATCAATGAGTACCAGAAACGCCGGGAGAAGCAGTTGGCAGATATGCAGAAGCTGACTGAGGAGCATATACGGCTGCTTCAGGACGTGGCTAGACTCAGGAATTCCAAGAGCCAGTGGGAGCAGGAGGTCGCCGCCGCCACTACACAAGCAGCATCTGCGGAGGAGATAGCATCGTCGGCTGCGGGCCCATCCAAGGCATCCTCGAAGCGCAAGCACGATAGCGGCAGGGCGCCGAAGTCGAGCCACAAGCGACAGCGCACCACTGGGGACGGGGCTTACAAGCCTAGCCAGCACAGCAACAACGATGAGAGCGATGACGAGGAGACAGAGATCCCCGAGGCGCAGGCGCCAGGAAGCAGCAACAAGAAGGGCAAAGGCAAGGCCAAGAGCCTCGCCGACCCTTCCTACAGGCCCTCGGGCGACAGTGAAGACGAGGACGACCATGATCTGGACTCGCCTACGGAGGCTAGGCAGAAAAGTGCCACGCCAGCCACAAAGAAAGGGCCCCATGGTGAGACGGCCGGCAAGAAGCGCAAGAGGGAGGAGCCCCCTCCCTCTGGGGCGCCAAAGACGAAGAAGCGTGCCGCCGCCGCCTCATCGGTGAAGCCGCCCCCGCCGCCGCCCGCTGCGGCAAAGAAGTCTGCGGCCAAGAAAACTACTACTAAGGCGCCGGCCAAGAAGAAGACGCCACCGAAAGAGGAGCCTGCGAAAAAGGCGACTGCAAAGAAAGAGCCTGCGAAAAAGGCGCCTGCAAAGAAGGAACCCGCCAAGGACCCCCCAAAGTCACAAGAAGCAGCCGAGCCGCCCCGTACGGGTGTTCGTCAATCGACGCGCGTTCGTAGGCCGGTTCGGCGATTCGATCAAGAATAGCTGTGAGTGACCTCAAGGCGAGAAATGACAATTTCTCGCTGTCCTTGTTGCAATGTTGGAATTGGTGTTTCACGTTTCAAAAGGGAGGGCTGTAAGCTACCCGTATTCTAGAGTTTGAGCAACGAAATATTTTTGGTTGTTCGAGTAAGGAGTGCAAGTAAGGAGTTCTAGTTATTTCAATGAATCTTGTTAGTAACCTTCACTGTTGATGTCGTAAGGGACCAGCTGGAAAGGATTGTCTGACTTGGGAGGGAGACGTTGACCTGCTCATCTTTTGGCACGACGGTGTAGTGTAATCCACGCGTCTATGCGTTTTGCTTGAACGGAGCTGTATTGTGTATTGTGTATTGTGTATTGTGTATTGTGTATTGTGTACTGAGAACAAGGATATTAAAATGGAACACGAATGGGATTTGTAACTAGTCTGTAATTTCTACATGATCACGACCCTGACCTGACCAAGAGTGCACCTGCTTACAACAAAACAACAAAACCTCTACTCTACATAACCATGTTGTCACCAGGCAGCTTATCGAGCCCTATTAAAGGTATGTGTCAGTCACATGGTTCACGAGAGCTCGCAAAAATCACGATTGGCACTTACATCCGTCAAAGTTCTCGTTAACCATGTCACGGACGGTGCATTTGTTCTGCTGAGCGATGGTCTGCGTCTTGAGCATGGGCGCACTGACGTAGGTATGCCCGTCCATGGCCCTCTGCAGAGAGTCGTCCTTCCAGCCAAACATGTAGTCGGCATGGTCCGAGAACCCCGTGCTGTCGCCACTCGACCAGACAAAGGGCTGGCTCCCGTCCTCGGGCCAGTCGGCCTTGTTGTTGAACTTGCTCGTGTCCCAGACTGTCTCGAGCATCAGCTGTGGGATTTTGACCGGATGCGTTGCCGGGCAAGGGCCGCCAGACTCGAACGTGCCGGTCTCGGGATAGGCGACGTGGTCCTGGTGGTTAGGCGAGTCGAGGTTCTTGCCGTCCCAGCAGGTCGGGAAGCGATGGTTGGCCATGATTCCGAGCCTGCAGGGCCCCTTGGGGAACTCGACTGTTTCGGGCGTGCGGCTAGCTTGGTTCGCCATGCACGTGTAGCTCAGCTGGCGGTACTTGCGGGCCTGGTCGCGGGTCTTGGACGAGACGTCACCGACGAGCATGCGGAAGCCGGGCTTAAAGGCCGTGACCTTGGACCTTTGTGCCGTGTCGAAGAGGGCGTCCGACATGTAGTAGACAACCTGCATGTGTCAGAGTCGACTCCCTCTCGGTGTGTGTGTTTTACCTTGGGTCAATTTACTTACCATGCCCCCTTTGGTGCCCTCCATGCCGGCCTGGGCGATCTGAGGTACGCGGTGGAAGCTGCCGTTCCGAGCACGGAAGAATAGGACGGCGGTCCAGTAGTTTGAGAAGTCTTCTGTGAACTGGCAGGTAGTGCACGTCGAGAGAGCTGCGAGGTCATGATTGGCGGGGTCCATCGAGACATTGAAGGAGTTCTAAGCATGTTAGTAACCCGCCTATTGCAGAGCCAATCGAGAGTCCTTACACCACCAATGATCTGGTGAAGATGGGGAGAGGGCGAAACGCCGGGATTGACCAAGGGATCCAGGCGCTGAACACTGAGCTGAGAGCAGCCGAATCGCAGCAACGCCTGTGCGCCCGCAAAGAGGCCTAAGGCCGAGATGAACGTGTTTCCCTTCATCTTGAGAGTCGGAGTCAATGCCGTTCTATGGTGTTGCTGTCGTAAAGAAGCAAAATGGCCAAAGAGAAGTGGGCGTGACTGTGGTTTTGACGCTGCAAACCAGGTTGGGCCCTGTTGCCTGCACAACTGCCGTTGTCTCCAACATCAGACGCGAAGCTGGCTGGTCTAGATCAAGTCTGGTAGTTTAATATGTTGCTCTGAATTGATTCGGCAGATATCAGGGATGGCACTTGCACGGCTAATATCGAGTGGAGGCAATAGTCCGAGGATGCTCACGCGAATATAGGAGCGATGACGACCAGGCGCTGCAGGAATGAGAACCATATACTTGTCATGTAATTGCTGACTTGAAGCTTAGCTACAGCAGAATGGCCCCTTCTATTTTGGCAGTATTTTGTGTCCATGACCGTCACGTCGTCCGCTGAATGCTTAACCATCCATGCGAGTACTCGAGGCTGCCAACCAACCACCATTTTTTCAAGTAGCTCGATTAAATCTTCGCAATACAATACTCTTGTACTCGATGCGCCGTCATAGTATCCACTGAGCTAATTATAAATACGCTAACAGCCTGAGGTTCTGCTCTCACATCCTTTCGGTGGATGTAGCCGAACATAATTGCCTATCAGTTGCGCTCTGCAAGTCTTCGCCGTGTTGATGATGATTCTAGAAACGCTAGAACAGGAGAGCGAATGCAGACGCGCCTCGCCTCGGGCAATTAAGCTTAGATTGACGTTTATTACAAGGAACTAACAGGTTTCAAAGCCCATCATGATTGGCTCCCCGCTTTGCCTATTCAACCGGGAAAAAGGGGATGTCATGGGAGGCGGACACTCAGTCCAAACCGGCCAGCCAAGTCTTGCTGCGCAGACATTGCCGAGGACATGGGCTAATTACCAATTTAAAACAGGAAGACTTGGCATGTTGCCCACGAATCGAATCGATATATACCAGATCTGTGCCGCCCTCAGAGGATCATATCCACATTCCACCTGCAGAGACATCCCGAGTCACTCTCACATTTTGCCCTCGATTACGGTAAACAACTTCCAGTATGAAGATCCCGGTAGCAGTCCTGACCCTGTGGGTTGCTGCATGCCTTGGTCAGCAGCAGACGGTCTGCACCAACGAGATGGCCACGTCCGACGACTGCGCGGATGTGATCAACCCCATAGCCTGCTACAACCAGTTTGGCTTCAATGGTGCACGAACTCTAAACTGCATCGATGGCAAGAACGACGCCGACAAGAAGAGAAAGGTAAGCCGAAGTCCTTCCTTCCTCAGCCAAGCTGTGCTGACAGCATCGCAACTCAGGCGTGCAAGTGCTGCAGCTGCATTGGCACACGTATGTGCACATGGGCGAACCAGCAGCGATACTGCTCGTGAGGCGTATCAAGGAAACCCTCATTTTCTCAGAGACAATCGATTTGTGTAGGCTTCACTTGGCTGGATGGGACGGTTGTAGATTAGGTTATTCTCAAAAAAGAAAATAGACATCAAAGCTATGCCCGTGTGCTGGTCAATGACCTCGCAAAGGGATCACTGTGATATATTGATGAAACAACTCCGAGTTTCCCTCAGCATAGCGTAAAGATCGCCCAACCCAGTGGTTACAATGACCCTCGATTTTATCTTGTCCGCAAGCTGCTTCGAATTCTGAGGGACCGTGCTGTTCGTCGATTGCAACTCTGGCGGTCCATGGCCCAATATTCAGTTGCCTCGACCGTACTTGATGATGCGGATGGCATAATTTGTCGTGCCAATCACTACAACTCGGTCCACCCTTTCAGGATGATCTTCGGCGACAAGTAACCCTTGTGCCAGACCAATGCTGAACTCTTTGACAGCGACGAGGTGTGGTAAAGGCGATAACTAATCAAGACCTAGCCATCACGGATATTATTTACCAACCGATCATACACGCGGTGGGTATCCGTTCGCGACCTCCCGGACGGGGACGGGGAAAGCCCCGCCGCCTCTAGACAAATACGCTAGGCTTTTTACTCGAATCGCCTAGCGTACTCGTTGAGGTCCTAATTATCTCGTGGATCCCACTTATAGAAAGTGCTGCTGAAGCTTAGAGGAAGCACGGGTGGTTGATGACAATTCCAGAGAGTGGTAGACAAGAGAGCCATGCGTTTCGATCTCTCTCTCCTATCTTGGCAACATCTTCGACAGGCACCGGTCAAGGAGCAGCTAATAAGGAACGACTACGGGCTCTCTCTAGATTGAACATCGCAGCCATATCCTCTTACGTAAACCTTTCTGGTGGCGTCAGAAGTTCTGCTCATTTACATGGCGGTTCTCTGAGCCATGGCTGCACCAAATGGAGAGACAAACAACTTGATACGCTTTCATGTCGCTGCCACAGGCCACAGTCTAAACTACCTGCCCGAATATATCGCCAACAGACGCGGATTCTTCAAAGAGCAAGGGCTCGAGGTGACCGTTTCTGTCCCCAAGCCATGGGACCTCGTGCTTGATGAGCTCGCCGACGGCACGGCCGACGCGGCACTAGGAGGCATCTGGGTGCCATCCATGTATTACGCTACCGTGAAAGATTACAAGGCCTTTGCACAGCTTGCCAACCGGTGCCCTCTTGCACTCATCAGGCGAGGCAGTTCTGGACCGTTCAAGCTCGCCGATGTCGTCGGAAAGACAGTCCTGATGAAGTCAGGCAATGGTGCCAGTGTTGGCCTCTTCTTCAAGATGCTGCTTCGCGAGAATGGAATCGATCCGAATTCTGTTGGGTATATTCAGGACCTGGACGGCATAATGTTGTCCAAGCTGTTTCAGGGCGGCATGGGCGAGTACTTTCTCATCGACAACGTCTCGGCCCGCCTGATGGCTCAGAACAACCCCGACGTCTCTGTCGCGATGGAGATGGTCACGCACGGAGGTGACATCCCCTGGAGCGTGTACTACTGCGAGTTGGAGACCATCACTCCAGCCGTGCTCGATGTCCAGAAACGGTTCTGTGCCGCCCTAATCAAAGGGACAGATTATGTGCTGCACAACGACGCAGAAACGTACAAGGACGACCTTGCGGCACTATTTCCAGCGACTCCCATCGACCTGCTTGTTGAACTCACAAACACATACAAGCGAGATGGCATGTGGTCCTCTCCTTTGGTGGGTCGACATTCCTTTGACCGGTGGCAAAAGGGCATAGTGGATGGACATCTGACGAGGAAGCCGTTTGCCTACGAGATCCTTGTCGATGATGGCCCCGTCCAAGCAGCAAAGTCCATCCTGCGGGACTCAAGGGAGCGTCGCAGTGAATAGCATAGTATAGGAGTCCGAAGCAATCGATTTCTTCCCAATTCAAAACATGTCAAGCATGTTCTCACCGTCAAACAGCTGGCTGATCCACTCATCCATGTCCCACTGCTCGGTGAGGAGGTCGGCGCCTTCCACACCGACTGTTGCTATGCTCTGTCCTAAGGTCTCCACCTCTTTCAGCATGGCCTCGTGGCCCCTCGCCGCTAAACTACCCGCCCGTGCCATGTAATGTAGGACCTCCTTGGCCGCCTCGTAGATCAGAGGGTCCTCAATCTGTTCCTCAAAGCTGTCGGGCCGTCGGGCGGTGATGGACATGGCGAGGCATGAAATCATGAGGCTTGTGAAGAGATGCATGGCTTCCATGATGCCTAGTCGTGCTGATGCCAGTTGTAAATACGGAAGGTCAGCGGACCGAAGATAAGACACATACCTAGCATCCCTCGTTTTCGCACTTCAACCAGAAGTTGCAGATTTGAACGAGCCGCTTTCAAACAGATATTATTGAGACTACGCCAATCATCTCGCGGGACACTTAGTTCTTCATTGGAGCTTATGCAAGCTATCTGTCTGAGAAGGAGGGGGCGGAGTAACAGTATCACACACTGGAGGGTATCAGAGACTAGCTCTCTTGAACAAAGACATGCACACCTACCTGGTTGTGCCGGAGGTGCAAGTTGGCCAGCGCTCGCACAGCAGCTACCTGGCCGGCCGGGTCGGGCAGTCCACCCTCCAGGCCGTGGGCCATGTGATCCGGAAGTTCCGCCTTCCACGCATCGAGCCTCTGAAGTATTGGGCGCAGGATGTGGTCAATGTCATGTGTATCGCCATGCCCAAGGTGACTCGTGCTGTGGGCAGCATCGGCCTGGATGATCGTGATCTTGACGCGGGCCGTGAGCGACTCAGCATCGCTGAATTCTGCAAGGTCTTCGGGGAGAAGGCTGGCTTGTGAAGGATAGTCGAGGTCGGTCTGCCCGATGTGAAGGGCCGGCAAGAGACCAGTCTGTGTGCTCGCCATTCTGTCGATGCAGAACGTGGACCACCAGACCCGTTTCCTGTTCTCACGCTCGATGCGTGAGCAGTCTGTCAGCGTAGATGCCTTGTGCAACTGCAGCATGTTGCACATCCTTGCGCTGAGCCCTGCATATATGTATGCCGTTTTTTGTCTGTTCAATGAGAAAGAACACATTGCCTGCGGCTTCTGGGTCAGTCGTCGTTGACGGATCGCAGGCAAGACTCGATCCGTACCACTAGGTTCATGGTTTCGATGTGCTCCACCGAAGCCTCTTCGTACGGCACTTTAAGCAGACCCAAGGCCTGCTCAAAGAATTCTGTACCCGGGATCAAACTGGGTGCAGAAGTGAACTCGACAAGTTCCGGTGTCTGGCCAGATGGCGCGAGTTCGACCTGCGATTCTTGGCCGTTGATAGACGCGCCGAAGGCGAAGACGAGGAGGAACTGGCACAGCCATATGCGGTCTTTAGACTGTGCGGCATCAGTGCCCATGTACATGCTGTCCAACCGTTGTCGGAATCGTCTTAGTCGAAACCAATGCCAATCGTAGCCCACGTAGGCGAGGAACTGATCGAGAAGATAGATGGCGTAGGGATGTGGAGGCAGCTTGAATGTGCATTTGGCGTCTAGATGAGGGAATCAGCCACTGTACTCGTTTGTTAATCAGAACACATACGCGAGGTGTCCGAGTTCAATGCAAAGTATTCGTAGGTTGGGAGCTCTATCGACGAGCCATGGGCCGGATCACTGCCCGGAGAGGAGTGCTGGTCTGTCCTCGAGTTGTGTATCTGCTTCAACTTGGATACAAAGCCCTCAACGGTGGAATCCTCGACTAATAGACTGAGGCGGCGCCCAGAGGCTGCCGATGTTGGCACATCGAGACCACTGTAAGGCACGTTCACGTCAAACAACCGTGTCCTGTTGGCGGCTACCGGTGTTGACACAGCAGCAGCATCTTCGAGCTGTTTGATGTAGCTTTCTGTGACAGTGATCTTCTTGTCCCGGATAGCATAGGTACAATGCTTCTGTGCCAGCGCGCAATTCCGGCATGGCCTCTCTGTCGCATGTCGAGTCAGGGGGTAACCCAGGACAAGGCGCAGGGATACGCACCTCGAGAACACTTTATCTTCTGCTTGTGGCATCGAAGGCAAGAGCTCCCCCGGTACTCTCGCTTTCTCCGCTCCAAGGGCATCCTGTGTTGATGTCTGGACGATACGATAACAGGCACCCACCCTGGATCAGTATCTGTTGATCGAGGTCAAACATACCGGGGCACGGATTGCGGGGATGTGGAGAGTAATATCGGAGAAAACCGACGAAATGCCTAGCGCTGAAATGATAAGGATGCAACCGCGTCATTTCATTGGAGTAGTGCGATGCACAGGATGGAAGATTGCTTTCCGGATGCAGGTCTGGCTCATCTCAATGTGCGCGCGTTTCCGACACCAGTTTCTATGTACGGGATGATAGAAGGGCTATAAAATAGGAGTTAGATATGCTGGGGGCACAATGACTGCAAGTCTCCAGAACTCAACCCCTCAATCTCGTCCCCCATGGCCGGCGGCGTGATCACTGGCTGTGTACGAGACTTTGTCAGATTTGGCAAGTACCCACCGAATTCCTATGCCGAATTCCTATGGCCTAATTAGAGGAAGAGGCGCTGCCATCGATTACGAACAAGGCACGGATCAGAATCCATCACTTGGTGACAGCGCCCTAACCAGCGGACAGGCGTTCGGAGTGCGAGAGCGTGATCATATGCCGGAGGCAGAGTACGATTACAATACCCGAGTCGGAATCTGCCCTCTAGTGAGTCTGGTCAAAGAGTACAATGTTCCTTTTAGCGTCTATCTCTCGTCAGAAGCTCTCGCCGTCAATCCGGCCCTGGAGGAGAGGGTCAAGACAGGCAACTGCGATATCATCTCCAACAGCACTAGCTCTACCTGCCTTGATGGCCTTGTGGACAAGATGTAGAGGGTAGACCTGGGGTGCTGTATTGACAAGATGCTGCAGTTATTTGTCTGTGCTTATCTGGGCCCTAGCTAATAAAGGTGTCATTCAACAGGTGGCGGTTTCCAATATAATATATTTCATACATAGAGCAAAGCCCATATAGGGACAAAGAGTACTATATTGTACGTCCAAGTAATTTGTTTCTGCCAAGCCAGAAAGCATCCACGACTCACTAATTTACATTCACATTGACGACACCAAGGTGCACGATGGCATGAGGGCTGGCCAGAAATGACGAACAGCCGAGCCTGCAAAGGGACATTGCGTGGTAGGGTAGGGTTGACATGGGTTTTCTCCTGGTATCGTGATGCGTCATTCAATAGTTTGACTGCCACCAGTATTTAACTAGACTTGGGACTGCCAGTTTTCAGCGCCTCGGCGATAGCCTTACTCAATTATCTCTACCATGCATGGGCTGACAAGGTTCGCCACCCGGGTGCTTATGCAGTTCCGGAGCTCTGATCGCAACCTTGAGTTCGCTACTTCATCAGCACCGCCGGAAACTGGCTGCGACAAATGAAGGCACAGACGCTTTCCGCGCTTGAGATAATCGCGATCGGGATTTGAACTGTGTACAAACTTGAGCGTTGGTCCTTGAGGTCCATGTCCTTAGCTCTTGCGCATTCTAACGGCTGAAGCTCGAGACTGCTATTTGCACGGGACTTGGCAACGCACGTCTTGATACACCCGAAACAATGCGAAGCTCAGGCCTGTTGGTGGCTGCGGTCACGGCACTTTGCTCTGCGGCCGCCGAGTCCTCGTCCTCTAGGAGCCAGCACAGGCTGTTTTCTACAGCTTTCGGCTATCCCGGAGTCAATAGTACTTACGACTATGTTGGTACGTCCTTTCAGCTCGCATCACCCAATTGACCTGCTCACACACAACCCCAGTCGTTGGCGGCGGCACGGCCGGCCTGACTCTGGCCCGACGACTCGCAGCTCACGCTTCCGTCGCCATTATCGAGGCCGGCGGCTTCTACGAGGTCGAGACAGGCAATGCTAGCGTTGTGCCACTTCTCTCCCTGACAGGGCTCGCATTTCTCGACCCTGCAGAGACCTTTCTCCCACAGCCCCTGGCTGACTGGTCCCTCGTCACAGAGCCTGTTGTCGGCGCCGCAGGCCGCCGTATTCACTACGCGCAGGGCAAGACGCTCGGCGGGTCATCCGCCATCAACACGATGAGCTACATCCGGTCCACGCGTGGCGCGTACGAGCGGTGGGCCGAGATTGTCGGCGATGACAGCTATGAATGGGACGCCATGCTCCCCTTTCTGAAGAGGTCGGTGCATCTGACGCCCCCGGACCTGGCCAAGCGCAACTCGACGGCGGCGCCCGTGGTGTACGACCGTTCAGCCTTCGATCCCGCCGGCGGGCCAATGCAGGTGTCGTGGAACAACTGGGTCGATCCGACGCTGGCATGGATGGCCAAGGCAGTGGGGCAGGCTGGTTTGCCGCTCAGTGACGAAGGTTTCGTGAGCGGATCGTTGGTCGGCCAGGGGGCGTGGGTGCCGTCGACGATCGATCCCGAGCGGGCGACGCGGTCGTCAGCCGAGACCAGCTTTCTCAGAGAGGCCATCGAGGAGACGAACCTCATCGTGTACACCCACACTCTCGCAAAAAACATACTCTTTGACACAGCGAGCCTGCCCAAGGCGACGGGTGTGTCGGTCAACACAGCCGGCCTGGACTACACGATCTTGGCGAGAAAGGAGGTCGTCGTATCTGCTGGCGTCTTTCACTCCCCACAATTGCTCCTGGTCTCTGGTAAGGACAAACTGAGGCTATACACATTGAGCTGTCTGATTAACTGCGTAAGGTGTCGGCCCTGTATCAACTCTACAATCCCTCTCCATTCCCGTCGTAGCTGATCTGCCAGGCGTCGGCCAGAACCTGTGGGATCCCATCCAGATCTTCGTCTCCTATCAAGCCGATACCACCTCAGGGCAGGTCCTCACCGCCGACCCGGCTACGGCTCCTCGGTATCTCGAGCAGTACTTTACCGATGCCTCCGGGCCCTACAGCTCGGCCGCCGGCTTCCTGGCCGCCGAGCGCGTCCCGCCGAGCTACCGCTCAGGCCTCCGCAGTGAGACCCTCGCGAAACTTTCCTCCTGGCCCGAGGATGTGCCCGAGCTCGAGTACATCACCGGCAGCTTCGTCGGCCCCAATCTGACCACCATAGCCACAGTGGCCGTCGTCATGCCTCTGCCCTTCAGCCGCGGCAGCGTGACCATCTCGTCGCGCGACGCGGCGGACCCGCCCGTCATCGACCTCGGCTGGTTTGCCGACGACGCCGACCTCGAGCTCGCGCTGGCCGGGCTAAAGCGCCTGCGCAACGACATTTGGAATACGCCGGTGGCGCGGCAGCACCGGGTCGGCAAGGAGTTGCTACCTAGCCCGGGGGTGCAAACAGATAAGCAGATGCGCGAGTACATACGCCAGAACGCGAGCCCGATCTGGCACGCATGCTCTACGTGCGCCATGGGCAAGGCCGAGGACGTCGAGGAGGGCAAGGCCGTGGTGGACAGCCACGGCAGAGTGTTTGGGGTTGACGGCCTGCGAGTCGTGGACGCGAGTGCATTTCCATTTTCCATGCCCGGTCATCCTCAGTCGGCGGTGTACGCGCTTGCAGAGAAGATTGCTGAGGACATTATGAAGAGTGCATGATATTGGTATCGTTAAGTCGTGGCTCTTACATACGAAGACATTTTTTATTCAGTTTAAAGATTCAAAGCAAAGAAGGAATGTATGGAAATATCATCCCATATCTTTATGCCTGGCCTTGCGGTGAAGGCCGAGCAGAACGTGCGATGTATAGAAATCATAATCACAGTCGTCGTAAGGTGCTTGTCAATGCCAGCCACAGTATGCACTTCACGTTACAATTTGAAAGAAGCTTCTGCCAGCACGGCCCAAGGAGGAGCGACATGATATCAAAGATGTGACTATCACGACACTTAAGCCTCAGTCGCAACCACGAGCCTCACTAATGTGTTTCTCAACCGGCAATTGATCTACAGGAGCACCACCCATCTTGGTGCTCCCTCAGCTCCTGGATCGTTCTGGAAGCACATTCTCTGCGCGTGTTGGCCACATGTTTCAGCCTCCAGATCCTTCGGTAACCGCTCCTTCCGATGCTCACCAGGTCCCTTCGCAGATCATCCTATCTGCTAACTTATTTCCACATGGGAGGGAGCACAGACATCGACTACTGGTTGGGTTGCAGCCAATACCATGCAAAAGTATGCACAGACAGTGACTAGTGCCCCCAAAATAGTGACCCCAAAGGTCTGTATCTTCAACGTACGAGCCTCAGTTGCGGTAAAGCAGGGGACGGGTGTGAAGCTCAAGGGGCCCATGGCGATTGAGCCGCTGAGTTTTCGCACGCGAGACGGCCCTGCCTACTGCCCTGAGCAGCCGCGCAACGATCTACTACGGACGCGCGAGACGAGCATCTATCATACCTAGCCAAATATGTTTGAGACGGGATGGAAGCACAATACGTACGCATGCGCACCTAAAAGTATAAGTCGAGAAGAGGACCCTGGTTTGTTACAAGGGCCTGGGGATATGAGACATCTAACAGATGCCCAATAACCGCGAATGCAACACCCTACTATTGTACTTGTACGTACGAAGTTCCAGAGAAATCAAAAGATGGAAAAGACCCGAGATTTGACGCTCCACCCTGCACCGTAAACGCCGAAATTTGCTGTCGCACACTTGCTCGCCCGCCGGCAGAATTTACCACGCCGCTGGGAATTAAGTCGCGCTACTGCCCTGCTGGGAACCGACCAGCCCAGGCAAATGAGGATGCGGTTGGCCTGGCTGGGGTTCGCACAACAAAGCCGCTCGAGCCAGCCCAACAGCAGCATGCGGGCAGGGGATGGTGGATGGTGCAATAAAAGCGGCCGAGGCTTGGCGATGACGGCCCGTGAAGCCCGCCTAAAAACGGCCGGGGTGGTGGATTGAAGGATGGGGTGAAACGGGCGCTTTTCGCCCATGTCTTTGAAGTACTTTCTTACGTTAGGTACGGAGTAGGTAGCGAAAGATGTTAGGCATGGGGTGGTCTGGTGAGAAGAGAGTTTTGGGGTAGCCAAAACAGTCGACACGTCTCGTCATTCGGCACCAACACCCAAGAGGTGATGCTCATGATGATTGCCCCTTTTCTGCTCCTTGCGTTGCAGCGAGATGGCTCACCAGCGTCGTATCCACGGTCGGCCAAGAAGCTCGTCGTTCCCAGGCATGGTGGCATAATCTCATTCATTCGCCAATAGCTCCCACATGACGGTCTGCGGCTGTCAGCAAAGGCTTCTACGCATGTCTCGGGTAAATGGAAATGCCTAAATGGTAATTGCAAGAGTCGGTAGGTACACACAGGTTGGCGGATGCAGCCAGACGCTCCATGCGGGGGAGAGAGATCGAGAGGGGTGCGTCTGTAGAAGAAGGTGAGGTACCTAGCTGCCTCCCGGCTCCTGGCTTCATAGGGATTTGAGCATGAGTGGAGAAGCACTGTCGACATGGGGTATTCATTCTTTTTGCAGGAAGCAGTCTGGCACGTCTGGTTATGACATCGCGCGTTTGCCCAGAACCAGCAGTGGGAAAGAATGTTAACTAGACATTCATAATGCAAGAGGTATATCGGCGGATGCAGTGTAGGCCGGTAGGTGCTCACTCATAGCATTTCTCTCCCGTCCCATTTGTCGGGGTTTTTCGAAAACTTACAGGTACAAGCAGGTGTCCCAACATCCTTCGTTGCCTCGTGGCGGCCACGGACTGGCAATTCCTCAAGGAGGGTGCATGCTGCTCACCGGGATGTCTTATTGGCCGCGACAGCTTCCAAGTGTTGGATGCCAGGGGGTTGAGGGAGGGTTGCATCGTCAAGAACAAGCCTGATGAACGAGAAAACAGTCTCACGCATCGCAGGACGGAACCCCAGACCCCTCGAACTCTATTGGAGGAAACCCCAACGCGTCCTGCTGGTTCCTTGTGACGGGCTGCCGTCAATATATCGTAAAGGCTGATAAAGCACAAGGCATGTGCGTGAGAGCTTCTGTAGTCCCGGACCCGCTAGGGGCCCAAGGCGAGATTCTCTGGTTAATATATCTCGTTTAGCAACGCGGACCCTGATTAGATGGTTGCTGGTACAGCATGCAGGTCATCCATCTACGTGGAGTGAGCAGCCCAGCGAGGTGTTGCAGTTGCGACTGACGGAACTCTAAGGGTCCGTTTTCTTATTGATACTTGACTTCGTTAAACAGTCGATCTTTTGCCCAAATGGACGCTTCTTGCCTGCCTGTCAGCATCGTTTGGAATCGCCGTTGCAGTGGTTTCACGCCGCTGCTTTGGGATGCTTCAAACAGTATGAACTGTCTCCCGGTGCTAGCAAGCAAGGGTGGGCAATCTTTTGCTGTTCCCAGGGGAGTCCATGGTCATCACCAAACTGCATGTGAACCCCAATCCTACTCCGTAGCCTGTTGTCCATTCCAAGCAAGCTTCTCCACATATGCACATAAGGGGGTCTTTGTTTGCATGCCAAGTCATCGAAAGTGGCGTAAATGCCAGCATATTTCTTTTTTCTGCCTTCCCCAAACGTATTAGCAACATATACCTGGGCGGAACTCGATCCCCTAGTGCTAGTACGATCCTCTTCGAGAGAGGAGTTAAAAAAAAAAAAAAAAAACCAACGTCCGCCTCTCTCTAGGCAGGCCACGGAGAGAGACAAGCCTTGGTATGACGCTGCACTAAGTCGTAGCAGGATGCGGCACAGTACAATAGCTTCTGTTCACCAGGTGCTCAACCGATGAGATGAGCGAGCCTGCCGAGGCCTGAGAGTGCGGGAGCAGACCCCCGCCACAGTGGAGGAACCCCAAACTTCCGTTGCGCCGGGGCCACTGCGCCAGGGGCGGATCACACGGCGGCTCAAGGTGAACTTGCTCCACTGCCATTCGGTGGCCGCTTTAGGACTGATGTCAGTGGGTTCCTCTTCCTTGCTGTTGAGGCGAGATATTGTGGGATCCGGCGAGCTGGGATGGTTGTTGACCTCGCCGAGGTGTCCGACCAGACTGCCGGAGCCAAGAGACGAGGTAATGGCTGCTTTCATTAGAGATTCTCTTGCGTGGTGGCCAAAAGGGTGCCTCATCGCGGCTGTGATGTACTTGCAAGGAACGACAGACCGGCGATCGTCAATAGCAAGTTCCATGTGCTGCTGCCAACAGTTGGCGCTTCTTCAAGGCCCTCAAACGCCCTGAAGAAGGCCGACGTCGATATCCCTTCAGTTGTCTGGCCTTAATTATCAAATCAGCCCTAAGAACGTTCGCTTCTCAATCCCGTGGCCTTGGCAAGTGGCTGTCTCCCATCAGCCGCAATTCCCAACACCAGCAGCACGCTTACAGCAAAGTTCTTTTGCTTGTGTACTGGGGCAGGAAATGGCCTGAGCTTGGCCGCCAAGCGTGAAGCCGGCAAACGAGCACGGCAGATTTCTCTTGTGCACTAAGCGCATTCTAGAACAAAAAGCACCTCCATGGGAATTCCAGTGGCTGTTTCTAGTGCCTACAGTGGATTCGTCTAAGCACATTGCTCTGTACCTAGCTCGCTGACAGGCTAGGTAGCATGCTAGGTACCTAGTCCATCATGTGCTTCTGTTTGTCGTTTGTCGTCGATGTTGCGTACAAGTAGTAGCAGGCCAAGAAGACTCTCGTCTGGTACCGACTCTTCCGCACCGGTGGCCCAGACGACCAAGCCCAAGACCTTGATGCTCACAGACTCTTGTCAACCACTGAGGTTGAGGCCAAGCCGGGCGAGAGGGCTCGGCGAAGTGAAACGCTCTTACTGGCTTTGGCTGCTTCTGAAGGCCAAGGCAAGAAAGTCCGGCAGTGGGAAACAAACAATGGGCGCTAATAGGTGCTGACCACGCTACTTTGATCGTCATGCGATGTCTGGATGATTGTGTGCCAAGCGCGCTCCACAACGGGAATTACTTCTGCTCTCGCACACACCCCTGTGCTGCTGGGCAAAACAAAGGGGGAAAACGCGTGCGCCCAGCCCCTAAAGTCTGTTGAGAAGCAGGGAACGCACTGCCAGCCAAGAGCAGACAACCGATTTGACATCCTCGGACGGTCGTGAGGATGACGGCGCTCAGGCTCTTGGCGTGTCGTAAAGCGCCAGCGGTCACTAAGTCGTTCTGTTGCCATGTGGCTTTCCTGGCCGAGTCACCCGCCCTGCAGCCGCCACGGCCGCACAGGCGGGACAACTCGAAGAACACCTGTACCGCAGACGTACGTACAGCACTTTATTTAGTGAGGCAAAGAGGCATGTCGAGGTCTCTGCCCAGGGTGGAGAAGCCGAGGAGCTCAGTGGCGGTCGGCCAGGCAAGGGCCCGGCGGAGTGTGGACAGGAACACCGCGCCTGCAATGACCAACCCATCCGCGGCGCTGCGATCGACTCGCCGGTGATGGACAGAAATGCCCACCCGTGTAGCGGGGTCGGGAATGGTGTTCGTGACAACAGAGTTACAGTAGCGATGGAGACACCAAAGACGGAGCAGAAGAAGATCGCCATTCCTGTCGGCGATAGCAGCAGAGGGAGAGCAGTCGACGAAACAAATGCATTTGATTCGTCACATCTGGAAAGCGGCAGGTCACGATTCCCAATAGCTCGGAAGCTTGAGCCAATCTGCGAGCGGCGTACCCCAGATTTTGAAGACTGTCAGCGCTGCCAGTGACGTCTAGTGCGGTGATGATCAACGCCTCGAACTGTGGTGCTCATCTCTGCCTGCTGAGTCGCATCCCAGCGGCTCCGGCTCTCGCGGCGACCAGCATCCCAAAGCAGCCAAGTCAAGTAAGCCAACCAGTCATTGAACGATCGTTCTAGGTAGTCATTTCGAGATGGATGACTTCATAGCTCGCGCTGGGCCGAGACAGCTCCAATAGGGGAATTTGGAATGACCCAAACTTCACTCATTGTGGCACGAAACGAGCTGGTGCAGCGACATTGCGACTCTTCAGCCCCCTCATCATGCGGCTTGACACTTCACGGGGTCTCGAGAACCACAAACTGGTATGATCAGTACGGAGTAGATTAGAGATGTCGCAGCTGTACCGGGCACCCCCCCTCCCCCCGGAGCTACCCCAGAGTGCCCAGCTCGCCCAGAAAAGGCCAAAAGCGACCAACAGCAAGGGTCAATGGCTCTGCACCGGCTTTGTCTCTTCAACGGGGATCCCGTGGTAGCATCTCGGCCTGGGCATCCGGGGATAAGGAGATTGGCTTGCCGGCGGATCAGGCCCCAGGCGTCTTCACCCCCAGGAAAAGAAAGAGTGGGTTGGATTGAGATTCTTTTGTGCGGGATCGTTCGATGAGGCGTTCGGCGGCCGACATGGGGGGAATCTGGCCTCGCTGGGCAGGCTGTGCGATGGTGCGACAGCTGATATGATGGGAAGAGAAAGCCCTGAATCGTGGGTGTCAAGAGTGCGCCACCATGTCCACCATCTCGCAACAGGGTCCTAGAGCCCTGGCCCTCGGGCGGATTAACGGATGGAGGGTAACTAGGTACCAGAGCAGCATCTCTGCGTGGTGTGTTCCAGATCTGGCAATGTGTGTGTGTGCTAGCATTGCTACCACAGCGGCCTTGAAATGGATTTGCATCACCGCTTGGCTGGCGGGCCAAGGTGCCAGCCAAGCGGTAGCAGCAGCAGAACGGGACTGGCACTGGCACTGGCACTGGCACTGGCACCAGAGTGACTCGCCCGGTACTTGATTCATGATGATCAGCGTGGCACGCAATTAGGGCGCTTGTCACTCGTCATTGGTAGCTTCGTATCTCCTCACTCTCTGCCGCCAACTCCCTGGCTGGTCTCTTTGTGTGTCGTCTGTTTCCGGATGGCTGGCTGCACTGGCTGATGAACTGAATCGCCTGCTGTTTCTGAACAGCGTTCAACCAGTAGTTACCTACCTCAGGTAAGGTATATTTCATTTCCCCCCTCGCTTCCGGGACCATCGCCCGGCCGCTTTGGGTATGTACTTGTAGCTAAGGTACAGGTATTTTTATTGTTGGTGATTTTAGCGATTTTAACCTTTTTTCCCTTCCCATGGGGCCCATAATTTAGCAGCCCACTTTTGCGGCGCTTCTTCTGCCATTCTCTGTTTCGGTCTCCCACTCTCCTCCCATCCATGTCTGTCTCCCTCCTCCTCATTGCTCCTCCGCTCGATGCTCTGTGTGTCGGGGGTGGTCGGGGGTGCGTGGATCAATCCCGCTTCTCTTGTACAAGTACCAGCCTGGTACCATCTCCAGGTCTTGGCTTCGATAGCAGCCTGCTATTATATCCTCTGCATGGGGACGGTGCTGCGTGTGGACGGTGACAGAGAATTTGACAATTGACAACCCTGCGTGTGTGTGAGAGAGAGTCTAGAGATGAGAGGTGTAGCTCCAAAGGTTAAGCAGAGCTCCCACCCCGTCATCTGTCTGCATCATGCATCCACTCGCTCCATGTCGCTCGCTCTTCGCGACGCCAACCCGCACGCCGCGCCCGCAAGCTCCGGCTGGCTTTCCCCGTTTTTATTTTTTGGTCACTGTTCGACGGGTCCCCCATCCCAGTGGATGATTGTTCGTACCAGCCAGTGAACGTGTGTGTGTGCGTGTGTGTGTGTCTGTTGTAGGTGGTGGTGAATGATGGGCCCATCATTCCCTCTTAGTCTCGAAGCTCCGGGAATACGGAGTACTTGAATGACCAAGCTCTTACTCGCCCATTGTCCCTCCTCTCCTCGCTCTTCTCTCCCGTCCACGAATCCTCCAATCCGCGCCAATTCAACGTGAATACTTCCCTGTTGCACACACACACACACACACACACACGTTCTCTGAACAATACCCCAGAGGCAGCAGGTGCCCGCAGCTTCTCTCCGCAGTAAAACTCGGCCCACGGTACGTGAGACCACCCTGGTCGTGAACATTCTGTCCCCAGGTGAATGCCACCCACCCACACGGGGACCTGGTCTGAACCCCAATCCCCGTCACTTAAAAAGCTGCCTTCCACACGTCCATCCCCATCCCATCTCCATATCCTTGCATTTAGCATACTCCCCCCCAGTGCTACCCTCCTTTTTCCAATTTCTCCATCCATCCTTACCCCGTGTGTGTGTGTGGAAAGATCACCCCCGTTTCCACCTATATCAAGCCTCAAACCTCCCACCCTCCTCCACCACCTCGAGCTCTTCTGTCTCCTCCTCTCTTGTTTCCCACAGACACACTCTCCTACCGGCGAATCCCTTGAACACATCGTCGTCAAAGATAGTATCTGACGCCGACCATCAACGGGGATATAGGACCAGCAGACGACTTTCTCGACCACCCTCGCCCGTACAGCACATCTTCGAGCTCGAGGACATCCCTCTCTCGTCAGCAGCAGACATGGCCACCCACGAGACCACGCCGCCGGTGGAGAAGGACGACGTTGCCCACACCACCGGCCACACCGCCACGGGACCCAACGGCGCCCAGGCCGCCGCCCGCTACGACTACGGCGGCAACCCGCTGTTCCACGCCCACGCCGGCAACGAGGGCCGCCTGCCCGCCTTCGGTGGTGAGTTCCAGCCCGGCCTGTACCGGCCCACCGAGCACCGCAAGTTCGCCAATCCGGCGCCCCTGGGCCTGTCCGCTTTCGCCCTGACCACCTTTGTCCTGTCTTGCGTCAACCTCGGCGCCCGCGGCGTCTCCACCCCCAACATCGCCGTCCCCCTGGCTTTCGGCTATGGCGGTCTCGTCCAACTCCTGGCCGGCATGTGGTAAGTTTGCTTCCCGTAAAGAGTTTTGGTTGGTCCCAGCCGGCTCTGTTCCTCTCCGTTTTTTTTTTCCGGCGCAAAGTCGCCTTCGGGCGAGCGTCAATGGAAGGCTCTGTTATGTCGGGCGCGCGAGTCATCCGCGATGCGCCGTGGCGGAGAGAAGAGCTGGTGTGGAGCCCGCGATGCAAGACGCACAGCAATGCTCACTGTTTGTTCCCTAGGGAAATGGCCGTCGGCAACACCTTCGGTGCCACTGCGCTCTCCTCGTACGGAGGCTTCTGGATCGCGTACGGCATCCTCCTCACCCCCAACTGGGGCCTGCACGATGTCTACGTGAAGGCTGGCGGCACCTCGGACCCGAACCAGTGGAACTCGGTACTCGGCTTCTTCCTGACCGGCTGGTTCATCTTCACCACGATCCTGCTTCTTTGCACCCTCCGGTCGACCGTCATGTTCTTCATGCTCTTCTTCACGCTCGACCTGGCCTTCCTCATGCTCGCCTGCAGCGACTACGCTGCCAACAACGGCGCGGCCTCGTCCAGCAAGACGCTGCAGAAGGCCGGCGGCGGCTTTGGCATGCTGGCCGCCTTCCTCGCGTGGTACAACGCCTTTGCCGGTATTGCCGATACTAGGTCAGTAGTCAACAATGTTTGCCATGTTTTGGGAAGAATCCCCTCCGCTGACTGACACTTCCTCCCACAGCAACTCCTTCTTCATCATCCCCGTCTTCCACTTCCCATGGTCCGACAAGGGCCGCGAGGCCAGAGTCAAGACCGAGCGCGAGACTGCCTAAGCTGCTTCCCCTCGTTGCTGCATCGTGGTTTCGTCGAAGCGATTTGGTCCTCCTTTGCTGTGTCTTTGTCGCTGGCGTCCTCGTCGATTTGGCACCCCATTCGCCCGTCTCTTTTGACTTTGAGCCCATGACATACCACTCTGTTCGGTGTTGCGCTCGGCACCTTGTTCAGACCTTTTGTTCTAGACACAGGAGGTCGACGCACACCTGCACTATACCAAATGATACCTTGATCGGGGTGTGTTAGTCTGTGGATATCTGGTTTGCCGCACTGGGGGATCAAGAGTTTCACCTCTAGTCTCTCGGCTCGGCTCTTCTTTTTACTTTCGTCGATATGACTCTCGTTTTTCGACAACGACAAACTGGGATACAAAAAAAATATCATTACTTACACCGGTGTGTGCAATGCAAAACGTGTGGTGCACGGTATGGGGTCATTGAGGTTGATATCGGCCTCTTAACTTTTGCGTCGTAAACCACCATAATAGTGTCTAATTCAAATGTCCCGTTCGGGACAGCCTGTGATTCGTGCCCCTGGGCCGTGTAGTGTTTCGTTCTGCTGCTCTTGTGCTGCGTTGCGTCGCGTGCAAGGCGAGATTGTCGTGGCTGGGCTGCGCGAACCCTGCGTTTGTGCTGCTCTCGGTGCCGCAGGTGCAACTGAAGCTACGTGACAGTCATGTCAGACAGACTTTTGGCGGTGACTGCGCCTGTACATCCGTCGATCGACCGACCGACTTGCCGTTCGACATGACGAGCCTTGAAATGATGCCGAGACAAGCTGTGGACAGGTTGAAGCGTGCTGGACTTTTGCTGGACTTTTGCGTGTGTATCCAGATTCGTGGATGAGCGGTGTCTTGAGGAGATGAGGGATGAGGCGGAAGCAACCCCCTCAGCGATTTGTCGCTCGTCCGTCCTCCTGGAGATGTTGCACTGATTCCCGGTCAGCACCCGTTCTCTGGATGCTGGGTGCGACTCTGAGCGCCCACGTAATGGCTTGCGCATGGCTTTTGGAAAGGAGCAAACTGAGGTAGTTGGCAAACCAAGCAAATACGGGGGATTGGTTATGTTATGGGAGCCGTCGCCGGGACTAGTGCCGCCTCCTGAAATCAATTCCGGGTGTTGACTTCCGGGACCTCGGGTGTAGTATTATGGGGCTTGAAAGGATTTCCTTACCTTTGTGCCCATAGCCATTGATCTATTCCAGACCAGATCAACAGGAGTCCGGCTTCCGCTTGGTGATCAATGGTTTTTTTTTGTCTTGTCGCCATGGCAATTTGTGAGAAAAGAAGCAAGGTTGAGGACGAGGACGGAATTGTTGGGCGTGGGCTGAAGGTCAACGGGGACAGGCAGCCATGGCTTGCTGTACTCAAATACCTAGCGGCGGTTTTGTGGCTGTTTGCCAAGCTCTGGGGAAAAGGTGGGACTGGACGAGAGCAATGCCCGTGCTCGCCAGCCCTTGCCTCAAGTGAGTTTGGAAAAGAAAAGTAACCTGCCGGACTGATGTACCTACCTCTTTATGTAATGCCAGTTAAGAATTGCAACTGTAGCAAGTCACCTCCAATGGTATTGATGGTCTGGCAAAGAGCTACCTGGGTTAATCTAAAAGCTGCCATGAATTTCACAGTTAAGTCAACAATGCATGATAATGTATGCAATCATCTTCTTATTCATTTCACCTAGAGAACGATACCGAGACATCATTCTCTTCCCCTTCTCATCAAAACCATCAGGAAAATTCTCACTAGGGAAAAGTCAACCTGCTCCTGCACTGCTTCTACCCACGGTTAGGAGGACAATGTGTCCATGTTTAAGACACTGTGATGCTTCCCAGTAACCAAAAACATCATAGATTGACTGACTAGCCGCTCTTTCAGAAAATATCAAATAGTAACTTTTGTCTTTGATAATGTTGACCTGGTCAAGTACATGGCTGCTACCTGACGAGGATCTTGGACCCGGGCTTGTTGAAACAGCAAGGGCAACGGCTAATCCCAAGCAACTCAACTTGTCCGCCTCACAATTTGCTCACTAGGGGTTTGCTGTTGTATTTGATGTGAACAGACAATTCTTTTTGTCGCATGTGAATGAATGAATGATATGCGGATGATGCTTTCACAACTCCAGTTGCCAAACAGAGGCCAGGGGTTGGGCAAAGAAAACCCCTCGTACGCGGATATTGCTTGCTTAACCCATGAGTTTATCCCGATGGAACCCTCACAGATCACCTTAGGCTTTCTATAGAGTCTTGGAATTCAAATTCCTAAATGATATGTTGAAGGCGAAGACGGTGTCAAAGGATTAGTAAACTGTCAAGTCGGCCACTGGAGATCGCAGGAGTATGATATGGTTTCATTGGGAGACTTGAGGTTCAGCGAAAGGATAGAGCTAGTCATTGATATTCTTTAAGACTAAACTCCATGACACTCTTGCACAACATGAGCACGATCTATTCCACTCTCCCAAGATGCAACTCATCATTGTACTTACTCTTTAATTAACTTCGCCTAGGACTGGAACGAAGTTCTTTCAGCAGGCCTCATTGTCAGCACATTTCCTTTACTCGTGCAAATCATGCGACAACATATTGGCAAGGCAAGGCATGTCCAGGGCCCTTTCATTCATTGCCGCAATACAAGTTGGCATCAGAGCAGTTTGGCACAACATCGTTTTGTTGCTTTCAGTCTCGGTCTCACTTCGTTTAATCAATCCCAAACAGGCATACCATTTTCATCTGAAACCAACATCAGTGCCCAGTTCCATAGCATGGCTGGATCCGTGTAATCTCTATCCAAAAGGGGACGAGACTCATCGATGTATCAGCTGACAACAATTGCCTCGTAATAAAACCCGTAGCCATAACTGGGGCTGCCTAACTGTTGTTGACACCAGATGCCCGTTGTGGCATCGGCTGACGAATACGTGTGGGGCCAATCTCGCATACAGACCGATGTGTTGAAACGCCGAACTCCGTGATTTCTGTTCAATTGTGTCTCCGTCCGTTCTGCAAAAGAAAAGAGGTAGACTAGTACTAGGAAAGCCAACATTTCAAGATCTGAAGCCTTCACGAATTCCATATGTCTCCTGCAGAGATCACAATTCGTGGCCCGGACGGCGAGTCCGTCACAGCATTATTTGGCGAGGCAACTCCGGAGCAGCTGATTCCGTGCGCGGAGCTCGTGTTCTCCGCCTGGGGAAAAGGCATCGACCGGGAGAAGTTCCTCGAGTACGAGAGACTATTCGCGACCCAGCCACTCACCCGCGATGGAGGTCTACGCCAGTGGTGCGTGTATCGCGCTGACAAGCCCGCCAAGGTCTTTGCTACGTGCAAGACGATACGCCGGCCGGTTTTGGTCCGGGAGAAGCAGCCAATCCGGGGCTACAAGACCACAGAGGAGAAAGCATACTGTGTGGCTGCTGTCGTAAGCGACGGCGCGTACCGTCGGCAGGGTATTGCAGCGTTCATGATGGAACAGTTGGCCAAGTGGCTGGATGGGCCCGGTGAAGCCGTCGCAAGTGTGCTCTACTCGGCTGTCGGAGAGGTGAGTTCGGATTCTTGTCGTTCCTGAGGGCCCTGCTGACTAGGCGCACAGTACTATGCTAAGATGGGCTGGCAACTCGCAAATGCTCGCAAGGAAACCAAGACCATACTGCAGGTGAAGAAGGGGCTCCCATGGGAGCAGCTCGACCTGATGACCGCGTGGGAGGTACACAACGATTGCGTGTCGGACCTCTCTACGCGAGACGTCAAATCTGTACGGGAAGAATTCGACCAGCTCGACCTCGCACATGGCGAGACGGCCATCTGCGTGCTGCCCACCCCCGAAATCCTCGGGCTGCAGCACGCCAAAGCCGAGTACATCGGCACCTGGGCCGCCGGGGTCCCTCCAGAAGTCAAAGGCGCCAAGTGCAACCCACTGGGTACCTGGGTCTACTGGCATCACAGTTTCCTCAAGCGGAGGCTCCTTATCCAGAGGGTAAGGCTCCCGTTGGATAGATACGACCAAGGGAGCACCATCTCGGGATTGACAGCCCTGATCAAGTCTGCGATCAACGAGGCCGCACGATGGCAGCTCGAGACGGTCGAGATATGGAGCGCGCCACCAGAGATGCAGCGGGCGATTGAGATCCTGCACAACGAGCTCGGTATCGAGTTTACGACCCAGGAGCGGCCCACGGCAGATCTCGTGTCGGTGAGGTGGAAGGACGATGCGGCTAAGAAGACGATGGTCTACGCAAACGAGTACTACGCGTATAATTAATACAGGACCTAGTCTGAGGAGCTCTTCTAATTAATTCGCACAATGATCTTTACCAAGCTATTGACCTTTACCTGGCACCACTAGTTCTGCCAAGTATATTGGCGCTTTGCTGCCAACATAAATCATTGCTCTGACGATTCGCTGTTGAGATGAATTGCAGCTGGTCTATGCTTGGCAGAGTCATGACCATGTGGCGTGAACATATCAAAGGCATGACCATGTTAGAGCCGTGAACATGCCAGAGCGTGAACAGGCCAGAGCGTGAACATGCCAGAGGCGTGAACTTGTCAGTCCTATGAACTTGCCAGAGCGTGAACATGTCAGCCGTGATCCGCCACGGACAATTATTCATAATGTATGTCTCCAATGTTTCCTCTGCAAAGACATCTTACTCTCAATATAAGACAGCGACCTGAGGTTTTAAGTATGGCGTATCGTGCCGTGTTTCCTTGCTACTAAGCGCACAAGTCTTTTTCAAGTTTCAACCTCTGCAAACCATCAGCAAGAAAGATTTAGCTCCTACGAGAACCTGGATCAGACCAGTCTGGGACATGATGCCCGCCCCCGATTCTTCCCGCGACCCGGGGACCTTAGCGATCATCGAGCAACGTCATGACAACCGTTCTGATGGCAACAAGGACGACAAAAGCGCATTGTGCGGCGGCAAGCGTTGCGCAATGTGCTCATATCTGTGCCTTGCGTCTTATGGCATTTGCGCGAAGTGTTTTGGTCACAGATGCACACCGTGTCATGGAAAAGACATCGTACACAAGAACGCTTAGTAGACCACCGGATCAATTGAGCGAGAGGACACTCTACTCCTTTTATGAGCGGTCTGGTTACAGTGATGGCAACAAACAATAGCCATGACTCCAGGAACCAGGGAGGGAATTATTGTCTGTGCCGTGGCCAGAGTATATTATGACGGGGTACTTTGGAAGCAGGAACATATTTCGTTACATACTGCTTAATTGACTTCTTTTTGCTTGGCCTCCCGTGGTGTGCATGCGTGTGTGGGCTGGCCGCGCTTGAAGCCATGCAGAGACTCCCTCACCGCAAAGTTCACCCTTGACCTTTTCTCTCGTCAACTTGACACAATCAAATACTCTCTCATCATTACTAGTATCGTGATATGGATTGAACCTATTCTTCTTGACTTGCTGTGCTTATCAATAATAGGGAATAGTCTGAGCACTCCTGGCACTCTAGTCATGGGTCCAGATCTTGAAGCTCCCTATGACCGCCGTTATGCTCCCGTCGTCACGAATGGCTCCTATTGAGACAGAGAACAGAAATCTTTAGCGTCGATACCGTTTGCCGGTAGACAGTGTCAGAAATGTCGGTATGGGTTGCTGAACTAAGAATAGAGGAGAGAGTCTGGGAAGGCTCAAGCCCTTCCCGCTGAGTACAACCCTTCCCCAGCCTCCTGATTATTCGGCTTGAGCTTCAGAATCAATAGACAGGAGCAAGTTCCAAGATTATCCCCGAGCATCGTCTACCGTTCGATCCTGGCGGCGAGAGCATTGATGCTCATACAAACGGTTGGAATCATCATTTCCAGGCCGGGCATGCTGTTCAGCAGGGCTCGATGTTACCAGAACGGCTCGCTGGCCCAATTTCTGCTTCGATGGGCTCTAGGACTTTCAACTGCAGTATCCAGGCTGAGATACGGTGATGTGGTAGCTTAGATCGGCCAACACAACTTGCACCGTTTCTTCGATAGGAATGGCCATAGCTGACTGAGGGACAGGGTCGATGGGTTCGAAAAGTTATCACTAGCAAGACGATGAATTGCTTCACACGACCAAACCATCTAGCGTTACTCGGGCCGGTTGTTTGCCTGCAATGCGTCTCGGAACCAGCAGGGCATATTTTCCCGAATAGCATAGCTGGAATTACCAGATGGAGGACTATTGGGCCAGCTCTCACGTAACCTCTTGGGTGAATGACATACTATGCGGACGCAGCAGTCTCAGGGCCTCTTTGTCGAAGTCAAGGCATGGAGCCTTATTATTAGCCGTATTGTGGAGAAAGTGTTGAAGGCGTGTGACATGCTTGGAATGGTCACGTATAATTCATATCTCATCGGGACCAACTAATTTCCCCGCTCGACTGGATGAAGTGCTGATCGTAGATATATCAAGCATGTCCAAACACTAAAGACACGCAGACTGCCCGACCCAAAATGTGTTTTTGAGACTCAGCGGTTGGCTTGATTCTTGGGTTCTTTACCTGAGTTGCTGGCCCATAAGCTCGAAAATATCTTCCCATATCTTGTCCGGGGACCCTGGATACAGCGTCATCGTGTGCACCCACTCAGAGAGCAAATCGAAGAAACCCCAATAGCTCCTCGAGTCCCCAAGAAGTCGCCCAGCCCAAGCCATCACGCATATGACGTCGGATGGGACCCGCGGATTCCAGATTCGAGGGAGTGATAGGCGATAGCAGGGGTGTCGCAATGGCCGGGCCCCTGCATTCAAAAGCATCTGTATCATCTCGATCCTTCGATGAAAACCGCCGCTGAAGCCAACCCAAAAGTCGTTGGACATATACGATACATCTTCCTTGCCCATGTTCGCAAAAGAGTACCCAAGAACCGCGTTCTCAAGCAGAGTCCGCCTCTGCCGGCTTCTTTCGAGCAGGCTGCGGTCATTTTCAATCTTGTGCTTGACAAAGGGAACGACACCATATTGGGCCATGACGCCGACAAAGCAGTCTTGCGCGTCCGTCTTGTAATTGTGCACGGTGAGGCTCCGGGTGAGGGACCAGTGATTTGAAACGTACGTGTCTCTGACGTATCTGGTCTCGGTGAGACCAAACTTGTACCTGCCGGTGGCGTTCATTGCATCAATCTCCTTGTCAATGAGGCGCCGCAGTTCTTCCAGCACCCGGATTAGAACCGGTGTAATCAGAGGCGAATCGGCAACTTTGGATGCGAACAAAAAGCAGGGGACTGTCTTCTCCCACATAAAGTAATCGCGATTGTCTGTATAGATGTCTCTCGGTTCGTGATATGGGACTTGCAGGGCGAGCTGTTTCATCCAGGCTTGTAGCAGTAAAAGATTCTCATCGAACAAGGGTGGTCTATGAGTCGTCATCTTCTGCCATATGTCGGGATTGAACAGCCATTCTCGGGCGCTGCGGTGATGGTAGTCGATCAAACCTTTGGCCGACATTTCCAAGATACCCCTTGTAGAGCTGCTGAGGCGTCTCGCCACGATCATGAACAAGGCATCTCGGGTCCTTTGCTCCTCAAATTCAGCAGGTACATCCTCGCCCTCGGTCGTCCACAAGATGGCTGCATGCAGAGGCACAAAAGAAGCAGCTTTGATGAAGAGATAGCGTGCTGCTCTCTCGGCGTCTTCTTGCTCTAGACTGCTGTAGATACGACTGTAGAGCTGCATGAGGTCGCCCGGGAGGTCGTCCACGATGGCTTGGAGATCGGCCAAGGATTTCCCTTTGGCCATAGCGGATTGAAGTTGCTGGAGAACTAGAAAAACCCACAGAAAGACACCTTCGGCTCTCGAGAGAATCTGCTGGCGAAGTCCTTCTGCGACAAGGGGGGAAGCCTGGCGCCGCTCGAGAAAGCCCTCGCTCGACTCCAACGTGCCGTCAGTGTAGATGACAATATCGTTCGTCGTCAGGCTCTGCATAGAGAGTGACGGATATTTCACAAACGCGTCGGAGAATGCTGTCCACGGCCGGCTTCCCATGCAGAGCTTGATCTTGTATTTCTCGGTCGTGTTCTTGACCCAGGTAATGAGTGTTCTAGGGTCGCCATTGAACTCGTCAAGGCCGTCGATGAATAGCACCAGCTTGAACAAACCGCCGCTCAGGGCTGCCAAGGCCGAGAAGACCTCCTCCAGCTCCGTCCAGTCCCAGGGTGGAGGCTTGACGGTTTGACCCCGGAACGCATGGTGCACTGCCCAGCGCCGAGGGGCGACCGCGGGAATCATTTCAGGTCTATCGCTCAAGGCCTGGTAGAGTAGTGTCCGTAGCAGACCTTCGTGCGACTTTTGAAGATCATCCAGACCCGCATTCCAGAAGAAGAAATGGGTCACGAGCAGAGGCGCTTCCCCTGCCCATGACTTCAGTACCTCGTATGTATGTTTGTGATGTGTGATGAACTTCATCAGCGTTGATTTGCCTGACCCAGGCTTGCCAGTGATCCAGTAAGGGTCGGTACTGACACTCCCGAGCCAACCCTCGAAGCCAGTTCCAGCCCTCTCGTGGTAGATCCACTCAAAAGTCGAGACATATGCTGATGGGATGGCTTCCTCTCTAGACTGGATGGAAGAGAAGTAAAGGCTGGACAGAATCTGGTCTTGGACCTGCTTGTCGAGCTCGTTTGTAATGTGCATTTCGGCCATGATAGCGTCTCCACGTCCCTTCTGCCAATCTGCCTTCCATAGATCGTCGAAAACCGTTCCGCGATTCCTGTTACCATCAAGGCCCGTGGCACTTGTCAACCCGACCATCTTCTCATGGATTTGGTCGATCTTGTCCTCCTGGCGAGCGAAGGCCGCGAAGATATCTCGGCTCTGATGCCGGAGGTGCTTTTCTCGCCTGCGTGATTCCGCGTCAATGTCCTCCCTGTGGTACATGTTAGTGCCAGGAAAGTGGCTCAATGATGAAGGTATCACTTACCTGGCTGCCATAAGCTGGATCATGATCATCTCGGACTGGATCTGGCTGAGTCGATGGTATAGGGTGTCGATCTTGGCCTGGGACCAGGCGAGCTTGAAGGCTGCGGCGATGCTACTAAGAGTGCGGTGCAGGTTCGACCCGCCGCTGGCTTGGAGCCCTCTGAGGACCACCAGGTAGTCCTCCTTGATCCGCACACATTCGCGGCAGATGTCGACTAACAAGGGATACGATACACCCCTTGGATCAGCGCCCGCGAGCGATGCCGAGATTTTCTCTCCATAGTCCGCGAGCCGAGAAATCACCTGAGACAGGCGCTGCATCTGCGGCGAGGTTCCGCCCGGTGACTTGTGCACGGCACAGGCGTCGGCGATCAGGGTCCGAGAGAAATCCACAAACGTCACAACTGAGCCGGCCACCTGAAGAGCAGTGACGGGATCCATGACTACGCATGTCTTGGTGGGAAAGGACAAGGTGTTTGGCAGAAGCGAGACCCGAACACACCATGGGCTGGCTGGTATTTGACCGCGGCAATGCACGTGGTGTGTGACGTTTCTGTAGGCTCGTCGTGCTTCACAAAGTCGCCGTCCACCATGACCAGGCAGAGATGTGGGCTTGGTCAATATGGACAGGCACAGCCCTCCGTGCAACAGTACTGTAATACTCCCTGAGAAGGTATCACGGCCGGAATGCTCAGCAGGACATCTTCGCTCATGGAGTGGGCCAATCCCGGAATTCTGCCAGTATAGGTTTGCCCATCACTGTGCCTTGGCTCCCCTTGTTTGCACGCATATACATGCACAGGTAAGCCGGGCCTTTAGAGTATGCAGAAAGTTGTGTGTTCGGGGTCCCTCGGTAGAACTGTTGAAGATTTTGCTGGCCTCGTCGAATCGTCGAATCGCCGGCCCAGAGAGCCTAATCATCACACAGATGCATCGACCAAAGCTACAAGTTGAGTTCGCCGGTTCCTCGATAACTACGCCTATGTACAACCTCATCGAGGTGAAGTACCAGCTAGCCCCGAAGATAGATGCCAGGTTGTGATGAGAGGAGAGAACAGATTCAGATTTGTAAATCATCGCCGAACCAGTATGCCAATGCCAGACAAAGGAAAGACAAAACAAGACGAAAAGGGCAGGCCATTTGCAAGAGACCTGATGAAAACAAAGATCAGCAAGGAAACAAGACTTGATGCTATGGGTATCGCAGCCCGCCACACTTCCCCATCGCTTCCGCACCCTCGAGTCTCTTCAGCCTTCCGATTTGCGAATCAGTGAGTCTGAGGGACGGACTCTCTGGGCCCATTCGCTAGGGAATTGTTAGCAATCGGCAATGCCATGTAGAGGTATGAAACGAGGAAGACTCACGTCCAGCTGCCATCGTAGACCTTCCTCTGGTCGGGGCTGCCGTAGTCGGCCTCGTTCAGCGCCGTCTCGACCACGGCGGCGGTGACGCCAGAGCCGCAGCTGGCGATGACGGGTTTGGCCGGGTCGACGCCCTTCTTCTCAAAGTAGGCCTTGAGCTGGTCGGCGGGGAGGAAGGTCTTGGTGGTGGGGTCGAGCACCTCGTTGAAGGGGATGTTGATGGAGCCGGGCATGTGGCCCGAGGAGAGCTCCTTGCGGGGCTCGGGGTCCTTGCCGGTGAAGCGGCCCGGGGACCGGGCATCGAGCACCTGGACGCCCTCGGCACCCTCCTTGTTGTAGTCGAGGGCGACCTCGCGGACCTCTTCGTAGGTGGCGACCTTGTCGGCGTCGAGCTCGGGGATGGGGTAAGGGTGGCACTCGACATCGTAGAGCTCGCCGCTCTCGGTGGGCAGGCCCTGGTCGACCCAGAGCCTAAAGTTGTTGAGGACGTGGACGTTGGGGTGGCCAAAGACGCGCAGGGTCCAGCCGACGCGGGGCGCGGAGAAGATGCCGAGCTCCTTGGTGTCGTAGACGACGACGGTATCCTCCTTGCGGATGCCCATCTCGGACATGGCGGCGGCAAAGTCCTTGGCGCTGGGCAGCATGTGCGGGTAGGGGCTGCGGCGGTCCGAGATCTTGTCGACGTCGAAGAAGCGGGCCTTGGGGATGCGCTCCTTGCGGAAGACCTCGATGCCGGTGCGCTTCTCCGGGTCGTTGGGCATGAACCAGGCGGCGCAGAGGGGGATGACGCGGGGGTCGGGCGAGATAGTCGAGGGCGGGTTCTTCTTGAGCGCCTCGCTGAGCTCCTTGGGGGTGACGAGGTAGGAGGAGAAGGAGCGCGCCGCCATGGGGAGGACGAGGGCGGACCGGGCGGATCGGAAGAGAGGTTTGGACGAAGAGGACAGTGAGGGGCGAGCCAGTCGCGATATGGCGGCAATTGCGACCATTGTGTGAGTATGTGGGTAGAGCAAAGGTCGTCGTCGACCCAGCTGCTCGTATCTTGGGATTTGCCGTGTGTGAGTCGGAGGCGGAGGTGGTAGTGGCCGTGGGCTGGAGAGTTGGAGACCTGCAGAGCTGCAGAGCTGCTGGAGAGACCCACAGGCGAAGAGACAAGACAGGTGATCCAGCTGCGATGTCGGGTCACTGTACGGAGTAGTTAGTAGTTACTTGTCCAGCTCGATCTCCTAATGCCCGACCCAAGTCTTGCGGGACGCAAAGCTGGTCGTCAATCGCAGGCGAGGGCAATGACGAGCGCAGAGTGAAGGAAGACAAGACGTCAGTCGGATTGCCGCCAGAGAGAGAGAGACAGAGAAGAGTGTGCGGGGTTTAGACTTTTTGGCAATTGGCCGAGCGAGCTGGGGGGGGTTGGCTGCTTCTTTTTTTCACTGGTGATCTTTGGGCTGGATTAGTTAGCTACAGCCTGCAGTAACTACAGGTCGGTCTGCAAGCCGTTGCGCTTGGCGATGGGCGATAAGGGGATCCATAGAGCTGGAGCTTGGGCCACCGCAGCACATGCGCGCTACGAGGTACAGTTAGTTACGGAGTAACTAGTGGCTGTCGCTTGTGGGAGGGGCGCGCCACTGATAAGCTTGTGATGCCGGTGATGGGATGGATGGATCGTGAACTTGGGCGTGTCCATCCATCCTCAGCACACCCTCGCGGCGGGGTTTTCTTTGCATCACCATCTTTCGGACACAGGGGCATCTCACTTGCCCAGGGCGTCATCACTCATTCAACCAAGCAAAGGTCATTCTTGACCTCCCTCAGCCAACGCGTCTCGTCTCGTCAGGACGCGTATCATAGACTCTGCATCTCCATCGGCAGCAATGAAGGTCAAGATCAAGCAGTGGAACGCAGTCGCCACGTGGCGGTGGGATCTCCCAGAGGACGACGTCTGCGGTATCTGCCAGAATCACTTTGACGGCACTTGTCCGTCGTGCAAATTCCCCGGAGACGACTGCACCCTATGTGAGTCCCTGACTATGAAGCTGCTGGGACGAACCGCGACGGGATTGTTGACGCTAATCGGACCCCCAAGTATCTGGCAAATGCGGTCACAATTTCCACATGGTGCGTTGGGCCTTGCATTGATCTTAAAAGTCAGTTGGTTGCCTCGGGAATGTCTCATCTAACACATGACAGCACTGCATTCTCGAATGGATCAAGCAGGACTCGGCCAAGGGACAATGTCCCATGTGCAGACAGCGTACGTTGCTCGCCCGCCGCATATCCGTGTTGCTGTATATTGACCAGGCATGGATCGCAGCATTCGAGTGGCACGAACAGTCTGGGGCGACGACTTCCCCCCAGGCACACGATGTGACGTCTTGACGAGCTTCTAGTACTTTAGGAGATGGCATGATTATGAATGGCGTTGGCTCTTTAAGATCAAGGGTTTCGGGCTGCGTTTCTGATACCCTTGATACCCCCTTGATATGGGATGAATCTTTGTATGATATGGAATTCAACCCGGGTTACAATTCGATTTCTTCAACCGTGTGTCGGCCACCGTTTGGTCTATTCTAAGTGCTTGTGTAAATCAAGCTGCGAGTTCCTCAAACTGTCAGAAACAGAGAGCGCAATACCTTACCTAGTTAGGTACAAGCACCCCGTACAAGATTCGCGGCACCTGGAAAGAAGCGCTATCGGACTGGGACAGCTGCCTATCTTATCGCTGACCCCAACATGGATTGATCCATGGATGTTATTAGTTCCCCAACCGCTGCAAGGGCCGTCGATCATCATCGGCTCTCACAGACTACCTTGACTACCTACTTCCCGCGATCGGCATCAAGCCAAGATCTCGACCATCTCCATCACCGGACAAACAACTCAGGGCTGGCTCCCGAATCGCATTCCCCCCCAACACAGTAAGAGCAGACGGCCGGCCGCACGGAACGCTATGCCACCCCCGCTCCAAGGCGAGCGGTAACCCGGCGCAACACCATCATGATTCAGCCTGCTGCCTAGGTCGCTTACCCCAAACTACCTATACAACTACAGCCACCATCGTCGCGGCCAGCGTCTACCGGCACCAGACATCCCGACCAGCTCGTTTTCCTCCCGCGACACCACATCTCCATCGCCATGGCGGATCCGATCCCTGCCTCCCGCCGCCTCTCCACCGACGCCGCCTCCTCCCACCGGCCCGCATCCATCCGCTCCAACCTCTCCGCCACCGCAGCCACGAGCCCGCCCCAGATCCAAGAGCTGCCAGCGACGGCGTCAACATCACACCACCACCACCAACCACAAGAACAGCAGCACCACCCCCCGCCGTTCTCCGCCCTCTACACCCTCGTCACAGACGCGACCTCCCAGGCCGGCCGGCCCGGCGCCGCCCCGACGACGCACCACCCCCGCGTGCACTACGTCTTCTCCGACGACGACCCGGACGCCCTGAGCACGGCCCTGTCGGCGGCGTCCTCCCCACCCGCCGCGGCCGGCAAGCACCACCCCGTCCTGCTGGTCGACGTCGTGCCCGCCAACAACCACGCCGCTGACGCTCCCGCACCGCCCGCAGCAAACGACGCCGCGGCTTCCTACACCGTCGCCGGCGCCTGCAGCCTCTCGCCCGACTGGGCCGTCACCTCGGCCCGGATAAGCCGCATGGAAGAAGACGCCGGCGGCGGCACCGGTGGCCGGTCCGGGGGCGGGGGCGGGGGCGGCAGCAGCGGCGACGGCAACGGCACGCTCATGCTGCGGATCGAGGGCGTGGGCGTGGACGCCGTGCCGCCCTCGGCCGGCGGGAGAGCGGCCGCTGCCGCGTCGTCGACGGAGCTGGGCGGCTCGGGCGGGTCCGGGTCCGGGAGCAGCCAGCACCAGCCGCTGAGCGGGGCCGGGGAGGATTACTCCGTGCTGATCGAGGAGTTCGATAGGAGGCTGGCCGTGTTGAGGAGGGTCGTCGACGCTGGGGAGGACAGGAGAAAGGGCATGGAGGGCGGGGAAGAGGAGGCGGAGGAGGGGAAGGAAGAACACGAAGTGCAGGAGGAGCAGGAAAGGAGAGCGTCTGGCTAAGCTATCTAGGAGTTTATACCATTTAGACACAGGACACCAGAGGCAACATGAACAAGCCATAAGCCGCAATAGTCGAGTCGCGGCTCTCATCATGAACGTATTTCAGAGATTCGACAAATGAGAAACCAAGCTCTCTCGCCAAATTTACAATACTTTTGATGATGTAGCGAGATCTTCACTCTACTGAGATAGTCATGCATTCACCACTCACTCACAGTATTCAGTGGCACACTCGAGAGCTAATCTAGCAGATTATATTCCACGGTTCAGTCCCAACGCCTAGAATGCAGCTATTTAAAAAAAGGAAAACGCCTGCTGATCGAGTAGTAGTTGCCGGTGCTGCCTTCTTCCTCTCCTCTCCCAGACGTATATATCTGGGCCTGAGAGTCAGACAGCCACATCGGGCATGTGTACACAAAAGAAACAAAAGGACCAAAACGGAAACAGCCCGGGAAGCTGATATTTCCCAAATTTTAACTCCCGCGAAAGACCTGAAGAAGACAAGATACAAGCTGGATATGCCGGACCAAAGGAAACGCAAACAGTTACTGTTGATGATGTATGTCGTTGCCCGCCTCTAGTTGCTTCCGTCCCAGTCCTGGCCTGGCACGACGTACCGCTTCTCCTCGCCCGTCGACTCAATCGGCGGCTCGGGCTGAGGCTCGTGGAAGACGACGCCCGGCAGCACGTACCGCTTCTCGGCGCTGCTCTCCGACTTGGCCGCTGCCTGCTGCGGCTCCTCGGGCGTGTACGGCACGCCGACGCGGACGAAGCGCTTGCCGATGCGGACGCGGGCGGGGCCGCCGGCGAGCATGCCAAACTTGGTAGCGAGGTCGGCGTCGGCGGTGGCGGCGTTGATCTCGTCGTTGAGGGCGCCAGCGCCGGGGATGACGACGTTGTTCTGGGCGACGCTGAGCAGGGGAACGAGATCGCCGTCGAGTGCCACCGCGGAGCGCTTCTTGTTGTCCTTGTTGCCGCCGGGAGGGTTCTTGATGAGCATGTAGACGGTGATAATGACGGCAATGACGACAATAATGGCCACTAAGAGGTCAAGTTAGTAACCGAGACAGCATGAACAACCTTGACGCGCAACCCGAATGCTTACCGCAGATACCCAGGCACCACCACTTCTTCCTGCGCGTCTTCTTGGCCGTCTCGACGGCGACGGCGATCTCCTCGTTGCCCTTGTCGAGGTTCTCGACGACCTCCTCGCCCTTCTGCTCGATCTGCACAATGGCCACGTCCTGCTGCATGACGAGGGTGTCCATGTCCTGGAACAGCTGCGCGAGCTCGATCATCTGCTGCTCGATGCGCTGCAGCGCGGCGTGGCGGTCCTGGACGGCGTTGAGCACGGCGCGGGCCTGGCCCTGCCGGTTGCTCTGCATCATGGCCTGCTGGAAGACCTGGCCGCCGCCGGCGCCGTTGTCCTCGACGACGGCGCGGACTTCCTGCTCCGAGGCCTCGGGCTTCACGATGCGGTACTGGCGCGCCATCTGGTCCTGCGTCTTCTTGCGGAAGGCCGACTCGAGCTGCTGGTAGGACTGGATGGCGTTCTTGAGGCGGCGGTCGACGCGGCCGACCTGGGGCGCGTTCTTGGGCTGCCGCGCGTCGGCCTGCGACTTGACCTGGCGCACGCGCTCCGTCAGCTCACGGTAGAGGGCCATGGTCTCGGAGGACAGGGCGTCGAGCTGGCGGCTCGTGGCGGAGCCCGACGAGTCGGCCTCGCCGAGGGAGCGGTCCTGCAGCATGCGCAGCTGGTTGAGGTTCTGCTCGACCTTGTCGATGCCCTGGTCGATGCTGCGGCACTCGTTCAGGATGGCGTTGGGGTCGCCGTTGTTGGCGAAGGCGCCGGCGTTCTGGGCCAGCGAGGCCATCTCGACGTTGCCGGCTGTCGAGGGTCCGACCTGTCAGCATATCGCGTTCCCGTTTCTCGAGGGGCAGACGCGTCTACTCACATCCATACTCGTCGCGGCCCATAGCCGGTCCCTGGTTGTATCTGGGTGCACCGCCGCCGGGGCGAGGACCCTGACCAAAGGCAGCCTGGGGCGGCGCCCGGCCGCCTCCTCCTCCGCCATAGGACGGAGGGTCCCGCTGGTCAAAGGGGTTCTGTTGTCCGCCGTATCTGTGGCATATCAGTTAGATTTGTCGTCCCTCGCCGTGATCTCTCGTGGGCCGTGGGAACTGGAAAAGGACTAACCCGTACTGCGACATTGTTAGCTACTATTATTCGTGATGCTCAACACCACCGTCTGGACGTAAACACAGTAACGCCGAGGGAAAGGAAAAGGAGGATGCAGGTTGGAGGAGAATGCCACAGTGAGACAAAGAGGTCTGACTGAAAGGAGCAAGCCTCGTGGCAGAGAGGCTTGGTCTGGCAGTGGGTCCCGCGTTGAAACACAAAGAGAAGGGAAGTGAAACACTGACACTCATCTTGTCGAGGAGCGAGGAATGGACCTCGTGATGCTAGGGCGGGTAAACACGCCGAGAGAGGATATCGTCTGTGTATATTTCGCTGGTCGGCCGGTGTATCGTAGACAAAATTAGAGGCTATCGCGATGCTCGTGTGAGTAAGTGGTGTGTTTGTCGGAGTCTTGGGGGAGGGAGGTATGGGAAGAGTCGAAGAATGGGCGAAGATCAGGATGGGCTGGCTGGAGTGCTGGCTAAAGGGGGCAAGTCGAGAGAGCTGGTCTCCATCCACAAGCTGAGGCCGAATGCGTGTCAGGGGTATTTTTGACGGGTCCTGCATCCCATTCAAGATGGATGGGGGATCCATTTGGGAACTTGTTGCCAAATTAATCCCTGTCGGCTGTGCTGGAGGGTGGTGGCCCATTGGTCCCTGCGTGCGCTAAGCCGTCTCGCTCAGGTACCGGTCCCTCCCATCCACTGCCTTCAAAGTTCTCACCTTCCAGGGCTGGCAGGGAGTCCCTTTCCAAGGTTCTTCTTGAACCGATGAACCAGATGGATCTTCAACCCAATAGCACCAACAACTTTCCTTCCTAAGTACAAGTGCATACCGAGAGCTGGCCAGATATTGAGAGGCAGTGAAGCATCGAGGTCATCATCATCGCCGACAAACACTGGCAATCCCGGCGCCCCTGCCGACGCGGCTATTCAACCCTCCGTCATGCTCTGCGGTGATCTCCAGTCTTTGCCACCAGTGACCTGCTAGATGTCACTGCTATTTACTTTACCTAAGTAGGTACTGAGCAAAGAGTCCAGACGGCCACACGGTTTCGCTGCTGTCACAAGAGCGACAGGGGTCACCGATCCAATTTGGTTTCAAGAGCATGATCGACGCCCACGACCACTGGCCCTGGCGCGTCACCACCCCCCGACAGCCGGCACACCTCCTGCAACATTGAACCCCACAAAACCCGTTGAGGAAGACTTGGTTGTGGTGGATTAGGGTTTCCTCTGATGAATCGCGACGAGATTGGCAATCTTTCCTGGCCAGCAAACACGAGCGGTTGGCATCTCAGGACGCAAGGGCTGCCGGGCTACACTAATATATCGGGCTCATTCATGGCGGTCTAGCCTTACCAATACAATGCCCAGCAGGTTCCCATTTAAATTCCGCATTCAGGCCCAGCCCGCAGCACTACCTAAACTAATCAGCGGCCCGCCTCCTGCGACCAAAGGGCTAAGCGCCACCGTGGCGGGCCCCCTCTCTGTACGAATTCTGTTTTCAGGTTAACAAGTTCGTGTTGGCTCTGCTGCACCATCCCCACTCATCACTGTCCTTCTCCCTCAGCTCGGGCGTAGTCAGCCTACGCTATGCGGGATTGCTCACTGGTGCATTTCAGCTCGAGTCTTCTTTATTGAAGCTGCTGAAAGATGTACAATGTGCGCAAGAACATGAGATGTAGTAGGTACTGATGTAGTCTATCTACAGTGATTCTAACAGCCTTCTCCTCCTCCACCCTTTGGCTCTCAACAATCCCAAAACCCTGTCCTTTGAACGCCAGCAGCAACCGGACTGTCAGACGATAGCATATGCAGATGCATAGCTGACGCTCGTCTTATTCACATCATTCACCAGGCTGCTCCTACGATATTGAACAAACGCGAACTTGCCCGTCCCTTTCATTTCCGGAGGCTTGACCTCGTTGCTCTCTGCCTCTTCTGCGTCCGTGGCCACAGCAGCCGCCTTCCCCCACTTGGGCTTGGATGCAAGCTCCTCCAAAGCGGCCATCATGACGCCAATTGGGTGCCGGCCGCAGACCGTGTTCTCAGTAAGGTCTATATTGGCTCTGAACCTGTCGTAGATGCCCGTCTCGATGCTCGCCATGGCCGCCTCGTCAAGATACCTGATTGCCTCATGGATCGGCGGGTCCGTAGGGGCCGGCCCATATTTCGACAGCTTCTGCAGGTCTTCAAGCTCCGGGCTGGTGCAGTACGTGGAGTAGCCAAAGTTGTCGCTGCCCCAGTGGCAAAAATCGCTCGAAATGACAAAGGCATTTGCCGGGTCCCGCAGGTACGGCGCGAGCAGGCGGCCGACACGCTTCTCTGCAGAGGGGCTGCCATCCCCGACCACCATGGGCACGATGGTCGGCCAGGGTCGGCTGTCTCTCCATGTCTGCTCCAGGCGCTTGTAGATGTAGGGCATGTGCATCTCGAGACTGTGCTCCTCCGTGTCATTGAAACGAGGTATGTCGGCGAAGCGACCAGTGGCCCGCAGCTCGTCCATGACGTCTTGGTCGACGACGAGATCACCGAGTGGCGTGGCCCAATGGGCAAACGTGGTGAGAGCGCACCCCGACAAGCCGTAGGTGTGAGAAGGCCCAAGAACAAAGATGCGCTCGGCCTTGCTCAAGTCGAGAGCTTTGTAGGCCCAGGCAGCGCAAGGACCCGAGTAGGAGTAGCCAGCATGTCTGCCGGGGCAATCGCATGAGCTTTCGATCCCCAGAGGCTATCTTTGATTGCAGGCACAACAGGGCATAGAAAGGAACGCAAAAGTGAACGCATGATGCACGAGCAGACTCACGGTGCAATGATCACACGGGCGCCCGGAATGGGCAGACTGCTGCCGTTGATCTTATTAGGGACGTCGTCGAGCCACTTCTCGAGCTGCTTGGAGAGGATGTCGGGATTGGCAGTGTACCAGCTGCCTGCTTTGGCCGCTCTACGGGTGCCGGCAAGCTTGGACTCTTGGGAGGCCATCGGGTACAGTAGATGGGATGGAATTGAGCACAGCCAGCGATACAAGTAAGCTAAATGAATATGTACTCAGGCGAGAGAGATGTTCAGATCACAACGAGCCGGTGCGCGCCTTCAGATGAGATGAGGGGTTCAAGATGGGAGCTGCAGCTGCCGAGCGTGCCTGCCCCGCCGTCATCCGTCATGTGCGTTTCGGGTGTCCAATTGACTTAGCTACATCCTCGTGTGGGTGTACGTACTCCGTACAAGTACTGACATGTTATCATGTGGAGATAACATCATTGGTGAACATTTGATGTTTTGCAGAACATCAATCAATTGATCAACATCCCCATCTCGGGCCTCCGGCCGCCAGGAATGACCACTCATCAGCAGCTTGTAGTCATGCAAAATTTGGAGAATTTCCGCTCATGGTCTGACGACCCCAATCAATCTACGTCTATTCCAGCCCTCAGTTGGGCCTTGTTCCGCGACAGAAACCTGGCTGAGGCCAAACCTAAAGATTTGATTATGGCTTGCAATGATGTTAATTTATTCGGCCAAGATTGATAATCTATCGCCCTAGTATCAGTCTATCCAACCTCCGGGTACTCGTTGAATATTTGGCCTCGGTTCAAGCTCGACCATATGCCAAAAGTCATGGGCGTAGCTCTCACGACACTCGCTCCAAATCAACCGCCAATCATCCGGTTCCGCTCCATACACAAACCCATCCAGCTGCAATGGCGTGCATGCTTTGAGGTAATTTGCTGGCAGAGAAAAGTCACATCTGGATCCTGCTGCTCCGTCGAGCCGATGAAACGTCTCCAGTTCCCTATTGCCATATTGTCTCAGGTCAACATTGCAGCTCTTCAACACGTCCAGCCAGGCCTTGATCGCGTCGTCGCATGCCTTCTTCCACTTCTTCCTCTGCATATTCGAATCCCGGGACAGGCCGCAGAATACGGTCCTGATCAGTGACATCATCGGCGTGCCTGTCCAGTTCGGCCATGGATGTGTTTTCTCCCTGACCCGATTCGGGCATCCGCACTGCACAGTTTCGTCCAAGCTCAGCAGGTCCGCCCGGCCGAGAGCTGTGACTAGCTCGCCGACCAAGGCCGTATATTCAGAGACGTCGTCTTTTGCATTCACAAAACTGTGATACATGTACCGGCTGGTCACCTTCATCCCCAACGCAATCGCCGCGGTTTGCAGGAGCGATAACCCCTCACGCACCGATCGGTCGATGTCATCAGCCTCAATGGGCCCGTTCTGCCGCGTAGCCTGTCGTATCAAGCGAGGCGCCGGTGAGACTGCATACGTGGATGTCGGCCAGCAGCACATACGAGCCGCAAAGAAACGCTGTCGGGCTGGCAGCGTATAGTGGTGCGGGAGAAACTCCTGTTGGAACTTGGGGAACGTTTCCGCTGGCAGGGTCGGGAACATCTTCATCAGGTCGTCATCGCCCAGAACACCCAGATAACTCTCATACGAGTCGAAGAGCGAGAGCATCTGAAGCTGCTCCTCCGGATCCCAGATGAGCCGCATGGCATACCTTCCGTCCATGAACGGTGTGCTGATCTCGGTAAATGGGGTGCTGCCAGAGGACGTAAGAAGTCGTTCGGCTTTGTTTTTGAACCGCCTGAGAGCAAACTTACAACTGGCGACTAGAATCCAAGGCAGTCTCATAGATGCACTTATGGAGGCCAACTTCAAGTAGCTTCTTACAGATGCGTGGCTTGTAAAATCTCAGAGCGTACTATCATGCCATCAGTCACTTCCAGATGAAACCACATGGCAGGCCTGGTAAGTCTTACATGCAATAACGTCCAGCCACTCTCGTCCCTGTCGAACGGTGAAGCCTCACGCTTATCAAACAATTCCAACAATGTCTCCAGATCATCTCGACGAATGCACTGCATTGCCGGAGCCTCGTTGGACACGATGTTGTAGGATCGCAGGTGGACATCCCACCCGGAGAGCGCTCTCCTTGAACCAAACTCCCAGACTTTCTGCGCAAGCCAGGTCGGTGGCTGGAAACTGGCGATCAGGCTGCTCCTGTTTGCTGAGTACTCAAAGACCAGGCGGCCAAAGTATGTCGGCTGGTATGACCGGCGTTTGGTGTTCATCCAGTTCGATATCTGGGATATTGACAGCGTCTTCATGGCCCTGGCCGCATCTGGTTGGTGGTGCTCTTCATCGCCCCCGTTCGTCAACCGCCCGTCCTTGACGGTCTGACCGACTTGCCATTCCTGGAGGAGGATGTTGTTTTGGCGGATGATCTGGTTTGTGTACTTGTTTGTTGCTCTGTCAAACGAGAAATCAGCATGATAATGTCAAGTTCCACATCGTATCTAGGCTTCCATACGCAGTGTAAAGGTTGACTGAAAGTTGTAGCATATCCAAGGCACTCCTCAGTCTCTCTTGCATCCTGTCAAGGTCGTCCTTCCTCATAAGTACTTTCGCAGCCCTCGCCATCTGTCTCGTCTTGCTCTTTGCACCCATGATTCGACCATCCAGCTCCTCCACCATCTCGATCAGCGTTTTCTGGGCTTGCGCGCAGTAGGAGGCACTTTGAGAGGCCAACGACGAGTTCCAACCACCCTCTGGCAGCTCGCTGCTCTTGAACTCACGCTGGATCTCTGCCAACAGGGGCTCAAGCACGGTCATGTCGCTGAGAATGTCGCGGATCTGGTGCGGCACCTGCTCGACTCTGTCCCAAAGACGCTTGAGCTTGACCACGGCGCCTCCGATCTCCGTCGTCATCTGTACCACGGCAATGCCGCTCGCCACAACACCAAGAACCTCGGCCATGCTGAGAATGAGCTCGGGTCACAAGATCAAACGAATCTAGAGAGTAGTTCTGGGTAACAAATTCATTGTTGCGAATTACGCGATCAACAGGAAGCATCCTGTCTTTACATCTTCATTGATTGGGATTGCTCCGCATTTAAGCGCCTGGGAACACTGCTTCCAACAACGAGCTGCGACCTGAGGCCTACGACAGGGGTCTCAAAACCGCCTTGCAATTACCGGCCGGGAGGCCGCATGATGATGGGGCTTAGATGTGAGGCGAGGACGGCTGATTGGATGGCATCACTGACAGGGGTTGCGCACGCACAGAGGGCGCCAACATCATACAAAGAATCAACAACCTGCCCACAGAATTGGCAGCGAAGCAGCTGAAACATGAACAGTGCACAGGGCTAATTTTGGGACACGCTTGAGAGGAAGCAGAAAGTAGAAGCGAACAGAAGGAATCACCACTTAGCTAGTATCTGATTTGCTTTTTCTCCTGTAACTCGTTTTCAACTCCAAAACCTGCTCAGTCATACTGATTAGACGCTTGATTGCCTACCTTTACTATCATTCTAGCTTACTGCCGATCCTGGCCAGAGAAATCCAGCAGTTCGAAACAGAAAGACTCAATGTATAGTGACTAAACGCGAGGCCTCGTCCTATTTGTCTGGACATCTTGAGATAACCGATAAAGTTCCCAGGAATCAACCCGGTGGAAACGGCACTGGATAGCTTTAAGTCATAAAAAACTTTGGGTGTTTCTCCAGGAAGAACTGTCAAATCAACTTAGATAATCCCCCAATAGCAACAAGGTAGTCCCTGAGTCCTCTCCCGAACCAGAATATAGCCCATGGCGGCCCACGTGGGTAAACGAGCAGGTTTACGTTCCCCATTCGCAGCTCTGATTTGCCGGGAGCTATGGAAGCGAGGCCATGGTACCCAACCCGCGTCAGTGGCACGAGTACTAGTATGATGCGCACCTTGGTCTAGAATATCTTCCGAACGCGACTGGTCCGTCCACACTTGCTGGAGTTGTCATGGCATCGGGATCGGTGTCCCGGTCATAATAAATAAACAATCTGTAAGAACTCCAACGCTCTCAACACTTTGGTACGTTTCTTAAGAAGGCGGGGAATTGTAAGTCAACATGATTCATAAACAGAGCACTCCGCTTCTCCTCTGTCCTCTATCATTTTCTCTCCCATCAATATACATACCATCTCACATGTTTCAATAAAAACACACGTGCCCCCTCCCCCAGCAGATTTACGAATCACGATTTACGTCAACGGTTGACAAATTCTTCTCTTCGACATCTGCCTGCAATCCTGACGCTGTTACCATCATGCAATTCATGACATTGGTCATTGTGTGTCTGTTGAGCATAGCGGGGACTTGTCACGCCCAATTCAAGTTCAAAGATTTTCTCGCGGACTTGCGAGGAAATCCTGACCGTCTAGGGCCCACGAAATGCCTTGTAGGTTGCCTGCTCTTCCCCGCCTTCAAACACTTTGCCAAACATGACATTCATGTCTCACGGCCTGCAGAAGCACTGCACCGACTTGGTTCGCATGGCCAGCCACGATCAGCATAGCCTTTGTCATGGCGTGAAACCCGTTCTTGAGTTCAAAATATGCACGAGGCGGGATTGCTCAAGATATGGTCGCAGATGTAAGCAATGCATCCAATGGAGCCTGAACTATCTTCTTCAGTTGGAACTGATTCTCAAAACACAGTTGCGGACTGGTTGGTCAAGAAGCAATGTGAAGAGCAAGCCATTCTCGACGATCTTGAGGCCGAAGAGAGATCCCGAATGACCTTTGATTAATCTGAACTCTGTTAGCAGATAGTTTGGGCAGTACGGGTTGCACGTGTGCGGGACATGACTATGCTTTCTGTTTCTCTATGAGTTATGGCTTTTGCTTCACTCCCTCCGAGACTCAAGGACTGCGGTAGAACTCAATCCAAATACCTCTATATATTCTCCTCTCCCTTTGTTGAGACCAGTACACGTTGATTATCTGGCTAAATCACTGTTGGCATACTCCTGATGCCTCTCTTTGAGGTCTGCCCATCATATTGTGGGTTTTGGACAGTAAGTTCCACTCAAACTGCTACAGTACCGTGCTCCAGCCCGTGGACATATCGAAGCAAGGAATACCATGCGATCCGAGGCTGCCATGAGCGCATATTTCGTTAGCCGTCTTGCTCGTTGAACGATTACTCATGTCTGTGGACTTTAAAAGTGAATTCCTCTGAATAGACGTTGGAGATTGGATGACATTGTGTATGTAGCCCTGCGAACACCAATACAAATCACATAGATTCTCAAACGAGTTCCTCGCACAATATGATTCGACCTGCTCGCTCCGAGTTCGCCGATCCACCAAGACCACAGAAAAAGGCTCAAGATAACAGAACATCTATCTGTTTCACTATCCTGAGTGAAGCCGAACCTGCCCACGTGCATTCAGTCCCACGAGATCACTTGAATCGGGACGCTATGATAGAATGTTCCCGTCTCGCGCATGGCATCCTGCCCCGCCCCCGACCGATCAGAGAGATAAGGAGAGCTTATTCCGATTAACCATGGGCGACTCCCCCCAACTACCGGGCCCCGGCTGTATCTTAAAAATGCGAAATACCGCACCTGTCCACCGAGGCGGATGGCGCTCCAGACTGCTTTGGGGCAACGGTTCCGCCTCGGCCCCACAATGCGACAACGGTCGTCGAAGAAGAAGTGGGAAGCACCTTATCTCGCGTTGACAAGTGGGCGGGGGGGAGATAACCTCCAGGCGTTGACATCAAGTTGCCCTATCTCTCCGTGATAGCTTCATAGCTCACTTGCTGGATGCAGTCTAGTTGCGGAGATCACCAGTGACAGTCGAAGCTGCCGACCTGTCTGATCTGATCCCTTCCACTTGATGCTGATTGCCGATCAATATTGCACTGGCTCCAGGTGTCGTCCGAATAATGAATGCACTAACAACAGTGTTGTCAGTATCTCGGGTTCATAGTCATGATTAGTCACTTATCAAAGATGTGGGAGCAGCCAGAGGACATCAACGACATCAACCTCGGTAAGGAGCGTCTGCTGCCATCGTTCTTCCTGATGGTCTCGGGTACCATGCTTTGGCCATGCTTCGGCCATGCTTACGGTCTGTGTCTCCTGTAACCCACAACCATGTCTCGTACATGTACTACGAGCTAATTCCACTTGCAGACTGGAAACCCCGAAGGAAGACGCGATCCGTCTTCTTATCTGCAACCCCATAGTTCCAGGAGTCTGAACAAAGATTCCGATACGCAGTTACACCGCCTCACTATGCTGCCTGTATCGGCATTGTAACCCCCCACAGCGCAGTCTTCTCTCGCGTAGGACTTCCATTACAGGGATATCTCCGGGGTGATCTGGTCGGAGTGAGGCAATAATGTCTCGTAGACGAGAGCTGTCATGCTGATCCCCCGCCTGCCTCGGGTTCCCCGGCCGAGGAAGGATAGGAAGGATATATAGAGAGGCGGGGGTCTCCTGCTCTTGGTTATGTATCGAGGTTCAGTGTAGCTCTGAGTACCATAGACCACGGGCTAATTGTCTCAGTCATGAAGTTCCTTGCCGGTCTATCCAAGGGCCCAGTTGTCTCTTGTGCCCTCTTGCTCGGTCTCCTCGCTCAAGATGTGGTGGCAGCACCCCAGCCCAAGTCAGACTGGGTCCAGAATGCCAAGAGCAGGAAGAAGATGACTGATATCCTCAACGGGAAAATCCGCCGCGATCTAAACACTACTCTGTGTAGCGAGTCGGCCGCCAGGACTGTCTCTGCTCCTAAGCAGAACGTCTGGGGCGGGTTGACAGACGAGGAAGCTGCTTCTGTCGTGTCGTGGCTCTTTGCCCAGCCGGACCTCAACCTCACCGTCTCCGAGAACGCCACGGAGTGGGACAATACGATGTGAGTGATGTGCCTGCTAACCACAATAGGTTACAGCTGCTGACCATACTATAGTATTCTCGTTGAGAAGCTCGCACCTAACAAGACCGATGCCTTGAAATACATTGATGGCTGTGCGGCACCGCCGGCCAAGTATGCCCATGTGCTCCTGGATCACCGGTCCAGTGTGGATGCCTACTATCAGGACATCAAGGTCGGCCCGCTGCCTCTGGACAATGCCACTGCCAGCTGGGAGCCCTTGGACTACTACCTGACCAAGAAGAACGAAGGCAAGGTCCGGAACTTGGAAGCAGACCATGACAGAATGGTGAGCGAGTGGATCTATCCCATCAGCGCCTCCGTTGCCGACATCACCCTCGACCTATGGAATGCCACCGCCATGGGCCTCGACAACGACACGCTCAGCATCTGGGGCATCGACCCTCTGTGGCAAGATGACGGGCGCATTATCCGCTGGGACACCTTCTGGAATAAGCCCACAGACGGCTTTGACGTGGGCACGCTGCTCCCCCTGGGCCTGTTCTTCATGTCGGATGTCACCGGTCGGGACCCCAGCCAGTGGTCGCTCGAAGGGTGGCTGTACAACGGCATCTTCTACAAGACCACCGAGGAGTTCCGCAAGGCTTACTGGAGCCCCGGCTTCGAGAAGCTCGGCGCCAACGTCGAGGGCGACTGGACGCGTACCGACCAGCAGGGCCCCGTGCTGCCCATGGACGCCTCCTACCCGCCCACCCAGGTCGCGCCGTCGGCCTCGCGCTTCTCGGTGGACTCGGAGCAGCAGTACGTCGAGTGGATGGACTTCAGCTTCTACATCGGCTTCAACCGCGACACCGGCGTCTCCCTACACGACATCCGGTACAAGGGCGAGCGGCTCCTCTACGAGCTCGGCCTGCAGGAGGCGCTGGCGCACTACGCGGGCTTCGACCCCGTGCAGAGCGGCACGTCGTACCTCGACACCTACTACGGCTTCGGGCCGTACGCCTTTGAGCTGGTGCCCGGGTACGACTGCCCCGCGTACGCGACCTACCTCAACTCGTCGTTCTACGTGTCGGAGACGACACACAACCACCTCAACAGCATCTGCCTGTTCGAGTACGACGCCGACTACCCGATGCAGCGGCACAGCACGAGCAAGTACGTCTCGGTGACCAAGAACACGTACTTTACGCTGCGGTCCGTGTCGACGGTGGGCAACTACGACTACATGTTCAGCTACACCTTCTCCATGGACGGCTCGGTGGCGGTCGAGGTGCGCGCGTCGGGCTACATCCAGTCGGCCTACTTCGCCAAGAACCAGGACTACGGTTTCCAGATCCACGACGCGCTGAGCGGCAGCATGCACGACCACGTGCTCAACTTCAAGGCCGACTTTGACATCCTGGGCACGGCCAACACGGTGCAGCTCATGAAGAACGTGCCGGCGCAAAAGGTCTACCCGTGGTCGGGCGGCAAGGCCCGCAACACCATGACGCTGGAGCGGTCGTTCGTCGAGAGCGAGGACCAGGGCCGGTTCAACTGGGCGGAGAACAGCGCGACGCAGGTCATCGTCGTCAACCAGGACGCCAAGAACCAGTACGGCGAGTACCGCGGCTACCGCGTGCTGCCGTACACGGGGCTGTGCCATCTGACGGTCAAGGACTCGAGCAACCTGGCTAACGCGGCGCGGTGGGCCGAGTACGACATCCAGGTCACGAAGCAGAAGGACACGGAGCCGCGGTCGGCGCACGCGTACAACTCGCAGGACGTGCACGACCCGCCCGTCAACTTTGACAAGTTCTTTGACGGGGAGAGCCTCGTGCAAGAAGACCTTGTCATGTGGCTCAACCTCGGAATGCGTGAGTCTTTTCTTTTTGATCATTCGTGTGAAGTCAACTCAGAGTAGACTAACAAGGGACCATGTATAGATCATGTTCCTCACACCGGAGACCTGCCCAACACCGTCTTCACTACGGCCCATTCCGGCTTCCAGTTCATGCCGAGCAACTACTTCAGCATGGACCAGAGCCGGCAGACGGTCAACATGGTGCGCATAGAGTACGGAGGGGGCAACGCATCGACAGTCGAGACGTTTGGACAGAAGGATGATACGTGCGCGCTCAACTTCACGCCCGTGGAGCCCGACCTGGTCGGGTACAAAGGCGACGTGGTGATCCGAAAGTTTCCGTTTGATCCCAACGACCCGTTCTTCGAGACGGATTCGATCTAGATGAGTGCTCAGAGCGCGATAGCATAGACAGCCAGTTGAACACGACATGTGTTGTATAGATTTCGTGTGACTCGAGACACAACATATCAGACCAAACATGTCCCTATCCTTGCGTAAACCCGATAGGTTCATTGATGATCCCATGGGATGAAAGGATGGGTGTGTCACATATTGTGTAATCCTTGCGGCGCGAGGTAGTATCGAGACGGACATAGCCCGGTCATTGTCCTATATCGCCGCCGCATCTACCCGCCTCTCTGGTGCGATCCCTGGATCCCGGACCGATACCAGACGAGCAACCATCTCGCAGGGACAGGTTGATGATTGGCCAGCTCGGCGATGGAATGGGAAAGAAAAAAGGGAAGACTCCCTATGTAACTCCGTAGAAGATGCACCATGGGGCAGACGTGGGGCCTCCAGACCCTTGACACGGCGGACAAGAAAGCGCTATGATGCTTAGCCTGTGGGGAGAGAGAGGTGGAGAGAGAGAGGTGGAGAGAGAGAGAGGAGAGAGGAGAGAGCTGTGTGTTCCCGGCCCCCATTTCCGTGGACAAATCCCACCCTCCGGAAAGGGCCTCGTCCGGGACCTGTCGACATGTTTGCGTGCCCCAGTTGTGCACATTTTATGCAGCCGCCCGATGCGACCTGGTTGCCGCAACGCCGACCCTTCTCCCCTCTCCCTCCACTCTCGTCCCTTATTACTCCGTATTTTACTCCGTCCTCCAATTTGGAGAAGCTAAGCCTACGATTTCCCCGCCTACCTCTGGTCCAATGTCCTATCCTGTCCTGTCCTTGAAGGTACTTGTAAAGGGCCAAGGGCATCATCGTGAGCTAAGATGAGCCGTTTTATATACCCTCTCCATAATAGTCAATGTTCGTCTGAAGTGAGGCCTTGACTGCACGCACCGCAAGTGGATATGCTGCTCCCACGGACGGTCTACCAAGTCCGTCCCGATACAGCGGCTGCGGTCCATCTTCCATGCTCAGTTTACCATTTTTCACGACCAGGATTGGGGAAAAGGGCCCCTCTCCGCGGACTTGATCCTTGCACCTTGCAGCCATCCAACATTAGCAACCCGAGTTCCGTTACGAGGCGGCTCAGACGGACGCTTCCTCCCAGCTTAATTCCGATCGCATCCTTTAATTTTTTTTTTACCTTCTCGAACAAGCCAAGTCGTCCCTTTGCTTCGGGATCTGACTTCATTCTCTTTCTACCGGGCATTCTCTCTTTCTCTTTCTCTCTTGTTCTCAGTGCCCTCTCTTTGGAAAGCCTCCCTGTTTCTCTCCTTGTCTTCTCTTCTCTTCTTGCCCACCCCTTCCTCGACCACAAGCTGGCCAACAGCGCTAGGGCATCAGTTCACCTAAGGTATCTCAGCGCTGCCCAGACCAAGACAGACATCGCCAAGAAACGAGGCGCTTCCCAGCTGTAGAGCTTGACAGCCGCCACAGACAGGGACCCCCTTTTTCCCGGACCACCATTCGCGGCGTGCATGCACCTTGTCCCTCGGGTCGAGGACTTAAAGGTGATATATAGGTGGTGCGAGTAATTTATTCTTTATTTCCCAGGTAAAAGTGTTGAGAGTCTCTTTTTTCCGCACAAAACGGTTTGTTTCATTTCGGCCGGGGTGGTGCGATTGGTGGCTACCCCGCGATGCCTGAACTGCTTAGCTCTTCCGTCGCCGCGATCGGCAGTCTGACAGGATGCGATACCCGGTTCCGGGGCAAGAGGCTACTAGTTCGCGTTGCGCAGAAACACGCCGCACAATGCCAAGGCATTTATTTGGGCTGGATCTGACACCTCGGAGGAGAATGCGCGGCTAACCATTTCCACCCACGATGCAGTCCGGGGAAGGGCAGCAGCTCCGATGGCGCCGAACACGGCGGCGTCCTCGGACCAGCACAGCCAGGCCACGACGGCGGCGCAAACCCACGACGAGGCGCACGAGCAGCAAGAACACCACCTGGATGCCCACGACGTCGAAAAGGAGCTCGAGCGCCAGCGCCACATCATCGAGCAGGCCGCCGCCGAGGGTCACGATGCCGACATCCCCTCCGACATTGGCTACGTGCTCGACGACAAGGGCGAGGCGCGCCGCAGGAAGTCGATCGCCGACCAGCGGGAGCTGCACCTGATCCGGACCCGCAGCCGGCACTCGCAGAGCCGCGACGTCGAAAAGGGGCCGGGCGAGGGCGGCGAGGGCAGCGACGACAAGACGGTCGGGGAGGTAGGCGAGGAGGAGACGGACCCCAACGTCGTCTGGTGGGACGGCCCGGACGACCCGCAGAACCCGTACAACTGGCCGACGTGGAGGAAGAGCCTCAATGTTGGACTGATCAGCGCGCTCACGCTCCTCACCCCATTGGCTTCGTGTGCGTATCCGTATACCCTTTCCCGGTGCTCTGAGCCTTTGTGTGTATGCTGGATGCGATGAACTGATTCCAGCGTAGCAATGCTTGCCCCCGGCGTTCCCCAGATCATGAAAGAGTTTGGAAACGACAGCCCTGAATTGGCCGCCTTTGTGGTGTCGGTCTATATCCTGGGAGTAAGTATCGTGAGAATGCAAGCACAGGGATAGAATAAAGAGTATACTAGAGACCACATTACTAACATGACCAAAAACACAACAGTTCGCCTTCGGCCCCCTCCTCATGGCCCCGCTGTCCGAGATCTACGGCCGCACCATCATCTACCACGGCTGCAACCTCGGCTTCGTGGCCTTCCTGATCGGCTGCGCCAAGGCGCCCAGCCTCGACTCGCTCATCGTCTTCCGCTTCTTCTGCGGCGTCTTCGGCGCCTGCCCGCTGGCCAACGGCGGCGGCACCATCGCCGACATGGTCGAGCCGCAGCAGCGCGCGGGCGCCATGGCCCTCTTCACCATCGGCCCGCTGCTGGGCCCCATCATCGGCCCCATCGCGGGCGGGTTCCTGAGCTCGGCCAAGGGCTGGCGGTGGATCTTCTGGCTCATCGCCATCGTGGGCGGCTTCCTGGCCGCCGTCATGCTCGTCTTCCTGCCCGAGACGTACGCGCCCGTCATCCTGCAGCGCAAGGTCGACCGCCTCCGCCGCGAGACGGGCAACGACCTGCTGCGCAGCAAGCTCGACATCGGGCTCAGCCCGCGCGACTACTTCAGCCGCGGCATCGTGCGCCCGCTCAAGCTGCTCTTCCTGTCGCCCATCGTCATGGCCATGTCGCTCTACATCGCCGTCGTCTACGGCTACCTGTACATCATGTTCACCTCCATCACCACCGTCTTCGAGCAGTACTACGGCTTCAGCTCCAACATCGTCGGCCTCGTCTTCCTCGGGCTCGGCGTCGGCAACATGATCGGCCTGACCTACTTCACCGCCACCTCGGACCGCTACATCAAGAAGAAGGCCGCGCAGGAGGGCCGCGGGTTCAAGCCCGAGTACCGCCTCAAGCCGCTGCCCATCGGCGCCGTGCTGTTCCCCATCGGCTTCTTCATCTACGGCTGGACGGCGCAGTACCACGTGCACTGGATCGTGCCTATCCTGAGCCACGTCATCATCGGCGCTGCGAACCTCATGTGAGTTTTTCTCGAGATCCCAAGAGTGAAATGAGAAGAAAATATGCATGCATGCTGACACCTTTTGAACTTGTAGCATCTTTATGGCACTGCAGATGTATCTCGTCGACGCGTTCAACATTTACGCCGCCAGTGCCCTTGCCGCCAGCACTGTCGTCAGGTCGATCTTTGGCGCAGTGCTGCCCCTGGCCGGACTGAGGTATGTTTTGCTACTTGTGCAAATTGGAGACCGTGAAAATTGATTCGAGATGCTGCAGGATGTACGCCAAGCTAGGTATGGGATGGGGCAACAGCACCCTGGGCTTCATTGCCTTCGCCATGGTGCCTCTGGGACCGCTGTTTCTGAAGTACGGAGAGCGGCTGCGGACCAAGTTCGAGATGAAGGATCTGTAGGGAGATCTCTAGGGGACGGGGAGAAAGTGACCGTGTGGATGTTGCATCATGGGCATAAAGCAAGCATGGATGGATAGATGGAAAATTTCTCGATACCTTGTTGCATACATCGGGTGTTCTGGTGATAGAGTACATACATATGTCATTTTAATGGAGGCCAATTTCTGCTCAGGCATTATGATTTCTCTCGACTCGACATTATGAGCTTTTGCATTGTATTGCATATGAAACAAGAAATATTTGCTCGTTTTCAATGGTAGATAGAACAAGGCTTTTCAAGTCAGATAAAGCTTGTTCAGTATTGGCGAGGCTCTGTAAAGGCCCAATAAGCGAGTTGCAAGGATGGAACCCATGTGCCTACCAGCCAGGGATTCAACATCAAACTCAACCCATCAAAACGTGTATTGCACGGGAGGGTTGCATTCTCGCATTGAGGGATTTTTCTTTTCTTTTTTTTTGCACAAATGGCCTGCAATCTTTCCCGCGTGTGGCAGCTCTTCGATGCAACAAGCTAGGATAGGTATGTCTCGGGCCGCTGCTTCTCAACAAAACTTCAGCTGCAGGCCGGTTGCCTCACTGACACAAGCTGATTGGTTGAAATAAAGCCAATAATGAGTGCTGCCAAGAACAAGGCAAAAGAAAAAGAAAGAAAGGACAGAAAGAAGCAAGTACACCTTGCAGCTGCCTGTCCCAAAACAAAAGTCGGGCCCGAGTCAGGCCTAGCTGGAGGTGACATGTCAAAAAATGGCGAGGCTGGGAAGACGATCGTCTCTTCGGAGTAAATACGACGACGGCACAGCGACCGCTAACAGCCCTGGCGCCAGCCCTGTCGAGGCCGTCCCTCCCAAAAGCAGCCCGGCACAGGATCCCGCAAGCCGCTAGTCCTGAAAGGCCCAAAAAATGCCCCGAGTAGTTGCACCACCACCCCACTAAATAAGCTGGGAGCGCGAGGCTAAAAGCTGAGAGCTTCCAGGCACAATGACGCAGCCAGCCCAATCTAACGAGTCAGTGTGTGCGAGGCCAACAGGTAGTTACTGTGTGCGCCCTCCCTCCTCACCTTTCCTCACACCCCCCAGCCACATAGGGCGCGGACCATCCAAGGGAGCACCGAGTGAGGTACTGGCAGCAGCAGCAGCTCCTGGGAGGATGGGCGGTGTCGTACCACACACCATCGATGTGGGATCCAAGTCGAGGAAAACCCTGTTTCCTGACCAAGGTTCGAAGGAAGAGGGCAAGCTTTTAAATACCCCTGGTGTCCTGTCCCGGGCGGCGCGCCATTGACTCTGCTCTTCTCCTCTGTCACGTTTTTTTGCTCGTCCTCCCGCCCATCCCTTTGGCCCACGCACGCGACCTTATGTGCTCGCCATACAATACTCTGGACCAGGTGTCACAAACATTAGAAAATATTCCTTCCCTCCCACCCAATTGAGGAGCTTATCACTTACACACACACCAAATCAACACACACACACACACACATACACAGACACAGACACACACACACAAATCAACACATACACCTCCACAATGGCCAACCAAGCTCAAGATGTCCAGACCTCTCAGCCTGCTCCCCTCGAGGACGTGTCCCAGCAGAACGGCGAAGGCGTCAAGTCCAACGTCACCCACCCGCCCCCAGAGGACGTCATCGACCTGACCACCAGCGAGACCGCGACGCCCCAGCCGCCCCAGAAGGACGCCGCCGAGCACACCAACGGCGAGAAGGCCGAGACCAACGGCGCCGCCGAGACCAACGGTACAGCTGGGACCGCCGAGGAGGAGCCGACCGCCGCTGCTGAGGACGCAGCAGACAAGTCTGAGGAGGCACCGGCCGCCGAGCCCGCCACCGAGGCCAAGGGCGAGGAGCCTGCCAAGGCGGAGGGCGAAGAGGCTGAGCCCCGCGGCACCAAGCGCGGAGGCGACGAGGAGGGCGAGAACGGCACCGCGGCCAAGAAGCAGGTCCTCGAGTCCGGCGAGGCCAAGAAGGTCGCCGGCGAGAGTGACAAGGCCGAGCCCGAGGCCGAGGACGTCGACGCTCCCCAGGAGAAGTCGTCCGAGGCCCCCGTGGCGGAGGTCGATGCCCCTGCTGCGGCTCCTGAGGAGCAGGCTGCGGCTTGAAGAACGGAACGGGCCTGCTATACTGTGTCGTCAATAGATACTTGAAAGGGGTTGCGGGTTAGACTGGCGTCAAGGTTTTGGAGCCGGAACAAGCAGTGTCGGGTTTGGGTATGGTTGGGGTGAATGAAGTGTGCCACGGATCAGGACAACCAGCTGGCGCATATGAGGATTGCTTCTTTTCGTTCGCGAAGGAGAGGATTGGAGAATCGGTTTAAAATATTCGAAAGTTATGGCGTATATGCACAAAATACACAATGCTATCTTGGACAAATTGGTGCGCTGAACGTGAATGGTGTGTGTTGATTGACCAGTGACTGAGGCAAGATGGGGTTCCTGCTGATCTCAGAGCGTCGAGCCTCTAACCTTAGAAGCCAATTCGGAAGATTGAGATTGTCGCTGACCCCACGATCTGTCACCCATGACGAACTTGTGTGTTTGGCTCAGTGTCTTCGTCTTCATCACGAGAAGCGGGGGAAGCTACTCGTCTGAGGATGATGCCACGCGCCAGAGCAGCACCCATGAAGCTTCAAGCTTGTACCCAACTGGGTGCTGGTCTTGGGTCTGCTGCTGTCGCCTGATGGAGAACCAAAGTGAGGGCCATTGAGCTCATTCCTCAAACCTTGCTGCGGCAGGCTAGTCGTGGATCGCGTGGACCTGCATTTCCCCAGACCCGAGTCCAGACTTTCGCGGCGCATGGGCCTTTCCTTGGATCGACCGTAGGGCTCGAGAAGCGACCGGGCCCTCACCTCACCCTACCCTGCAGATACTTGATGTCTTCGAGTCGGCGGGTCAGGCAAACAAACTTGCTCTCCACCATCCTCGAATCGATGGCCCGGTGTCGTCAAGTTCTGCTCCTCTGCCTTCGCCGCATGTATGTTGCAACAGCTCCAGAACTTCTGTGATTGAATTGCTTAGTTAGATCTTTTGATGTCTTATCGCATTGGCTATGCTGCATGCGATGCTGGCTCTCAAGCGCGTTGTCGAACCTGTGGGGTCGAAGAGGTGACGTTGGAATAGAATGGCCTGGAACCGATCAACCGGGAGAACCCCCACCACGCAGGACAACGCCCTTGTCACCAATGTAACCCGGATCAGAGCAGCATCCATGCAGGGCGCAAATCCGAACTCCGGATAAAGATCGATCTGTTATTTTTTGACACTTGATTATTTAAACAGCAAGGCGTCCCTGCTCTCCAGGCCCGCCCCGATTCGTTTCGAAGGTCGGGTATCTTAGTAGTCCTCCGGCCCACGCGCGGCTCCGACCATGACAAAGGAAATTTCTACGTCTCTCGACCGAGACCCGGTGGCCTGTCCTGATTCCCGTCAATTTATACACTTCACCTCTCGCGCCGCTTCTTGGCTCCTTGCTTTCGCCTTTGTTGTGTCGACGTCGCCCAAGACACCGCTCAGTTCTTGGGGGGCGGAGACTGGGGCTGGGCCTGTGGCGGCGGCATCTGCATCGAGGGCTGCGAGACGTAGCCCTGGGCGATCGGGCCCTGGGAGGTGCGGGCGACGACTTCCTTCTCCTGCTGGATGAGGGCGCAGCACGGGCACCTACACTCGACCGGTCAGCTTCTGGCTCGGAGCCTCTGCCTACGAAAGGGGATACGTACCAGTAGGTGGTGCAGCAGTCGCCGAAGCCGCTGCCGTCGATGCCGAACCGTTCCCTGATCTCGGACCGCTTCATCATGGCGTAGCTGTGAGAACCGAGTCAGCAATGGCAATGTCTTGGGGGGACGGACAGAAGAGAGGGAAACTCACATCCAGCCGCAACCGGTGAAGTACGAGATACCGCACATCAACATGCAGTCGGTGTTGATGGACTCGTAGTTCTGCATGGTAGGGTCGCGCATACGCTCAGCGGTGCGACCGAGGACTGCGGAATCGCGGTTCATGTCAGCTTGGTCGTCATGGATGGCCCGGAGCTCCGGGTTGACGGAGCCGCGGCCGCGAGACGTCAGACTTACGCAGGCATGGCAGGAAGGTGCCGAGCAGGCAGTTCTCGCAGGGGCTGCAGTCGCACAGGTTGCTCTGCCACTCCTGGCTGTGGACGTTGGCGCCCTGGGCGTACTGCGGCTGCATGTCGCGCTGGCTCTGGTACTGGGCCGGCTGCTGCATCGAGTACTGGGTCGACGGGTGGTGCAGGATCTGGTCCTGGGGCGTGGGATACATGTGCTGCTGCTGCACGGGCTGCTGCTGCTGCTGCTCAGGATAGCCCTGCGCCGGGAACGACTGCTGGGGTTGCTGCTGGAACTGGGGAGGAGGCGTGTAGGGCGACTGCTGCACAGGAGGCGACTGTGCGGCGTGCTGCTGATACTGCTGCTGCTGCTGCTGCTGCTGCTGGTAATCCATCTTGGCGGCTGTAGTGTCTCTCTCGCACTCTGCTAGTTATTTATCGGCGGTTGGTCAAAGGTATATGATGGTGGTCTGGCTGTATGTGTAAATGACTGACAGCCAAAGTCAAGAGAAGCCAAACAAAGACTACACGCGTTCTCCGTGGCAATGAGGTCGAATTCGTCTCGTCTTGGCACAGCACAAGGTGAAATGCTCAAGAAACTGCGAAAGAGAGAACGAGAGTGAGATTGAGAGCTCAATCTGAGCGGATGGACGGGAATTTTTGTCTTTGACTCGGCATGGGCCCATTGGCAGGCATGGGGGCACATGGAAATGATCCTCCAGCCCTGTATTGCCTGCCTAATAAGAGTACCCCGTAAGAGGTACCAAAGTCCTCCCGACCCTTACTACCTAAGCTACCTAAGCTGACCGGCACTTTTAGGCTCAGAACAGAGCTGCGGCCAGCGAAGCCAAGCCCGCCGATCCCTCATTTCGTGCTGGGGGGAGGCCCTTGTTGTGCGACATGACTCTTGACGGACAGGCACATGCAGTGTTACGATGCGACCTGCAAACTCGACTGTTCTCGGTCTCGCATACTCCGTACATGCAGCGCGCATACAATGGAATTGACGGGCACGGCTTGAGGAGAACACTCCCTTTAGTCGTTCACAACATCATGCCAAAACAATGCTCATGCCACAACCTTCTTCTGGGCAGCAAGGTAGGTACCTGTCGGAAGAGCTTGGGGACGAATCGAGAGTGATGAGCAGCCACCATTCCTGGCGGTGTCAAATGAGACGAAGCACAGGAACCACAAAAATAGCTCCGTCGCGCATTAGTGCTCTGAGGCTGAGAGGCACAGGGGGGTCAATTGGCACCATGACATGGCCCGCGTCTTTTAGACCAGGCAGATTCCTGTCAGATCAGCATTTGGGTGCTGCTCATTTCTTCATATGCCCCCGTCTCGTCGCTGGTCTGGGGTGAGTCGGTGTCGGGTGCTTGGACAAGCTTGTCTGTGTTCGTATCGTCGTAGAATGACAGAGCATGCTAGCCTGGAGCTAGCAAGAGTTATTTCCCTTTTGCAGCCCTGGGAAGAGGAACTGATGCTTTCCCAGACGCGTGCCGGCTCAAACTTAAAAAAACTGCTTACTCTGTCTGACAAGGACCTCCCTCTGAAACAGGTACAAGTACAGCCACCCAAGTCAGCAATAACACGATGATCAATGCTCGAGTCTTCGGTTTGGTAGGAGCAGTATGACTCAAGTACCTGTTGGAAGTCTCCCAATCATGGCCCATGTTCAATGTTTACTTGCTTGCTATTCTGAGAATTCAGAGAGGGAGAGGAACGTGTTGCACACGAGATGTAATCGCATCGCTGGACAGTCAGGACTCCCAGAGGCATTCGATCAATTCCTAACAATAGGAAAAGAGAAGAATGTTGAGTGAATCTTATCATCATCATCATCCTCTTCATCATCATTCCCCTGGACCACGACGCTGACTGAGGCTTGAGGGGTTTGAGGCACGAAGGAAAAAAGAAGCCAAAAAAAAACAAAAAAAAACGATAGCAGCAGGGTTCGAACCTGCGCGGACGAATCCATAGGATGTGGAAAAGCAAGGATGCTTCAAGTCCTACCCATTAACCACTCTGGCATGCTACCGAGACTAAAGTCCACTAGCCCCTTATTTTGATTCATGCAGGCTCCACGCCAGCTCCGGATATCGGACTCTCGTAAAATGTACCGGAAGCAGCTACTTTGCGTTATGTCTTCAATCAACAGGCCCGGGGATCGTCTTTTTTTTACTCTCTCAGTATCTGGAAACTGAAGGTAATGCATTTTACTCCATACATCCTGGCCAGTTGGGTCATCCCTCCGCACCGCGCACTCTGACCCATCCACCGCCTCAGTGATCATCACGGCGCCGGCGCTACACCGCCCACCAGACGATCTGTCTTGGTCTCCTGGGCTGACGAGATATTGCGAAAATCGGATCATGTTTGTGTAACCTCCAGCAGACGAGATATCAAGCACCCATTTCATAGGTCGGTATTCAATTCAGAGCTGCCGTGCGTCACGCACCCCTGCCATCCAACCACAACAAGACGGCACTGTTGCTATCAAACGGGTATCTTTTTGGAGGGCCGTACCTGCAGAACCGTGCATTTTTCAGCCTACCTCTCTTCCTATGGCTACCTTCTTGGACACACCACCATTGGCCATGGGCGGGCAGGCCGCCGCCGGCATCCTCTCAGTCTCATCACCTCGTATCCTCGATATTGTCTTGCTCATGATCACATAGTCCGGGGTGCACATCTTACCCCGCAACTTCCTGACCTCGGGCGACAGGTCATCTCTGACGAACCCCGCCTTCTTGTAGAATTCTAGACCTCTCGTATTGGAAAGGAAGCATGTCAGCATGACCTTGCTGATGGGCGGCAGATTGTAGGCCACCGTCGCCTGGAACCCCATCAGGAGTGCCCCGAGCCGAGTCCTGTTTCCGGAGTCAGCGCGACCTTTTTGGTAACACGACACGAGGCCCAAGCAAGAGTATCAAGACACTCACCCCTGGAGGTCCGGCTTGAGGTGAATCTCGTAGCAGTAGACCACCGGTTGCCCCTCCTCGTAGGTCGGCATGAGCGACGTGAACCCCCGCACCGAGCGGTCGCCGTCCCGGACCAGGATGTACCGGAGCCCCTCCGATCTCATCTCCTTGAGCTTGCTGTCCGGCGTCCACCTCGTCGTCGAGTTTTCGTAGTCGCTCCGGCTGGTCTCTTCGATCAGCCGGAAGCATGCTTGGATCTCATCTTCCTGCATGAGATTGGACTTGACGAGATCTACCGTGTAGTCCTCTTGTGTCCGCGGATGTTTCCATTCCCGGATCCATGGCAACAAGCCCGGCGCGCTGGTCCATACAGTGTTAGTTCCTTGATGCATGTCCTTTCCACCTTTCCGAGAACGCGTTGCGGACTTTGCAGTATCTCAAAGTCCCTTGAGAGCAGAGAATTCACAACTCACCCTGGCTGCAGGTAGTCGGCAATGAAGTCCTGGTCGCTTTTCCGGTTCGCCTTCTCCAGCGGGCTCGTGGGTGCCCGGCGCCTTTTCCTGACTTTCATGTCTCGCGTTAAACACCCTTTCCGGAGAACCACACGCTTCGCTCGCCGGGCGCTGTAAAATTTTCACACAAAAACTCACCAGAAGAAGCCATCGCCGACACACGCGACTCGGAATCGGGCCAATGGTCGCGCGCTCTGCTCGGCGGTCCGGCGGGTGTTCTAGAGTGGCCCGCTGTGGGCTTTCTGGAAGGAAATGACGTTTCGTTGGCGGGATTAGTTAGGCCAAATGGTCTTTGTAAGGGCTCTAAAATTTAGACCCGCGCATACCGACCTTCACCAAAGCTCCAGTACCGGAAGCCGTTTCACCACACCTTGGAAGGTCATTCCCGCCGACATATATTTCTCGGCTCAGTGCCACCGTCAATGGGCAGGTAACAACCAAACTAGCGATCTCTCGATGCGACCAAGGCGGCACGCTCAATGTTGAAGCTGTTGCGTGTGGCGCATTGGCGCAGCTATGCCACAGCTTCACAGCGCAAGCCTCGGCTCGGCAAGACCCTGAGCCTCGACCACGTAAGTCTGGCCTCACAGATGGCTAGGCGCCGATTGAGACACTCGGAGACTGATACCAAGTTACAGTTCCTTCAGAGATCGCGCGCACTGGCCCTGTACCGGACCATCTTGCGGGATACGAGGCGGATTAGCGATCCCACCACCCGTGCCGAGACAAGGCGCTTTGCCAGAGACGAATTCGAACGGCATCGGGACGTCACAGACATTGTATGGGCAGCTCCATCTACTATTTAGGACTAGATCACTAATTGCCACGTCAGGATCACATCCGATACTTGCTGTCGACCGGAAAGACAGAGTGGGAAACTATGGAGAGATACATTGGCGGCTTGTGAGGCGGATGGCCCGCGTTGCCAAGAGATATACCCAGTGTATTTGTGTGATTGTTCTAGTCATTTGCGAACGTCCATGCTCCCAGGAGCGCATTCTCTATCATGGTGGCTATTGTTGTACAGATATGTGTGGTTTCTTGCCCCAAGTCTCCCTCCGTATGGCCTGACCCAGCTATGCAGCTTCCAACAGTGGTATCATACACGACGCAGCCGGATCTTCCTCTCTTTCTCTCGTAAGAGTCGATATACTCGTCAAGACGTCCGCTCTAGCCCTGGCGCTGCTTGTGCCTCGGGTTGGCCGGGCAGATGATGTAGAGGTAGCCGCGGTGTCGCTTGCCGCCCTTCCTCCGAACAACCTGCGCAGAAATGACACGTTAGCTACAAAGAATCCCGCTCATGTATTTCGACCAAAGTGGATATCCAAGAGCCGTGAAGCCGTGTCTCCCCAAAGAAGACTGTTGACATCACGATCGTGCGATTCGCAACGGGGGGTAGGAACAAGACAGACTGCCCACGAACCTTGCAGTGCTCGCATCGCTTCTTGACCGAGCTGTGCACCTTCATACCCCTCGTCTGCTGCTGTTGCTGCTGTACAGCCGTCTTGATGCCACCTCCGACCAGCGCCGTGGTCGGCAGCCATTGCCGCGTCGACTTGCTGAGGACGGACTGGGAGATGGTTCGGGTCTGCGTCGCGATCGGGCAGACGGCGAGCGTCCGAAAGGAAGAGACCAGGCTGGCCGTCGAAGAGCTTAGCCTTGCGGCTCGCGTGAAGAGGGTTGCGCCGGCCATCGTTGTGGGTGTTGATTTCCGGTCGAAACCAAGGTTGCTTTGGGCTTGTGAATCTGTCAATCCATCAATCAATCTGGTGGTGAGGTTCGGTCGGGATTTTCAGGGTGGGTCCCCACCCGGACAGGCAGGGACGATAGAGGCAGTCAGGTGATTGATTGGAGGCGTATCTCCACTGGAGGCGCTTCCCCACAGCTGGAGAGCTTGGTGGAACTTCTTGTTGTTCAACCAGTTCTTCTCCGCCTGTCAGGCTCGAAGAAAACATTATCAACTCTCATAAGCGATGCTGGTCAGATCGATCTCTCGATAACAAAGACATAAACAATCACTGATAGCGTCACATCGCTTCTTTAGACTTGCTGGGCAGCTGAGCAAAGACCCCTTCCCAGCCGAGCTAATGACTCCTATCCTGATCGAGCTTCTCTCATGAGGGCAATCAGCTCCGTCCCGAATACTCCGCTTCAGCTTAAGGTAAAGCCTGCCGAGGCCAGATGAGGTTGCATTGCTACTCAATCTCTGACTTTCACTATCTTCCTCGACAATTTCCTCTCTGTCATGCAGTGTGGCCTCGACCCGTCTCTCAAGTGCGTGGCTTGGCTGGGATGCCCTGGCAACTGAAGCACTGCTACCGAAATCGGATATAGAGATGGATACTCAGAGCAGGTGTTTATCCTTCTTTGCCTAGGCGCGGCCTCTTCCCTCCGTTTTCAGCAAGAACCGGCATCTTCCTTCCACGCCGCTCTCTTCCACGTGCTACTGGTACAGGGATTTTGGGTCTCTGGATGACCAAGTGAGCAGCCAAGATTTTTGGCATCACGCCTCTTTTCTGGGGCCTCGCCCCAAGGCATCCCTAGCTCTACCCAAACTTGGCCAACGACTGCCAACTTGACAGGTCCCTTACGATGCCAAGTCGCGGATCCTGCAGAGCCGGAAGTCCAGTGAACGGGAGTAGTTCCTATTCCGGTTCGACTTGCCACCGATCTAGTGTTGGCTAGTATGTCGCATGTTGTTTGACTGTGGGAAAGCCTACTTGTACATATGCCCCTCTGGAAGGAGCAGCATATCTCGACGACTTTCCTGCTATGTCCCAGGCTCGTCAGAGAGCCTGTGCCCTCTGGCAAGGGCGACGAAGCCGTCCAGATTCTGAGGGACCGGATCCATGTCTTCAAACAGGTCTGGATGCATCTCTCGACCAGAAAAGACAAAACCGAGACTTGCTCATGAGAGACTCTAGACCTCGAAACTGGAACTACGCCCGATTCGCGGCATGGTCTGGTCAGAAGCCTTTGAAGATATCTAGCCCTCTGCCCTCACCCTGGCTCCAGGGGACATGCTGGGGAATCCTCGTCACAGATGGCTCCTGGAAACAAGGACTGCCTCGATCTTCCAGGCCATGGATGCTCAAGCGGGCCCAGGGTCTCCTTTGGAATCTCGCGCGGCACTACGAATCCAATCCACCAAGACGATAGCAGGCTGTTCCCTGACGCCACTTCTCCCGATGTTCCCATGATTCTCTCGGTTGGGGCCTTTTGAAAGGTAGACTTAGTCATTGGGTCTGCGAGGAGCTTGTTCGTGGAAGATAAGTGTCCGTGCGGCGCCGCTTCGAGGAGCATACAGCGGGTTATGGCCTTGGCAACGACTGATGTGGCTTGATGCAGTGTCCACCGCATCAACAGTCTTGATGTGCACTTGTGCTGTTTTGAAGTGTCTATTGGGTCACCGTCCGTTCTAGCTTCCAACCGAACGTTGTCCATACCCGCATCCTGGCCCCTCACAGGGCGAGCACATCCATTTGCAGCTGTCACTTTGCGGTGTTTGGGTTAGTGTGTGGAGCAAACGGTGTGTAAAAGGACCCGTTACGGGGGGGTTCTCATGCCTATTTCGACTGAGGTGTTCAGCGCAGTGGGCTGTCTTGTCTGCCTTTGGAATACGAGCAGCCAAAAGAAAGGGAAAAAAACCTTTCAACGGGTCGAATGATGTCGTGGAAACTAGCACATCATTAATGGCCCAACTATAATGTGCATCAGTGATGTACGTGCTTCCGGGGAGATCCGTTGGATACATGGGCGGAAGCGAGAAGTTGCATTGGTTGTGGGCTTTCTCCCAGATCACTCTGTGGTCGCAATCTGAGTCCCAGACGTACATCTTTGGTTATCGTGGTGGCCTGAACCTGTCTTTCAGCTCCTCCACAATGCCGCAGCCCCTGAGTTTCTACACTCTTGGTACTCTTGGGGGCATATGGTGAACTGGGCACTAACCCATGCCTAGCGCCACACGAGGGCAGCACATGGTTTAGCGCACACTTCTTCAGCATGGCCGATGCACCAGTTCGGCTAGTGAAACATCTGGACTCGACGCGTCTCTCTGTCCAATCGTCCCCTTGCCCCAGACGCTGGCATGGATCCCCCGGTCGTCGTACAGATCAAGACTGATCTCCAGCACGCCGGGATGGGAGACCTGCGTTCGCCACGCTCCATCATCAGAAGAAGGAAGTGAAAAGGACATTGGGTAGAAACCTAGGCTCCTTCGAAGCAACCCTCGCATGAAATGACCGTCTGTGCGTCGACTTGGGAATCAAACTAATGCCTTTGTTAGTGTACTCGACTACGCCGGGGCGGTTCGACTACGTCTAGCTTGAATCAAAGACGGACACCTGCTCGCAGAGACCCTCCTTCCGCTGGCGCGGCCCGAGCGACGACAAAGGTCGGAATGAGCCTAGCAACTCAAACGCTACTGTGCCCAGACTCTTCTGGACCACCCGTCTCCGCCCACCAGAGACTGACACCGGCACTGGATCCTCGGTGACGCTCGTTGATATCGTGGGCCTCCACACCTCCCTTGGTGTGCCGACATGCGAACCCCTGGAACGCAGGCACTGACACCGAGGCTCCGGTGGAATGGTTGCACAGCTTAAAACCAGAGGGCCCTCCCGGTTTCGCGGGTCGGCTTTTGCTTCTTTCGGAGCCCCGTTCTGCTGTACGACGACATGACTTAGATCCTCGTCCAGTGAGAACGTACGTGCAACCTCGACACCCGTCAACATGGACATCGTTCGGCGCGATGGCGAGGCTTACTATGAGCTCAGCTGGGCGATCCTCAGCACCATCGGCCTCGTGAATATGTGCCTCGGGGGCATGGTCGTTGGTAAGTTGGCACCAGCAATTACACAGCCAGGATCCTTCTCTCACCCTTCTTACTCTTAGGTATCGCTGGCTACTCACCCATCACGCTCGTGCCCCTCGTTGTCTCCGCAGCCTGCGCCCTGGCGAATGGCATGTGTTACTATGCCTTCTATGCCCACTACCCGTTGCTCAACACGGCGGTCGCGTCAGGCTTCGCCGATATCAGCTGGCTGGTGAGTGGGATTACATCCTACAAGGTGCTGAGATGTCCGAGTTTGTCTAACACTGAGGATGCTTTCAGGTGCAAGAAGCCGGTCTCTCATTTTACAGTTTTGTTATTCTGCGACGTGTTCTTCGCAACCGCGCCCGCCTCGTCTTCATGGTTTGCTTCTGGGTCCTCATGGCCGTGATCACCATCCTGCGTATCACGATTCTCGTCTGTCGTATCCGCTACATCCTCGGACACTCATCAGCTGCGGACCTACAGCGTATCATTGACCACCTCCACGTCGGCTACTTTGCCTCGATCGCCGTGGTCGAGATCCTCAGTTCGGCGTTCTTGCTGCGCAAGTTCAACGCGGCCCGCAAGATCTCACTCAAGGCCGCCATGCAGACCGGTCTCTTCAGCTACCTCATGCGCAGCACCGAGATCCGCCTCGCTCTGCTTGCCATTATCGGCGTGACCCGGGCCATCACCTACTCGTTTCAGGACACTGTGCAGAGCGCGACAACTGTCGCGAGCGAGTTTGATAGGTTTGCCTACACGCTCGAGTGCATGTTTCCCATGATCATGTAGTAAGTGATCCCTAACAAACCCCTGCTGCTACAGTCCCGCGGGGACACCAGCGTGGCTGACATGCATTCCTTTTCAGCATCGACATCCTCGCCTCCCGCCTCATCTTCCATGGAGACGCCTACGGCTCGTCGCGCAGCGCCGGCGCCTCGCGCGGGGCCAAGACGGGACCCCGGCAGTTCACGCAGAGTGGGCCCGAGGGCAACGACGTGCACATGTACCCGCTGCCCAAGGTGGAGCGCCACATCGAGGTGCACGGCGGCTACGACAACAGCGACGAGGAGACGGCGACGGGCAGCGGCAACGGCGCCGGCGGCACCAGGAGCGGGAGCAGGAAGCACCAGAACCACAACACGGGCCGCAGTGCCAACCGGGGCGGCAGCCAGGTGCGCACCAGCTCGCAGGAGTACATCATCGACGACGACGGCACGCGGTCGAGGGCGACCAACGGGTCTGACTTTGGCGAGGAGATCGTGGACCTGGGCAAGAAGGGCAACGGCCACGGCGGCATCAGCAAGACGGTCGAGTTCAAGGTTGTCGAGGCGAGGGAGGTGTGACACCTGTTGTCCAGAGAGGGAGACGAGGGGCTTGAGGTATTCTGATCTGGAATAAGGATAGAGCCGGGGAAATGGGGAGGTGGTTCAAACAGTACATCTCTTCTTTTGTTGTTGTCTGGCCAATTTGGGGGGGGCTCGCGCTCCTTGGTCTTGCTTTTCTATGCCATCATTGCGATTCCAGTTGCTTGCTTGCTTGTTCAACAGCATAATATCCACCCGAGACGTCGCTTTATGAGCTTATGGGCTTCCACTACCGTGTACATTAGAGTATACACCTCATCTCTACTCTGTGTGTAGAGCGCAAGTTGACGACCGACCACCTAATCAAAGATACATGCATGTGCAACTACTGTGATAGACATTGGAAACATGCGTACAATCTTCCAAACGTAGAGTCTATTGTCCCCCAAATATCATTTCTCGCAATATGGCCCCCAATATGTCAGAATCATTAAGATCTAGATGCAGTTTCGTCACCCTTTGCACGCCCATTCGGTTGAACTTGGTTTGTTTTCTTCTCATGCGCCCACAAGACTAGATGAAAAGAAGAGAAAAAAGAGACACCGGCCCATGGGCTCCCCAAAGAAAAGAAAAACGCCAAATGCATCCGCTCGCCCCGGCTCACAACAATCAAAAATATTTGAATAAGATCCATCCATTCCTGCCCAGTCAGTAGCTCGGCCTTATTTTCTTTATTAGAGACCCCGACTCAACTCCTCAAAAACGTCTTGAACACGGTGCTGTCGGTGCAGTCGACCCACGGGTAGCCAATCTGCCTCAGGTAGCCCTCGAGCTCGTGGACCTCCTCGGCGGGGCACTGCAGACCCGTGAGCACCTTGCCGATGTCGCTGCCCTCGTTGCGGTACTGGAACAGGCTGATGTTGTACTTGGGCCGCAGTGTGGCGAGGAACTTCTCGAGGGCGCCGGGGCGCTCGGGGAAGTTGAACATGTACAGGCGCTCGTCGGGCACGTCGGACCGCCCGCCGACGAGGTAGCGCACGTGGCTCTTGGCGAGCTCGTCGCCCGAGAGGTCGGTGACGGTCATGCCCCCGGCTTCGATGCGGCCCATGAGGCCCTGCAGCTGCTGGACGCGCTGGGCGGCGGGCGCTGTGAGGGAGATGCCGACGAGGACGTTGGCCTCGGCGGCGTTGGCGTAGCGGTAGCTGAACTCGGTGACCGAGTGGGGCATGACGGCCGAGATGAGCGACTCGAAGGCGCCGGGCTTCTCGGGGATGTGGGCGCAGAGCAGCGCCTCCTTGCCCTCGCCCAGAGTGGCACGCTCGGCCACGAAGCGCAGGCGGTCAAAGTTCATGTTGGCGCCGCTGGTGACGGCGACGAGGGTCCTGTCTGGGTCGACAGAGGGGTACTTGGCGACGTACTTCTTGAGGCCGGCCAGTGCCAGGCCACCCGCGGGCTCGACGATGGACCGCGTGTCCTCGAATACGTCCTTGATGGCGGCGCAGGCCTCATCGGTGGTGACCTGGATGACCTCGTCCACGACCTCGGAGCAGATGCGGAACGTCTCCTCGCCGACGGTCTTGACCGCCGCGCCGTCGGCGAACAGCCCGACCTCCTTCAACACTACGCGCTCCTTCTTCTCCAGTGACTGGACCATGGCGTTGGCATCGTACGTCTCGACGCCGATGATCTTGACGTGGGGGGCAATGCGCTTGACGTAGACGCCAACTCCGGCAATCAGGCCGCCGCCGCCGACGCAGCAAAAGATGGCCTCGAGCTTCTGGATGTTGGTCTGGCGCAGCAGCTCCATGCCGATGGTTCCCTGGCCGGCGATGACGTAGGGGTCGTCAAAGGGCGGGATGTTGAGCAGGCCGTCCTGAGCCTCCCTCCGCTGGCACTCCTCCTTGGCGGCGTCAAAGTCGGCGCCGTGCAGGACGACGTGGCCGCCCATGCGCGAGACGTTGCGGTGCTTGATGGCCGGGGTGGCCTCGGGCATGATGATGGTGGCGGGGATCTTGAGCTTGCGGGCCGAGTAGGCGACACCCTGGGCGTGGTTGCCGGCGGAGCAGCATATGACGCCCTTCCACGACTGGGCCGGGTTCAGGTGGGCCATCTTGTTGTAGGCGCCGCGCAGCTTGAAGCTGAAGACGGGCTGCTCGTCCTCGCGCTTGAGCAGGACGTTGCACTCGAGGCGGTTGCTGAGGTTGACGGCGTGGGTGAGGGTGGTCTCCTTACAGACCTCGTAGACTCGGGAGGTGAGGATGAGGCGGAGGTACTGTGTTCGGGTTGACGATGGTCAGCAGGGAAGGTTGTGACTGAGAAGGAGAAGTCTGATCTGATGCTACTCACGTCTGGGTGCCCGTTCGGCAGCATGAACTCGGGTGGTATGACATTCTTGAGCCTCGATCTCTTCTCCTCGGAAGGGGGAGAAGGGTTGGCGCTGTACTCGGTGAGCGACAGGCCGCTCAGGCTCGGCGTCCTGGGTGTGTGCGGGCGGGCGGCGGTGCCATTGGGGAGAACACCGTTGACGACAGTGCGTGCGCCGTTGACCACGGGGTCCGGCATGGACGCTCCCGTCGTGGAAGCCATCGTGGTGCGTTGCGAGCAAACAAAAAGATGTGTGCTTTGTGCTCAGAGAGTCGAGTCGGTGAGAGTCATACCTCGCGATAAGGCCATCCCAGTGGTTGATATCGATCTGGTTGGGGACAAAAAAATAAATCTAGCGGGGTGCTCAATTGCAACACCTGATTGGGCAGATAACCTTAGTGTCTTTGGAGGTGTGACTCGACAGCTCCAGGCCTGGGTAGTGGGGTCGCTGAGAGCCGCACAGGGTCTTAGCCGCCTGTATCTTCCGCGCGTCCAGGGGTCTGGCTCGCCGACCACTTGGGGCTCCGGGGACTAGATTTAGTGGCTGCAACCGCTGCGGACCAAGCACTGAGGTACGAGGATCCATGTCATCATCCATTTTAACCACTCCACCACCGAGAAGTTCCCGCATCGGCATTCTCGCCATCACACGACACACACTCTCTCAGAGCCGAGCAGCCGGGCCTGGGATTGCGCAGCCCCCCCCCAAACAGTCACCTCTACGCACGAACGCACCGACGACCAACCTCCAACAGAGCTTGAATTCCAACAAAGTCATATCGCATTGACGCCCTTTCGCCATGTCAGGAAAACCTGTGCCCGAGAGCCTGACCGACAGGCCACTGCCCTCGTCCTTTGACGAGAACGAGTAAGACACACACACTACCCCAAACACCAGGAAAGCATACCTAACGAGCCCCGTTGCGAACAGGGACTTTTACAACGCGAACCCCTTCCAGAAGATCGCCCGCAAGATCAAGCGCGAGCCGCTGATCCCCTTGGGGTGCCTCCTCACCGTCGCCGCCTTCACCTCGGCCTACCGCGCCATGCGCCGCGGCGACCACCAGCAGGTGCAGCGCATGTTCCGCGCGCGCGTGCTGGCGCAGTCCTTCACCGTCGTCGCCATGGTCGCCGGCGGCGTCTACTTTGGCCAGGAGCGCCGCCAGGAGCGCGACGCCTGGAAGGTCCAGCAGCGGCAGAAGGAGGAGGACCAGAAGGCCCGGTGGATCCGCGAGCTCGAGGCCCGCGACGAGGAGGAGAAGGCCCTGATCGATCGCCTCGAGCGCCGCAAGAAGCGGGCCGCCGAGCGGGATGCCGCCCGCGAGGCCGGCGCCCCGGGCACGGAGGTGGCCGGCAAGGCCCAGGTCGGGACCGAGGTGCTGAGCGTCGAGAAGAAGGAGGGCACCAGCGTGCTGGGCTCGCTCGGGGGTCTTTTTGGCGGTGGGAGCAAATCCGGCGATGCCCAGCGGAAATCTGATGCGGACGCCGAGAAGTAAACGCGGTGCGGACTGGCAGGGGTTGCGGCTGCCTCGAGGCGAGGCAGCCATTTATGGCGTGACGGGGGATTCATTATGGACCAACGGTTTCCGGTTCATCAACACCATCATTGTACAACATCTGGACGGGAAGACGGAGCTGCTTCGAGAGACCAGGGCGGCACATATGGGTAGGAAAAGGGGGAACGAGAATGGGCACACACCTCCACTAACATATACCATCATCACATTCACTCTGTACTGACTGGCTACCAAATATGTCATAATAGGAGTTCTTTTTTTCCTTTCTGTTCAATATCTACCATGGTCCATCCTTGTGCTCTCTTGTCACTCTAAGCATCAGGCCGGGAAAGTGATTGACTAAACGTGATCGTAATCCAAAAAACGCCAAAACTCCCGGGGACCCTTTTGACCAAGGCAACTAACTCGCCAACCTCACCTCGTCAATTTCCAAACTACCACCAACTACTACCACCCACTAGACCGGCACTCAAGTACGTGCCAACTCCTCCAACCACAGTCACGCGAACCACAGAGATCACGACATGCTCCCCCCGCTCCGGTTCTGCCCGATCAGCCCCGCCATCTCGAGCAGCGCCCGGTCGGCCTCGACGTCCCCGGTGCCCAGGTTGACCCTGCGCCGGGCCTCGGCCTCGCGCGCCTCCCACGCCCACCGCTCCGCCTGGACCCGGGCCTCGGCGTCCCCGCCGCAGCCCCAGACCTCGAGGCTCTCGACCTCGAACCGGTCCTGGAAGTCGAAGGGCCGGGCCGCGCTCGTGGCGAACGCGCCGCCGCGCGACGTGTGGTCGTGCGTGAAGACGCCGAACTCGAAGCTCGAGTCGAGCAGCAGCGACACGGGGCCCAGCGAGACCGTGCCCGTCCGGCGGTAGCTCTGCGACGAGGCCGCGGGGGCCGGGCAGCCGAAGGACACGCCTCCCCCGTGGGCGGACGACGACGACGACGAAGGCGGCTTGGTGAAGCAGGCGTAGTCCCGGTTGAGGCTCGAGGCCGGGAACACGTCGTGCACGGGCTCGAGCTGGAAGAGCTTGCAGTCCGTGTCGCCGAAGCACTCGCGGTTCGTGTGGCGCCACGGCTGGCCGATGTAGGCGCCAAAGGTGAGGCGGTCCGAGGTGCTGCCGTGGGGGAAGCGGCGGGGCGGCAGGGTGGCCGCGAAGGACGACTCCTGGCCCTTGTTCGGGGTGTCGTCGACGCGGGTGCCGCGGACCAGGACGATCGTCGGAGCGCGCCAGTTGAAGACTTTGGTCTCGAACGAGCCCATGGAGAAGCCGTCGTTGTCACCCGAGTAGAGGAGGCGCAGGCGGCGGAAGAGATCGGAGCCCGGGATGAAGAAGGAGAGCTGCGAGAGGACATTGAGGTCTAGAATGTCACCCTTGTCCTGTAGCAGCGGTTGTGGTTCACTCTCGGCCACCATTTTCGGGGGTGGGAGGCCGTCTTTGTGCTTGGAGAGGTCCAGGTTTTTGGAGAAGAGAAAGTGCTCAAAGAGCGAGCTGAGGCCGTTGAAGAGGTAGGGGAAGCAGACGGGAACGATGGCGTCAAAGTGTTTGAACTTAATCCCCGGCGACTTTTCGACATCCAAGAATGTGGCCAACACGCTCTCTGCCGTGGATCGCAGGTTCTCCAGCTCGTCGCCGACCACTCGGTGGGAGTACTGGGACAGTCTCTCCTGGGGCTCCATGGGCGCGATGATGAGGAGGAGCATGACGAGTTTGCGAAAGTTATCGGCGGGGATCATAGCTCCGTGGATGGTGGGGGCATTGCCGTGCTTGAAGGCGGCAACATAGTCTAGTGACTCGAAGGCTGCCATGACCAGACTGTCGTCTTCCTCCGCCGCATCTTCCGGCTCGTCGTCTCCGGGCTGATCCACGGCGAATCCTGCCGTCGTGGTAGTAGTCGACGTTGCCGCGGGCGGTTCGGCTTGGGCCGAGCCGGGCTGCTTCTCGCCGCCCATCTCAGACAGCTTCTTATCATAGACTGCCAAGCTCTTGAAGAGCAGTTTCCGGCGGTCCGTAGGCCCCTTGGCCAGCACTCTCCGATATCTCTCTGTCAGGATGGTGATGACGATGACCATCTGCTCCAGTCCGAGCACGGCCGGCGCATCCTGGAGAAAGGGAAAGGCGCCGATGTAGGACAGCATGTTGAACAGCACCGGAGAGACATGGAGGACATCAGGGATCTCGAGGAAACGCGAGACGGTTTCCTCTTTAAAGTACCTGACCCCTTGCTGGGTGTCGGCCAGGCCCTTGAAGTTGTCCTTGAGCGAGTACAGCTCCAGAGAAGTGAAGCACTTTTCTGCAAACTTGTTTGCCTATTCAGGGGTGGGATGTCAGCACTGCACTGCACTTCACTGCACAAAATGCGTTGTGACCGCGTGTCACTTTGCACACAGGTAAGCCTTACGAGCTGCTTGGTGATCTGCTCATTCGACGGAGGAGCCACAGGCTCGCTCGACTGAGCCTGCCCCATGGTTTGGTTGCCTATTGCCTCCTACAGCGCGTCCGAGTTGCACAGCAGGGTGCGAGCAGCTCTCATGAACCAAATGGGCTGGCTACGAGGCTCGATCATCATTCGGCCTGGCCTAGAATACATCAATGCTTTCTGCGTGCGGGCCGATACAGATGGCTGGAATGTAAGTCGGAGATGATAAGGCGAGACAAAGCCCAAAAGTCGGAGTCAAACGAGGCACCAAAGCATGATTAATGCGTTGCATGTTTGGGGGGCAGAACTCAGCTTATTATGGCAGGGGGCGGGGGGGAGAAGAGGGTACCTGCTGCGTCATGCCAGGGCATGCACTAAGCCCTGAGGTCAGCTCATAGCGCCCTTTCTTAGCGCGGTGCGGTCCGGGCAAATCTGGGGATTGGATGGAATGGACATTTGGAGAGGTAGGTAGGTACCTTACCTACCTACCTAGCATCCATCGATTATGTGACCCAAGGCAGATTGATTTGAATCCTGCGATCAAACAATGGCACTCCGTCCACACCGAAACACCTTGTCTCTGCCAATACACGTCCCTGAAAAGCCCCAAGAAACGTTCTAGACTCGAGGCACCGAAACTTGGCACAAAGCCATCAGATCATGTGCCAGTTCCTGGCCTTTGATTCAGGGCCCAGTTTCCCTTGGCTTAGTAAAGGCAATCCTTGCCATTGGCCTAATCACGTAACCATTCTGCCCTCCGAGAACAGAGCCGTCTCCTCTCTTGGCATCCGCGACGCCGTTTTGCTCGAGCAAGCACTGCGCAGCATCGATGAGGCCTTGAGAGTCTTCCAGATGCAGAGGACAGGTATCTTGAGAGTAATCAATGACAAGGGACAACAACATTCACGTGGAGCTTGGTCCAAGTCGACAATGCAAGATGTTAACTGCAAATCTGGCCAAAGCCTCTGTCGTTACCCTTCAGAGTCTTCATCAATGCCACTCATAAATTCGGCTCACTAGGCCACACTGCCAGAGCCGAGTCTGCCCATGATAGTGTTGAAACCCTCAAAAACTAAAGAACAAGTAAAATCCTGTACATCATGATGCTCCGCGGAGCGAGCTCCGCCTCTTTGAACCTGTCCGATATCCCAGCATTCGAACACACCCGCGCTCAGGGGGGAATCTCCTATTCGCGCCTTGAAATTGTTGTTGCTGTTGTGGGCAACAAGAACAAACGAATACGCCCTCGGTCAAAGGAAAGAAAAAAAAACTCCTAATGCCCACCTGAACACCATCTTTTTGTAAAAGAAAAGAAAAAGCCCAAAAACACACGGGTTGCACCTTTCTTCATACATTTTCGCGACCTCAAACCTCGTCCACTTCCTTTCTCTGCACGGAAGTGATAAAGTTCTGGTACTGCTCTTCCTCCGACAGAAGCTGCTTCTTGACCGATCGCAAAGGGGGTGTCGACGTTGCCGAAACCTTTGCAGTCCACAACACGCCCTGCATCGGTTCCGGATGCGGCACCGTCTGTAGCCCTTCCGCCTCCTTGTTCGCGGCGCCGTTGACCTCCTTCTCGGTGCTCGACTCCTTTTCATCCTTGTCCTTCCTGGGCAGCCTCATAGCCAAGAGGATGTACTCTGCACGCGTCATATTGTCCATGATGTTGTCCATGTAGCGCCTGACCTCGTCCGGAGGTGCAACGACCCTGGCCAAGTTCTCCAGGTGGCGATGCGTCGTGGCAGAGAGCCGTATCGTGACTGGCTGGTAATAGTCGAGCGCCGGGTCCCCACCGTACTCGGATGTGCTTCCCTTCCTCACAATGAGGAACGAGGCAATCACCTGCTGGCCCGTAGCCGTCTGTAGAAAGTCCAGGATGCTGAACTTGGGGAACAGGTAGCGGTCGCCAGAGCCGCCTGCAAACTCAAACACGACAGCGGAAATGTCCGTTCGCAAGGCCGGAGGCGGTCCTTTCGACCGCAGAGCCTGCTGCGGCACGTGCTGCTGCGGCGGCGGCGGCGTTCTGGTCGGGCCGTTGGCTGCTAGAGCCGGACGGCCGTTGGGCATAACCTGGTGCTTCGTCGTAGGCGACGGCGCAATGGCCGGCGATTGCGTGCGTGGCCCCTGCTGTTCCTTGATCACCTGGTGCTTCAACCTGTCCAGGACGGTCTTCAGATCGGTCGCGTCAGAGAACTGAGGCCGGTTGTCGGCGATGCGACGGACCATCTCCCTAACTTTAGCATCGTCCAGAGCTGCCTTGACCAGCAAGACAACGAGGGGGTCGCTGCCCGCAGGAGGCCGCAGATCTGCAGAGGTCTGCTTGGGGTTGGTCCTGAAGACAATGTCAAGAATAGCCCGGACCTCCTCCGCAAAATATCGCACTGTCCTGCCGTCCACGAGGAGCCGGTCTGCCGATGGGCCTTGGACAGCCCCCTTGCGCTTGCTCTCTGCCGTGATCTCGTCGATGATCTTCTGGAACTTGTCCAGCTCGTATTTGGGGGCGTTGCCGTTGGCAACCCTCTTCATCAGGTCGCGCAGCTGCGGATCTTCTGTAGCCCTCTCCGCCAAAGTCACGATGATCGGGTCGGTGCCGGGCGGATGGGTCATGGGCGCAGGCTTGGCAGCCCCTGGTTGTCCCGGTGGCGGGCTAGGCCCAACGCCGTTGGGTCTCGGGGGTGCATGGGCGGGAGCTGGCGGGATGGCCATTTTTTGAGGCATGTGCTGTTGCGTGGAGGGCGACTGGGCGGGCACGTGCCCTTGGTGCCCTTGGTGCCCTTGAGGCATGTGCAGGCCTGGGGCCATTGGTTGCTGCGCATGTGGCGGAGCAGCATGGGGAGCTGAGTGGTTCATGCCTGGCGGCGAAGAAGCCATACCTCGTGCAGGAGGTGGCCCAGGGACAGAATGCGGCGGAGGTGCATGCGGCGGTCCTGGCGCATGCACGTGAGGGTGCGCCTGCATAGGCTGAGGCTGGCTAACGGGCTGCTGTGGATATGAAGGAGCACCGACAGGTGTAGGTGAATGTGCTGGTGCGGGTGCAGGAACAGGTCCATGTCCGTGTCCCGGCGAAGGGACCGGCACCGGTGCTGCTAAGCCTCCGGGCATCACTTGCGGTGGAGGACCCGACGCTGGCACTGAAGTGGCAGGTCCTGGTACTGGTGCCGGTGTGGGCACTGGCGCTGTCCCTGGAGTCATTGGGGATTGCTGCTGAGGAGGGATGGGTTGCTGTGGTTGTACAGGTGCCGCAACTGGGGTTTGCGAGCGCGCCAGCGTGGCTGGTGCCGCCTTGGCTGGTGTCGACGAGCCCGAGGCGGGAGGGGGCGTCGGGGTCGGAGGCGGTGGCATCGTACCGTTGGGGGGACCGTACTGCATGATGGGACGGAAGGTGGGCTGTGGCACAGGAGGCTTGGGGTTCGGGTCCTTGACGGCAAACATTGTGGCCTCGAAGACGTGAGGCTCAATGGTGATGACCACTGGACCCAGCTTGATCATGGTATCCTTGGCCGGGTTGCCGGGCTCCTCGATGACGACGCCCTTTCGCTTGGACGGTTTGGACCAGTACTTTTCGAAGATGCCCTCGCTGATCCATTGATGCCGCGATCGGTGGAGAGACTCGGCCAAGACACCGCTGCACGGGAAAAAAATATTAGCAACAATGACTGGGCACGCGGGCACGGTCGGACAGCCAGGGAAGAAAAGCGGCATGGGCATGTATCTCACCTCTCTTGTACCGATTGAAATTCCTTTGTCGAGAGCTCGTCGGGTTGGGCATCCTCGACGGTGGGCAAGGGCTTGCCTGGCTGGATGGACTTGGGCAATGGCTGAGCGGGGATCTCGTCGACGGCCGGAGTAGTCGAGGGCGCGGGCGTGACCGAGGTCCGTTCTGGAGGCGTCGCCGTTCTCTTCTTGGCAGCCTGCTCGACACGAGCTGCGGCGCGTGCCGGGAGTTTCCTCTTCTTCTCCATCGCCGGCAGGAGGCCACGCGCTCACCGGGCACTGGCTGCCGACAAGGCGTTGCTTTTCCCTTCGTGGATTAGACGACACAGAAGGCGCCAGTCCGGGCGAAGAGACTCATAGCATGGGGGCAGGGGTCGAGCTGGGACGGCCTGGAGCAAGACGGGAGGCTATCTCGGCGGGAGGGCAGCGAGCATGGGGAGGAAGCTCGGCTCGTCGAGGGCGTTGTTGGTCTGGAGGGTAGGGTGGGAGTTTGGTGAGCAAAGCATGGAGGGTGAGCGAGGATGAATGACCAGGAACAGTCCAGGGAACGCGGGTCTGGAAAAGAGTGGAGCGGCAGCACGCACAGGCGCTGGGAAGCATTGGCGTCGTTGCTGCTTGCTGCTGCACACCTGGGCAGGCACACCCACAGGGCTCGCTCTAACAGCTAGAGTGGAGATTCAAGCGGCCTGCAGCGCACCTATCAAACCGCCGACAGGCTATTGGGCCGTCTAAAGTACCTCCTTCAGCGGGCTCTTACTGGCCGAGAATGCAGAGGTGTGGTGGGACAGTCAGCGGATCCCTCCGCAAAGGCAGAGGATGGATGAGTGAGGTACCTGCCTGCCTCTGCTACCTTCTGCTTTGTGCTGCGGGATTGGAGTGGAATTGTTTGGGCATTTCTCTTCCGGTTTCCGTCCGATTTGTTTGTAGATACAATCCCAGTAATTGAAGCTTGAAAGGGGGGGCGGAAGTGCTATGCAGAGCGTCCCGCTCCTTTTCTGTCTTTCTCTCTCTTTTTTCTCAAGCACGTCGCTTTTGTTGACGAGGACAAATGGCCAATTGAGGACTGTCGATGTCCATTGCGGCTGAGACGATACGCCGACTTTGACTTGGGTGTGGGACGGGCAAATAGCCGCATCGGTTAGCTAGCACGCTTGCAATCCTACCTATGTGCACTAATGGAGAATACAGGGTGACAGGCAGCTGCATAGAAGCTGATGCAAGTCACTCCAGTTAGAGCACTCATCACCGCTAGTCATCCCAGTTTCAACGTCAGCGTACGCCAGGCTTCCGTGATCGATTTGCTCTCTACGAAGTATCCCGTAAATAGATCGAGCAACACCCCGTATGAAGATAGACAGCCCGGCGATGGGCTTGGTGGATAGCCCCGGTCTCTTAGAAGAAGCTTGCTTGTTGCATTTTCCCCATTGTATAATCATTTATACATACATCCGTGCATATTTCATCGCTGTAGATATCTCTTCTAGCCATGCCGGTGTCACCCTGGATCCATGCCGCCTGGGCCATTCCCGCACTTCCCCTGGGCCTGTGGTGCGTCTTCCTCGCGCTCGGCTCGACGCCCTTCTTCCAGAGGCAGTGAGTAGCACAGAATTATTCTCATTTACCTATATGCATGGCTACATGGTACAATGCTCACCGGTCTCCCAGTTTTCTGTACGCCCACAAGATCAAGCCGTTCTGGCAGGATGCCAACAAGCCCGAGAAATGGGGGTTTGCAAGTGAGATTCCACCGTCTCTTGCGCATGATTATTCCTCACTGGTCACTCATTCTTCTGCGCTTCCTTCACAGAGAACCAGGTCGTCCCCTTTTTGGTGACTACCGAAGACGGCGAGCAGATCTACGCCTGGCACGTCCTCCCTCTCCGGCTGTATGCCAAGCATGAACGCAGACTTGCTGCTCAGCCGGGCGGCTTCAGCGACGATGTCACAGCCACGGAAAACTTCAAACTCTTGAAGGACGATCCAGAGGCCAAGCTGATCCTGTACTGTAAGTCATCTGGTCCTTCCTACCCTGTCCAACAACATGGGCCTTTCTGACACCACCTCCCTCTCCACAGTCCACGGTGTAAGTCCCTTATATGCCATATATCAAAGGCATATCTAAACAAGCCATGACCATCCCGTCTCACGCACACAAACTCCACACAGAACGCAGGCCACCTCCCCAACGCCATCCGCGCCCCCTCCTTCCACACCTTCACAGACACCTCCCCCTACCACCTCATCGCCATCGACTACCGCGGCTTCGGCCGCTCCACCGGCTCCCCCTCCGAGGCCGGCCTCCTCGCCGACGCCACCGCCATCGTCGACTTCGCCATCCGCACCGCCGGCGTCTCCCCGCGCCGCATCGTCCTGCTGGGCCAGAGCCTCGGCACCGCCGTCACCGCCGCCGTCGCCGAGCGCTACGCCCGCGCCGACGAGGGCGTCGACTTTGCCGCCGTCGTCCTCGTCGCCGGCTTCAGCAGCCTGCCGACCATGCTCTCGGGCTACGCCATCGCCGGCTGGGTCCCCGTCCTGCGGCCCCTGACCTGGGCGCCGGCGCTGCTGCGCGCCATGGCGCGCCTCGTCGTCGACAAGTGGCCCTCGGCCGAGCGGCTGCGCAGGACGGTCGCCGCCGTCAAGGCCCGCGGCGGCCGGCTGCGGCTGAGCCTCGTGCACGCCAGGGACGACTGGGACATCCCGTGCCACGAGGACGACAAGATGTTTGCGCAGGCCGTGCGGGGATTGCTCGATGGCGATGGTGATGAAGATGACGCTGAGCAGGAGGAGGTGGACGACCAGAAGCTGCTGGAGATGAAGGACAAGCGCACTATCGGCAAGGGCAAGGATGCGTTTGTCGCCGAGTGGAGGGAAGGGGATATTGTGATTAGGCAAGAGCTTTATCCGTATGGAGGTGAGTTGGGCATGCTGTAGTGACGACCTGAATGGGTGGGATTAAATCGGTACTAACATGCACCAGGTCACAATGATATAATGATGTACTCGCCGGTAGTGTTGGAGGTCATGAGAGCATTTGAGTCGGATGATTGAATTGACGGGATAGCTGAGGCGGTAATTAAGCAATCGGCATATACCACTACAATTGGCACTATGCTGTCACTTTGGATACAATACTTTCTCAGCCACTTCAATAGACTAAGATATAAAAGAGACTGCCTGCCTAGGGAATGAAAGCATGAGAGGAAAGATCCATGAACGAGGCGGTTGAGCCACATAGCCATCATACCATTTGGCAAAGCCGCATCAGGCCTCGTCGTAGCCCCAGCCAAGCTGCCGATTGACCTCGTTCATCGCATTCACGCCGGCGCGCAACATGCCAAGCCCAGCGTTGACAGCCGAGCTGCCGGTGTCAAACGTAGGCTGGGCGCCCTCGGACGCGATCAGGTCCTGCTGGTTCAGCTCACACTGCCGCTTCTCAAGGATGGCCTTGTTGAGCGCCCGGCCCCAGAGGTTGTACCACTGGTCCTCGCTCAGGCTGATGTACTCCTTGCCGCCGTCCTCCCGGGGCCGGGAGAAGGGCCAGTCGACGCTGACGACCTCGAACCGCTTGGTGCGGACGAGCAGGTACGGCCAGGTCAGGAGGAAGAGCAGCGTGAAGGCGCACAGCCAGAAGATCCAGGTGGTCAGGCGCCACCGGTTGGTGCGGCACGCGTTGAAGACCTCGACCAGGTCGTCCTTGACGGGGAAGGTGACCTGCACGCGGCCGCGGTAGTTGCTCGCGCGCACGAGCGCCTCGATCTTCTGCCGCACCCTGTCCTCGTCGAAGCCGACCATGCGCCGCCGGACGCTGAACGCCTTGAGCCCGGCGTGGCTCGCGCAGTAGAGGTGGCACCACTCGGCCAGCGTGGGCTTGTCGCCGCCGCCGACCTCGAGGTCCTGGCTGGAGCCCGCGGCGCGCGTCTGCAGCACGGTGCCGCGGCGCGCCTTCTCGTAGTTCTCGACGGTGCGCAGCTGGCGCCACGAGGCGCCGTTGGTGGCGTCGCTGAAAAGGTACGGCGTCAGGTCGATGCGCACGTCGAAGTCGGTGACGCTCTTACGCTCCCGCTTGCCGTTGTTGGTGACGGTCGCCTTGTGCTCGCCGTGCACGCGGACCGAGGGCCGCGGCGGCTGCACGGCCCAGGCGCGGACGTGCTTCTCGAGGACGGCGGGGACCGTGTCCAGCACCGGGTTCAGGTACCACTGCCGGCCGGTGGGACCGTCGGTCACGTAGGCGGGGAGGATGTCGGCGTCGGCGGAGCTGGGCAGGAGAGGCGCGGCGCTGCTGCTGCTGCTGCTGGCGGCCGGTTCGTCGATGTCGCTGTAGAGAGGAGGGAGGTCGTCGACCTGGAGCTCTGGAGCGTCGTCATCGTCTTGGAATGGGTGGTGGCGGTCAGGCTGCGTGTGGAGGGACACGGCGTCGTCAGCAGGCCGGTCCGCTGATTGCGAGGGCTTGCCCATGGTGGCGGATTGATGATAGATTGCTCGAGGTGGGACAAAAGGTGAAGGGGGGTTGAGACAATTTGGGAGTAATGTTTCGTATTACAAGCCTAAAGGAAAAGGGAAAGAAGGGAAAGGGCATCCCAATGGAATTGGGTTCTGAGAGGAAGAGGGGGCCTTTCTGGGTTTTGGGCAGATGGTGAGATTCATCAGCTCGAGGCAGCAGTGGCGCAGCCATTGGCGAGACCGACCTTTGACAGTCCAGCCATACTTCTTTTGGGGGCCAATGCCGGCCATGGCAGGACTGCCTTATCGTGCACTTCAAATTGACTGGCAGCTATCATCAACAGCATCAGTGTCAAGCACATGTATCTGTCTCTCTTCCCCGCCTCGCCCCTACTAGGAGGAGCTGTCTCCTGTTTGGCATTGTGACAAGCTCCCTGTCTCCTCCTCATCGATGTAAATCAATAGACACCAATCTCTCGAGGTCGTGTCATCCTGGAAGCGGCTGTCCGCCCAGATTCCAGTATCGAAACAGAGCTATGAGTGAACCAGGCATAATCCATCTCTTCAGATGATCTCTACTGAATAATGATCATAATATAAAGGGCGAAGCAAACGAGCCTGGCTTATGAAGTAACTTGTACGTTCTCTCGAAATTGTGCCCCGATAAGATCTGATAGACACGAGTGTGGGGTCGGGATCCGAAGCTCTTCAACTTTCCAGCCTGCTGTCCATTAAATTACCCCACCAAAATTCAACCTTGAGGACAGCCCGCATAGTGCGCCAGCCTCGGAAGGTCCGACCTACACTATTCACCCCTTCCTCGTTCCTCGAGACGACCAGCTCTCCCCTTCGCACATTGATCTCCTTGAAGATCGTCCCCCCTCGAGGCCGCCATGTCGCAAGAGTCGAAACCCACCGACCCGGTCAAGGAGGAGGCTGCCGAGGAGCTGCGCGAGGCCATCGCCGCCGGCAAGCAGCCCGAGGTCGAGTCCGAGGAAGACGATGCGCCCGAGGATGCTACCGCCGACGCTGGCGCCGCGGCCGGGAGCTCGTCCAAGAAGAAGAAGTCCAAGAGGAAGAAGGTCAAGGCCGCGCTCTCGGGCCTGACGGGCAAGTCCGCCGACCCCCAGGCCGACCTCAAGAAGGCCATCACGAACCTGCCCCCGGCCCAGCTCGCCGAGCTGATGAAGCTCAACCCTGCCCTGGCCGAGGAGATCTCCAAGGCCCAGGCCGAGGGATCTGCTTCTGGTGACCCCGACGCCTCTGCCCTCGAGGCCCTGAAGCGGCTCAACCTGCAAGACATCATGACGGGGCTGGCGACGAGCGGCAAGAACATCAAGGACATGGCGAGCTACAAGTTCTGGGCGACGCAGCCCGTGCCCAGGTTCGGCGAGGAGCCCTCGGCTCCGATCGAGGAGGGCCCCTTCAAGATTCAAAAGGTCGAGGACGTACCCAAGGAGCCGTCCAAGCTCGTCGACGGGTTCGAGTGGGACTTCCTTGACCTCACGGATAGCAAGCAGCTCGAAGAGGTGTACGACCTGCTGTCGGGTCACTTTGTCGAGGACGACGAGGCCATGTTCCGGTTCAGGTACTCGACCGCCATCCTGAAGTGGGCCATGATGTCTCCCGGGTGGAAGAAGCAGTGGCACCGCGGCGTGCGCGCGACCCAGTCCAAGAAACTCGTCGCATTCATCGCCGCCATCCCCCTGGAGCTCCGGGTGCGCAAGAACACCCTGCACGCCTCAGAGGTCAACTTCATGGTCGTGCACAAGAAGCTGCGCTCCAAGCGCCTGGCGCCCGTCCTGATCAAGGAGATCACCCGCCTGTGCAACGTCGACGAGGTCTGGCAGGCCATCTACACCGGCGGTGTCGTCCTGCCGAGGCCGGTCAGCACGTGCAGGTACTTCCACCGCGCCATCAACTGGCAGAAGCTCTGGGAGGTCGGCTTCAGCCCGCTGCCGCCCAACAGCAAGCCCCAGTACCAAGTGCGCAAGTACGCACTGCCCGACCAGACCGCCATCCGGGGTCTGCGCGAGATGGAGGCCAAGGACATCGAGCCCGTGCAGGATCTCCTCATGAGGTACCTGAAGCGGTTCGACATGTACCAAGAGTTTGACAGGGAGGAGGTGGAGCACTGGTTCCTCCACAAGAAGGACTCGGGCGACGAGCAGGCCATCTACACCTACGTTGTCGAGGTGAGCATATCCAAGTCTCTTTGACTCTCCTCTCGCAACATTGCTAACAAGAACGACACACAGGATTCAAACAAGAAAATTACCGACTTCTTCTCCTTCTATGCCCTGGACTCGTCGGTCATCAACAACCCGAAGCACGACGTGATCCACGCCGCCTACCTCTTCTACTACGCCACCGAGGTCGGTCTGACCACGCCGGTGGACAAGACCGCCCTCAAGACGCGCCTCAACGCCCTCGTCTCGGACGCGCTGATCCTGGCCAAGCGCTTCAAGTTTGACGTCTTCAACGCCTTGTCTCTGATGGACAACGCGCTCTTCCTGGAGCAGCAAAAGTTTGGCCCCGGCGACGGCCAGCTGCACTACTACCTCTTCAACTACAACGCCAACCCCATAGCCGGCGGCGTCAACAAGAGGAACCAGCTGGACGAGGATGGGCTGAGCGGTATCGGCTATGTTATGATGTAGATTTTGTAGCATATACTGGGGCTGTTTTTTCCACATGAGCGTGCGGCCAATACAAAACATATGACATAGAGAGGGTGAAAAACGAGTACAAAATTATTCATGCAATTGCCATGATGCTAACGAATGCTCTTCCGTCTGTCCCTGCTCTACTCCTAGTATGCCCCAACGCCTGCTGTGAAAAGGTAAAGAAGACGTAAAAAAGCCCAGAGAAATCTAGTCTAGTCCCCTAGTGAGGGTAACAACATAAAACGTCGTCAATTAAGTCACAACCGCCCGTCCAGCTTCTCGCCCGCCTCGAACCGCTCCCTCAGGCACTCGTTGAACCACTCGCACCGCTCGACGACGGGCGCGTGGCCCACGCCCTCGAGGATGTAGCTGGTCCCGGGCGCGATGTACTGGATGAGCTTGCGCCCGTGCGGCACCGAGATCATACCATCCTCGGTGCCGTGCATGACCAGGATGCGCTCGCGCCCGACGGCGTCGGCCATGGCGGCCAGCTGCGCGGGCGTCTTGCGGTGCCAGCCCGCCGCGATGAGCTGCAGCAGGAAGCCCCTGGTCGTGAAGCGCCGCGCGTCGAGCCGCTTGTGCATCTCCTGCGCCACGAAGCGCTGGTAGTTGGTCTCGAAGGCGCCGTAGGGCCACCCGGCGCCCGAGGGCGGCGGCGCCACGCGCGGGGTGCCCTCGGCCGGCACGCGCGCCTCGTCGGCGCGGCGCAGCCAGTCGCGGCTGAAGAGCTGGTGCGCCGCGTCGCGGACGGACCTCTCGAGGCCCTTGGGGATGAGCAGCGAGGCGCGGTTGGCCATGTGCTCGGCAAAGGTGCCCGTGTTCTCGACGGCGGCGGCCGTGCAGCACAGGCTCAGGCTGCTGAGGCGGTCCGGCGCCAGCAGGGCGAGCTCCTGCGCGATCATGCCGCCGAGGGACATGCCGACGACGTGGAGCCGGCGGCCGGGGCTGTCGAGGAAGCCGACGTGGCGGACGACCTCGAGGGCGTCGCGGGCCATGTCCGAGGTCGAGTAGCGCATGAGGGGCACGTCCGAGTCGCCCATGCCGCGGTTGTCGATGAGCAGGACCGAGTAGTCGCCCGCGCGCTCGTGGCCGAAGTAGAGCGTCTGGCGCTGCCACGCCGTCTTGAAGGCGGCGAGGCCCATGATAAGCTATTGTGAGGGCGGAGAGAGGGTTTAGCTGAGTAGCTCCGGGAACGTTACGAGTTGGTCTTGATTGGAGGCGGGCTTTGACGTACGATGACCTTGATCGGCCCTTCGCCGTGGACTTCCCAGGCCAGGTTAAAGGGCCCGCCACGGCCTTCGGCCACGGGGATGCGGCCGCTGCGGGTGGGCTCGAGGGCCCATGTTGCGTCCGGGTAGGACGGATGTTTGAGTGTGGCTGCGACGGTGGGCAGGTCGGCTCTGGGTTGGCGGTTTGATTAGACAAAGGTATGGATGATATGGGTTTGGCAAGGGAGCTTACTGGGTGCCCATGCTGTTGAGGGCCGGCTATATTCTTTGATTATCTGGCAGATGAGTGCAAGGAATAAACTGCTCGACTTCTCGTGGCTCTCGATTTGGCGAGGGGGGGAGCTGCTCAATGACGTCGAGGACCTAGTTACCAGGCAGTATCACCTGGATCTCATGGAGATGGTGCAATTGAATAAGGTATTTCTAGGATCTAGGGTCTAAGGACTTGGGACGAAAAACAAAATGACTTTTTAGTAGGACTCGAGGCACGCGACAACGTACATACGTATTTCAGGTGTCATCTCAAGTCCTTCGCTGCACACCACCTGCAGTTGAGGAGTTGCAGTGCACGTCAGACCCGCAGCACATGGCGGACCGAGGCTCCCCCGCCCATCCCACGTGGCGGCGGTCCGGTGCTAAGCTTCCATCAACCAGTCCTGGTGCTTCATAAAGTCTTATTGTATATAAAATCATAATCATGATTTAAGATGACGCGTTTATCTAGTCACATAAATTCATCTTGGCAGATTATGAAGCAGTCGGACCTCTTATACATCCTTTCATCTCGACTCAAACCACCACCTTGTCTCCGTAGCATGATCATTTTAGGTACTTTAGTAAACACTCAACACGGCATCGAGGCTATAAGGATATGTAGTGTGGAATGACGAATGACCAGAATGTACGCTTTACAATGCACGTTTCAGATACTTAATGTTACAGAGGTAATGGCTCCTGCCCAACGTCCTCAATCGAGACTCCACGACCCTATCGTCTTGTGAAGAGGCCTGCCACAGACTTGAACACCAACTGCACGATGCCCTCGACGCACCGCCTGTGCTTGGCCAAGATGTACGCCGCCCCGGCCACGACCGGCACGCCCACCGCGCCGATGAACCCGCCCACCAGGATCCTGCCCTGCTCGTCGCTCTTCCGGACCACCTCCGAGTAGCGCTCGTTGCCGAACGAGACCCGCGCGTACTTGGTCTGCCACCCCAGCTGCGGCAGGTGCACCGACAGCATCTCCTCGAGGTACTTGCGCAGCTTGTACGTGGGCGACAGGACCGAGGACCGCATCTCGACGTAGTTCTGCAGCGCCAGCTCGTTGATGGCGTGCGCGTCGGGCACGCGCTGGGCCGTGTACTCGGCCAGCGCGAGGGCCCGCTGGTCGGCGGCGAACACCGCCTTGTCGGCCTCGCTGCTGTCGTCGGGGGCGTTGGACTCCTTGAGGGAGTGCTTGTCGAGGATGGAGAAGAGGATGCGGACGTCCTCGAAGCCGGCGTTCATGCCCTGGCCGTAGAACGGCACCATGGCGTGTGCGGCGTCGCCGACGATGACGACCGACGACGAGTAGTGGTAGGGCTCGCACTTGATGCTGATGAGGGGCAGGTGCGGGTTGGTGTTGAAGGACTTGATCAGCTCGTTGGGGGGGATGATCTCCGTGACGCCCGGGAAGTGCCGGTCGAAGAAGCTGGGGACACCGGCGGGGTTGGCCTCGAGGGTGGCGAACTCTGCACTCGGCATGAACAATGTGCACGTAAAAGAGCCATCCTACGGAGGTTGTGTTAGCATCCGATAGATCTGGATGAGTGTGGAAACACCACTCACGTCACTTGGAATGGCGATAAACATAAAGTCCTTGCCGGGCCAGATATGCAGGTGGTTCGGCGAGATGCGGAACTTGGAGGCCGGATCGTCCTTGGTGGCCCCCTCGCGAGGCTTCAGGTGGAACTCGCACCACAGTGTATCGATGTAGTCCTGGCGGTAGTTCATCCGGACATACTTCATCAGATGGTACCTGACGGCGGAATGAGCCCCGTCGGCGCCGATCATAAAGTCGAAATCAACTTCGACTTCCCGCGCGCGTCCCGTGGACTGCCCGGTGCCTTGCACCTCAAACCATGCCTTATGAGACCGAAAGTCGGCACCGGTCAGTTTATGGTTGAAGAGCAGCCTCACGTTGGGCATGCCCTCCAGGATGTTGAGGATTTGCTTGTTGAGGCCAGCACGGTCGATGGCGTAGTTTGTCTGATACAAGTCAGCTTGAGCAAGCTGGTTGTGAGTAGTGGTGAGTCATACCCTGCCATGGGCGTCATAGTCTTGTGAGTGTTCGTACAACTCTCCTCTCGGACCCCGGCCGTGGATCATGCGGCCCTTCAGCGGAACAGTAGCCTCAAGAATCTCCTCTAGGAGACCTGGCTTCACTTGCCGGAGGGCGTTCATGCCTCTCTCGGCCAATGCCAGGTTGATGGACTTTGTAAAGTTGAGTGGCGTGGTTGTGGGGTCTCGCAAGTCTTGGTTATGTATAGTCAGTCATCGCAGCCTTGTCATGACAGTTGGAACGCAGAAGGAATAGTGGGGGTTGTATAATGCCATCGATAGAGGGCCACAGCGAAGGCGAGGCCTTAACTTGTTGACCATCGCTGACCGAGCGGAAAATGTGAATGCTGGACAGACTCACCAGCTCGGAGGTCGTATACCTCAACTTGATGGCCTCTCTGGGCGGCATACAATGCAGCCAGCGAGCCGACGGGCCCAGCGCCGACAACAATGACTTTCTGTGGGCTGCTCATGTTGACTGAGACTCCAGGCTTGACGAAGAAAAGACCAAGAGAACCTTAGCCTCTCAGAGGTAGATGGGTCATGTATACTGGGAGAGAAAATGAGGCCATTGCCGGAGTGAAAGGGTGCCAATATTTTCCGGCTCTTTTGCTGCTGACTACTCCGGGCCAGACACAGCACAGTCAAATGTTTAGTGTGGATCCGTTGGACCCTTTTTCGTCCTCCCAAGACTTCCTTCCGCCCATTTGCGGGATAGCGCTTGCAAGGCGACAGTCGGGCGCATCCACTGGCAGAATACCTACCATATTTAGAGGAAGGAATACGACACCCACAGGTCGCACAGTTGCTAAGTTGTGTCGCGGGGTACATGGAGCTTTGTACAGGGCTCCGTACTGGTTGACTCTCTGCCTGCCCGTGGTGACTGGTGGCTTGTAGACCGTACGATTTAGCAGAAAAATTGGATTTCAGTGTGAAAATCTAGTGGGGCCGCTCGATCATCAATTCTGCCCGCCAAATCCATGCACCTAGATTTCTTTGTGTGGACATTTGTGTGAAGATCTCCAACACCGCCCAACATCTTCTCTGGGCTGGCATCTTGAGTACAACACCGCAGGAGAAGAAGGTACACTTTCGTTCTTAGACGGCCTGCTTGCAAGAGGTTCTCTCTTCATCACCCTCACATTACCACTCACCACCGCCAGACACTCTCTGCCGCAACCATGGCCGAGGAACCGCCCACGAAGCGCAAGTGCTTGGGCGTTGACTGCGAGAACGACGCCAGCTCCCTGCAGTGCCCGACGTGCCTCAAGCTTGGAATCAAGGACAGCTACTTTTGCTCACAAGACTGCTTCAAGAAGAACTGGGTGAGCAGCCCGCCAGACCGAGGGTGCCGTCCGAAAGCAGACTGCACAGCACGACCCGGACATGTTGGAAAGCTAACGACTGCCTCGGCGCTGATCTAGGGCACGCATAAGTCGATGCACAAGCAGGAAAACAGTATTTTGCACCACTTCATTCCTCCAAAAGTAGTATCTAAACCTGATCCAGAAACCGGATACTACAACCCCTTCCCCGCCTTCCCCTACACCGGCCCTCTGCGACCCGTCTATCCGCTGTCCGAGAAGCGCACCATCCCCAAGTCCATCCCCCACCCGGACTACGCTGCCGACGGTATCCCCAAGGCCGGCCGCTCTCTCGGAAGGGCGAACAAGATCGAGATCCTCGACGCCAAGGCCCAGGATGGCATGCGCAAGGTGTGCCGCTTGGCGCGAGAAGTCCTGGACATTGCTGCCGCCGCCCTGCGACCGGGCATCACGACCGACGAGATTGACGAGATCGTCCACAAGGCCTGCATCGAGCGCAAGGTACGTGTGGGCCCATGGCCGCGCTGCGCGGGGGATCAGAGCTCGCAAGGGCCCTCGCTCCGGGCGCATTGCTTGCTACGAGCCATTACTGACATTGTCTAGTCTTACCCGTCACCTCTCAACTACAACCACTTCCCCAAGTCCGTTTGCACCTCTGTCAACGAAGTCATCTGCCACGGCATTCCCGACAAGCGGGTCCTGCTCGATGGCGACATCGTCAACCTCGACGTTACTCTGTACCACGAAGGCTACCACGGTGACCTGAACGAGACCTACTACGTGGGCGACCGGGCCAAGGCGGACCCTGATACGGTGAGGGTCACGGAGACGGCGAGGGAGTGCCTGGAGGAGGCCATCAAGCTGGTCAAGCCCGGCACGCTGTTCCGCGAGTTTGGCAATGCCATCGAGAAGCACGCCAAGAGCCGCAACTGCAGCGTCATCCGGACGTACGTGGGCCACGGCATCAACACCATCTTCCACTGCCCTCCCAACATCCCCCACTACGCCAAGAACAAGGCGGTGGGCGAGTGCAAGCCGGGCATGACCTTTACCATCGAGCCCATGATCGCGCTGGGCAAGTACCGGGACGTGACCTGGCCCGACAACTGGACGAGCACGACCATCGACGGCAAGCGCACAGCACAGTTTGGTAAGTTTGGTTGTTACGATGACTCGGAGAATGGACAAGACTGACGAGTCGTTGGTACAGAGCACACACTGCTGGTCACGGAGACGGGCGTCGAGATCCTCACCGCGAGGACGGCAGACTCGCCGGGCGGGCCCATACCCATGCCCACGGCACAAAACGGCGAGGCCAGGGCGTAAAGTTGGCGTAGGAAGGAAGAAAAGAAAAGAAAAGCAAAACAAGCATGGTAGCGTGGCTTTTATCTGATTCGTACATAGCACGGCACTGCAGTGGGGTGTGGGCTGTCTCTGGCGTAGGTGAATAGCATCTTGACGAATGTTCAGTGATGGGTATGACTCTACACCATTTGGTAGAGCTGTCTATCTATGGTCATGGGTTGAGGAGAGGATAGAACGTGTGAGTTGCCTGCCTGGTCGGAAAGTGATGAACGTGTCGTCTCCAGTGTGGAGGATGGCAAAGGCCAGACACAACTCCAGCAAACACATGTGATCCTGCTCCATACCCATACGAGCCAGCAACCAGCCAGACCATCTAGTGACATGCTTGATAAGGCAAGGGAGTTGACTGATGGCCGTGTCCAGCCAGACACACTCGGGTCACGATAAGGTAAGCGGAGACTCACGGATGGTATCATTGGCGGCAGACAAGGACAAGAATTTCCCCACCACCAAAGCTACACCACTGAGAGAGAGCCACAGAGCCTGCCTGCCTCGAAAAAATCGGCACAAGCTAGCACTGAATCGAGTCTAAGAGTTTTTGGAAAGGTACCTTGCACGCCCAATCCACAGCCAAATGGTACCTCGATTCCTGACTTTTTTTTTTGAATGCAGACTCGTGCTTCTGGTGTCATCATTTGAATTCCGCGCAACCGCCGGCCTTGCCTGGGAAACTTTTCCTCCTCCTCACCACCACCACCGCCAACCAACCCCCCAACCCCATAATTGGAGGCACACAACACCCACATCCTCCGCACACATCTTCTTCGAGGCTTGACCATCTCGTCGACTCCGACCTCCATTCCGTTATAGACGCACATCCTGCCACCCCAGCGAGCTACCGAAACCCGCACGCCCGACCAGAAGTCGCACCTCAACTGTCCTAGATAGCCCTAGCTTGCTTCGGGAGACCCCATCCAACTTTACTCGCGCAATAGCCAACCAGCTCTTCCAAGGCCTCGACCCTTAACCACAAACAACCACCGCCTCGTTGCCGCAAGATTAGAACTTCTTGCGACCTCCGACCGCACAGCCCAATCCCCTATCTGCATCTATCGGCGCACCAGATCCATCAGCTCAGTCACAATGTCGGGCGAAGCGTGGTTGTTCCTCTTTGCGGTGTTGATCAACGCTGTCAACCTTTTCCTTCAGGTCTTCTTCACCATCATGTACAGCGATCTGGAATGGTAAGGTTTCCCCCACATTCACCTCATGCGACTGGCGAACCCGCGCCATGGTTCTCGTTGAAACTCTGGACCGTTGCTGCACGGCTACAGCAACAACAACAACATTAGCTTGTGTCCTGGCCTACGTCATAACTGTCTGGATGCTTCATCCACCTGCGCAAGGTCTATCAGAAACTCAGTGATGCTAATACTTGTCCTCGTACAGTGACTACATCAACCCCATCGATCTCTGCAACCGTCTCAACACCTACATCATCCCCGAAGTCGCCGTCCATGGTTTCCTGACCTTCCTCTTCCTCATCAACGGTTACTGGCTGCCTCTCATTCTCAACCTGCCGCTCCTGGGCTGGAATATCAAGAAGTGAGTCTATTTAGGGACTTGTGAGGTCGTGTGTACATATATCTAACTGGATTTTCAGGATCGTCGACAACGCCCATCTGCTGGATGCTACCGAGATCTTCCGCAAGCTTAACGTCCATAAGAAGGTGAGCTCTGGCCTTTGCGATACATTGGGTGTCAATACGCTAACGACGTCGGCAGGAATCATTCACGAAGCTTGGTTTCCACCTGGTCATGTTCTTCTTCTACCTGTACAGCATGATCGTCGCGCTCATCCGGGACGAGTCGTCCTAAGTCAAGCCTTGCATGACAAACTGTCTGTTACTTGATGGCACGACCGAGGAGTCGACACCGGCATCCACACATGCGCGGCTGTCGTAGTAGGGCGGACAACCTTGCAGCTATATAGTGGTTGTCGAGACTGCCGTAGTACTTAGCACTGTTTAGGTTTTACATGGGCTGTGACTCGTGCTATCTAGACATGCTGGGGGAGGGTTCGGGCAAGGGAAGTTGTTGAGGGAAGACGGGTGATGCGTAAGATCAGGCGCTTTTTGTGCGAGATTTCTACAATTCTGGAGGAGAGGCGTTTGGGGCGAGGTCCTGTTTACGAAGAGATTAATGTCCATGCCATGACTGGGTCGGAAAGCCGGTTGCCTGGGCTGGCTTTAGGCAGGTGTGGATGATCGCCTTGTTGAGCAGCTCTCCACTGGAGCTAATTGAATAATGCCAATACCCACGGATGACCCTTTATTTAACCTTGATGATATGGACCAGTTGCACGAGGGCGATGCCTTTGGTGGGACAAGATGCAGAATCTCTCACAGGCAGGCATCAGGTCAGCTGTGTAGGCCAAGAGATATGATGCGATGAGGCTCAAAACGGAGGATAGCAGGACCTTGTAGCGGGCTGGGCGCCACGTGATTCCCCATTGGACCCCCTGTAGTACAGTAACCTACAGGCGACTCCAGCCATCAGCCCGCTGAAAAATCGACGCTAAAATTTACTGATCGCGCCCAAACTTCTACGGCAAAGTTGAGAATCCTGATCTCGATACACCCAACCGCCGACAGCTCTGCAACACACAACTTCATCACCTCGCCCGCCTCTGCACCAAACCCCACGATGGCAGGCTTCGGCGATTACCCGCCAGACATGGCGCCCCAGGACGCGCTCATCGTCAGGTCCCAGGCCGAGCCGGACCACGCCGTCGTCCCCTACAGTGGTGAAGACCTCGCCCGGCCCAGGCTGGGCCCCGCGAACCCGTTCCGCGACGAGACGGCACAGGCCACGCTGAAGCGCAAGAACGTCATGACGGGACACGCCGAGGAGACCTTCATCAGTGAGCACACGTTTCGCAGCAAGCACCGGGCCGTCGAGGGCCGGGGCGGGCCGGAGCGCGCCGCGCTCACGAGCAAGCAGATCAAGGAGGAAGCTAAGAGGCTGCGCGCGACGAGAGAGGGCAAGGGCGACGCCCTGGTCGCGGACGGTGACGGCGCGTACGTGGGGCCCTGGGCCAGGTACAGGCGGCCCGAGTACGAAGAGGTCGAGGAGGGCGCCGAGCTGGCCAGCGACGAGGAGTACGAGATTGTCGAGGAGGACGAAGAGGAGGACGACGTCGTCCAGAGCGGCACGGTGCTCTCGGCGCCGGCGCCGGCACTGGCGAGGAGGAAAGAGGTCGAGGACCTAGGCGACGAGACGACCACCTTCCACGGGGCGGAGGAGTACGACTACCAGGGACGGACATACATGCACGTGCCGCAGGACTTGGGCATCGACCTGCGCAAGGAGCCCGGCAGCGTCACAAACTACATTCCCAAGAAGCTGGTGCACACGTGGAAGGGCCATACGAACCCCGTTACGGCGCTGCGCTTCTTCCCCAACTCTGGCCACCTGATGCTGTCGGCGTCGGCGGATACGACGGTCAAGATCTGGGATTGTTACCACGAGCGCGAGCTGCTGCGGACCTTTTCGGGCCACTCCAAGGCCGTCTCGGACATCAGCTTCAACATCGACGGCACGCGCTTCATCTCGGGCTCGTACGACCGCATGATGAAGCTCTGGGACACGGAGACGGGCGCGTGCGTGTCGCGGTTCACGACGGGCAAGACGCCGCACTGCCTCGTCTTCAACCCGTCGGCCGAGAACAGCCACGAGTTCCTGGCGGGCATGTCAGACAAGAAGATTGTCCAGTTCGACACGCGAGCCGGCAACGAGCCCGTGCAGGAGTACGAGCACCACCTGGCGGCCATCAACACCATCGTCTTTGTCGACGACAACCGGCGCTTCATGACTACGTCGGACGACAAGTCGCTGCGCGCCTGGGACTACGGCATCCCCGTGCCCATCAAGTACATCGCCGAGTCGTGGATGTTCCCCATGACGCGCGTCGCGCCGCACCCCTCGGGCAAGTACGTCGCCTACCAGAGCTCCGACAACCAGATCCTCGTCTACTCGGCCACCGACAAGTTCCGCCAGCACCGCAAGAAGTCCTTCCGCGGCCACCACAACGCCGGCACGGCCATCGACGTCAGCGTCTCGCCCGACGGCCAGTTCGTCAGCAGCGGCGACTCGGCCGGCTGGGTGTGCTTCTGGGACTGGAAGACGTGCAAGATGTACGACAAGATCCAGGCCGACAAGAGCGGCGGGGCCGTGACGTGCGTGCAGTGGCACCCGCAGGAGACGAGCAAGGTGGCGACGGCGGGCGCGCAGGGCGACATCAGGTACTGGGATTAAGGAAAAAGGGGGTGCGTGCATCAATGATCATCAATATGCACGACGATTGTTTTGGGGGGTGCATGGTTTCGGCGTTCATGAGTCGGAGTCGGATACGGAAGAACATTATCTTTTTTCGAGACACATTTTTCTTGTTTTAATATACTGAGATACCTTGAAGTATAGACCTTGCCATCTACTGTTCCCTACCTACCTAATTCTTCAACCCCGTGCTTCAGTACCGGCAACGGCTTCACTCGGACAGTCGATGCTCCGCGAGTGTGGATGATATCATGAGATGTTGAGTTCGCGTACGGAATGAATCAGTCGCGAAAAGGCATCGATCACGTCACCAAAACAATGGCATCACTCGGACTCCCCCAACGCAAAAGGACGGGTTGCTCAACATTCACGAGATTCTGTCAAGAAGAATCTGGCATATCGTCCGGGGGTTAATTACAAGCCGCCCTCTCTAATCCAGAGTTTGAGTTTAACCAGCCAATGGATGCGGTTTGTTGTGCGGCCAGTAAAAGTCCCCATTGGTCAAACGGGTTGTTGTTGTATAACAAACTGTTGATATAGTTGTGGCCGCCGTCATCGAGTCGATGAGAATTGAGCCTCGACGTACCACCTTTCTTTGGATTCTGCCGCATCCGTCCCATTCCCCGGAGGGAAAAGAAGGATATAAGCTTCTTTCTAAACTTAGAAACCATGCCGCGGGAGGTCGTTACCGTTGCTGCTGAGGGATATTTTCCGGCGAAGATGTCGATGCCAGCCTCGGGGCAATCCCATTTGCGGAGATTTCCTCTACTCAGCTCAACCCCGAGACGTCATTTAGGCACATATTCGCCATTCTCTCCCCACTTGCTAGCGATTCGCGAACGGAGCAGGCTACAATTGCTTGTCTCGTGAACAGGTCGAAACTTGCCAACCACTGTTGTTGTCTAGCCCCCGAAGCTTCGGCGCTCTACAGGCTGAATGCAGTCGGCCTTCTGTCAACCCACGCACGAGACCTCGCCATGTGCCTCTTAATTTGCGGGCCTCATCTAAATTCCATATAGCGTGCACCGGGTCACTGGAAGGAAAACAAAAGCCCGGGATCGTCGCGCGGTCCAGGCCAAGGTTTTGGGGCGGCAGTCGAACAAGGACGTGGTCTCGTCTGTTGGGAAGGGTGTGCAAGCTTGAACCGGGGGGCAAACCTGGTCAAGAGTGCTTCCTCTGTTTGTAGTTATAATAGACGGCTGTCTGCTGATTACGCCCGGCTGCACGAAACCTGGGTTGCCTCTGTTGAATGTCACGGTATCACTCGCCTCTTCCTGTTTATGCAAACTCTGCGGAATGGCGCCGATACCCTTAATACGCTGGGCGTGGCTTGCCCTGCTTGCCGCCAAGGCCTATGCTGATTGTTCCTGCGCCGGGCTTGACTACACCAACGGCGGCTCCTATCTCATTGACGGGTCGGTCGATGCCGACTTTTCGTTTAACTCGGTCTTTGATGGTATGTGAATGTGCTGCTGCTATCATCATGTATCTGTACTACTTTGGGCCGGCAAGCTGACTGAAAATCAGGATGTGATGCCGACACCGTCGAGCCGGTCCTGGTCTCGCCCAATGGCGACGAGTACAGCTGTTCACGTCTGGATATGGGTACGACAAATGTACAGCAGTCGACCTGGTGAGTTCTACAGTTGAAAGATCCGTAAAGCAAACACAAAACGTGCTGACCCTCTTGGTGTCCAGTCAACTCAAAGTGTCTTCCATGTTCTCGGGCGTCTGGACCGTCATCATCCAGGCCGACCAGTCCGATTTTGCCGTTGAGAGAACGTTCACCCTGACCGTCGGAAACGCCGAGAAGACCGTCGTAACTGTGAGCTGGCCCGGCGACTCAACGTCCAAATCGTTCGCATCCGTGCTAACAAACGGCGTATAGGCAACGCCCACCGTCGTCGTGGGAGTGACGAGTCTTCCTGCGCCTCAGAGTAAGTCTCCCCCTTTCTCCCCAACATCCCTGGACCAAGGTATAGCCCAATCCTCAGATTGCTAACTCACACACCCCCCGCCACCAGCCGTCCACAGCACCCGCTCCGCCGTCCGGACCGTCTACGCCCCCCAGTCTACCTTCACGTCCCACTGCGCCGTCGAGACGCAGACCGTGACGCGCTACGTGCCCGGCGCCGTCACCACCGTCTACTCGACCGAGGACCGCTGGCGCGACGGCGGCGTCGTCACCTCGTACTGGCAGACCACCGTCGTCACGAGCGCGAGCTGCCACTACCCGGACAACAACGGCGGCCAGCCGCCCCCGCCGCGCGACGACAACCCGCCGCCCTGGTCCAACCAGCCACCGCCCTCGGGCTGCGACAACTGCAGCCCGCACTGGGGCAACGGCGGCTGGCACTGGGAGCCCTCGCGGGGGCACGGCTCCGGCGGGCATAACGGCTGGGGTGGCGGCCGTGGGGGAGGTGTAAGTTTTCCTTTCCTTTTCTTTCTTGTTTTGCCCCTTTCTTTTGAAGTACCAGGTTCGGGGTCGGGCTTTGTGATGTTCCTGGCTTGATGGAGATGGAGACTCGGACGACCTTTTTGCTGACTTGAGTGTAGGGCCATGGTGGAGGAGGCAACGGAGGAGGGAACGGCGGTGGAGGTAACGGAGGTGGTGGATGGAGCGGAGGAGGCGGAGGTCATGAAGGAGGCGGCGGCGGGCATGAGGGAGGCGGTGGCGGCTGGGGTGGAGGTGGAGGTGGAGGGAATGGTGGGGGAGGGCACGGTGGAGGCGGCAACGGCGGAGGCGGACACGGAGGTGGGAATGGAGGTGGAGGCAATGGCGGAGGGGGACATGGAGGTGGAGGCAATGGAGGAGGTGGCTGGAGCGGAGGAGGCGGAGGCGGTGGGCACGAAGGAGGAGGCGGCCGAGGTGGGGGAGGCGGAGGGCATGAAGGAGGAGGCGGCGGCCGAGGCGGGGGCGGTGGAGGCGGTGGTGGACGCGGCGGAGGTGGTAACGGAGGTGGAGGAGGCGGCGGCGGGAGAGGCGGCGGCGGCGGCGGTGGCGGGCGAGGCGTAAGAAACACCCCTTTCCGACGACTATCAGGCCATATACTAACATCAACACAGGGTGGTGGTGGACGAGGACCACATGGTAAGTACCAGCTCGCTGGAGTCTCGAGCCTGGCATACTACCGTTCTCTAGCTGTGTGTAATTAGGTGTGGTGGATACATGCTAACACGATGCGCATCCAGACGGCGAAACTACTGTCGCGGCGCGTGCCATGGCTGCTATTGCTGCTTTCACGAGCACCGTCACTCAGACCACGTACACGGTGACGAGAACGTCTACCATCACGGCGCGGCCATCAACCGTCACGGAAGTTTGTAAGTTGATGCCTTTCCAGAGAGAGAGAGAGTTGAACCGAAACACGAGCTGACAGTCGGGCTACAGCTTATATCCAAGTCACCGAGACAAGGTAGATCATCCACATTGTGTTATACGACCCAAAGGACCAGCACTGACATGCCATCTCTCCTCAGCACGCCTCCTCCTCAGACTGTTTGCGACAGGACCGACGCCCGGACAATTACCTTCCTCCACCAGGGACCCGGGCAGACCTCTACTGAGATTCAATATGTCATTCACACTACACAGCAGACTGTGTGGGTTGGGTAAGTCAGGCTTTGAAATCTCGGCTAGCACTGCAACACTGACACATCTGCAGCCAAACCGCGTATGAGACCAGGACGGACTACCAGCAGGCTACCCGATGCTGGCAGAACGGCGGGCAGTACGGCGCGTGGTGAAGCTTTTCTATTATGCTGACTTGAGTGTATTTGTAACCACCACTATCATTAATATCAATAGTGTTCTCTTGTCATAATCAAAAGTTAAATTTGGAGTACTCCACTCGGCTCTTCTAGTTTGTAGTAGAAGTGATCTGATCGAACATTCAAAACAGATCACTGTATGAGCCAGACACAGTTATATCATTCCTGATGCTCAGACTTGCAAGCGACACCGCACTCGACAGGATCCCGGGCCAGCATCTGCATCTCGATGAACCGTCCCGTGAGCATGCCATATAACGCTACCAGGCTAGGCCTGTCAATCTGTTGCCCGTTTTGCTCCCTGACCCGAGATCGTCCTGTCACCAGGGACTGTGCCAGCGGCAGCACGAGGGAGAGCATGGCGTGATAATCGCTGACCAGTATGAGCTGGTACTGGCGGTCGATGCCGTGGGCAAAAAGCCGTCCTGCAAGGCGAGAGATAGTTTTGCTTTTGCCTATGAAGTAGGCTAGACACGCTGTCCAGAGGAACAGTACGAGCCAGAGGGAGGCCATGGCGACTAGGACAGTCCTCGCAGTGAGTCGTACAGTAGTGCGTAGTGTGGTGAGCATGTTTGGTTTGATCGACTGTGAGGAGTTATGGATTGAGTATGATTGGGATTATGCTTTTGAGATCCCGAGATCGAGACTGCAAGAATTTGTTCCGGTGTTGCAGCAATATGTACTAGATGGAAAGGATACACTTTTCGCACTTTGTCATTTGTATCAGCGGAATGGACTGATTGTTATACTTTCGGGGCATGCCTGACTATACAATAAACTATCTCTACTGTAAAAGCAGCTCCAAAAGAATAAGTCTTTCTTTGTATCTTTCTGTCTGTCAGAAACAAAGAACTTCATGACCTCCCCTAAAGATAGGGGCATGCCAACAAGAGCCTCTTTGTTTTCCACTGCGCCCGTCATCGAGGCAGCGCAACAAAGAAAAGTCTTTCTCTCCCCCGTCCCATTGTCCGTCTCTATACACACACCAACTCAACTTTACTTCATGTTGAGCAGCAGGTACCGCACACCAGCAAACGCCTCCTCGCCGCTGGGCAGGATCTGGGAGGGCGGTAGCACGAACCCGTAGTCGCCAGTGTCCCGGAGCTCTGAGGTGAACGTGTAGTCGGAGCCGACGACGTCGTTGACGTAGTCGACGCTGCTGCCGGACGCCTTGTAGATGGTCGAGCAGATGGGCCCGTAGCGGAAGGACACGCCGTGCACGGCCTTGATGGCGGCGACGGCGCCCCGGGCCAGGGCCTGGAGCTCGGCGTTGTTGACGGCCAGGGCGTCGCAGGAGTAGCCGTATGCTGTTTTGGGCAGGGGTTAATTACCAGTTCAATTCACACAGCAATATCCTGGGCGCCCGTGATTTGTTGCTGATGAGAGTTAAGTTGACTTACGGGTCATGAAGAGCTGCGAGTAAGAGTGGTAGTCAATGAACAGCTTGAGCCCCTGGCTCGCCTTGACGCCCTTGAGCCAGGACGACAGGGCCGCGGTCTCGGGCGCGTCGCCGGCCGACTTGCCCTTGAAGTCCTCGGCGCAGGGGTTGGTCGAGGCGCCGCCCGGGGCGGACCACTGGAAGGGCCAGTTGCGGTTGATGTCGTGGCCGACGCAGGAGCTGCCCGACGTCGACTGGCGGTTCTTGCGCCACATGCGGTCGGTCGACTGCGTGTAGAGGAAACCTGTAAGGGCAGTGAGCATCTCTGTTTTGCGACGAGTAGGGAGGGGACTTGGTATTACCGTCTGGGTTGACCGCGGGAAAGATGTAAAAGTCGTACTTGTCGACAAAGCCTTTGATCTCGGACGAAGAGCCATAGTTGGTCAGGAGGGTATAGGCAATGTACTCGGTGACCTAACACGAGATGAGCGATGTCGGTGAGACACGTAATCTTTCTACACGGGAAGACCAAGGCGCGAGCTCTGGCTCGAACGAATGAAGACCTACCATGGTGCTGATCCACTCGCGAGCGTGGACGGTGCCGTGAAAGACGACGGCCGGCTTCTTGCCCTTGCCGGCGCTGCCAAAGATGTGGATTCCCGTGATGGCATTGCCCTGCAGTGAGCTGCCCGACGTGACGACCTCGGCATTGGCAGAGTATTGCGCGCTCAAGTCGCTGAGAAAGGCGAGGTGATCGCGATAGGCGTGGTACGAGGTGAACCACGACTGGTTTACCGCGCCGGCTGTTGTTTCGAATCGTTCATTCCATTAGCGGTGTAGCCCTTTTCCCGACTCGCCTTTCTTGAAACGGTAATACTTGCCAGCATAAGCCTGGAAGGACGCCTCCTCCGCGATGGACGCCCCGAGGTCCTCGTGCATCGTCACCACGGCCTCCATGCCCGCGATCTCGCCGCGGAAGGCGTCGACCTGGGCCGGCGGCACGACGACGTCGGCGAAGGAGCCGGCCCGGGGCGCGCCCTTCCACGTCGACAGGCCCAGCCGGTCGACGATGCCGGCGACCTTGGACGCGTCGGTGCCGACCGGCAGGCGGAAGACCTTGTAGCCGTCGTAGGAGACTCTTTGCGATGACGACTGCGGCGCCGGTGCCGGTGAGGCTGCGGCTAGGGGTGCCGCGCCGAGCAGCAGGGCCGCGAGGAATGACTTCATGCTTGGCAGGGAGTGTGTGTGTTTGTGTGTGTGTGGAAGCGGAGGATTTAAAGTGCGGCGGCGGCGGCGGGCATCTCAGGCTGAAAGGATGCGAGCAGAGAGCTTGGCTCCCGGGAGAAACAAGGGCTGGGAAGAGGGACTCTTGGACATTTTTGTACAGAAAGGCGATCTGAGTGATGATGAGCACAGAGCTATTCATCCGGTGGCGAGCAGGGCTATGAAGACGTGGGGGAAGAGTGCACACAGCATATGTGGATGGCTAGCTAACTAACTGAACCCTGGCTGTCTTTTGTCAAGTCAACCTTCCATTTCTGGAAGATGGGCCAGGGGGTAGTATTGCATTGCCGTGGCTCTCTGTCCCAGGACAGTGATAAGCAAGTTCGTGGGATGTGGCATTTGCGGCGACAGGGCCGGGGCGAGATCGCAAAGACGGCCAGATCTGCCCACCTGCCGTACCAGGAAAGTGGCAGCGACAGTAAACTACGCATGCCGTATGTGACATCAAGGATCATCGCCTGCATGAAGCGGTCGGGCGTAGATAAACCGTGTGCGCGCCGGCACGCGGCATTGACACGTGAACTGGCACGAAAAGGTTTGGAAGAGAGTGGTGGTTAATATATCTAGTGCGCCGGCGTGTAGCAGGGGTCAGAGAAGTCTGTACGGACGAAAGCGGACAGTGGCTGGACGGGCAGCGATCAGTGATGGGCAACACTCAATGCGACCCCAGGATTCAGCTCCCGGCTTTGGTCAATGTGCCGGTGCAAATGCCGGAAACGGGGCGCTGTCCGTGACCCCTGCGTGCCTGCACGAGGCATTGCGCCATCTTCTTGTCGAACCGCCAAGCCTCGAAATAGTCCAAAAGAGGAAGGCATTTTGCAGGACGTGCTGCGTGGGACTGCGTTACTGTGAGGAACCCTCGTGTTCTTAAAGCGTGGAAGTTCCGGGTGCATGCATCACGACACTGGCCGGTCTGTGACCGTTTGCCTTGTTTGGCTTGCCTTCAACTCCTGCAACAGGAAGACCAGGAGATGAATGTCACGCAAGACGAGATAAAGTATGGAAGAAATAGGGTCAGAATTGATAATGCGAACCTGGGCTGGCTGACTATGTCGTGTACCTATCATGCCCATGAACTCCACCAGCTTTGCCAGTCCTAGATATAACAAGAATTGGTATTTCCCCCTCTTTAGTAACGCAATAAACGCTGTGCTCTGCAGCATGACGGCGACTCATGTCTTTATATCGTTATATCGTGCGTCTGAAAGCACACGAATAGAGCTGGTATCGTTAGAAAGAAATTGCATCACGAGATGCCCTCCGTCGTTCGCCAACACCACGTCTAGGTGATAAACACCTCTTGTCCCAGATCTCTAGACCCAACCCATTCGTACTCATCATCCCCAAGCCTGCTGCTCGGTATGGGTGAACTCGGGCGCCGCCGAGACCGCCGGCATAGCCAAGTCGACGATGGCTGCATCCGTCTCGGACGGAGGCACCGGATACACGCTGTCCACCGAGAACCCGGAAAAGTCCACCCCTCCTCCCCCGGCAGCCTGCGAGTGCATGTCGCCCGCACCCGGTGCCGCCGCCGTTGTCGCTGTGTGCATGGGAATACTGAAGTTGCTCAGCATGAGCGGCAGGTAGGTCTGCATGTCGTCAAAGCCGGACGGCCCCGCCGGCGCGTGCAAGAAGCTGCCGTCGAGGAAGCTGGTGTCGTCGAGGCCGCCGGGGCCGCCTCCGTCCGGCAGCAAGCTGGTCGCGGATGGAGCGTTGATCTGATGTTGGTGTTGCTGCTGCTGCTGCTGTTGCAGGTGTTGTGCCAACGCCTCATCCACGGCGTGGCTGCCAAGGGCGGCAAAGGTCGGGCTGTGCTCGGGTGCATGCTTCTCGCCGTCGTTGATGTCCTGCCTGGCCATGCGGTAGATGGCGAGCGGGTTGAGGACGTATTCGGGCGTGAACTGCGCCGGCTTGCCCATGTACATGTGCCTTGGGACTCAGTGGTGAGCTTTCTTTGTTTTCGTAGCGAAGAGTATAGGGAGCGCAACTAGATGGACTAGCAATGGGGTTTTAACATACCTATCCCGGTCCATCTCGGCCATCGGCGGCAGACGTTGGGTGGTAGGGCTGAGATCCAGCTCCGGAGGCACGATAATGTTGGCCCGTTTCACCATGGCTACCGCTGCCGAATGCTGCGTGCTTGCGTGTTAGTCGCCATCCCATCACAGGTATCCTGTACGTCCAGAGTGGCAGTACATACCAACGGTATAGCTAATGTGTGGCTAGCAATCATCATCTTCAGAGCCCGCAGCAGCACATGCAGCATCGCGCACACGTGCTGGCCCGAGACCGCGTCCGGCGGCGCCTGCCTCCGGCAGTACATGCCGTAAAAGACGATGACCCTCGCCGCGTCGTGCGCCACGACGCTCAGCCAAGTGTCGGCAAGGGCCTCGTGGCCGTGCCGCAGCGCCTCCTCGTACACGGACGCGACGGCCATGGCGTGGTGGAAGCACCGGTCTTGCACCTTGTGCATCATGTCGCCCTGCTCGGCGGGGAAGTCGACGGGCGAGCGGATCTTGAAGAGGTCGCGCATGCCGATGCGGTTCAGGTCGCAGAGTGTCTGGTGGTAGGTGATATGGAGGAAGAGCAGGCCGCCGAGCTGGGACGACTCCTTGCGCATGTAGAGCGCCGTCTGGGAGAAGCGGAGGCTGAGCGGCAGCTCGTCGTACCACTTCTGCAGGCTGCGCTCCAGCATGAGGAAGTCCGACTCGTGGATCCACGGGGGCTTTGCCGTGTCGAGATGTTTGACATATCTAAGGGTGAGAGTAAGGGAGTATGTGTTAGCTTGGAACTATGAAGGTCGTCTCGTTCAAGGGAGTATACCTTAGGACCTGTTTCCTGATGCTGAGGAGGCGTATGAACTGAGCCTGCAGATCTAGAGAGTCGACGGGTCCCTTCGACCGCATCTCCGGCGTGATAAAGGGCAGCTGGCAGCCAGGCTGCAGTGTCTCCACGAGGCACGGGATCTGGAAGACAAAGCTCCGCTCATTGCACGGCAGCTGGATCTTCATGTCCTCGTCTCGGAGGAGCGTCAACTCATCCACGCCGCTACCCACCCAGGCGTCTATAGTATAGACGCTCCACATCAGGCGGCGCCTCGCCTCTCGTGATGCGGCGGGTAGACCCCTCCTGGAGAGGCACAGGATGTCGGTCGATGACTCTAGGTTGATCTGAAGGCTCTGCGCCATGCGTACTGCCACTCCGGTCAGCGTAAAGGCGCTGGCATAGTTGCCGATTCTCAGCTCGTGCTCGTGCAGCAGGACAATTGTCTGCGATATAGGCCGGTAAGTAAGTTAACTGGGATATAGACCAGTGTTCATTTCTGCAAACTCACCATCAGGGTCTCGATGGAGACGTTATTGAAATTGGTGTAGAGAAAGTACCGTGCTCTCTCGGCCCACTGATTCCCGACACAGAGAGCAAACCCGTCTTCGATTTGTGCCTCGGTGGCATATCTCAGGGCACAAAACCTTTTGAACAGATGTCAGCAACTGCTATTACTCAATACCTTGGCCACTACAGCAGAGACTCACTTGGCGCCCAGCGCACAGATAGTATACAACAATGCATCTTTGCCTTGCTTGGCCCTTATCCTCTCGTCCAACTGCTGGAGGAAGGTGGGCTTGTGGATGAAGCCAAAGGACCGCAGACAGTGCATATTAGTAAAATACTCCTCGACTAGGAGGGCTATCCTGTCCCTGTTGGGCAGGTCTGCCGAGTTGAGCCTGGTCTTGTGTCAGTTTCGAATCAATTTTCTTTCTCTCATACCCACAACAGAACACAGGGAGACTCGGCAACTCTTACCATTCGAGGTCATCTAGATTCGGAGGGTACTGATAGCCGAGTTGCGAGTTGGGTGTCCCGTAGTGAGACTCCGGCGTCAGCGAAGACGAGTCGTGCGAGTTGTTGCGGGAGCGGGCTTGCTTGGGTGATAGACTGCCGGATGACGAGCCGCCGGCAGCCAGTCGGCCGGGCTCCAGCTTGGCGGACATGGCCTCTACCCAGGCGGGGACCTGTCGGCCATCGTAGACGCACTCGAGGTCCTTCTCCCGGCACCGCAGACAGACTGGACGCTCGCCGGAGCAGCGGCTCTTGGAGGACCGGCAGAGCTGACAGGACCGGTAGGTGCGAGACCGACGCAGGCCTGCCTGGGTCCGGACGGTTCCCGATTTGTTGTCGAGGCCACTGCTGACGATGCCGTCGGCGAGCACACCTGCGTCAGCGGCTTGCGTGAGCTGCACGACGGGATGGGGGCACGGTATGTTGAGCCTCTCGCAGTTGCGGCAGCCTCCGGGCCTCTCGTCACATTTCACCTTGCGCGATCTACAGGTCTGACAGCCTGCACGGTTCTTGTGTTAGTCATGACTGCTAGTAAGAGCGGGATGGGAGCTGGAGCTAGTCGGAAGGAGAGGAGGGCCAGTCCATCAAGCGCCTATGCTGCCGTTGGTGCTTCCCCCCTTTCGCCGAGAAGAAGACCATCCCCGATCCGGCCCCCAACCCCACCCCCTTCTGGCCTCTTTCGTCTCTTGTCTTTCTTCTCCAACATACCTGTTCGAGACCTCTGCTTCTCCTTTGCAGGCGGTGGTGCGTCGCTAGCGACATCCGGCCGGGCATCTCGGCTAGCTTTCAGGTTCATAGCGTGGGCGTTTGGCAGGACGAAACGGGAGAGTCCGGGCGGGCGGCTAGCTTGAGTTGACCGTTTGTGGAGCGTCGTTTATAATAAACAAGACGATGGTCGGGGAGTCGTGACGGCTGCGTATAATATATCGACACGAAAGGGGGGCCCCTTGGCAGAATCTGCCTGGCCTGCTGCTATGACGATGATGTCGTGTGTGGGCTCGTGTCTACACAGGCAGGATTTCGGACGAGGATGCCGTTTCTGGCATATATCCTCCTCTAATTCGGGTGCTCAAGCGATTCCTTCTGGTCTGCTGCCGTGCTTGCTGGTCGGGTTTCCTTGGCTCGTCACCCCGTTGCGGCCCTTGGTTGGGCGGCACGAGAGCAGCAGCCGTGAACTCATTTCTATCTTATGCTCCTAGGGCACATGTGGCTTGGCTCGAGTGCAGTGCAGCACGGTGTGGGTCGATATGGGGATGGTGGGCACGAACCTGATGTACATTCAAGCACAAGCACAGTCTAGAGGGCGCCGAGCGTTCGGGAGAGGGCCAAGAAGGGCAGCAGGGATGGAGGACAAGGGGTGGAGAAAGGCCAGCGGAGTCGGGGGAGCCATCACAGGTGTCTGGCAGATCTCATCTCTTTTCAGAGACTGCTTCAGCCCTCTGGGGCGGCAAAACGGATACAGGGCCAACCAAACGGACATGACATAATTCTCATATCAGACAAGGGTAATTAGGAGGAGCAGTGGCAGGGAGGGAGATGGGGGTGGGCCAATGATGGTGCTTGTGCAGCATGTCTCTGGCCTTGTGGGATGCGAGGTAGTAGGTACGTATTGAAGAGGTCTCCGGCCGGAGACTTGTTTACATAGGTAGCTACTCATGGGCAAGGTAGCTAGCTGCACTCGCTCCTGTGTGGAGGGTGTACGTGTCGAGGGGAGAGAAGCGAGAGTGTTTATCTTGTTGTACAGCCACTGCCAACTCGCCTCTCTCCCTCCTGTGGACGGAGTAGTTATTTGTGTGTGATACTGGCGGCAGCGTCTGCGGCGTCTACCTGGCAAGGCCTGGGGTCGCTTTCCCCTAAGCTCCGGCCCATCGGCTCCGGGTCATCGGCACCGCGGCGAGGGCCATCTCAACAAAGATCGAAAATTAGATACGAATGCGGCTAGATCCGCCCGCTGAGGCTGCACCCTTTCCCAGTTCTCCAGGTGCGCCAGGACCACTCGAAGGCCACCTCGAGGACCACTCACAGGGCCATTTGGGTTATTTAGAGACAAATTAGAGTTGAAAGTGGGCTGTGAAGGAGCCAGGGCGTTGAGCAAGGGTCGGCGTGGCACGGTTGCTAGCGAGCATGGCTTGCATGGCCTGCATGGGCCGCTGGGGGCCATGAGTGTGCTCTGTCAACGGGCGGTCAGTGGGCTCAGTGGGCTCACTGGTTGCATTGTCACCCCCCATCTCCATCCCCGGGCCGCATTTCTGTCCCCCTCCACGGCCGGGCCACGCACGCACTGCACCTCTCAGGACTGTCAGTTGAAGCTTAAAATGTGATCATCTCGCCCAGACACGCCATGCGAATGACGGAGTAGGGCTAGCCCAACCAGATGAACGACCAGGTAGTCATGTTAGCGTGCCCGTCTCGCTATAAATAGTTGCGGAAACGTTTCCGATTACGAATGTGGTAATAGTACCCGCGCCAGAATCGCGGGTGACAGGGCTGAATCGCACAGGCTTGCAGCAGGGCTTGCACAACTATCGCGGCTCTACGATGTGCCGGCGACGACCTCCTTTTCCTTCCTATACCTGTCTAGCATGCCGAGTTGTGCCGGCTCATGAACTTCTAGTTGAGATGATGATCCCCTCTTTGGTACCCACGCACTCAAGCACTGTACAGGACTGTACTGTCTCGTGTGCCTCGATCCCCAAGAACCAATCCCATCGAAGACCGCCTCGATGGCAACTTTTTCCTTTTTCCTTTTTCTTTTTTTCGTGCTTCTGCTTCTAAGCACAGCACTTCGGGGGTCTGTACCGTAATCAGTGCTGCCAATCAGCAAGAGTTAGGGGAAATGATACGCTGACAGGAGCCTCTAGACGCGTGTGCCATCCAATGCGTTGATATTCTCCCATCTGCCGATCCATGGAAAAGGAGGGCGACAACAACAGCACGCCTGACAACCCGTGATTTGTGCATTAATTTCCCTTTTGTGCCGCAATTTCCATCTTGCAGAGCTGTCTCTCTGTGATAACGACCAAAGAGGCCAGGCAGGACTGGGAGCTGTATGGGGAAATTCTCCGATTTGGAGATGTTCTTGGGGTTCCACTGTGCTGCGTGCGTGTGAATCCACTACGAAGTAGTTACTACTCTCAACTGCAGCTGTGTGTGAAGTCGGGGGTGTTTTGTTTGCGTAACCCATTGGTGCTCTCGCCATCCAGTCGCCAATCCAGATAATTGTTAGTCTCACCGACCTACTCCGAATCCGGATGTTACTCCAGAGCGTCAGAGCACTTTTGCACCAGCAATCCCGGTCCGGCCTGTGTCTCGATGCTCCCCCATGTCGGGCAAATATCCGGCCGGGGCATCAAAAACGGTCCAACCTGATACCCCAGACCAGAAGGATTCGCAAGGCATGCGGCCATCGTCTACGCTCGGCCTACTTGCCGGGATGCCTGTTGGGGGCTGAATCTGGCTTGTCGGAGAGCCAACCGAGTGTGAAAGGACGCCTTATCAAGCAAGCAAACATCAGGGAATCATTCCGCTTCCAACTCCCCTTCTCCCCCTTCTCCGCCGCAAAGCTCAGAACCGGACGGGCATTTGTCAACACACACACACCGTTATCCACCTCTCTTCTCCTTCTCTCTTTTTCTGTCCCCGATGTCGTGATTGTGATTGTCTCGAGAATCTGGCGCCGATCCTTTGCCTCTTTCAAACGCCGCCATCAGCACCTTAAGATCTGACCATCTCGTTCACCCATCCATCCCACATTTCCACACTGCCCATGCATACATAACAAGTACTTTTTCGTATTCCAGCCCCACCGGGAGTAGGGATCGTCGTCTGATGGCTGCTCACAGCCAACTTGGTGTTCACCGTGCAAGCCGTGCTTTCTTCCATTCGGTCTCGCGATCGCGATTCAAACCCATTGTAATTCGGTCTCGCGCTCACCGACCTTCGTCCACATCATCCCGTATAAGAATGATTCACTCGAGTCAGATCTGCACTGATCTCAAAGCCACGGCGATAGAACATGCCCTTCATCCATCGCGACCTCGACTGAAGACGGACGATCAACTTCGGAGATACCGATGGCGCTGTGGTGATCGTCGCTCACTACTATTGTTCAGCCACAAGCCACGTTAAACGTTGCATCTTCAGGTTGATACAGTTCGCGAGCTGCTGTAGTATACAGCGAACAGAAACATCTCCGTTTCTGGTCTGCCTGACGTGAGGCGATGCATACAAGCCAGGTACACAGGCAGGGTCATTAGACTCAATTATGATGATTTTCTACATGAAAACCTCCATGGCAGTAACCGGTGATCCTTTCAACGCCTCGCTAAAAAAGAAGATCCAAGAGTGTGGCAAAACACAGCCAGCCTGACGAGGCTCAAACAGCCTCGGAGACGGTCCAGGCAATAACAAACAATGACAGCGACTCGCCCTCCTGCTTCCTTCCTTCACCTCAGGAAATGCAGACACAGCCAGCAGAAGAGGAAGAAGACGATGACGCCGGCCCAGAAGATCCACTTGTCCTCCCGGGCCCGCCGCTCGATCATGCGGATCGTCTCGCCGGACAGGCCGAGCGTGTTGGCCGCCGAGTAGAGCCTCTTTTGCGTGTTCTTGAGCATGTCCTTCTGCATGCCCAGGTTGTCCAGCACGGCCTGCCCCTGCGCGATGTAGTCGTCGAGGCTGCGGTTCGTGCTCGAGAAGAAGTCCTGCTCGCGCAGCGCGTGCTCCTCGGCCGTCGGGTTGCCGCTGCCCATGCTCAGCCCCGCGCCGCCGCCTCCGTAGCTCGTCGCCCCGGACGACGACGACGACGACGCCGTGTTCGCGTAGGGATTCTCGGGTGTGGCGCTGACGTACGGCCGCCGGCCCAGCAGCTCGCCCCTGTTCTGGTCGTGTATCGCGTCGTCGCGGGACGTCTTGATCGACTCCAGCTGCGCCCGGTACTCGGCGAGTTCCGTGCGGAAGCCGCTGAGCCTGCTAAACGCCTTTTCCTGCTTGGTCGGGTTGAGCTCCTGCTTCGCCAGCCGGTTGTACTCATCCAGCGTGCGGGAGAAGGACGTCAGGCTGGCCGAGAGGGAGCCCAGCGCGGCCGGGGTGAGGGCGGCGGGCCCGCCGCCTGCGGCTGCGTCTGAGGAGGAGGACGGGGACAGGGCCGAGAAGTCTTTGCGGATCGAGGTGCTCTGCTTGAGCGCAGAGTTGAAGGCGGTGTTCTGTAGATTGGAGAAGATGGCACACGACAGTCAGCCCTGGACGTATTCCGGGCGAGCATTTCCACGTGGCAGAGGAGACTTACCATCCTGGCTGCCTTCCCCCTTTGGATTTCCACTGCAGACGGTAGGTAAGATTATGACAAAGGAGTCGTGTGTAGCGTTTGTGTGGTCGATCTACACTTCAAGATTTGGCGGGACAGGAGAGAGAATGGTCCAGATTCGTGACGCGTGCCATCACCAAAGATGAAGACACTTTGCAAGGCGAGCTTAGTACCCAGCTAAATTAATTCTTTGGGGGAACTGAGGTGGCTTTTTTGGGCACAGCCAATCCAGGCCCGATGTTGCAACTTAGAACCCCAAAATACAGTGGGCCCAGAGAGTCGGTCGGATCCGCGCGTGAACTGGCCCGCCCGCTGGAGTCAGAGCTGGGCCAAATGGAAGCCAATGCCGAGAAAAAAGAGTCCATATCCAGCGCTAGAGCCTTGATTTTGAGGGTCTCAAAGTGTGTTTGGTTGGTTAACTTGAATAAGAAGGGCTTCCCCTCTGTTCCTCCGCTTTTTCTTCTTTTTCTCAGTATCAACCTCACCAGCTCCCAACAGCAACCATACTAACAGTCGAGAGACCGCAAATCACCTCCGAATTGACTCCTCGTGGAGCGCGTTATGACCTTGGCCCGTCACAATGCAGAGGACACCTGCCTAAAAAACCAATTTGGGATTGCCGCCTCTCCGGGGGCGGCAGGCACCGCCGCCCAAACTGTTGACCATGCCGGACGCCGCTCGGGTGTGACGGGCACTGACCCCGACTCCCAGCCGTCCGCCACCGAGTCCGAGAAGCCGGCCGGCTCGATGAACGACCGCCGCTCCGCCTCGCCGCCCATCTACATCCCCGAGGGCGGCCTCACGGCCTGGCTCGTCGTCTTCGGCTCCTTCTGTGCCATGTTCTCCGTCTTCGGGCTCATCAACTCTGCTGCCGTCTTCGAGTCCTGGTTCTCCACCCACCAGCTCGCCGAGTACTCCGCCTCGCAGATCGGCTGGATCTTCAGTCTCTACCTGTTCTTTGTCTTCTTCATCGGCATCCAGGTCGGACCGGTCTTTGACCACTATGGCCCTCGGTACCTCGTCGCCGTGGGGAGCCTCCTCGTAGTGTTGAGCATCATGCTCCTGGGTTTCTGTGAAGGTAAAACATATCTTTGCAAGTGGTATGAAGAAGAGTCCTTGCTGACACAATAAACATAGAATACTACCAAATCCTCCTCTGCTACTCGGTCCTCGGCGGCCTGGGAGGCGCCCTGCTCAACTCCCCGGCGTACGGCGCCATCGCCCACTTCTTCAGCGTGCGGCGCGGCTTCGCGACGGGCATCGCCAGCACCGCCGGCGGCATCGGGGGCATCGTGTTTCCCCTCATGCTGCAGAGCCTGCTGCCCCGCGTCGGCTTCGCCTGGTCGACGCGCGTCCTGGCCTTCATCCTGCTCGCGCTGGCCGTGCCCGTCAACCTCTGGATCCGCTCGCGCCTGCCCGTGCGCGGCGCCATGCACTCCATCTGGCCCGACTTCTCCATCTTCCGCGACCGCTGCTACGCCGTCGCCGCCGTCGGCATCTTCTTCATGGAGTGGGGCATCTTCGTGCCCATCACCTTCATCGTCTCGTACGCCGCCTCGCACCAGCAGGACGCCAACTCGGCCTACACGCTGCTGTCACTGCTCAACGCCGGCTCCGTCGTCGGCCGCTTCCTCCCGGGCCTCCTGGCCGACCGGATGGGCCGCTTCAACGTCATCATCCTGACCATCGCCCTGTCGGCCGCCACCGTCTTTGGGCTCTGGCTGCCCGCCGGCCACTCGAAGCCGCTGCTCATCGCCTTCGCCGTCATGTTCGGCTTCGCCAGCGGGAGCAACCTGGGCCTCATCGCCGTCTGCCTCGGCCAGCTCTGCGAGCCCAGCGACTACGGCCGCTTCTTCTCGACGGCCATGATGGTCGCCAGCTTCGGCACGCTGAGCAGCGTGCCCATCGGCGGCGCGCTGATCGGCGTGGGGTCCGGGGAGACCGGCTGGACGGCCGTCATCCTGTTCTCGGGCGCCTCGTACTGCCTCGCCCTCGTCTGCTATATCGCGGCGAGGGTCCTCGCGGTCGGGTGGAACATCAGGACTGTATTTTGATGACCTGGCCCCTATTCGTCTTGGGCACTAAGCTCACGTCACAAATACATTCCAAGTCCGTATGAAAAAAAAAAATACCCTACCTAGGTACTCTTAGGTAGGCAAGGTGATATGTTAACTTCGATTTCTTGGTCTTTTTGGTGGAGTTTGGTGGGCCTGTCTCTCTATCCAAGCCAATTGATTGACACCTATTTAGCGTCCAGGCCAGCCGTCATCCAGGCGCTTAGTCGCTGGAACCCCACCCCCGCTCTGGAAAATCGCAAGTTTGATAAGGAAAAAAATAAAAACGAAAAAGCATTCACCAAGTTGTCTGCCTCCAAGAACCAATGCCTGTTCTCACATCACGGTGCATGCAAATGAGACGTACACATGCCTTGTGAACTCTGGTGACTTGACTTTTAGGCCTCCACCCATGGCCAACGAACTGGCCGCGGCTCCGGCCCTGTCGACCCCGGCCGAACATCTCTTTGAGCACATCGAAGCCGACGCGCCCCCGACCGAGAGCCAGCTCCTCCACCGCACCGATGATGAGCTCCGAGACGTCTACGAGATCGCGCGGACTGCGAAGGAGATCCGGGAGGGCGGGCGACGCCGGATAGGTCTACAGTTTCCTGACACCATGCTCGGCGATGCCCCGCGAGTTGTTGGCCTCTTACACGACGAGTTCCGGCGGTTCAGATCTGGCACGGCGACTGGCCCGACGGAAGCTGCCGCGGCTCCGGCGACGGAGGCGGAGAGGATATACATCCTAGCCGACACCTCCTACTCGGCCTGCTGCGTCGACGAGATCGCCGCCGAGCACGTGCATGCCGATGTCGTGGTGCACTACGGCCGGTCCTGCCTGTCGCCGACCTCGAGGCTGCCTGTCATATACGTGTTTACAAAGCATCCTCTCGACCATGAGAGGGTTATAGTGGAGTTCTTGGCACTCTATCCGAAACAGGACGAGCCGATTGTCTTGATGGCCGACGTAACATATCAAGACCACGTCCCTGAGTTGGCTTCCAAACTGCGGGCCAAGGGCTACGCCTCGCTGCTGCACACAAAGCTTGTTCATGCGCCAACCGCAACGATACCGAATCGGGGAGCCGTGGACGCGGACGGAAAGGACGTAGAGATTGGAGAGGGCTCGGGCGTCGACCTACAAGACTACTCTGTGTTCCACATCTCGGCGCCGCCGACGGCGCTGCTCCTGGCTCTGTCGACTAGGGTCAAGTCTCTGCAGATATGCCCGACACCCGCGGCTTCAGGCGCCTCCTCGGAGCCACCGGCCAGCTTCCAGAGGACGAGGGCCATGCTGGGCAGGAGGTACGCCAAGGTGCTGACGCTGACGACGGCGGGCGTCGTCGGGATCCTAGTCAACACGCTGTCCGTGGCCAACTACCTGGCGTCGATCGACAGTCTTCGGAGGCGCATCGCCGCGGCCGGCAAGAAGAGCTACACCATCGTCGTGGGCAAGCTGAACCCGGCCAAGCTGGCCAACTTTGCCGAGATCGACGGCTGGGTGGTCGTGGGCTGCTGGGAGAGCAGCCTGGTCGAGGACGACGCGAGCTTCTACCGGCCCGTCATCACGCCGTTCGAGCTCGAGATCGCGCTCATGAGCGATGAGGAGAGGATATGGGGCCACAGGTGGTGGGGCGGCATCGAGGGCGTGACGGAGCCGGAGGAAGCGGCGGCGACGGCGACGACGACGACGGCGAATGGGGATCATAGCCCGGGTCAGGACTCTCATGACCAAGAGGCTCCTGCAGACCAAGAGGACGGCATAGATGAGGAGGAGTCAGAGGCACCGCAGTTCGACCTGCGCACCGGCAAGCTCATCAGTACGAGTCGGCCGATGCGCATGATGCAGTCCGAGAGCGCCGGAGGTAACGTGCCAAACGGCGCGTCCGCAGAAACGCCATCCAACAAGCTCACCTTGCGGCCGAAATTTGACGTCGCGACCGTGAAGGGAGTCGTGAGCCCCGGAGCAGAGTACCTTCGCTCCAACAGGACGTGGCAGGGACTGGGCACCGACTACGATGACGAGTCGAGCGCGACTATCGAGGAGGGTCGATCTGGGGTGGCTCGTGGCTACACGGTAGGGTCGGATGCTGATAAGAGGTGATCATACTGAGTGTCCTTGGGATGGACATTCAGCAATCTGCCGGGGTTGGGGTCTCAAAGATATCTCGAAGTCGCCTAATCCCGTCCGTAACCTCAGGCTGCATGTCGGGTTCCAGAGTGTGGTTTTGCTGCGGACTACCACCTCACATGCCGAATGTCTTGCCGCATGGACAGATCAAGATCTCGCCTACATATACGCCGTGGTGGTGACAGGGGACGCAGACTTTTGTCCAAGCGATCCTATGCCACCTAGCTACAGGACTCTCGGGATTCAGTTTTGACTAGCTTGTCCGGTAGTATCGTTTACTGGGATAAACCATTGCCCATGCCGGCAGGATCTTCGCAGGTACGATCGACCACCTATTCGCAGGGGCCGACGAAGATCAACATGTCAGCTGGCGGCTTCACGAGCTGTTTCGAGTCAGCTTCAGAGAAGCCTTAGACATTGTAGGATCTATGTCTACGTCAGAGATTTACGTCAGTCAGAGAAATAGAATAAAGATACCAGCCCATTGCTAGTCATCGGGGATGGAATTGTCCTTGAAACAACATGCTTGGATGGGGTTACAGCTCGGACATCTCACGTCGTTGCCTGGAATCGCGCTACTGTCGTGTATGCATGTTGCCCACCAATTGCGTGGTGGGTTGTTCTTTGCACTCGGCTCGCTAGCCTCCTGAACGGGCAGACTGATGACCCGGTTCAGGCTGGTCCTGGAGGGACGGCCTACCTAGGTAGATTTATTGACACGCTTAAGCCATCTCAGCGCCGCCAATCTCACCGTGACGCGGCTGACACGTCAGGCAATACTTGAACGCATTGCGTGTACGACAATTTCTTGGACAATAGAGTCTCGTCATGTCCTGCATATATGCCCACAGCTTGAAAGGTTAAATAGGAGGAGGAAGGAATGGCGACGTGCAAGCCATCCTGTCCAGGCTCGCTTTCATATGCTTATCATAAGCTTCATAATTCTGGACTGAACGTATTTTCGTTCACGAGACAGTCACAATGGAAGCGCGCGCAGACAGTCATTTCCTAGCCGGCAAAAAGATCATCGTCGCGGGCGCCGGCATCTCTGGGCTTGCGTTTGCCGCAGCTCTCGACAAGCAGTGGGACGACAGGTTCGCACGGCCGGAGGTGACCATCTACGACCGGGAAAAGAGCGACGAGGCCGCGCAGAGGGAGGGCTATTCCCTGTCGCTCAATGGCTTCGACAAGGACGGCGGCCTCGTAGCGCTCAGGGACCTGGGGCTCCTGGACCGGATTGTCGAGCATGCAATTCTCGGGCTGGAGACCCAACCCAGCATGAAGATCTGGACGAGCTCCTGGGAGGAGAACATCGCGATCAAGCTCCGCGCCTACCAGGGCCTCCCGTCGGCGTCACTCCGTATCGCCCGGAAGGATCTCCGCAAGATCCTGATCGATGCCGCCACGGAGCACCGTGCCATCCGGTGGGAGACTTCGTGCGTGGGCGCCGAGCGGCTGGAGGGTGAGCGCATACGAGTCCAGCTCTCAGCCGGAGACGGTTCAGGGACGTGGTCCGAAGAATGCGATCTGCTCATCGCGGCAGACGGCGCAAGCAGCAAGATCCGGGCTGCCCTGCGGTCCAAGGACACGCTGCAGTTCGCGGGCGCCATACAGCTAGGAGGGTGCGCGAGGTTCCCGGGGGGCATACCGGCGCCCGTGGACAAGTCGTGGGGTCTCGTCATCACGGGCGAGGGTGTGTGCTGCTTCTTCTCGCCCGTCGACGCGGAGCGGGTCGTGTGGGCGGTGAGCTGGCGCACGGGCGAGCCGCGCGACCTGGACAAGACGAGACCGGAGGAGCAGTTCCGGAGCCTGATGGCGGAGGCGCTCGAGCGCGGCGCGGCGATACGCGAGCCGTTTCGCACCATTGTCGAGGCGACGGAGCCGGGGACCGAGCTGCTGATCCCGGCGCGGGACAAGGCGCCATTCCGTCATGGCGAGGGCCGTGTTCCTCCGGGAGTCGTCTTTATCGGCGACAGTAACCACGCCGTGAGCCCCTTTGCCGGCAACGGGGCCAATCTCGGCCTCAAGGACGGCTGGGACCTGGCGCGCGAGCTGTGCCGCGGGGCTTCGCTCGCCGGCGCGGTCAAGGCGTACGACGACCGGAGCGTGCCCCGGGCTGTTGCGACGATCAAGAGCTCGCACTGGCGGATCACGATGGGTCACGCCACGGGCGCGGCGTACTGGTCCTTTTGGGTGTTTATGCGGGTGGGAAACTTTATGTCTTGGCTCTTTGGCAGGTTCATGTAGTGGGATGGGTCGAGGGGATTTTGTGTGTAATGTGTAATGTGTGATTGCTAGACGGGGAGGCGAGTGCTGCAGGCAGATATACCCAGCTCTTCAATGATTAATGTCTTTTCCCCCCTTTGAACCATGGAGAATGGGGACAGGGATGCTTCGAGAGAGCCTCCTGTTTTACACGCCAAACAGACTCGGTATTTTGATCTTCACTCCCCTGTGCCAAGTACAGCGCACCAAGAAAGCGAGCGCAGGTACCTTGCCGGCATCTAGTTCAGGGGAACAACCCCCACGGATCCGACAACCGCAAACTCCAGCGTGCAGCTACATTGAGTACCGGGTAGACGACCCGGTCCTGGATGTACCCTTTGGAGCCAGGAATGTGGAAGCGAGACGGGTGTTGGAGCGATAAGGCAGGCGCGGCAGAGCTCGCACTGTCCGCTCAGGTCCCTGGTCTCGTTTTAATGGGATGGAAGGTGGGGCCCAACGCGAACGCGGACGGTCGCGCCTACCCCAGCTACTTGCGAAACGGGCGCGTCTCCCGGGAGCTCCCCCCATCCAAGCCATTAAAAGCTACCTCCAGCTGGATTGCTATGGATTTCTTCTCTCTCTTGAACGTTAACATCCCCCTTATAACATAACTGCTGCTCCAATGCTTCACCAAGTCTCCAGCCAGATCTCCTAGTAGCAATCCTTCCCGCCTCTACCCTCACAACGACCAACTATGGGGGCCACCCCAGGAGCACAAGCCGGTACTCCTGCCAGAACGCCCGCTCCCTCCAAGAAGGTCGCCATGGCCCCGTCGACGGGCAAGCAGAGTAGTATTCTGGGCTTCTTTTCCAAGTCATCCGCGGTCAAGAGCCAAGCCAGCCCTTCGACCTCGAGGCCGATGCCAAACAGGAACGGCAGCGACTCGTCACCATGCCTCAAGGAGACTACCAAGTCCAACGCTCGCGCGCGCCCCGTCCGTGAATCGAGCAACATCACTCCGGTCCCCAGCAGCGATGCCCCTGAGCCTCTGAGCTCCCAGGAGAACAGGGACTCGGCCCCAGTCAAGGTATCTTACGACGCCCTACCGTCACCCGTGACGCCGGCTGAGGTGGTCAACAAGCAGTCTGTCGTTGCCCCTTCTGCCATGAGCAGCAGCCCGATCCGCAAGGTGAGTTCGCCTCTTCTATACACGCCAAGGACACAGCCAATTCTAACGCTTTTATGCCGCCACCCAGGCCAAGAAGACGATCAACTACGCCGAGTCGTCGGACGAGGACGACGAGGACATTTTCGTATCGCTCAAAACCAACCAGTCTAGGCGACGTGGCCGTCCTGCTATCGTCGACGACGACGACGGGGACGACTACAAGGTTGAGGATGACGACGCGGCGCCTGTCGACGATGATGGTGTGTACTTATGCCCAAACACACAAAGCCAAGCTGACCAACTCACCTTCCACAGAAGACATGGCCGACTTTGTGGTCTCAGATGAGGATTCGGACGCCCCAGCCAAGTCTAGGAAACGCAAGCGCCCGGCCAAGCCGTCAGCGCCACGGAAGCGACCGACGCGGTCGCCATCGCCGACCACCTCTGTCACTATCAAGGAGGACGAAGATGAATCACTTGACGAGATACCCTCCGCCTCCACCGCTCAGAAGTGGCGGTACGACCCGGAGAATGTGCAAAACACCGGTGTCCGTGCCCCCGCGGCCCAGCCGACAAGCAAGACCAAGCAAGGCAAGACCAAGGAGAAGGCACACACCAAAGAGCCCGAGGACAGGTACCCCTGGCTGGCGACCATCGCTGACATCAATCGTAACCCTATCGGCCACCCCGACTATGACAAGTCCACCATCTACATACCCCCGAACGCCTACCACAAGTTCTCGCCCTTTGAGAAGCAGTACTGGGCCATCAAGCAGAAACTCTGGGACACGGTCGTCTTCTTCAAGAAGGGCAAGTTCTACGAGCTGTACGAGAACGACGCCACCATCGGACATCAGCTCTTCGATCTCAAGCTGACCGACCGTGTCAACATGCGCATGGTCGGCGTCCCCGAGAGCTCCCTGGACATGTGGGTGAACCAGTTCGTTGCCAAGGGGTACAAGGTGGCCCGCGTCGACCAGATGGAGTCGGCTCTCGGCAAGGAAATGCGCGAGCGCGGCGATACGGGCCCTGCCAAGAAGGCCGACAAGATCATCCGCCGCGAACTGGCTTGTATCCTAACCGGCGGCACCCTCGTCGATGGCAGCATGCTCCAGGACGACATGGCCACCTACTGTGCCGCCATTAAGGAGTCCACCGCGGCAGACGGCAACCCTGCATTCGGCATTGCATTTGTCGATGCCGCCACGGGCCAGTTCTTCATCTCCGAGTTTGTGGACGACGTGGACCTGACCAAGTTTGAGACCTTTGTCGCCCAGACGTCGCCCCGGGAGCTGCTCCTGGAGAAGTCTCGGCTCTCGACCAAGGCCCTGCGCATCCTCAAGAACAACACCGGCCCCACCACCATCTGGAACCACCTCAAGTCGGGCGTGGAGTTCTGGGATGCGGAGCTGACCAGGCGCGAGCTCGACTGCAACGGCTACTTTGCCTCCGAGCAGCGCGATGCCGAAGACTGGCCCGAGAAGCTGGGCCAGGCGCGCGACAAGGACCTTGTCATGTCTGCCCTGGGAGCCCTGGTTCACTACCTTCGTGTCCTCAAGATCGAGCAGAACCTACTCTCGCAGGGTAACTTTGAGTGGTATAACCCAATCCAGCGCGACGGCACCCTGATTCTGGACGGCCAGAGCTTGATCAACCTCGAGATCTTTGCCAACACGGTGAACGGCGGCCCCGATGGCACGTTATTCAGCCTGCTGAACCGCTGCGTGACGCCCTTCGGCAAGCGTCTCTTCCGCCAATGGGTCTGCCATCCGCTCTGCAACACAGTCAAGATCAACGAGCGCCTCGACGCTGTCGACATGCTCAACGCGGACCGCAGCATCCGCGACCAGTTTTCCTCGCAGATGACTAAGATGCCTGACCTGGAAAGACTGATCTCGCGGGTCCACGCCGGTGCTTGCAAGCCTGAAGACTTTGTCAGGGTGCTCGAAGGTTTTGAGCAGATCGAGTATACGGTCAGCCTCCTGAGTGCCTTTGGGGGCGGCAACGGCCTCGTCGACCGGCTGCTAGCGTCCATGCCTGACCTCAACCAACCACTGGACTACTGGAAGAGCGCCTTTGACAGGCAAAAGGCACGCGACGAGAAATTGCTGATCCCCGAGAGGGGCATCGAGGAGGACTTTGATGAGAGCGCTGACAACATCAAGCGCATCAAGAAGGCTCTGCACTCGCTCCTCGATAAGCAAAAGATGATCCTCAAGTCCAAGACCATCAAGTTCACCGACATCGGCAAGGAGATCTACCAGGTCGAGGTCCCCAAAGCCGTCAAGGTTCCCAAGGACTGGAGGCAGATGTCAGCCACCGCGAGCGTCAAGCGGTACTACTTCCGGGACCTGGACGAGCTCATCCGGGAGCTGCAGGAGGCGGAGGAGACGCACTCGCAGATCGTCAAAGACGTGGCGTCTCGGTTCTTCAAGCACTTCGACACCGACTATGAGACGTGGCTGCAGGCTATCCGGATCATGGCTCACCTGGACTGCCTCATCAGCCTGGCAAAGGCGTCATCGAGCATGGGCGAGCCGAGCTGCCGGCCTCAGTTTGTCGACTCTGAGCGCAGCGTCGTCGACTTTACAGAGTTGCGCCACCCGTGCATGCTCAACACCGTGGACGACTTCATTCCCAACGACATAAGGCTTGGCGGCGACGAGGCAAAGGTGAACCTGCTGACGGGTGCCAACGCTGCCGGCAAATCGACCATCTTGCGCATGGTATGTGTATTTATCTCCATAACTATACGACACAAGGCTAACATAGCACCTCAAAGTCCTGCATCGCTGTGATCATGGCTCAGATCGGCTGCTACGTCCCCGCCGCGTCTGCCCGGCTGACGCCCATTGACCGGATCATGTCGCGTCTGGGCGCCAACGACAACATTTTCGCAGCCCAGTCGACCTTTTTTGTCGAGCTCTCCGAGACCAAGAAGATTCTGTCAGAGGCGACCCCGCGCTCACTGGTCATCCTAGACGAGCTCGGCCGTGGCACGTCGTCCTACGACGGTGTTGCTGTGGCCCAGGCCGTTCTTCACCATGTGGCGACGCATATCGGCTGCGTGGGCTTCTTTGCCACGCACTACCACTCGCTGGCCACCGAGTTCGAGAACCACCCGGAGATCCGGGCGCGGCGCATGCAGATCCACGTCGACGACAAGAATCGCTGCGTGACGTTCCTGTACAAGCTCGAGGACGGCGTGGCCGAGGGGTCCTTTGGCATGCACTGCGCGGCCATGTGCGGGATCCCCAACCGCGTGATCGAGAGGGCCGAGGTCGCGGCCAAGGAGTGGGAGCACACGAGCCGCCTCAAGGACAGCCTAGAGCAGGCCAAGACGGGCTGCTACATACCGCTGGGCATGCTGAGCGATATCTCCAGCCTGCTTGGCGACAAGAAAGAGGAGGACGAGGATGAAATCAACGGGCGCGGGCTTAATGTTCTGCTCGAAGCGATTGCAGCACTATAAAAGTTGGTGGTAGATATGGTGTCCATAATAGGGTGGTGAGGCTAGCATGGATGTTGCTAGAACGCGCTGCTTGTGCTTGAATTGTTGTTTGAAAAATGGAATCTGGGCGCAAAGGGACTGGGATGGCTTTGGGCTGGGTTGGACCTAACACGGTCCGCACGGGTTATTTTGATACATGTAGTCGGTATAGAGCTACATTGTAGCTGTTGATATCAGCACATTATTATCTAATTGCTTTTATGGTACCGGATTCGGTGGTGTTGTGTCACTCTAACTGGGTCAATCGGTCTATGGAATATTGCTTGCTCGTCTACAGCTATCCAATTCTACCCGGCACTCGTGGCCAGCGACTGATGAAACCTGCCATGTCTATAGATCCTGTCTCGCGCGTCGACTCTTACGCCGCAGCCAAACACCGTAACGGAACAGTACGAAGGGGATTGGTATGAACGCAATGGAGATGAAGCCCAAGGTCGAGCTTGCCCAGTCAACACCCAAGTTCTTATACATGGCGCTCGCAAACAGAGGCTGAATGACGGTACTAGGTCAGCACATTGTTGCCCATCACACGGATAGGTAAAAACAAGAACTTACAAAGGCCGCGCCAAAGGAAGAGCGCAGGAAATCATTGCCCGCCAACACACTGGCCACGTATTCGGGGTACGCATCGGAGAGGTAGTTCAAGACGGAGTTGAACAGCAAGAACGCCCCGACCGTGAACCAGGCCGTCCCGATGATGGGCATGATCCAGTGTATCTCCGGCCGAGACGACCACCCGAACCAGAAGAGGCAGATGGGGATGGCGAACGCGCCGACGAAGGAGGGCGGCAGGCGCCACTCGGGCTGCAGCTCGCCGTCCTCGTTGAACTTGGGCTCGACGTAGCGGTGGTGGTACCAGACGAAGGGCGGCAGGACGACGAGCAGGCCGGCCAGGATGCCGAGGAAGGCGAGCCCCTCGGTGCCCAGGGAGAAGCCGTAGATGCCGACGAAGACGGCGGGGAAGGACTCGAACCAGATGTACAGCAGGCCGTAGACGAGGGCGATGTAGAGGTCGAGCGCGAGCACGATGGGCTCGGTGAGGAGCAGGGCGAAGGGCCGCACGAGGACCAGGGCCGCGACGTCGCGCCCGGACATGTCCCGCCCCGCCAGCTCGGCCTCGCACACGAGCCGGTCGTTGCCGGTCAGCTCGCGCAGGCGCCGGGTGCGCCGGTAGAGGATGTTGGAGGGGGAGGTCTCGGGCAGGAGGAGGGTCAGCAGGGCGAGGGTGAAGCCCGACAGCCAGCAGAGCTCCCAGGCGGTCCAGGTCCAGCCGCGGGCCTCGGCGGCGAAACCGCCGACCAACGGTCCGAGGGTCGGTCCCAGTACCGCGCCGACGCCCCAGATGGCGAGGCCGTAGGTGCGCTTGGAGGGGCTGTAGAGGTCGGCGATGGAGGCGCCGCCCGTGGCGAGGGAGGGGCTGCCGACGAAGCCCGTCAGGAAGCGGAAGGCGAGGAGCATGCCGAAATTCGCGGCGAGGGCGACGGGGACCTGCAGGGCGACGAAGGCGGCGAGGGTGAAGACGTAGACCGGGTTGCGGCCCACCTGGGGCACCTCGGACATCGGGGCCCAGAGCATGGGGCCCAGGGCGTAGCCGAGGACGAAGAGGGTCAGCCCCAGGGTGGCGGCGACCTGGGAGACGCCGAAGACGGCGGTCACGTCGAGGATGCCGGCCGTGTAGATGGCGGAGCCGATGTAGACGGAGAAGGTGAGGAGGCAGATCTCGAAGGTGACGAGGATCTTTTTCCAGCGGGGCCAGTGGGCTGGGTTCTGTTGTCGTCGGGTTAAGTGATTCATATCCCGAGGGAAGATGGGTTACATATGGCGAGGAAAGGGGAAACGGGGGACTGACCTCGGGATCGTCTGGACCCCACCAGTCGACGATGAAGAGGTCCTTGCCCTTCTCCGGGTCGATTGTCCGCGCGCCGTGTCGGCCCTCGTATATCGCGGCGCGTGTCTCGTCCGTGTTGTATTCAGGCTTGTCACTGGTGTTGCCTGAGCCGAGAGAACTCGAGGATGCGTCGGGCGGGCTGGTCCGGCCGTGGTTGGCCATATGCGTCGACTTGGCTAGGTCGATGTATCTCTTCCATAGCTGCGGGTCCTTCTCTTCGGGATACTTGAGGATTCTCTTGTTGGTGATGATGCGCAGGAAGTGGCCGAATATCGTGTCACGGAAGAGTTCTTCCATTGTGACTGACGAGTATGCTTCAAGGATTGAAGTTGTCACTTGGTATCACGGAGTCACAGAGGAAGATATTGAAGGATCACGGGGATGCAGACCAGAACGAAAGACATTGGTATTATAGTATTATAGTATTATATTAAACATTTATCTACCTTGACACAAATAGTGGTGAGAAAGGAGGAACCAGCTATTGCTGTGCGTCGTTGATTTCAGCGTTTGGACTTGACTCGGACAATTGAACTGACACTTCCACCGACAACAACCACACTAGAGTGGCATCTCCTGGCTTCCGGTAGTTAGGTAGGTTCCGGCTGAGAAAGATGCAGATAAGCGCTGCGCCGAATCATCCGGCATGGTGAAAAAGTCCGAAGGACGAGATGAGGGCTCGACACGGGTGTGGTGGGACGTTAGCTGGGATCGGGGCTAACACGTTGGGCTGAGGACATGCCGGCCGTAATTACACCGGCAGGATGGATCTGGACTGTCCAATCGGGCACTAGAGTGGTGAATCATCTGTTTTAGGACAACGTGTATTGGTAAAGCCGGAATGGTGCACGCTTCCTGGGGCAGTGGAGGACCCCTTGTTTTGTTTCATGAGTGATGACGTCGTGTATATTTGGTTGGGTGCCTCTTTTTAGGTTCCAAGCTGGCGGGAACGCTAGTCGCCTCGAAATGTCAAGACTTTTCCATCCCGAGTTATATATCTATAGGTCGCTAGGAGTTCCGTGTCGGATGGAGCCTCGCCCAGCGGCACCCTCGCCCATGACAATGGATGGCTCAAAAATCAGTTTTGCATGGCAGATGTGGTTGTGGGAGTTGACCCAACTGCTCGGGATCAGATGATTGCAGATCCTAACCCTACTGGACCAAATCGCTGGCTGTGCATTCTGGTTTTAAAAAGGACCCAGCCATACTAGCGGTTCCTGTCGATCATCGCGAGGCTATGTTCAAGGTTGATCAAGACATACATATCTTCTTCCGATATCTCCTTCATCACCACCAGAATACATGTCACATGGCCAGGCAATAAATACCCTTCAATTGCAATTGTGACCTCATTTTAGCTCTACATACATGCATACAAGTCATCTATGGGACATCCGACACATCCAGATCACTGGTCGCGGACATTCCCACTCTGGTCATCATTGCTCCCCATCAAGGCTGACTCGATCGAGCCTCGACGAGGGCGGATACAAAACAAGACGGCGTAATTCATCACGCAAGCCAATTCATGCCCAGTTCCCTTGTGGCTCAGATTGAGCCAGCTCCCAAGAAAGCCCGTCCCTATCGCTTGCCAATCCCTTGTAATCAGAAAATCAGAAAATACCTCTCAATACACCACAGATAACCCCCCACGAAACCAGTCCGGCCCTCGGCACACAGAGCAACACCCTCTCCCGCGAGATTTTCGATCCCGGGATGATGGATCAGACGTAGACGCGGTGGTGCGAGTGGGAGCTCCTCCGGCTGTGGTGGCCCGGGCTGCGGCTGTGGCGGCGGTGGCCGTGGCGGCGGTAGTGGGTCTCGCGGACGTAGCGCTTCTCGCGGTCGGCGCTGCTCATGCGGCCGCCGTGCATGAAGGCGAGGACCGAGGTGAAGAAGAAGAAGATGCAGTTCATGATGGCGAAGGCGAAGCTGGCCTTGAGCATGGCGCAGGGCTTCTCGGTGGTGATGTCGACGCCCATGCCGGACAGGCTGACGATGTTGCCCGCGCTGACGACCCAGCGGTCGCCGGCGGTGACGTGCGTGCAGTCGGCCGAGGCCATGAAGCGCAGGTAGTAGGCGCTGGCGATGAAGGCGCCGACGAAGCCGAGGTCGATCAGCCCGACGAACTGGGCGTTGGTGCTGCTGCGGTGGTAGCTGAAGAGGGTGAAGAGGGCCCAGGCGAGGGCGAGCACCGAGACGATGAAGAGGATGAGGATGTAGTCGGGCGTCAGCTGGTTGAGCGCGACAAAGTTGTGCACGAACCAGGCCAGCATGCCCATGGTCGGTATCTGCGGAGGGGACGGGGTCAGCGGCCAGGACAGACAAGACAGACAGATATTTGCGACAATCAGCGCGCCTAGTAGTGCGTGGTATCTCGAGAGGAGAAATGCTGTCGAGTACAATGCGCGCAGTCGTCGCATTATGCGAAAGGCACGGGTAGGATCGGATCAATCAGCTTACCAGAGTGATGATCTGCATGAACCGCCAAAAGGCGAAGAAGATGGCGAAGAGCATGGTGGGCGGCAGGTGGTGGTGGTCTTCGCGATCGCGCGTGGACTACGGCACGGTGATTTCTCCTCTCTTTCGAAAGAAGTTTGTTACTCCTCGTTCACGGACAAGAGATCAGAGAGAGGTGAGATGTGAGAGGGCTGCAGGGGAGAGAGCGCCGATCTGCAGAACGACCGTTCGTTAAAAGGAATGGGATGCAGAGGAGGGGAAGAGATCGGAGGAAAAGGCTGACGCAATTGTGCTTTTGGATCAAAAAGATGGGGGATGTCTTCTCTCCTGCAGGTAGAACTGATATCTTGGTATCTTAGTGGCTGGGAAGAAGAACAAGATAATAGCTGCACGATGAACCCAGATCGCATCTTATTTGCCGGGCCTCGCAGAACCGGGTAATAAAGCTGGTTGGCTTCCTTGTCTGCGGTGCAGCTCTGGTCGCAGCTCTTCGATTGCTTGCTGACCGGGCGACAGCATCGCCAGAGAGGCTGCTTGCAGGGGGGCACCCCGGTCCGGTCCGCTAAAAAAGAAGAGGGAGCGAGCGAGCCAGACCAAGAAATTCGGGCGGCTGGTCTTTTCAAGGTCTGTGTGGTCTGTCTCCCCCCACCCGCTTTCTTCTCTCACGCAGATACCTACTCCGTAAGGTACTCCGTATGCACAAGAGGAACACCGCATCCCACATCTTCGGAGCAGTCGGATGCGCGCTTTCCCCTGCCTTGGTTCTGCGCCGTGCCACAAATTCTGTCAGGCTGCCCGCCTGGCTGCGATGGATGATTGTTTGTCCAACATGGACGGACGGTCTTGTTTGTTGGCACAGCATGGTTTCCATCTGTAACCAGGCTAGCGAATTGCCTGAAAGAGCCTAGCAGGGCCCTGGCCGACGGGGGACAGAACCCTGGAAACGTCCCCTAGCTCGGTAGCACTGCGCTGCCCGCAGACCACAACTGACGTCAGCCTAGGCGGCGTTTGGCCCAACATGAAGCAACCTGGAAAAAGACAGTGGACAAATTGGCCCAGCAGGAACAGGTATGGCGACTACAACTGGTGAAAGCCGGGCGACGAACAAGTCTGCTTCTTTATTAGGATAAGTACTTCGTATTGTTCCAAGGTCTCCGACAGATCGAGCCTAGCCGCGGTGCTCGACCACAGCTGAAGGAAGTTGGACGTTTCCCCACACACCACTTCCGCTACGCCTTCCAGAATTCCAGTGGCTGGGCCGGCCCGCTGTCCGATCAGAGACACATCCACACACTTGCCACACGTGCCACACCCGCCAAACCCCTCACCTCGAGACATCCATCCTCTCAAATCGTCACATCATACAATCAACAGGAGATGGAGGACAGGTTGCTTATACATTGCAAGTCTCTATCGTTGGTGCACACTGCAGTAACCAGCTAAAGACCTAACGCCCTCCCACGGTCAAGTAGTAGAGGCTCCCCGTGCTGGCATCCACGTTCTTGGGCGCCCCGAGGTACAGCACGTCCGTCCCGTCCGCCCTCATGATGGCCTGCAGCCGCTGCACCTGCTTTCCCGCCACGGGCCCCAGGGCCGTGTCGGTCCAGCCCGAGCTGCCCGTGCGCTCGAGCACCTGCGCGCTGCCCCCGACGCGGCAGTAGTAGATGCGCACCGTCGCGCCGTCGTGCGTGATGCCCAGCCCCGCGCTCGTGTCCCCGCCCGCGTAGACGACCTCGCGCGTCCACGGGCCGGCGCCGGACCCAAAGTCCGCCCGCGCCCGGCGCACCTGCCACGGCCCGCCCGTCGCCGCCTGGAACCGGTACGCCACCTGCACGTGCACGCTGCCGGCCGGGCGCTCGTACAGCGCCATCTTGGCGCTCTGGAGCGCCGGCGCCGGCGACGCGCCGATGTCGTGCGCGTACGACTCGCCGCCCGTCAGCGGCTGGAAGACGAGGTCGGGCGTCGCCTGCGTCATGGGCAGCGACGGGACCTCCTGGCCCGACGCGGCGCGGAACTTGCCCGTCGAGGGGCTGTAGCGCGCGTAGCTCCCCTCGTGCCGCACGCCCGAGGCAGGGTACTTGCTCCACTCCCACTGCAGGTGCACGTCGCCGTCGGACGAGAACTGGATGTCGTCCGGGTACACCGAGTAGCCCCTGCTGTACGCGAACAGGCTGACGCGCGCCCACGTCCCCGACGCCGTCGTGTACCGGTACAGGTAGCCGCCCTTGGCCGACGTGTCGCCCGCCGCCCACCCGCGCACCATGAGCCACAGGTCGCCCGCCGCGTCGCGCTTGACCACCGGGTACGTGACGTTGACGGTCTGGTCGGGCATCTCGCCGCTGCGGTCCGCGAGGCTGGTCGGGTCCTGCGGGCTCGACGAGCGGAAGTACTTCCAGTGCTCGTTGTGCATGCTCGTGAAGACGTGCACGTAGCCCGCGCCGTCGACGGCGACGCTCGGCACGCTGTGGCCCGCGTCGTCGGCCTCGACGGCGCACTCGCCCGCGCCCGTCTTGACGCAGTCCCGGACGATGGCGCCCGTCGAGACGTCGCGCCGCGCCACCATGACGTTGTTCTGCGCCAGCGACCCGCCGCTGCCGCCGGGCGGGTTGCGCAGGTAGGCTAGGTAGTCGTAGCCGCCGAACTCGTCCAGCGGGTCCCACCACGCCGCCGCGCTGCTCGCGTCGACGGCCGTCGAGATGGTCACCAGGCTGCTCGGGGCCGGGGCGGCGAGGGCGAGCGAGCCGAGGCCCAGCAGGGAGGGGATGAGCGTTTGCCGCATCGTCGTCGGGAGAGGTATGGTACTTTGCGAGAAGGAGGCTTACTGGGGATTACCGAGACCAGACGCGGTTGGCGAGTTTGGTCATTGCTTCCAGGGGAGATTCTGTGGTGAGTAGGCGGGCCTTATATACTACTTGTTTTGCCCCTGTCATCCGCATCACAATAGGTAACGAACCCAGTCTTCCCCCACATCTCAGTCTTGTTTTCCCCACGATCCTCCGTCTCGGCTCCTAGGTGCGGAGAACCATGACGAGGAATGCGGGACTTTGGCAGGAGATGGAGCCACCGAGGTCTTATTGCGCCTGTATAGTCTTCCGAGCTGAGGTCACAGCCACGCGATGGTGGAGACGGGATACATTCGAGAGTAGATGACTTGCTCCACCAACGAGTCCAACTTGAACTGCTTGTACATGGCGACAGCGTGGTCATGGGCAATTTACTTGTAATGAGCGTTTGCGCAAGACTTGTTTTAGTGCCGCGGACGCGTGCCCTCTTCCCCGCAAGTCCCGGCGGAGCAGTCGAGGTCGGAACCCCCGACCCCTCTCCGCCTCCGCATCCCGGCCGTTCCGTCGAGACAGGGTCCGAGGCCGCATCTGGTTAGTGAAGCCCCGGGATGCCCCGATGGGAGAGTTGGGGTCGTCCGTCTGCTCCGACTCTGGGTCTTCTTCCTTGTAGTTACGCGGTTTGGCACGATGTGGCTTTACCCGAGGGATGGCAAGGCAGTAATTAGCTTCAAGTGTCACTCTGGATGCAATGGATCAGCAGGCCACCCGCGTGACTAGGTCCACGAGTGGTCCCAAACATTTGCAGGGCGGCAGGATGCTTCGCAGGAAAAGTGCTGAAGACCGCGAGGGCGTCGAGACTGGCGTTTATTTCGCCATTGCTTATCTTCTTGGCTTTGGCTCTGTGCGCGAATCCCTATTCGGTCAACCGTGCGCCGGCAAGTTGAGCTGCCATCCGACCTTTGGTCCGCTCCTGTTTCGTGTGCGTTTTGGTGACAGCACCCAACCGTGCAGATCAGACGAACTCTACCGGCTCTTTTGACTTCCAGCCCCCCCAATGGCCTTCCCACGAGAGCTTCATTTTCGAAATGGCGAAATACCATGCTGTCTGTTATACAGTTCCACCAGCTGGATGGCACACATGAGTTGATTGCTATCATAGTTCGGAACTGGCGCACACTCGGACTATCCGCGCACTGTGATTTGGTGATTCGAAGACGCTGCTGGAACCCGGGCCAACACAGGTCTACCCTCTTGTCATCCTCCTTCCCCATCCTACGAAAATGTGTGTTTCTTGGGCATGTGCACTTTCGCGTGCTGGGGACCAGATGCCAAGTGGCTTTGTGTCTCCCTCTCTTGGCAGCGCCGGACCTGTGCCCCTTCAATATGGCCAAGGTGCATCGCAGCTCTCCTTCAGGAGGGGGATCCGATGCATTATGCTAGAGATCGTCTCAAAAAATCCCTCCTTCTCCTCTCGTCCCGTCTCCTTACACTAGTATGGACGAAGGCGTGGCCAGCATCGTGGCAGCCCCCCACGCTACGTCTCTCGCTCTCAGGCAGCTCTTGCGAGTGCCAAGAAAGGGGTAGGGGCTGCTATCAGATCGTGTGATCGCCACCAGACCAGTTGAGCTGGCTCGCTTAGAGTGAGGCTGGCCTGTGAACATCACTGACGATGAGAATGATATCTTCACCGTTAGCCCGGGCACGCAACCTGACAACTATATATACCCCGTCTTGCGCTCCACCTGGAAATGCCCGTCTCTCATCTTTATGCTCCACAATCGCCCGTTTGTCGATCGCTGCTCGTTAGTTTTCACGTCGTTCGTTTACTTTTGCCAGTCTTTTCTTGAACTTCCGCTGGTTCAGCCTTTTTGCTTCAGCTCTTGACCCTGCCGCACCTCACATAGTATCTTGACGCTTGGCGAAATAAGAAAACACCTCAACATGTCAAAGACACTCTTCGTCGCTGTCCTCGTCGCGTTGGCCGAGGCTCGCTTCGGCCAGGAGCAGATCCCCGTTGCGGCCGTGCAGGCCCTGTCCGACTTTGGCAACCCCGGCGACGCCGGCACCCTCTCCGGCCAGGTCCCGGGCGTCCTGCTCGCGGCCGCCAACCCCTGTGCCAAGGTAAGAGACGCTTCTCGAGCTGCTCTTCCCCCAGGCTCGTCACTGTCTAGATGGGGAAAAGGATGTGAAACACGAGAATGCACCAGTGCTAACCACATCTCTCCCAACAAAAAGCTCGAGCTCGCCGACAAGATCGTCGCCACGCTAGGCAATGACGACGCCGTCCTCGCCGCGGCCGCCGGGCTGGTCGCCGCCGAGCAAAACTTCAACCCTTTCGCCGTCGCGATCCCGAGCATCTGCGCCGACGCGAGCCTGCCCGCCACCCCGGAGCTGCAGGGCATCGTGCCGCTCGTGGACCCGGACGTCGTCGGCGCCGAGGTCGAGAACGCCAACTCGGCGCGCTCGCTGCAGGCGCCCCTTGCCGCTGCGGGGGCGCAGAGCGTCGCCGACATCGTGGCCGCCAACGGCTTCTCCAACTTCACGGCCGTGGCGGCCGACGGGTCGCAGGTGGCTGTCGCGGCGGGGGGCAACGTCAATGCTGGTGCCGGTGCTGCAACTGGTGCCGGAGCCGGAGCCGCTGCGGGTAAGGCTAATGCTGGAGGGAAAGCTGCTGCCGGTGGCGCGAACAAGGTGCAGTGTGGCAACTGAGCGAGGGTGTAAGAGCTGCTGGAGAGCTGTGCTTTGACCGGGGTGTTCTCTGTATACTACCTATAGGATAACGTATTTCGTGATTTTCAGCCAAGCGACTTGATTTTGAAATTGCATTTGAGTCCACAGTATTCGCGATGATTGTCGACTTCTTGCAAGGCTGTTCTCAATCATCAGAGTGCCTTGAAGATAGCAGTGACCTTTGTACTCCTACAAGAAGAGCTCAGTCAAGGAAACTTTAGTATCACAATTGCCAGGTCACATTATGATCAAGCTTCCTTTCATCAATACTGAACACCGAGTTCCATCAAAAGTTGAAGAACCAAGTCAGCTGACTCCGCGTCGCGAGAGCGTGGCACAGTACGCGCCTGTCACGTCCGTTAATTCCGGGCATCACCACTTTTTTCAGTCCGGTGTGACGGAAGGATCCAATCACGCATGCCAGTGCAACCGTAGTGGAGATTTCTGCCTAGGCGGCACGACAAAGGTGCCGGCATGAATGGACTAAAAAAAGAGGCAGGGCTAAAATATGACACCGGTCGGAGGAATTGAACTCCATGATGTGCGAAAGACCGAGTTACTCACTGCTGGACCGCCGTCAGTCATCTGGAGAGCGCCGTGAAATGGATATAAAAGAGCAACGGGAGAGGAGCGCCCAGAAATTCCAAAATGCTTGTTCTCCAGCATGACAGACTAATCTTTGACTTTGAAAGCACTCCCCTCATAATCTCGAATCATTCACAATGGTCTCCGGCGCACCCCAGCCCTCCTACACCAAGACCAGGCACACGGCCACATACCCAGCCATCAACCCGGAACTCCCCGCGCTCAGCAATGCAGGCAAAGTAGTCCTCCTGACGGGCGCGAGCGGCGGCATCGGCCGGGCCGCGGCCGTCTCGTTCGCCAGGTCCAAGCCCAAGGCGCTCATCCTCCTGGGCCGGCGGGCCGAGGAGCTGCAAAAGACGGCCGAGCTCGTCCGCTCGGCGGCGGCCGGCCCAGACGCCGCCGTCGTCGTCGTCGAGACCCACGCCGTCGACCTGCGCCAGCCGGCCGCCGTCCGCGCCGTGACCGACGCCGCGGCCCGGTCCTTCGGCGGGATCGACGTCCTGGCCCACTGCGCCGGCGTCCTGGCGCCCGTGCAGCGGCTCCTCGACACCGACCCCGCCACGCTCCTCGCGGGCTACGAGACGACGCTCGTCGGCGGCCTCGCCGTCGCGCAGGCCGTGCTGCTCTCCAACGGCCCGGAGGCGGCGCGGCCGCTGACTTTCCTCAACGTGACGACGGCGGGCGTCCTGTTCCCGGCCTTCCCGGGCATGGGCGCCTACGTGAGCAGCAAGATGGCCGCCGTCAAGCTGCTCGACGCCCTGGCCGGCGAGAACCCGCACGTCCGCCTCACGCACGTGCACCCGGGCTTCCTGCCGACGGCCATGTCGGCCGAGCTGGCCAAGACGACTAAGCTGCCCTTTGACTATGACGACAGTAAGTGTCACCTGCTTGCGCTTGACGCACTCTGGGGAATATGTACGTGGTGGATGGCTGACACACATGATACAATTAGTCTCCTTACCGGCCGATTTTCTCGTCTGGGCGGCCTCCTCCGAGGCCGACTTCCTGCGCGGCAAGATTGTATTCGCGGCGTGGGACGTGGACGAGCTCAAGGCGCGCAGGCAGCAGATCGCGGGATCACCGGAGCGGCCTGGCAGCGGCGAGCTGCATGTAGGATTCGTGGGATTCCCTAGGTACATTGGCGAGATGGCTCTGCCCGGGACGTCGTAGGGGTCTGCTGAGAGAACCGGACTGCATTTATCGAAGAGTCTTTCATAGCGTGCCTTCAGCAAACAAGACATAATGCAAATGACAGACTGATAAACCATGGAAGAGCATTTACTGAATTCCAATCCGACTTGAGAATCTCGTCTCTTTCGGAGCTTGAAAGCGTCCAGAGGGCTAATATCCAACGCGTACTCTGACAGGGTACGTACGCAATAGCCAGACCCCTGCGATCGGTTCTTCAGAGCGGCGCGACAGCCCTACATCATCCACGCATGTCACCATTGAGAACACATAAACAGCGGAACAGGCTAGACATATCCCTAATCTGTTCGAGGTGTCAGGATTGCCCTGCTGACGTGCATTTACGGATTACCGGGGATTACAAGTACGCAGATAGCTCCAAACCAGAGCATCCCTGCCGACGGACTTCAAGATGACGTGAGACGCTTAGCTTGAGGGCCACGCGAGCAGTCCTACGTAAAAGGCGGCTGTTCCCATCAATGACGCGAACTCTCCTTTCTCGGGCATTCTGACGCGGAATGATAAAAAAAAATAGAAGAGCATCTAACGATCTAAGGGAACCCACATCGAACACACAAGATGGGCAGCGCAGATGAGGCAAAGGATGCCGGCCCGATCAAGGTTGTCGTCTGCGGCCTAGGCCGGACCGGCACGGCGAGTGAGTGAAGATGCATCTCATCCATGACAATCGGCGTGCGGCACCAGTGCATGGCTTGCTTGCTGACCTTGGCCTCCCTCCGCCATCACAGGCATGAAGGACGCCCTTGAGCGGCTCGGCTTCCCGACCTACCACGCCTTCGACTTTTGGTACGACAGCCAGCCCAACATCGAGCGCTGGAACCGCTTCATCGACGTCAAGTACCACGGCAAGGGCGAGTTCACGCGCGAGGACTGGGACGCCATCTTCAAGGACTACGCGGTATGTGCAGATTTGATTACTCTCGAGTCTCAACGAACAACAACGAGGCCAGGCAAGGATCAAAGGCACAGAAAAATACTCACACATAGACCACACACATGCATAGGCCACTGTCGACGCGCCCTCGGCCTTCTTCGCCCCCGAGATCGCAGAGGCGTACCCGGACGCCAAGGTCGTCATCCTCAACCGCGACCCGGAGGCCTGGTTCCGCTCGTGCCAGGCCGCCTTCGGCCACCGGAACAACAGCGCCCTCACCAAGCGCATCTTCCGCCTGCTCGTGCGGTGGCAGCCGCGCATCCGCGCCATCGCGACGCACATGGACCGCAAGCAGGACGAGATCTGGGGGTTCGAGTGGCACGACGCCGGCGCGCGGCCCAAGGCGCTCGCCTTCTTCGAGGCCTACTACGCCGAGTGCCGCGCCCGCATCCCCGAGGACCGCCGCATCGAGTTCTCGGTGCAGGAGGGGTGGGCGCCGCTGTGCGCGCACCTGGGCGTCGAGGTGCCGACCGAGACGGACGGCGAGGGCCGGGCGGTGGCCGTGCCGTTCCCGCGGACCAACGAGGCGGCGCAGTTCAAGGAGAGGGTCGGCGGGGTGGCCCGGAAGGTCATCAGGCAAGGCGTGTGGGACTGGGCGTGGAGGCTGGCTGTGGCGGGCGTGGCCGGGCGGTATTTCTGGATGTACAGAGCGCCGCTGAAGGGGCTGGTCACTGGGCTGCTCTCCAGGTGAGGCCTTTGTCAAGGTGCCTGATGGACCGCGTGGTTGAGACAGTTGGGACTTGAGTGAGCATCCGGGCTGTATTGACAGTTGGACTGGCCGCGGGTCGCGGATACTTGGTAATGGCGCGGAAATGTTTGTCAAGACACTTGATAGCTAGACTAGATGTATTAGCGAAATCTCCAGCTAAGGTCACCGATACTGACCATCCACATGGATCATTCGATGAATCAAGCTAGAGCACATGTCAGACGGAAAGGATGGCACGTTTCCGAGGCCTGTTAGTGGGATGGCAGATCCCGTTAGCGGGGAGTCATCGCGGCCCCTGCGCTGGAAGGCAACCATAGCCAATCAACTCTAGGGCACCACGTCATGGCTTTGAACAATGCTCAACAGCATCCTACCAAGAATCTCAACATTTCATATATATCGCCCAGTCTGTCATGAGACGCAGAAAGTTATCCAAGTGTCCTTCAAGTGCTGCTTGGATGCATGATATATTGCGCCGAAATCAATGAACCAACAATAGCGTCCAAGCGCAATACTGTGCTTCACCAGACATCATCATGATCGGCACCTCATTGCCAGAGTACATCTTCATTCGAATCTGCATCTTCCTCCTGCGGTACAGCATCCTCCTCGCCGCAGTAGGCCTGGCCGTATGCTACTATCTATCCCCTCGCCCTTTCGCGATATACGGAGTCTGGACATTTGGCGCCATCTTGGTCGCAGAGATCGTTTTCTGCCTCTTCCTTTACACCCCTTACCGGACCCGCCTCCAGCGCGAGGCCAAGCACCCGCCGCCGCTCACGAGCGCAGAGAGGAAGGCGCTCTTTACAAAATGCCTAGCCAACATCCCAGATCCGGAGGGTTATCTTCGCAAGTGGTTTCTCGGAGCCGACTTGCGGGATATCAGAAAGGAAAACGTACGGGAGTTCCTGCTCTGGGCGTTCTTTGATCGGGACAACGGCGAAAGCGAACAAGACGGAGAAGAAGAAGAAGAACTAGGGCTCTATCTGAAGGACATCGAAGCCATGCTGGGAAGACCACTGGCTGAGGGGCGAGGATCGGCAAAGTGCCTCCGCCTGACGATCGACCAGATCGAGACGCGCTACCGCAGTGTCTTGTGGTTCGGCATCGTGACGCTCGTCGACTTCATTTCGCACATGCGTATGATCTGGGACGGGTACGAATACCACGCTCAGCCGCTCATGAAGCGGATGACGGTCTTCCCGCCCAGGCCCCTGCTCTGGCTGCTGGCAGGCTTGGCGCAACGGTCGTCCAAGGCAGACAATCTCGCCTACTGGTATCGGCCACACACATCCAAGAAGCTCGCTCCAATAGTGTTCCTCCATGGCATCGGCATCGGCCTGTGGCCGTACCGGAGTTTCCTCGGGCAGCTGGCGCGGACCACTGACGAGGACGGCGGCCAGGTGGGCATCATCGCGCTGGAGCTGCTGCCCATCTCGATGCGCCTGACCAACGAGCCCATGAGCCGGCCAGAATTCATCCAGCAAGTCAACCAAGTGCTCGAAAGCCATGGCTGGACTGAGTTTGTGCTGGTCTCACACTCGTACGGGTCCGTGTTGACGACACACCTTGTGCGCTCGGCCGAGGTCGGACCAAAGATCAAGTCGCTGGTGCTGGTCGACCCGGTCAGCATCCTGCTTCACCTGCCGGATGTAGCGTACAATTTCACTCGGAGGAAGCCCCGCACGGCGAACGAGTGGCAGCTGTGGTTCTTTGCCAGCATGGACCCAGGCATCGCGCACACGCTTGGGCGCCACTTCTTCTGGAGGGAGAACATCGTCTGGAAAGAAGAGTTGACTGAGAAGCCGAGCAGTGCGGGCGAAGCGAAGCGAAAGGTGGCTATATGCCTCGGTGGAAGGGATCTCATCGTGGATACGTCCGTGGTTGAGAGTTATCTGCGCATGAAGGGTGATTTGAAAGAGAGCCAGGACGGTGACGGGATTATTTCCGATCGCTCATCTAGTCTAGACGGGAGCCTTGAAGCGACCAGATATCTGAGCGCGTCTGGCATCGAGGTCCTCTTCTTCCGTCTGCTCGACCACGCACAGATCTTTGACGGCAAGAAAGAGGTTGAGACCCTGGTCGAGGTCGTGATGAGCCATTGCGAGGCTTGAGGATATCATTGTAGGATAGCGACTCAGAGCTTAACTCATTTGGCGTGCTTTAATTCAGCTCCGCCCCATTCTGTGAGATCGACCTGGAGCGGTTCAGAAGCACTCTGGATCACGACCCATGTGATATCGTTGTCAGTTTCGTTGACCATCTGGTGCTCTGTCCACGGTGGCACGAATGCGAAATCTCCGGCAGAGAGCTCATTCCGCTTCGGCTCCGCGTCCTCGTCGCCAGAGTGCGTGAGGAGGAAGCCAGGCCCGCTCACAGCGTAGATAATAGCGTCTATTTCACTATCAGCCGTGATTCGAGCTGGGAGGTCATGAGATACACACCATGTTCGCCGTAGTGATGTACGGAAGACGACGATTTGGGTTTGGCCACCACGACTAGCCATGCCATCAGTTGTCGGATCTTTTTCGTCTCCGTCAAGGAGTAATACTCACCACGTGCGCACATTTTGTCGGATTTGTGAACGACTGCGTCTTTTTGAACGACACCAGTCTCCGTTTCTTCGCCGTTCGTGCCGTTTACCGGTTGAGGAGAAGCGGCACGAGGAGCCGGCACAGCAACCATGTTCTCAGCCTTGGCAATGTGCACCGATGAAGGCATGATCATAGGCAGGAGATCCGGGATGAGGGGCAGGAGGAAAGACATCTTGGCTGCTTGCCGAGGTGCGGGATGGAGGGATGCCAGCAAGTACGAGGTCGGCGTTGGGAAGTCTGGGATCCAAGATCGGCTTCACGCTAGCCCATGTTCTGACCGCCTCTCGGAAGTGAACGACCGGTGCTGACGAAGACTTGACCGGATGAAGCCCGCAAAGATGGTGTGCGAAGGAGGATCGGGTGTGTGGCGGGATTTCTGCGAGACCGGTAAGTTCCACGGCACGCCTCCTGCATCAACGCTAACGATGCAGCTAATCAGCACTTTGATTGTTGGCAAGCGACGCTGAGGCTTGGCGGGAGCAGTGTGAGCAGTTGGGTTCCAACACCATTGGCCATGGAAGACATGGGCTCATGTATAAGAACTGCAAAGCAACCCGCCGTAGCCTGGATGGTGCAATTCGATTCAAGCTTCCCGCGATCTTCCCGCACTTATCGAGAGCTAAAAGGTTAGCGGCACTGGCGCTAGAGTGTGCCCAGATAAGACCCCGCACATCCCGCCGAAGCTTGCCAACGTTGGTCTTGTTCAAGCATCCATTCATACATATACGGTCATCCATACCTAGGTACATTCAGACGCCACTTGCTTCTCGAGCACGACACTCCACCAAGGAGTCTGCGGGTCGATCATGAACCTCCCCTCACATCCAGACTAAACTTGCAGCCCGACCCATTTGCGATATTTCCGCGCTGAGCGAGCATAACGAGCTTGGAGCACTGGACAGAGCTACCATCCACTTTGAGACTAGACCTCCCAGCAGACACAATGTCCAGCCCGGAGTCTGTCTACTACTCTCCGCCGTCTGGCTACGGAGTCCCAGGTAGGCAAGACTACATTCAACTGCCCTTCGCTACGAAAGCTAATCGGCCCCCGTCCAGACTTAGTACGCGATGACCAAGCAGAGCCGTGCCACCTCATCAACCTTCCCAACGAGCTCCTCGGCCATATCCTCTCCTTCCTCGACCCCCTCGACCTCGCCGCCGTCTGCCAGACCTGCCGCACCCTCAACGATCACGCCAGCGCCGACCACATCTGGCAGTCCATCATCCAGTCGCACGTCCCGGGGAACCAGGTCACCAGCTGCTACCCGTGTGCGACCTTCAAGGAGCTGTACGTCTGCCACGACCCGCACTGGTTCCTGACAAAGTACAAGATCTGGTTCTGCGGCCGCAACCTGACGGGGAAGCTCATCGTTGTGCGCTACGACCAGCGCCGCGGCTGCATTGAGGGCTACCAGATGCTCGCCGTCAGCAACAGGGAGCACATGCTGCACACGTGGCCCATGGACCAGGAGGTCGTCGTGCACGCCTTCGAGCCCGAGGTCAAGCTGCATCTGGACAAGCCGGCGCTGCAGCTGCGTGCCAAGACGCTGGAGAACCTCGTCCGTAGGACCATCTCCTTGTCGCTGTCGTCGTCTCCCGGGCCCAGTGGCAGCGGGAGCGGTAGCAGCAGCGCCGAACGGTACCACAGCGGCCACAGCAGCAACCGCTACATGGCCGAGACTCCCATGCTTGTCACCGACAACCCCGATGACACCGTCTTTAACAACTTCCTGCTGGCGCGCCCCCTCGACGACGCCGATGCCGCCAAGCGGTCACTGATCGGCTTCCCCTACGGCAACGTTTGGCCGCCCCCGGACGTGCCCGCAAACCACCGGGTCAGCTCGGCCAACTTTTACACGGGCGAGGGCATGCAGCTGGCGCCCGAGAGTCGGCCCGCGACGCGCGCCGAGGTCTCGGACCAGGCCTTCCACATCCGCACCTGGATGGAGATGCGGCAGACGCACCCACCGGGCGGCATCAACTTCATCCCCATCCCGACGATGACGGATCTGCCGCACGACGCTCCCAACGTGCACAACCAGGCCAGTGCGCCGTGGATGCGAGGGTTCGGGCCGGGGCCCAACACCCCGGGCCAGCCGCTGCACATCGGCGAGGAGGTCAACACGTATGCGACGCTAGACCCCAAGCTGTACACGCCGACGGCCGACAAGCCGTGGCGCGGGATCTGGGTCGGCGACTACAGCGGGCACGGCTGCGAGTTCCTGCTGGTTCACCAGCCGGACGATGACGACGACGTGGAGCCCTTCGACGAGAGCTCGATGGAGCAGGGGTCCGACGAGACGGACGAGGAGTTTAAGCGGCGGAAGTGGGAGGCGAGGGTGTACCGCGGCAAGCTCGAGGCCATCAAGCTGACGGGCGACCCCAACGTGCCCCGTGGGGAGTGCACCTTTATGGCCGAGGACCTCGGCGAGCGCGGCTACGTGACGACGGTCAAGGAGGAGCCGTTCAAGGGGACGAGGGTCGTGGAGAGCATGGGCCATGTCGCTGGCACGGGGTTTTCGAATGGTGAGAACGGACCGTGTCTGACGTGATGCTATCATTATGGGACTGGGCTGACAAGTGCTTGCAGACAAATACATCGAGTCACAACTACTGCTGATATCACCGGATCGGCTGGCGCAGTACTGGGTCGGGTTCGGGCATATCAGCTTCTTTGAGAGACTTACCGAGAAACTTTGTGCCGCTGAAACCGACGCATTGCGTGGGAGAGGAGAAGCTGCATCGGATTGGGTGAAGATAATATCGACGCTGCATAACTCTGGGTCCGGGGCTGGGCCTGGGGCTGAGGCTGGCATCACTGAGCTTGCGACTGAGGCTGGCTCATTTGCAGATCCAGGCTGAATAGCGGAAGATTCATTTCCGAATAACGTGTCCATGATTTCTTCAGTACTTGATGGCAGTCTAGTGATGGATGTTGAGGTGATTTGTCGATGCAGAGCTATAAACAAAATGTCGTGAAAGAGGCCGATGCATAAATAGCTCTTGTATTGTCTTGATACAAATGAGGCGACTTAAATGGATGCTTCTAGCCCAGATTGTGACAAGGCTTTTCTGTCTATTGTGGTAGAAGGCAGAGAAATGAAGTTTACGGAGTAAGAAAAGGGTAGAAACCCAAGCTCCGGCTTTGATTTATCACAGCCCGGGAGTGGATCTCCGGGGTCGCTCCGAAACGGTATGTATTAAGCTGGTCGTGACTGCCCAAATTGAACGTACTGCGATGATTCCATGCAGGGAAGTAGCCCTTTGCACCAGGCAGCAAAAAATGATTTGCCAGCTTGTGTCCTTTTTCTTCGTTACTCGAACCCAAGCCACACATCTTCTTCTGGGTTTCTATCTCCGTGCTATTACGCCGTCTGCTGGACCTGGGGTCAATTTGTTGTACCAGGTCTACCATGGATTCAAGATTCCACGAGCTCGCTTCCAAAGTCGGATGGCATCGAGACTCCTGTCACTGAATACTTGTCAGCTTAATGGAGTCTCCGATTCCAGGCCTTTGGGGGACATGCTCTTGCCTGCGAGTACGCACTTCTCTAACGCCCACAGCCTCTTCTTATCACTAACGATGTCTATTCAATGTCCTAGTGAGAACTTGGCACCGACCGGCGAGCAGATCTGCAGATTCTTGTTCGCCATCCACAGCAAGCTCAGTGGTCGTTGCCTTGATAGGAGCTTCCACCGAAGAGTTGAAGTTGTGTTGGGCTTCTCCCTTTAAGGCCATTTAAGAAGATTTGAACCGTAGTACTGGCGAGGACGGATGCTAGGTAATTCTCTCATGTGAATTAATTTCCTAGGTCAAATCAGCCTACATCTGTCAAATTGGTCTTTTCTTATTTAAATGGGTTGGTTTCCGTCGTTTCTGCTAACAACTCCTCTTCTCCTGCAACATAGCATTCCACACTCTTGAATATATCCACTACGACATTCGTAATCATCCCCGACAATAAAAGATCTAAAGATGGACGGAGAGTCGGTAACTTCCTTCAAGGAATCGGCCCCTTCGCACGATGGTGAGGACAAAAGCCTGCCAGCAGGTTCCAGGGGGAGACCCCGGCCCCAGGAATCTCTGGAACGACAGTGGCGACGCTCTGTCAACCGTGCAGATCAACCTCGCACCTAGCCCTCATGGTCTCTGCAAAGAGCCAGAATGGACTGCACTGATGGAAATCAAGTGTGACAGCCTGCGGAGGCTTATGCGGTGTGGCTTCTCCTGAAGTGCCGCTAATGTCTAATGGGAATGAGGCCACATGATCCACGATCTCGACCAGCACATGCATATGGGTCTCCCGTGCGGGCGGCGCTGGTACCTTTAGGACCTGGGGCTGAATCCTCACTGGGTTGCCATCCTCATGGTCTTTACTCGCTTGCCGGGCCTTGTATCTTCCTTCGACCTTGACAGACTCTTGCCCGAGCACGCCTTCTGGTTTCGCGCTTTCGATGCCAGGGGCTTCCCTGTCTACAACTTTGACCCTTAGGCACCCGGACAACAACTGAGATGCTATCGACAACGAGATGCCTATGGAGGGCTGGGGACCATGGCCTCGGAAGGAATGACTTGTGTGTTGAAACCACGCTCATCAGGCTGGGTATCCTTATTTCTTGCAATAAGCATCGTCTTCGTGTCGATGGCACAGCGGGGCGATTCACTGTATCTCATACTCGTGTCGAGATGAAGTGTCCAATGACTCTCATCAGATAGATATTCTTATGCTACCTTGTATAATTGAAGACGGTTTAGTGATTCCAGTCTCTGCCCTCAATTACTTAGCAAGATGCCCATTCTTTTGTACTGTGGTGACGTATTGTTTCTATTCACCGAATTCCTGGATCGAGAAAACATGGGATATATTACTTTAGCATCGTCCCTTCACTATCAGTTGTGCTATCTCAGATAACGCCGTGATGAGGAGTGTACAGCGTTACACTGTCACTGGAATGACCTTTGTATTCTTTGAAACATCTCGACGGCTATTGGAACGGCGGCCGGCGGCTATCACAACGAATGGAGTAAAGAGGGGTAAGCTGGATATGCCAGTCCGGTGCGTTTCCCGGTGCAGATGCGATGTCACATGGAGCCAAAAGAAGGTTTGCGGCCTGGATGAGATCTGCACTGGACATCCGCACCCCGCACCGGCAGCACCAAGCGGTACAAGCACGGATACCGTCGGGACGCTGACGCGGATGTATAACCGTGCAATATCGACCGTCCTGTTGGTAAGCTGGGCTTCTTGTCTCTCTAGCCTCTTGGATATCTCATTGCCCAGCCAGTAGTCGCCACTAGCAGTCTAATTCTATCTACTATTATATCTTCGCATATCTTTAACATCTGCCGCCATGGGATATGAAACCATCTCAATCTTAGTTCTGTCAATCGCCGTGATACTCTGGCGCTACCTCAACGCCACGGACCTGCCCAAGATCAAGAACCTCCCGGAGATCCCTGGCGTGCCCATATTCGGCAACCTGCTCCAGCTGGGCGAGCACCATGCGAAGGTAGCTGCGGGCTGGGCCAAGAAGTACGGCCCCGTGTTCCAGGTCCGCATGGGCAACAAGGTAAACAAAGAGAAACTAGATGTGATGATCCGTCTCAGCTACTGCCGGTCTTGCTGACCTGTCTGCCAGAGGATCGTCTTTGTGAACAGCTTCGACTCCGTCAGGCAGCTGTGGGTGAAGGAGCAGTCGGCCCTGATCTCGCGGCCCACGTTCCACACGTTCCACAGCGTCGTCTCCAGCTCGCAGGGCTTCACCATCGGGACGTCGCCCTGGGACGAGTCGTGCAAGCGGAGGCGCAAGGCGGCGGCCACGGCGCTCAACAAGCCGGCCGTGCAGTCGTACATGCCCATCATCGACCTGGAGGCGACGAGCAGCATCAGCGAGATCTTCGCGGACAGCCGGGACGGCAGCCTGGACGTCAACCCCATCCCGTACTTCCAGCGGTACGCGCTGAACACGAGCCTGACGCTCAACTACGGCATCCGCATCGACGGCAACATCCAGGAGAGCCTGCTGAAGGAGATCGTCGACGTCGAGCGCGGCGTGTCCAACTTCCGCAGCACGAGCAACAACTGGCAGGACTACATCCCGCTGCTGCGCTTGGTGCCCAAGGCCAATACCGAGGCGGAGGATTTCCGGGTCCGGCGCGACAAGTATCTGACGCACCTGCTCGACATCCTCAAGAAGAGGATCGCAGAAGGCACGGATAAGCCCTGCATCACCGGGAGCATCCTGAAGGACCCCGAGGCCAAGTTCAACGATGCCGAGATCAAGTCGATTTGCCTCACCATGGTCTCGGCCGGCATCGACACGGTCCCGGGGAACCTGGTGATGGCCTTGGCGTATCTGGGCTCGGAGGACGGCCAGCGGATCCAGAAGATAGCGTACGAGGAGATCATGCGGGTCTACCCGGACAACGACGCATGGGAAAAGTGCCTCGTCGAGGAGAAGGTGCCGTACGTCACGGCGTTGGTCAAGGAGGTCCTCCGCTTCTGGACCGTGATCCCCATCTGTCTCCCGCGGAAGAGCATGCGGGACCTCCAATGGGGCCCTGCTGTCATCCCGGCCGGCACGACCTTCTTCATGGTCAGTTTTGCATTTATAAACGTAATCACGATGGGGAAATCGCTAATTTAGAAGTTAGAATGCCTGGGCCGCGGACTACGACGCGGACCACTTCAAGGAGCCAGAGAAGTTTGTTCCCGAGCGGTACTTGGATCCCGCCCTCGACTCTGGGGGTACTCCTCACTACGGCTACGGCGCCGGCTCTCGCATGTGCGCCGGCTCTCACCTGGGGAACCGGGAGCTGTACACGGCGTTCATCCGCATCATCACGGCTTTCACCATCCACCCGGCCGAGAACCCGGCCGACCGCCCGATACTGAACGCCCTCGAGTGCAATGCCATCGCTACGTCGCTCACGACGGATCCAAAGCCGTTCAAGGTGAGGTTCAAGCCGCGGAACCCAGAGCTTTTGAGGAAATGGATCCGAGAGAGCGAGGAGCGGACCAAGGACTTTTGAGACGGCAGACCGTGGAACGGAGAGCATGGATGTTTGCAAGTAATGGTCGAGCACTTGGCTATCCTTCAGATCCACAAGATTTAGGCAGTGAGATAGTCCTTCTGAGCTCCAGAATATGGAAATTTATGCATTGTTAACATTGAGGTCAATTTATGTTTTATGGCCAGCTTTTAGCGGGAGACATTCTGACACAGCGCTCCAGGGCTGCTCCAGGGCTCCCCCACCATAAACAGTGCAAAGTTCTTAGTGGATGGCGGGCGGGTGGAGCGACGTCATGGATGGCAGTGGCAGCACATGTAAACGATGAGGCGGAAACATCGTCATCCCTTATAACCTCGATGAATTGATATATGCACGGCTTGACCATCATACTTGGAGTGCTCTCTTGCCATCTGAATACATTCTTTCAGAATTGGACCCATCCCTAGATGCTTCCCTTAGACCGCCTGCCCGCCTAGGATTCCGTTTCATTTTCGTCACTGCAAAACCAGAATTTGTCTGGATGAAACCTTCTCACCGCCCACGCGACTCAGCTCACCACTCGACACCAGCTTGAGAGAACCTCATACAGCTTGGGCAAATTTTCTCTCAACAGAGCACGTCGGTATCTCTGGGACCTCCACAACGCCGTCGCCGATATACCCCGCCGCCCAGCATGACGGACAAGTACATCATCCGCGTGACGGCGGGCGCCGACTACGACGTCAAGAAGCACCAGGTCATCCCCGTCAACCAGGCCGACACCGTCAAGGTCTCGTCCGCCCTCATGGACGCCGAGATCAACGTCCGCGTCCAGGACTACGCCGGCCTGCCGCGCAACTCCCCCGCCACCTCGCCGTACTTCTCCGCGGAGCCCCACGCCTACAACAAGGACCGGTACAGCATCGCCCTGCGCTTCACGCCCAAGCAGCCGCCGCCGCCGTCCGCGTCCAGTAAGTCGGGATCCAAAGAGGGTGCCGATGGCGATGACGTTGACGACGAAGACAACGACGACGAAGACGATGAGGACGATGCCGAGGAGGAGGAAAGTGAAGCAAAGGGCATCAGGGCCGCGGACCTGCAGTGGGGCAACGACTTCGACCACCCCATCCGCGACCGCCTGCCGCCGGGCTTCGGCACGGCGATGAACATCGTCAAGTGGTGGATCGACCCGGGCCTCGAGGGCGACGCCTACGCCGACTCGCCCTACCTGTACGGCCCGGCCCTGAGCTCCTTCAACGCCGTGCACGTCGGCCCCGGCGAGCACGACCCGGGCCGGGGCGGCCTGTGGTTCGACGAGGGCGGCGACGAGGACGGCCACGCGGCGCGCGCGGGCTTCGGCGCGCCCGCCGACGCCAGGGCCCGCATGAAGTGGGCGCTGCGGGCCGACGCCAAGGACAGGTGGGTGTGGGAGTACGGCCGGACGTACGGCCTCGACTTCTTCAACCCGTACCTCGACTTCTCCGAGTTCTCCCTGCGGCTGCCCGGCTTCACGCTGCCCATCATGAAGTACTGGGACGGGCAGAGCCTGAGGTGAGTTTTTTTTTCCCCTGCCCCCGAAGCCGAGAGCATTGCACTGCATCCCGCTTCCGGAATGATCTGCCTTCCTTTATTTGTACCTTTATCTTTAAATAAGCGGCCTCACCAACCAACTCGTCTTGTGTTTTTCACCGCGGCAATAGGTCCCCCAAGCGCCGCTCACACGTCCTCAGATACGTCCTGCGCAACCGCTCCACCGCCGAGACGTACCTCGTCGTCACCTTTACGCTCTACCGCCGCGAGGACGTCGAGGAGGACGGCACGGTCAAGCAGGCCGCGCTCGACGGCAACCCGCTGCTGCCACCTGCGGACGAGTCCGCAGCGGCGGCGGAGAAGGAAGGAGGCGGAGGTAAAGAGGCAGCAAAGGAAGAGGAGAAGTTTGATGAGGCCGAGGTGCTCGAGGAGGCGCGGAGGAGGTTGTCCAATGTCGGGGTGGAGGATACGGCGGATGACGATGTGGACTGAGAGGGCTGAAGGCACTTCTGGGAGACTTGGTACCTCTCGCTGTCACACGACCGATGCGCATTGGCAGCGGGGAAGCTGCTCCTACACCAATGTGCACAAAAGATACCTAAATCAACAACCCTCAATAGAAATATGAAACAATCGACACATTCCAATATCTATCTGTCGTTCCGGTCTTCATCTATCGTGATATGCACGCAGGCTATGCAATAAAGCAACAAGTCCTTTTCAATCAGTCCAGCGTCAGTGTCCCATCCAAGACACACCAGAGTCCACCACCGTCCGTCTCAGATCTGTTTCTCCAAAGCCTGTCAAAAAAAAAAAGATCAGCATGTTCCAGCCCCAAGTGAATCAAGCTTCTCAACAAAGCCGACGAAAAAAAACGAGCCACTTACCACGGCAAACTTGCTCCGCCTCCGGATCCTCTCCCCAAAGAAGACGAGCACCCACGGCACGAGCGTCAGCGCGGCGCCGGCCCCGCCCAGCACGGCGCCCGCCCGCGCGGGCCCGAGTCCGTGGAACATGGCGCCCGTGACGACGGGGAAGCACCCGCCCAGCAGGTTGCGGCAGCAGCTCTGCGCCGCGAGCGCCGAGCTCGCGTACCGGTGGTACACGTCGGCAAAGTAGTTGAAGGTGGCGAGGTAGACCGAGTAGATGCCCAGCGTGGCGACGCCGATGCCGGCCGCCGGCGCGGCGGGCGAGACGTCCGGGCGGGCCGAGAGGCCGAAGAGCAGCAGGCCCGCCGGCAGGAAGGCGGCCGTGAAGCAGGTGAAGTAGAGGCGGGACTCGGGCGAGGCGACGGGGAACCGGCGGCGGAGGGCGACCCAGAAGGGGTGCCGCGAGCTACCCGGGCGGTCCTGCCAGTCGGGCAGGCGCAGCAGGGCCTCCTGGCCGAGGCCCATGAGCGTCGCCAGGGGCGCGGCGATGATCATGGCGAAGAAGGCGTAGCCCGAGCGCTCGATATCCCAGCCGTAGACCTCTTGGAAGATGAGGAAGGTTGAGGAGAAGGTCAGGTAGAGGGCGGCCCAGGCGAAAGCGACCCAGAGGGAGAAGAAGAAGATGACGGGCTCGGTGAAGAGCAGGTGGAAGGGTCGTACGACGGAGATGGAGATCATGGTCGCGAGGGAGGAGCGCTCCTCGTCTTCCTTGACGAGCCAGCGCACGCGGCGCAGGGGCCGGCGCGTTTGGGCATCGGAGGCGGAGGGTCGTCGGCTGTCAGATACGCGGTTGATCTCGTCGGTCTTCTCTTCTTCGTCCGAGACCGACCGGCCCTCGACGTCGACACCAGCGAGGGTACTTTCCGAGTCGGACTCCACGTCGCCAGCAACGCGGAGGGCATCCTCCCCGTCGATCCACACACCGTAGTAGCCTGCGTCCTCAAGCTTCTCGTACCACTTGTTGACCGCGCTGGCCTTTCGTGAAAGCAGCACGGATCCTCGGCTCTCGTAGAAGAACAGCACGAGCGCGACCATGAGGACGCCGCCCAGGATGACCTGGTGCCAAAACACCCACCTCCACACCTGCCCATGCGTAGCCAGTGGATACCGCTCCGTGATGACCGCCGCGACGAGCGGACCCATACCCGTGCCCGCCATGACGGCGCCGCTGAAGATGGCCATGGGGGTGTTGCGGTCCTCGGCGCGGTACATGTCGGCGATGACGCCGCCGACCATGGTGCTGAACACGGACCCTCCGCCGCCGCAGATGAACCGGGCGACCAGCATGCCGGCCAGATTGTTGACGAGGCCGCTGATGGCCTGGAAGAGGACGAAGATGATGCCGCTCACGACAAAGACCGGGTACCGGCCGTTGATCTCGGAGAAGGGCGCGAGGACCATGGGCGTCAGGGCGAAGCCGATGCAGTAGGTGGTGATGCCGACGAGGACGGCCGTCTGGGACACGCCGAACACCTCGGCCATGATGTACGAGGGCGGCGAGTAGCACCCCGCCGCGTACGCCGTGAGGAGGGTGGCGACGCACGAGAGGAACAGCATGACGTACTTGCGAGTGAGCGGCCACTCTATCGGGTTCGTGAAGGGCTTCAGGTTCGGCGGCTGCGGCGCCGGCTCATTGGACGAGGCGGTCAGCGATTGGATCGTCGTGTTGGCCGTCGGCAGGGGCGTCTGGAAGGTCAGATACGTGTAGTGTATGACCGAGTTGGCGTCAAGCATCTCCTCGGTCGCGGGCGGCGGTACGGGATGTGTGCTCTTTTCGTCCTCCGCGGCAGGGCGCGAAGGACCCCCGGCCCGGGGTGTTGACTGTGTCATGGGGCGGTCGCCGGGTTGTTCGATCGCCACCCAGTAAGATCCGCTTAGCTACTGGATGGAGGAAACAACATCGGGTGAGAGGTCATTTATGTTGTGTAGGGAACAGTTCTTTCAGTGCGGCCTCCGTGGACATGGATTGGGAGAAAAAGCCAGTCCCACCAACGGGTCCGGCAAGCGGCAGAGGGTCAGATCCGCCGGGGATAATGGAGGTGAGGAGAAGGTGTCCAAGATCCACCTTCAGCGAGTGTTGAATTGCCTTTCCAACCGCATGAGGAGTCTTGATTTGGTTGTAGCCCAGGAAAATGTGTGTTGAACGGCCCCACGGGAGCAGTCAAGGGTGCTGGGAATAAGCTGGAAACATCACCCGCCATGCGAGAAGCACGACGCCCAAGACTAGACTAGTGACGTGCTCTACTTCTGGCCGAGAACCTCTGATGCATCAACGAGTCCTTAATTTGGCTAGAAACTGCGAAAAAGTTGCGAGCTGGCTTTGTAAGACCTGGGCAATGGACCAGGAAGTACAAGATCCGGCAAGAGTCTTGAAGCCCCGGACAAAATTGAGCAACAGCCGACGAGTCTGTGTATTCCTTGATGAAGTCTTCTAGATCTTGGAGAGATGCTAGCCTGTTACGGGGCACAGTTAGCGTCGGAAGTGGTGACAAGGTTCGGCGGAGTCACGCCTGCTTCGGCAACACTTCGCGGGATGCTGGTCTCCTTCCCCGGATCTCGTCCAAACCACAGGGCGCAACGATTTAACGCCGAGGGTCATGGCCACCTGCCGTCTCCGTCGGGGTGATACCTGGCGACTCGACGAGGCCAACCCCTCCCCACTACGCTGCCGGTTGGCGAAGAGGCGCTCGACCCTCGGCACCAGGCGTAGTATGAGTATGGCGTGCTGTATGATTCTCACCGTGGTGGGCATGGCGGTTGGCAGGCTGGACTGCGCGCGGTTAAACCCGGTTATTGCCAGAGCTGAGCGCCGATCATGTTTCGCTGTGCCAGACTCGGGGACGCGGGGGGGTTCGGTGGGGAAGTGCTTGCATGTCGTGTCGGGGTTGCACATGCATCATCTGAAAGGTAATTACCAATCCCATGACGTACTCGGCAGATGATCCGGTTCATTGCGACCGGCGTTGCCCCGGAAGAGATACAGTATCTTGTCACGTTATGCAGCTGTTGAGCTTGACCGAGGTTGCTGAGGGTGCGTATCGTGGCCATGTTGCTACCGTCTCGGTCTCTTGAAAAAGGAGAGCGGTGAGACGCTCGCAGGCCGTCACAGAGCTGATCAATCAAGTGAGAAGCAAGGCGGATGGTACGCGTAGTCTCGAGAAACCTGACATTTTGCACCTTCATGACATCTCAAGGAGCCTTGGTTTCAGCTCTAGGGCAGTGGCCAGTGGCAGGCACGGCCCGTTCAGGGAGGTGGGGAAACGAGTCGCTTCTATGGCAAAACGCCTCAATTTTGGTCCTCACCATCCAGCATCTATCACCACGAAAACCCCCCCACAGACTGTGTCATAATCGGGTATTGTATTTCTGCTTGCGCAAAGTATGTCTCTAGGGCTCACTGCTGGGTATCAAGTGTACATCACTAACCTTCTCCTCCGCCGTGGTGGCGCTCCAAAAGTCTCCTCCCGTGGCCAAAGGGTCTCTAGTCTTTTGTGGAATCTCTGCGTCCAATATCTCTGAGTTTTCTAAGCAGGTTCTTGCCTGAATCGGGCTCTATTTCTTTGTTGGAGTCCTCTCTCTTGCTGCGCATAGACAGACTGGCGATGCTGGGACTCCGACTGAGCTTGCCGACAAAAGACAGACTCACAGTGCTAGCTGTGCGACTTCGTCCAAGCGGGCTTCGTGGGCTGATGGGACTACGCGGGCTCAGCGGGCTGTCAGGAATCCTGAATTTGCCGCTCGGGTTGTTCGGCGTCGCTGGCGGAGTGATGGCACCGCTTCCGGACGGGGATGTGAGGAGCACGGGCGTCGTCGGGCGAGTGCGCGGCGGGCTGTGCAGAGTAGTATCCGGAGCAGGTGAGCTGATCCGGGACGACTCAACAATTGAAAGGAACGAGGTATCGACCGAGGCAACACGTGAAACATCACTCGACCTGATGCTGGGCGCCCTGATGCTGAGCGGTTTCATGACGCTTCGCGGGTGTAGGATCCGGTCGTGGTCGTCGAGCCGCAGGAACTGCACGGTCTTGCCGTGATCTCTCCACGAGCGCTGGCCTGGGAGCAGAGGATAGAATGTCGACGGCCGCACTGCAAACGTATTTTGGCTGACACTGCCCCTTCGTATGTCCTTGGGCGACGGGCCTTCATTGAGATAGCGCATCAGTTTCGCAGTGTACTCCTCTGGAAACCCGACAAAACGGCCTGACGCGACGATCGACCGGAGCGACATGAGCCCATCAAGGGCCTGGAAGTCGGAATCTTCGACATAATTGGCGTCGCCTTTCCAAGTGTCAGCTTTGTTCGGCCGAGACTGGCAGATGAACTCACCATTCGGCCGCGGATTGCAAAAGCGTCGGCACAGGATAACGAGGTTCTCCATCCGCGTTCTCTTCCTATGCCTCTGGCCTTCGACAAAGATATCTACCATCGGACCGATCCCGAGAATCCCACTGCCAGCTCGCAGCCCAGCAGCCTCGGCGCGTGGGCCAAAGCTCAACTTGGAGAAGTCGATTTCGAGTGTCACATACTGCATGAGACAGCCGTACTGGAAGACGCACTCAATGGCCAGCGGGGATAAGGACAGTCCCACGTGCGGCGAGAACACGACGTGGAAACGGCGCGTCATGAAGAACATCGCCAAGACCTCCGCGCGCATGGCGAAACTCGCGAGCATGGCGCCCCGTGCTGGTGCAAGGGCCTTGCTGTACCAGTCGAACTGATCATCTCGCCACACCGGGCGCAGCATGCTGGCCGGGTTCATGCGAATCGGCTTCAGGCTGTCCGGCGTCGCGCCGTCGCAGTCGAGCACGTGTCGCCATATCCTCATGCGGACAGACGGCGGCAGGCGGCAGACATGAGGCGGCTCTTGCTTACGCGGCTGCCGGGTGTCGGACTTGGTATCGTCAAATGTGCTGCGCGGATGCCGGTGGATGAGGTGAAACTTTGCGACCGAGAACCTGAACTTGTCCTCCTCCGACAGTGCCTTGGTTCCGTCATCCACACGCGGCGTGTTGTTGAATCCCACCTCGATGGATCGGTCCCATGGCGGTAGAGGTGGAACCGCGGATACCGTGGAAGAAGAGATGGAGATGGCTGCCGGCCGAGCCATCTCCGGGCGAGTGATCAACTAAGCCTGCGGGAATCAAATGTCTGGAGACTGTCTGGAGACTGTCTGGTTGTGGACGAGGCCTCTGGAGAGGCGAGTCGCAACTCAGGGAGACTGGCGATCGACAAACGATGAAGATTGACATAAAAAAAGACCCTGAAAAGTCTATGGAATGAGGGAAGAGCCGACCTCGGGAGGCTGTCTCTGAGGAAGAGAGCATTAAACTTTGATGAATCGAGTCAGGTTAGTGGCGCGCGTGGGTGGCTGGCATGAGGTGAGCTTACCCGAGACACAGGTGAGCAGGATCGAGCAAAACGAGCACAATTCCCCTGACAACGCTCGATTCACATTTGAAAGTGAATGTGTGACCCCTGCAGCTCCGTGTGTATGAAATGGCTGTGTTTGTCAGATGTGGTAGTGACTAGAATCTGAAGTGACGACACAAGGTTTGTCGGGGGGAGGCGTTTTCACTTAGGCGGGTTATGCAGTTGTCGAGGGCTTTCTGACAGGTCAATTGACGAATCGGCTCCCCTCCAGCGCCGCCGAGGTCTCAGCTACCTAGATTGACTACTCAAGCCCTCGACTGAAACAATTTATGAGATCATGTACAAGTAGTCAGTCATCCGAGCAAGAGTTAATTGTTTCCACAAACCCGACGTCTTTTTCTCCTTTCTCTGCAGCCGATCCTTTCTCTTCGAAAGAGCTCTAGGCCAGAGCAGCCACAAGCCAGGAATTTAATCAAACTCGTAGCGAGACACCGCTCTCGTTCTAGCCGTGTCTTACCTGTCACTCAGCACTCGTCAGCCCTCAACACGTGGCACTGTGTGTGCGACTCCAGCGCATGTGTTGGGGATGAGCACGGTAGCATTCTCTCTGGCCAGCACTGCTTTGATTTCTGCATTATCCATCATATCCGTGTCTTGAGTGTATGCATCATTCGGTGCCCCCACAGGCCGGTAGGCCCGGGTTCCCAGCCACCCAGCGTCGACGATTTTGTCTGCACTTACTGAGCAAGCGGGGATCAAAGTTAGGTAGCTGTATTTAGTTGACGGAACTCCATCAAGAGATACACTACATACCCTTGCTCTGAAACTTGGAAGGGCTATCCAACTACCTGAAACCGATTGAGAATGATGGCTAGTCAAGTACTTCTATTCACAACAGCTCGTCAACTATTCTGACCATCACTTGCTGAGGTTCAAAGCTCCATTTGATGGTGGGTGGATGGATCTTCGAGACCTTCTAGGCCCAATTCCTTGCCTCAGCTCAGGGCAGCAATTGGCACCTGCAAGGGCCTTAGCGGCTGAAGAATTTAGCGCAGTTCTAGCCTCAGTTGTTGGCTGGACGCACGATTGGAGTGGACAGCGCTGGACTCAATCAATGGGTCCAGTGACTCGGGCCCTGGAGCTTCATTGATCCGTCACCAAGGCAAGTGCATACAATCTGCTTGCCCCCGCCACTGGAAGCATGGCGGGGCATCCACCCGCTTCCAGACCCCACTGGCAACTTTTTTTCAGAGCTTATCGGCGCCCAAAGTGCGGCCATCGTCATTGTCGGATTTCGAGATAAAACTAGATCTAGCAGACACACCTCGTCCCCGATACACGATCGCTTTGCAGACACAAAGCACGACCGAAATACAATATACCAAGATGATGACACAACAAGTTCCTGCGGGTTTCAACCCCGAGGATGCCAGTAACCTTGAGGATGTAAGTTTTTGCTATCGCAAGACCTTGGAGGGGCAATCACACTGACTGCGCAACACGACAGATCGAGAAGCAGTTCGCCGTCAAGGGTATGTCTTGCTCGCACAAACAGATAGCTTGCTCTCTTTACTCGTACTGACGACGCAACAATTCCCACAGCCGTCCAGCACATGGAGACGTACTGGAAGATCCTCGAGAGGGTCAAGGGCTCCGAGCTGCGCCTCACCAAGCTCGACGACGAGATCTACGAGCACCTCAAGAAGGACTTCCCCGAGTTCGACCCGGCCGAGACGATCGACGAGGACAAGATGAAGAGCGCCGAGGGCAAGAAGCGGTGGCGCGACTTCATGATGACCTACGAGAAGACTGTCGACGACTACAACTTTGGCACCATGCTGAGGACGGGCCCCAAGTTTGAGTACGGCTACGACGAGACCATCTTCGGTATGTTGTCGCGGAAGATATGGTCCCCGAAGTGAAAGGATTGACTGACAAATTCATGCACAGTCCCGAGGATGCAGTTCTACGCTGTGGAGATCGCGAGGAACCGCAACGGCCTCAACGACTGGATCTACGAAAAGGCCCAGGCTGAGAAGGCGGCGAAGAAATAAGGAAATACCTCTATCCCTTCGGAAATTGCACACACAGTCGATGTGATTTTCCCCATTGCCCGAGCCCGTCGCATGCAGGTCGCGATAGCCCATGGCGCGAGGCGTTGCTACAGGACAGCAGGCCGTGGATGAGAAGCAGAATTGGCTGAACTACGGGTCAATGACCCACGCATGGGATCTCAGCATTTGATATGGACAAATGATGACAGGAATCCCATGTATAATGGTCCGGGAGGCCAAATGGAAGGATATGATATACCACCAAGAATAGATGCACGGAATGGAATGGATTGAAGCAAGTTCTCTCCTCGAAACACCCTTTTGAATTGGACAAGCAATGGTCTTCCATGAGTGCTGCCGCTCCAAAATTCACGTTTCCATTTTAGGGCTACCGCATTGGTGTGTTTGCGATTGTTGGTGGCCTGGAGAGGAACAATACTAAGGACAAACACAAAGAACAATAGCATCGCGACCTCGAGTCAATCACCCTGAAAGCGGCCAACAAACTCGACAGCCCACCACATTTTGCTTTCTCCGATTCCAAATATTGTGAATGTGCCGAATCATCACTGGTGTGTACATTAGCTTGATCATTATAGCTCTTCTCTGTTCCAGCAGAGCTCTGCGAATATCACCATGGATACAACTGCATCCACTTTACATTATCAGCAAACGAGTACAGCAGAATTCAAAAGTGATGGACAGGAAAAGACTGGCATGGATCGAATTCGACCCGAAGGCGGTTTCGACCAAGCCGTCCGCGCAGTTCAGAGCGGTAACAGAAAAAGCGAGAACGAATCGCCGTGGAGCAGTCTCTTCGTGTTCCTGGAAAAGCAGGAGCTCTGTCTCTTGGTTACAGCGATCGGCATCTCCGCTGTATCCGCCGGCGGCAAGACGATGTACGCAGTCATCATTGGTAAAATATTTGACATTGTTGCCGGCTTTGGTAGCCACTCGCTCGATGCGGCAACCACCCTGTCCCGAGTCTCGTACTGGTGCATGATCCTCACCATTCTGGGTCTCGCTAGGTGGTTGGTCAATGCCTTATTCATGTCTTCATGGATCATACTGGGTGAGTCGCGGGCGCGGGCATCTAGGAGAGCTGTCTTTTGGGCACTCCTCGACAAGGACATGTCGTGGTATGATACGTTGCCCGATGGCATCGCGAGTCTGACCTCTGGAGTTCAAGCGTAAGCTTCTGCTGGTAATAATGGGCACCCGGGGGGCTGTGGGCTGACTGGATACAGACAAATCCGAGAGCTGCAGCTCGCGACCTCGCAAATTCTCGGCCAGCTGGTCAACGACACCTTTCTGACCCTGGGAACCCTTGCCCTCGCCTTCTATTCTAGCTGGAAGCTATCTCTCGTCATGCTCGCCACAGTGCCCCCCTCTGTCATTGCCATATCCCTCATCACTCGTGGCTTGCAGCCCGCCATCCAGGCATATCGACAAGAACTTTCCAAGGCGTCAAGGCATGCCGCGACGTCCATCACGGCCATCGAGCTCGTCAAGGTGTACAACGGCGTAGACAACGAGGTGTGGCAGTATATAGAGGCAGTCAGGAAGGCGTCGCGGTTCGCGCTCCGGCAGGCGATGCGGAACTCGTTGCAAATCGGATACGTCAAGGCCTGGCTGATCAGCCTGTTTGTGGTCGGCTTCTGGTTTGCCATCTACCTGGCGAACAGGGGCGAGATCGCGCCCGGACAGGCCCTCACTGCGTTCTACGCCGTGCTCATCGCCTTTCAGGCACTGGAGAATCTGGGACCACAGTTCTCGACAGTTGCAAAAGGTGTTGGGGCTGGAAGGGCTTTAGCAATGCTTGTCGGCGACTCGAATATCGGCCGCGGTCGAGGGCAGCAGAAAGGTCATAGGCTTGCCGGACCCCCTGCGAGTGTCATATTGCATGAGGTGAGAATTCTGTGCAATCGACATGGCTGAGCACATCTAACAGAACCTTATGCAGGTGGCTTTCGCGTACCCATCTACTCCGGACAAGTTAGTCCTGAAACCCTCTACCCTATTCTTTCCCCACAAAGAGACTTCATTTATCGTCGGCAGGAGTGGCTCCGGCAAAAGTACCATCGCGAGCCTTCTCGTCAGGTTCTACGAGCCCACCCACGGTGCAATCCTCATCGACGGAATGCCCCTTTCCACCCTCGAGAATCTCTGGGTCCGCCAGAATATCCTCCTAGTGCAACAGACCAGCACACTATTCAAAGACACCTTCTTCCAGAACGTGGCTGTGGGTAGCTTGGACCCGGATGGTACCTTGCCAGAACAAGTACGCGAGGCTTTGGAGTTTGCACTCCTGCAGTCCACACTCATGGGGTTGCCTAATGGACTCGAGACACAAATAGGACCAGGTGGCGTTGCGCTGAGCGGCGGGCAGAGGCAGCGTCTGGCCCTCGCTCGAGCCAGGCTTCGCGACCCGCCGATTCTCATCCTGGACGAGATAACAAGCGGTCTCGATCCGACCAACGCGAGTATGCTGATGGATGCGATTCGGATCTGGCGCCGTGGTAAGACAACAATCGTCATCACCCATGACATCTCGCAGATCAGAGAGGATGAATACGTACATGTGATGGAACAAGGTGCACTCGTGCAGGGAGGTCACTTTGGGCAGCTTGTCGAGGAGGACGACGGTGCCATTCACGAGCTCTTGAGATCTGCTACGACATCGCCCCGACTCTCAAATTCTCCAAGTATCCATGCTACTCAGCACGGCACAACCCTCGAATACCAAGGAGATGAACACGTCGAGCACTCAGCTCTTTCCCGCTTCCTCATCCCACATACTGATCAATCTGGGAATCATCAAGGACTGTTCCGGCCCATGTCCATCATGGCACCAAGATTCTCAGCGGCGGGACCACTCGTATTTGAGGTCAGAGACATTCCAAAGCTACCACATACCCGACCTAGATCGAGCATGGACATACTTGAAGAAAGCGGATGGGCGGTCCACGGCCGGCGACCACAAGGCGGCTCAAGACGCCAGCGAGCCATCTCGATGAGCGTCATTGCGGGAGTCCAGCAAGCACCGCCTACAAAAGCTTCTGACGCCAAGTCCGGCTCACTCATACAGGTCCTGGCGTCGGTCTGGCCGATGCTCGACAGATTCCAGCGACTGAGCTTTATAATCGGCATCATCCTGTGCTTGGTTGTCGCCGGCCTAACGCCGGCCTTTTCATACGTCTTTGCAGAACTGCTCGCCTGCTTCTGGACGCTCGGGGACAAGGAGACTGCGGCGAGACCATGGGCCATCGACCTCGCCATCATCGCCCTCGCCGACGGAGCAACGTCGTTCCTCGCCTACCTCCTCATGGCGTGCGTCAGCCAGGCGTGGATCGCCGGTTTGCGCATAGAAGCGCACAAGCGCATACTGCGGCAGCCAAAAGCTTGGTTCGACGAGCCAGCGCACTCTTCGCATCGGATAGTCCAGTTTCTGGACTCGAGAGCGGACGAACTGGGCAAGCTGGTTGCCATCTTCCTCCCCATCGTCCTGATTGCGGCCGGCATGGCCATCGCGTCTATAGTCTGGGCGCTGTCAATCTCGTGGAAGCTCAGCCTCGTCGCGCTGGCGACTGGCCCGGTGGTTTATCTTGCGGCCAGGCTCGCCGCCTACGTCAGCAACAAGTGGGAATCCCGATGCATTGCGGCGGGCGAGTCCACGGGCTCGCTGTTTGCAGAGGTGTTTTCCAACATTCGTGTCGTGCGCGCTCTGACGCTAGAGGAGTACTTTGGCAAGCAGTTCAAAACATCGTGCATAGACACGTTTCGTGCTGGCGTGAAGAGAGCGATCCGGACTGGGCTGCCTTATGGGCTGAACCAGTCCATGTCTGACTGGCTCACGGCGCTCGTATTCTATTATGCTACCGTGCTCCTGACGAGCGGGGATATAAGCATCGGAGGGGTGCAAAAGGTGGTGAACCTGCTCTTGTTCAGCATCGGCAACGCCACGGTCATGCTGGGCGACATCCCCCAGATCGCCTCGGCCAAGAGCACGGCTGGCGAGATCCTCAATCTTGCTAGGCTGCCCCTCGGCGCTGGTCACGAGCATAGTGGGCGTCTGAGACCACAGACTCTATTTCCTATTCGCATGAACTCCTTGAAGTTCGCATATCCGTCAGGACCACAGTCGCGGGTGCTTCATGGAGTGGATCTTACCGTCGAGGCCGGAGAGACGGTCGCCATTGTCGGGCCATCCGGCTGCGGGAAGAGCACGCTTGCCGCCATAATCCTCCGGCTATATGAGCTACTTGGTGAGGAGGGAAGCAGTGATCGACATCCTTTCAACGCTCGGTTCCCGCCGCTCGCACCCCTGAGCTACGGTGGTTGTGACGCGCGAGATATCCATACGGCCTTTCTCAGAAGCGGAGTCGGGTATGTCTCTCAGCATCCCTTCATCTTTCCCGGTACTGTCCGCGAGAATATCCTCTACGGCATGCGTGATGATGCCCCTGAGCGCAGGATGGACTCGGAGGCCGTGGTGCATGCTTCTCGAGCTGCTGGTATTCACGAAACGATTGTATCCTTATCGGAAGGGTACGATACTCGAATAGGAGAAGGGGGTGTTGGATTGTCTGGAGGGGAGTCGCAAAGAGTGTCGATTGCAAGGGCACTGGTTCGAAACCCGAAGCTACTGGTCCTGGACGAACCCACTTCTGCGCTGGATGCAGTCGCGGCTGATGGTATTAGGGACTTGATCAGGCATCTTATCATGGGAGACTCGTCCGGAAACGGACAAAGAGGCATGTCTGTTGTTGTGGTGACGCATAGCCGGGAGATGATGCAGGCCGTTGACAGGGTAGTAATGCTTCAGAACGGTCAAGTGGTAGAGACAGGGAGCTACGATCAGCTCGTGAGACACGGGCACCATTTTGCTGAGTTCATCAGGAGAGACTAGATTTTCGCAACTAGCTTGGAAACGTCACAATTATACATGATACATTTCGGAAAATGTTGCCTCACGCAATGCATTGTAGTTGTTAACAACTTACACAGTACTTATCTACAATTTCCTGGAAGCTGTAGCAACTATGGTCAGCATTACATCCTTCATACATCCTTGCGATATCTTACCCATCCCAGATCGGTCCTCCCGGTATCGTATAGTTCTGGAATCTGTCAGCTTAGGTCCAACTTCTGTCACCAACTATAATGCGACTCACATATGTGTTTCTCATTGCATCCGTATAAATGTTGATCTTAATCGAGGGATCTGCTTCGTCGTCAGACGTACAGTCTCCAAGTACATTCCCGCACTTTACTCACCCTCAGGATCGTACGCCCCGGGAAACTTCTTCAAGTACGACGCGGGCGGCACTGCCGTCCCCGCGCCCGTGATATTGAGGTGCGCGCACTCGGGATAGAACTGCGGCTTGTCCTCGATATGGATGCTGAGGATCTCGTGCCGGATCATGTACAGGCCCGGCCGCAGCGCCGCGGGGATCGTCACGGGCCACAGGTCCGGCGACCCGTCCCAGTTCTGGAACGACTTCTGCCACCACATGCCCTCGGTCACGGTGCCCTCCTGCAGCCCGGCCTCCCAGACCTTGAACCAGCCGACCTCGTTGACGTCGGCGGCCGCGCAGCCGCCCTCGGCCTCGGCGGGGCAGGCCGCGAGCCACGCCGTCATGGGCCCCACGGGGTGCAGCCAGTACCAGTAGACGGCGGTGATGTTGTCGCCCGCGGCGACGGGGATGTAGGACGGCGGCGGGGTGCCCGGGTCGTTGCAGGCGAGGAAGGGCGAGGTGGCGGAGAAGATGGGGTCGATGGACGCCCACTTGCGCTGGATCATCCAGGGCTTGCCGTCCTGGTCCTCGGCGGGCTGGTCGGGGTCGTAGCTGTCAGGTCGAGGCGATTAGTAGAGTGTCCTTATGAAGGCTTACACAGTCTCTGTCTAGAGCAGCACGCACTCACCCGCGATACCACGTCTCCCCCACGGTGTAGTTTGCAAGGCCGCCGTGGGCATACACCCATTGGGATGCCAAGGCCGTTGCCAAGGCCAGGCTCGCGAGTATGCCCATCCTACGGGGTATCACAAGGATAAAGGAAATAACTTTGATTCTGGAGTGGGCTGCAAGCTCGTTTGACTGATAACTGGCTGACTGGTGTGCGTACTCGAGCCTACATTTTTCTCGGTACGAAGGGCTCGATGACAAGTCTGGTGAATCCGGAACTTGGTGTCCTAGATACTAGCTGTGGCTTTCAGAATACGCAAATATGAGCTGCCGCCTTCGTTAGGTCTAGTCAAAAGCCCCAATACACCATTTTTACGGCAGTGGAGGAAGGGTTGCATTCTCTCCGCGTTTTCATATATATCCATGCCTGTCTCCGGCACATTGGCAGGTGCCCTATATATGGCGGCTATATCAGAATAGACAATCCAAGCACAGCACCGCACCTGTGAGGGTTCATTCGAGCTGCTCATCCGGAGAGTTCTTTGCAGTTCAACAAGTCACATCTTGATCTCGATCCCGGAGTCATTTTGCAACGGCCCCAGACCAGTCAGAATGGAGATCGCAAGAACACCGACTTTACATGACTTGTGGTTTTTGACACAGACAAAGGTCTCATCCCAGCATAACCAACCAATTCAATTCACCCCACACAACTCTGGATTGACTCCAATCGGGGCTTCAGGCACCGTGCCTGGATCCGCACTCTGCCACGATTCCTCTCATGCATGGTTTTGGGGCAATCATCCTGTTAGTGGTTCCCTATTTAAATATCCATATTAACAACTTGCCCATTTTCCATGTGCCTTTCGACATCCTTGCACACTGAGATCCCTTTGTCATTCTCCAGACCCCCATATACCACACAACAGGCCCATTTTGTCAATAATGCCAAGCCTCTCGGCGGAAAGGGATAGAGAAAGCCCCGACACCTACCTCTGAAGCAGCATACATAGAGTATATGAAACTTTTATAGAATAACTGTTTAACCACCGTAAGGAGAACCTCATTGGTGGCAAATTGAGATGCCTTGAATACCACCATTCAGCAGCGTACGGACATGCGTGAAACCTGGTTCCTACTCGCCGTCTCCATACCTGTCATATTCATCCGGCCGAGATATACCCAGAAGCCAGTACAATATCCATCCATCGACACTCTCCCCACCGCCACTCAAGAAAAGCCAAGTCCCTGGCCGACATTACTGCGGCCAAGGCGTATATATATGCCAAGTATGCTGGCCAAGAACCCCAAGACCTTGGCTTACCACGAACTCTCCCTGACTATCACTCTTCCTGCGCCGCGGCTAACCCTCAATTTCGTATCTCTTCAGCCCTACCAATAGCAGCTCAGATCCAGCAATATGGTTCACTTGGCGTCCGCTATCCTGCTGGCCGGCTCGGCTCTGGCCCTGCCCGCGTCCGAGATCTTCGCCAGCCAGGAGGCGACGTGCACCGTGCCGTCCACCTTCCCCACGGTCAACAATGCCAAGCTCCCGGACCCGTTCACCATGGCCGATGGCACCAAGGTGGCCACCAAGGCGCAGTGGGCCTGCCGCCAGCAGGAGATCTCCAAGATGATGCAGCAGTACGAACTCGGCGAGTATCCCGGCCCTCCGGAGTCGGTAAAGGGCACCCTCAGCGGCAACCGCCTCACCGTGGCCGTGACCCAGGGCGGCAAGAGCATCTCGTTTAGCGCGGCGATCAAGAAGCCGAGCGGCGACGGGCCCTTCCCGGCCATCATCACGATCGGCGGTTCGGCGCTGCCCATCCCAAACAACGTGGCCACCATCAACTTTGGCAACGACCAGTTCGCCTCGCAGGCCTCGGGCAACTCGCGCGGCCAAGGCCAGTTCTACACCCTCTTCGGCGCCGGCCACAGCGCCGGCGCTCTGACCGCCTGGGCCTGGGGCGTGGGCCGCCTCATTGACGCCCTCGAGCAGGTCAACTCCACCTCGGGCATCGACACGACCCGCCTCGGCGTCACGGGCTGCTCCCGCAACGGCAAGGGCGCCTTCATCGTCGGGGCGCTCAACGAGCGCATCGCGCTGACCCTGCCGCAGGAGTCGGGCTCCGGCGGCGCGGCCTGCTGGCGCATCTCGGACGACGTGCACAACGCCGGCGGCAACATCCAGACGGCGGGCGAGATCGTCGGCGAGAACGTCTGGTTCTCCAAGAACCTCAACAGCTACAGCACCAAGACGTCGACCATGCCCGAGGACCACCACATGCTGGCCGCGCTGACGGCGCCGCGTGGCCTCTTTGTGATTGAGAACGACATCGACTGGCTCGGGCCCGTCTCGACGACGGGCTGCATGAAGGCCGGCCGCATGATCTACAAGGCCGTCGGCGCGCCCACCAACATGGGCTTCTCGCTCGTCGGCGGCCACTCGCACTGCATGTTCCCCGCCGCGCAGAAGGCCGACCTGACGACCTACATCAACTACTTTTTGCTCAAGACCGGCTCCGCGCCCGGCGAGGTCGAGAAGAGCTCGGCCAAGGTCGACATGAGCGCCTGGGCTCCCTGGGCTGTGCCCACCATCAGCTAAGTGTTGGGTGAGGACAGAAATTGGTACTGTTTGATATCTGAGCGGCAGGTCGATCTCAAGTGTTCTTGCGGTGTTTTCTGAAACATGCTAGTACCTGAGTTAAGGGTAATTCACATTAGTTGCTCTTGTAGATCGTGCCCTTATTTGGGCTTCGAGAAGCATTCTTCGCATTCGAAAACCGTGTATGATATCCTGTCTCCTTTACTTTTTCGACTAGGTATGGGGAACTGTGCTTAGTGGGCGTGCATCTCAGCGTGAACAGTCTTACAGAAATTTGAGCCAGCCTACTTGAAGGGGGCCACTGGGAAATACAGGAGACTTGTGACTTTTTTATCTGCCTGTTACGTGACCCTACCGAAGCAAGGAAGCCAAAAAGGACAATACCGAACGCATAGAAAAGAGTACAAGGCCAATCAATTGGTCCTCAGTCTCAATGAAAAGATTCATGTAACAGAATTATCTTGTTTCAAGTCATCGCCTTTGGGTCTTAACCTTCAAATCTTTCTGGGCCTTAGAATCATTCAAGGTGTTGCTTACAGGGCCCCATAATATCCAGATCACCACTACAACGTCCATCTGGTAGCATGCCCGGGATGACAAAGGGGGAATATTCTTCTGCGACGGTCTGCGACTCTTCACTTCTTCGTCTGAGATACCCCGAAGCTTGTCAGGTGTGGCCAATCTGCTTATTCATTAGCACCGAAGTATCACATTTGACCAGGAAACATACCAAATGTGGTTCGCTCCTTGTTGATATACGTCACCTGGGCCTTTTGCCCTAGAAAGAGTTTCTTTCCCGAGGATTCACCAAAGCAGTAACCGTAGCGCCCGAACACAGGGCTGTACTTTGCACCTTTGTCAACTCTTCGATCCTTGTTCAGCTTCTTCCACACCATGCCCCGGTCGTCAGTCGCGGTCTTGCCCGTGTTGTAATCCACGGTGATGCTTTGGCAGCGGTAGCAGTTTGCGGTCAGGGGCATCTGGATGCCACCATCGAAAGTCAACTCGCCCCAGTAGTCCTCCACAAATGGGCCAGATGCCCCTTTGACGACGATGTTGGGCCGGAATTTCCTCACGTCCATCTCGTAACCAGCTTCTAGGCGCGATGTGACCTGGTTGTTCGATTCCTCTGTCACGACGAGATAATGGGCAATGTCGTTGAAAACTAAGCGCTCAGGGGTGTATGCCAAGCCTGGTACGAGCCCTCTCAAACGAGAGACCAGCCGGCCTTTCAAGAGTCCAGCCCTGCTGTTTGGCGCAAATGAGCCAAGGACCGGCCGCGAGCCGTCTCCTATGTAGACAAGCCGAATCTCCATACCTAGGCGATCGGAGAACCATGTTGCGTACTCGTCTCCCATGTCATATGCGGGTGCCTCGCTCGTATGCAAGACGGTGTCAATCTTTTCCCGTCCTTCGATCGAAGGCCGTAGAGGAAACCGAATCTGGTCCTCAGTATGGACATTTCTGGCAGTGTCAAAGTCGGTGCCCCTGCCGTGCCATGATACGATGACCTCGGCGCCGGGTGCGTTCTCGAACTCCTCATTGAACTCGACCGAGGCTCGAAACAGCGCCATTTGCAGGTAATACCCAGCAAGCACGGTCTCGTACCTCGTGATCTCTTTGTTCTCGTTCCGGTGAACCCTCTGCAGAGAGAATGTGCGATCTCCCACCATTCCGTACTTGCCGACATGAGCCGTCTTCAACGCCGTGCCGCGGAGCGACTTTACTGGATAGACATAGAGCTGGGAATTGGACTTAGCGATACATCAATAGGTAAGTGAACAGCAGAGCCTTACCTGTGACACCTCCAGCATATCGCCACTGTGCGGTCGTGAAGTCACCCAAGCCAGCACTCCAAGGGCCGTCAATAGCACGGCGGCGGCCATCGCCACATCACTAACTACGCCAAAGAGCATCATCAGGAATGCCAAATTTCAATAGTATTGTTTAAGGTACAACAACGGAATGACTAGAACTCGACTTAAAAGCCGTTCATGATAGAGAGCAACTTTATCAACCAACCTGCACAAGCTAAAGATTGCGGAGAAGTGGTCGCGGCTGGACAACCGCACAGCGGACTGGCTGACGTACTCGAGACGATCTCCTCCTAGCTTCAGGATCCTTACCGCATCCGGTAGTCGGGATGACCAAAGTCCCAGAGCCGACCAAGAGGGCCACAGCCGGGCCATAATCTTGGTGTTATCAGCGCTAAGTAGTGCCATACAGAGATAGTGTTAGTCAGTATCTCTTGTACATGCATCCCGGGTGATACAGGTGACGAGTGCCGAGTCCACACCACACCACCGACCGCAAGTGGTTGCACCGCCAGACTGGGCGCTTCACTCAAACATCTCTCTTCCCCGCATACGCAAAGCAATCCTGGGGCCTCCTCCGCTCGATCCCCGGTCTCTTGGCTGGTGCCGTCCCCGCTCTTATCTCTGAGATTCAGCTTTTCACCCTGCGAGACATTGCTCTCGTTTCAAGGAAAAAACCCTCAGCGCAATCACCTGTACAATGGAAGACCTCTCAGTGACTCCCCGGTCCATTGAACCCCAGACCTCCCCTCCTCCTCCTCCACTCACACAAACATCACCGTCTTCCTCCTCCTCATCCTCCATGGGCGTCAAACGCATCCGCGTCGTCGAGGGCTCGTGCTGGTCCTGTAGGAAGCGCCGGATCAAGTGCGACCTCGCCAAGCCGCGGTGCGAGCGTTGCTGCCGCGTCGGCGCGACGTGCGAGTACGCCGCCAGGCCCATCCGGTGGTGCACCAAGCCGACCGCCGCCGCCCCGGCCCGGTTCCAGGTCGTCCCCTCGGCCGTCGACCAGCTGGCCGCCCCGCTCGGCGCCCGCGAGAAGCGCGCCCTGACCTACTTCGCCGGGCGGTTCTGGCCGCTGCTGACCACGACGCCCGACCCCTGCGCCCTGCCCATGGTGCTCGTCCTCGAGCACCGCGTCCTGCTGCTGACGGCCTGCCTCGTCGCCGACACGCACCGCGTCCTGCAGGACGGCCGCAACAGCCGCAAGGGGCCCCAGCTCAAGCGGCTCGAGTGCCTCTCCGCCGTGCGGAGCCAGCTCAACGAGGACTGCTCCAGCTCCGGCGACGAGGTGCCCTGGACGGGGCTGCTGCTCGCCGTCCTGCTGCTCTACTTCCACGACGGCTACCTCGAGTGCGCCGAGAAGTCGGCGTCCACCGCGAGCCACCATGCGGGCGCCAACGCCATCATCGAGCGGCTTGGAGGCGTGGAGGTCGTCCTGGACACCGGGCCCGAGGCGCTGCACCTGCTCGTCTCTGAGTTTGCCTCGACCGACCTCACCACGGCGATGCTCAACGGCGGGCGGCCGAGTTTCTCGCCGCAGATGTGGGACAAAATTGACCGACGATCCGTGTGGTGGAGTCGCGACCCCAACGCACGATTTCTCTCGCTGGCCACAGTCCTGGGATGCATCTCGAGCATGGTGCATTACCTCGACGACGTGAACAGCGGGCTGGTCACGCATTCAGACGAGAGGGTCCGCGAGTTCGAGATGGCCCTCACACCCACGTACGCCGGCTTCTCGACGTTGTCCTGCGGAGTTTACACAGGTCCCGAGGACGAGGACCTGGAAGCTGTGCATGCGTACGCGCTCACCCGGTCGTTCCAGCATGCGGGCCTCATCTACCTCTACCGAGCCATCTGCGGCCTCCCCATGGACCACTGGCTTGTGCAGCAGCATGTGTTGCCCTGCTTGGACTGCATCCTCAACGTGAAGAGACCCTCCAAGGTCGTCAACTGTGCTTTGTTTCCGCTTCTTGTCGCCGGTACGCACGTGCAGTCGGCGCGGCATCAGCGGGAGATTGTCAATGTTCTGAATCTACTTCACGATCGGATGAAGTTTGCGTCTGTACAGTCGGTCAGCGCTGTATTGAACGACATTTGGAACTCAGACCCGGGGAATATGGCGTGGTTCGAAATGTTTACGGGATTGGGGACTGATGCTGCTGTATTATAAGCTGTTCTCTTGGTGCTTATTGTGGGATCTCGCTTTAATAAGCATATTTTGGTCTTTCTGAGGAAAGTAGCCGGCGTTTGGACAGCTACTGTCCCATTTGTACACAATATGACAACAGGAACATTTTGGATCATGACTTTATTCAGTGCTTTCATGTCGCAACTTGGAACGACAACCCAATGCTTGGTTTTGACCCTAATCTAACACCCTACAGCATCGTGCCCATGTTGACATGGATGGCTTTCGTCTGTGTATAAGCAGCCAGGCCAGCCTCACCCAGCTCCCTGCCGACACCGCTTGCTTTGACACCTCCAAACGGAACCCGGATATCGGAATCGTTCGAGCTATTGATCCACACCATCCCGGACTCGAGCCGCGCAGCCACGCGATGACACCGCTCGATATCCCGCGAGAAGAGGGCAGCTCCGAGACCATAGCACGTGCCGTTGGCCAGCTTGATGGCCTCCTCCTCCGTCTTGAAGGGCGTGATGGTGACAAACGGCCCAAAGACCTCCTCCTGGAAGATCCGCATGCCCTGCCCGACATCGGTGAACACGGTGGGCTCGATGTAGAAGCCCTTGCCGCCGGCGACGTTCTTGTGCGGCACGCCGCCGGCCACGAGCTTGGCGCCGTCCGACTTGCCGGCCTCGATGTAGCCGAGGATCTTGTCGTACTGGGCCTTTGTGATCTGCGGGCCCTGGAACGTGTCCTCGGCGAAGGGCTCGCCGACCTTGTTGTCGGCGCAGACCTGCTTGAACCGTGCGACGTAGTCGTCGTAGACGTCCTCGTGCACGAGGATGCGCGACGTTGACGTGCACACCTGGCCCTGGTTGTACATGATGCCCACGTGGCCCCACTTGGCCGCCTGGTCCAGGTCGGCGTCCCCGAAGACGACGAGGGGCGACTTGCCGCCCGTCTCGAGGGTGAGGTTCTTGAGGTTGACGCTCGCCGCCTTCATGACCTGGCGGGCGGTGGCCGTGGAGCCCGTGAAGGCGATCTTGTCGACGTCCGGGTGGGAGCAGAGCGCGCTGCCGGCGTCCCTGCCGAAGCCGTTGACGATGTTGATGACGCCCGGCGGGATGCCGGCCTTTCCGACGAGCGTGGCGAAGTAGAGGATGGACAGGGGCGTCTGCTCGGCCGGCTTGAGCACGACCGTGTTGCCGCAGGCGAGCGCGGGGCCGATCTTCCACATGGCCATCATGATGGGGAAGTTCCAGGGGATGATCTGGCCGCAGACGCCGATGGGCTGCTTGATGGTGTAGGCGAACTTGGCGGGCGTCGTGGGGATGGTCTGGCCGTGGATCTTGTCGGCCCAGCCGGCGTAGTAGCGCAGCACGGCGACGCACTCGCTGAGGTCGTCGTTGAGCGCGACGCTGTAGGCCTTGCCGTTGTCCCACGTCTCGAGGGTCGCGAGGACCTCCTTGTGCTCCTCGACGAGGTCGGCGAGCTTGAAGAGCAGCGCGCCGCGCTCCGTGTTGGAGATGCCGGCCCATTCGGGCGAGCTCAGTGCGGCGCGGGCGGCCTTGACGGCGCGGTCGACGTCTTCAGCTGAGGCGGCCTCCACCGATGTGATGACCGACTCGTCGCTAGGGTTGATGCTGGTGATCTGGACGCCCGACGTCGCCTTGACGAACTCATTGTTGATGAAGAGGCCCGTCGGGAGGGCGATCTTGGTGCCGTTCGGCGCCGTGAGGTCGACAATGTCAGCCATGGCAGCAAAGGTGAGCGTCGCTAATTGGTTGTAAGTGGATTTGAAGCCTCAACAAAGACAGGTGCGCTCAAACTACATTCACAACACACGCTCGTGGTTGTAAAGAAGTCTATTTGGCCATATCAGCCGCGTAGATATAGCGCGGAGACAAGCATTATCTCGGAGATCGAATTGGTTTGTGAATATGACGAAGAGCCGGCCGCCCGTCCGCGCACCGAACGAGGCACGTATCGAGTCCTTCTTGGCCCGGAAACTTTCCCAAAGCGGAAAAAAATGTCGACCACTTTGCGGGGGATGGCCAGGTTGTCCGAGCTGTCCCACCACCACTTAGCTTGGCCGCTCCGCCCGCGTTATCTCGGGAATCGTCAACGGCTAGTGGTCCACCGGTCGATCCCCAAGATGATAAGCATGCATTTTACCCGCTTGGTCCTACCCCAAGGTCTCGGGAGGCAACTATTCGGGCATGCGGTTTGTTCGACATGCATGCGTGACCTTCAAGTCTGCAGCTATGATTGGCGAGAACTCATTTATTGCGTTGTCAAGGTTATATGATGACACAATGTTTCATAGAAAATTATCTAAAGAAAGCCTGGCCAGGGTGACCAGGATCCCCACTCCAATGATCGGTGCTAGCCAAAGGTACAGGTTGGACAACGCTGTGTCAGCCCTGGGTTTTGTGGCCACCTGCGAAGGTTAGCAAAGCCTATCTCTTCACAAGGTTGGGCACCGCTTACTGTAGTTCTCTGAGGCTGCAGCTCGCCCACCAGCAGAGATTTGAGCTGGCCCATGGCCTCTTCGCTGTGTCCCACCTCGCGAAATGCTTCTGTCGCGTCCGTCCCTAGCACCTCGGCCAAGATATCGTCGCCACCCCTGCACACTGTTAGCATACCTCGTGTATCGGAAGAAATCCTGGGAGACTCACGGGTGTTTGGACAGGTAGTTCGTGATTTCGTACACCTTCCTGTCGATGACGATGTACCCGGAAGTTTCGGTAGACCTCTTGGCCACGTCGTCGAGGGTGAATACATCCATGTCGAACGCGCAAAGGCAAGCTGAGTCTGTGCGAGAGCTGTAATGACAATGACTGGGCTGGACGGATATCTTAGGTGTAATCTATCAGAGATGAAAGCGTAGAACGATATCATTAAATCTCTAAAGCTCAAGATAGCATCCAAACAGCACACCTGAAACCCTGGCCACAGCAGGCACAGGAAATGCCCAATCAGGAAGTCAAAAAGCCCAAACGTAACTTCACGTTAAGGTTGGCACATCCGGTTCATGGCCACTGGCCCGTCTCAAACGAGTAAACGCCGCTCCGAGGGCGGGAACGGTGTAATAGGGCTTGTTGAGGACAGCCTGCATGATCGAGCTGAATCACAGCTGCACACGCCTAGTAGCACGCCAAACAATTTTTGCTAGCATGCTTCGGTTTTTCTGGATACCCATACAATTATTGATGAGCTCGTATTGTTCTATCCGAGAAATTCTCAGCCCCCTAGCTTATCACAGCCACCATCTATACTTTGTCGAAGGCTAACATGTTTGTGAGTAACATCTCCAATGCCCCTCCCGCCTCCTTGTAATCGCAATTCTACTCCGGGATAAGTGCCTCCACCTCGATCTCAACCTGCATGCCCTCAATTCCGAGCTTGCCGATCTGGATGCACGTCCAGATAGGGCGGTGGTTTGGGAACAACTTCTTGAAAGCCGCAGTCATGACGTTGAAGCTGGCGTCCATATCGAGATGATACGATCGGATGGCGACGATGTGGTCAAACTCGAGGCGCGAGTCGACTGCTTTGAGGGCCTTGAGCACGTTGCTAAAGGCGGTCTCGATCTGTTTCTCAAGGTCGCTGGTGATGTTGAACTGCTCGTCCCAGCCGCCCTGACCTGACGTCCGGACAACGCTGCCCAGCTTCACGGCCTGGGAGTAGTGGTACTCGTCGGCGATGGTCTCGGTGCCTGGGTAGTTGAAGAACTGAGGGGGCGCCATGATGGATGTAGTAAGCAGACTTCAGCACTAAGTTATGGTCTAATGGTCACAGTGAAAAGTAGTAAGGTGAAAGGGAAGTACAACAAGGAAGAGCAATGGAAAGCTCCATGTCTACTATAAATCCTGGGGGAAAGTTATGGGTGGGACCCCGACCCGTAGCTTTCGGCCATCCTATCTCCTGACGGGAGTATGGACCAGTCCGGACCCCGCATGGGCTTGGCTTTCTCCTTTCTCTGGACCACACAGCTTGGCGCTGCTGGATGGTCATTCTCATGCCACATTGGGAAAGCTTTTTGTCCAAGCAGGGCTGATGACAAAGATCTGCGAGTGCTGCTGCATTGTGGGGATACCAAGGCTAGAGACACGCCACATGCAGCCCAATACTCCTGGTGACAATCTTCGTCCTAGCTATGCCCCATCTCAAGGCTGACGAAGACTTCAAGAGAAAGCGTTACCTTTTGATAAGATATTACCTAGTTTTTCATGTTTTGAGGATGATTCCCGCAAGACTTCCTCGCTCTGGCATGACTGCTGCTACTGTTGAATCTTCCTTCCATACCCGAGACTCCTTGTGCTGTCATATCTCAGTCCAAGCAAATTAACATGTCACAGAAGCTTTGCGGGATGGCAGGCGGTAAAGCTTCGGTCTCTTATTTGACTGTATCCACCTTTGTGATCCTTGGAATTCTGCTCATCGCTAGACCATATGCGGCTGTCGCCATCGCTGCGTTCGTCGTCGGCCTTGGAGCTGTATATCTTAGGCAACTGAGTGGGTAGCCTTCCCCGACTTAATTTGTCATTCCGCCAACATTTTCAGCAGGTAAAAAGACCAAATCAGCCCTCACGGCCGATGTTTTTCAAGAATTTGAGCTTGCGAAGAAAACCATTGTCAGTCACAATGTCACCATGTGCGTCCGAAGATCCTGGCCGTTATCGACCCTCTGGCTAAAGTTCGTCTAGCTACCGGTTCAACTTGCCTACTCCTGAGTCCGTCCTCGGGCTCCCGATCGGCCAGCATGTCTCCCTCTGTGCATCGATTAGGCAACCAGATGGCACCTTCAAGGAGATATCCCGGTCTTACACTCCCATTTCTGGGGACGACCAGCCCGGCTCGTTCGACCTGCTCATCAAGACGTACCCTCAGGGAAATATGACGCAGCATTTGGCCTCCATGACCGTAGGTCAGTCGATTCGTGCCCGCGGCCCCAAGGGAAACTTCACGTATACGTCAAACATGGTCCGCCGACTCGGCATGATCGCCGGAGGCACGGGAATAACTCCTATGTTACAGATCATAGACGCCATCATGCGTGGACGAGAAAGCGGCGATCAAACAGAGATCGATCTCATCTACGCCAACGTCACAGTTGAGGACATCCTCCAGAGCGTGATTCTCGACAAGCATGCGGAAGACCCGGGTATCCGCGTCCATTACGTGCTTGATAGACCGCCAGAGGGTTGGGACGGGGGCATTGGATATGTCACTGCCGATATGATCACTGTATGTCTTCAGAAAATATTCGTTGATTTCGTGGCTGACCATAGCAGCGATGGCTCCCTGGACCTGCACCGGACATCAAGATTCTTCTCTGCGGGCCTCCCCCCATGGTAGCCGCTTTGAAAAGGACAACAGAGAAACTGGGATATGAAAAGTCCCGCCCTATCAGCAAGTTGGAAGATCAGGTGTTCGCCTTTTAGAATAGATAACTGTCGGTATTGGAAGAAATTGTTGGGACTCCGGGGACAAGCATCTAAGCATCATATCCAAGCCTCCGTCGTAGAATTATGATTCAAGAAGCCCTCGAACAATGCATTGTGTTCAATAGAACCAAGCCATTTTTCCTTCGTATGAAAAAGTCCCACTTCAGCTCTGATCCTTGGTTCATTGCACGTTCAGAACCGAAAGCTTACCGCAACTTGAGAGGACGGCTCTATGCACAAAAAGCCACAGTCAAAGCTTTAATCGTCTCCTTGGTATCATAGCAGGGCTAGTTAGGATAGAACTGCCAGGATTCTTCTGATCCTTGCGATCTCGACAACTTAGCACCCAGAGCCTTGCTATTTGTGTCTACAAGCCAGCTAGTGAACGCTAAAATGTCCTCCACACACCTGTTGTCAGAGCCCAATCAGACCAGCACCTTGAACTCTTAGTCGATCAACTAGCGCTCATCACTTCCAAGGTTGCCTGCAGCGTTTCAGCTGGTTGGTGGTGCTAGGGCCATGTTATCACGGAGTCGGTCCATTTTGGCTCACACCAGGAATAGGCCCAACGTGTTGCCTAGAATGGTATAGCCTCAGCTCAGCCAGCACTCGGCTAGGGGTCTCGATCCCAGAACTCCAGAAGTCCTACTCTGGGGACTGGCAATGCCAAAGAAGTTGGGGGCTTTTGGTTGTTCTGTTGCGAGCCATGATACCCTTGGGTTGTGAGCATATTTAAAACTGCAAGCAGTCCACTGTTTGTCGACAAAGTTCAACTCAATTCAAGGTTTCACTTCACCACTGCTGGCTCCTAACTACTCCTCGGGCCTCTAAACATCAGAAAATGTCTTCGGCTGTCCCCATTCCGGGCACTGTCCACCTTGTCGACCTCGAGGGAGTGTTCCATGCCAAGCATGAACGCAGTCACAAGGACATCGTCCTCATCCCCCAGCCCAGCGACCACCCGGATGATCCCCTTGCTTGGACGCCCCGAAGAAAGATGTTCAACATCTTTTGGGCGATGACCTGGTGCTTCCTCGCTGCCGCAATGATCTCGGGTCTCTCTCCCGCGTACCTCTTGATCAGCAAGGACACGGGCATCTCTGTCGCAGACCTGAGCACCGGCAACGGCCTTATGTATCTGTTCCTGGGATGGGGCACGCTTATCACTCAGAACATGGCACTCCATCTGGGCCGCCGGCTCACCCTGGTGGTCTCCATCCTCGTTACCACCTTTGTTACCCTGTGGTCGGCCTACGTGCAGTCGCGAGCCGAGTTCTACGCCAACCGTGTCCTGCTCGGCATCGTTTCGTCTCCAATGGAGACCCTCATCGAAGTGATTATCGGCGACGTCTTCTTCACCCACGAGCGCGGCCTCTACATGGGGGTATACTCCTGGACTCTCTGGTGCGCAGCCTTCCTGTGCCCCGTCGCGTCGGGTTTCGTAGCCGAGGCGCACGGCTGGCGTTGGATCCAGTACATTCTTTCGATCATCGGCGCCGTTCTCACGGTCTTGACGTTCTTCTTCTTCGAGGAGACCATGTTTCATCGAGCGACGCAGCCTTCCGAGATTGTCGGAGTCAGCGACCCTGCTGCTATCGAAGCCGAGGCACAGGGTCAGTCAGAGAAGGCCCAACCGAGTGACGGTGCCTCGGCCGAGCGCTCCAACTCCATACCACCACCGCGTCAAGAAACCCAGCCTGCCACGGGCAAGACATTTACACAGAAGGTGGCTCTGTGGGTGCCAAAGCCACAGCGACCGCCACTACGTATTGCCTACCTCTTCCTGCCGTTCCTCCTTCTCCTGCGCTTCCCTGTCATCGTCTTCAGTGGCTTCCTTGTCGGAGGCATTCTCTCCTGGTACAACGTGGTTGGAGGTTCTCTCGCGCTCATCCTCGGCAATGACCCTTACAACTTCAGCACAAACACCATCGGCCTCTTCTACCTGGCCGCTGCGATCGGCGTCTCCATCGGCTGCTTCCTCTGCAGCGCCTTGACCGACAAGCTGGCCGTCTGGTCCGCGAGGAGGAACAAGGGCATCATGGAGCCTGAGCACCGGCTGTGGCTCTGCGTCGTGTGTCTCGTGTGCCACCCGGCCGGCTTCCTCCTCTACGGGATCGGTGCCGCGCACCACATCCACTGGTCTGGTATCGCGGTCGGCCTTCTCCTGATCTCGGTCACTCTCCCCATTGGATCTGCTCTGGCGTTCAATTACATCCTGGACAGCTATAAGGAAGTAGCTGGAGAAGGCCTCGTCTCGTCCATTCTGATTCGCAACATGATGGGTGAGTATGGAGAAAAAGGCCCAATGTATGATGCAATGAGATCTAACAAAGTCGCAGGGTTCGCATTCTCCTACGCGGTCGTGCCCATGATTACTGATCTGGGTCTCCAAAACACATTTATACTGCTTGCGTGTCTTGGTTTCGCCCTGTGGTGCGTGTGCATCGTCATGATCGTCTTTGGCAAGCCCGTCAGGCAAGCATCGGCTATGACCTACTGGAACCTACTCGAAAAGCGAGGCGCAGTAGCTCACTGATCACCAGAAGTGGAAAGGCTGGGGATGGTGAGAAGGCTCGTATGCCAACGTGACGAACGGAAGGATACAGAGTGAAAGACCTGATAATTAGACGCGCCAGATCTGAGGGATGTATGCGTAGGTAACATTTGACATTGAATCAACACGGCCAAGCCCTTCCCTGTCTCAATTGACTGCCAATCCGGAATTAATAGTAATAGTGGTGTAAATCTGCCTCTCTCATATTCAAAGGGATGAAGCAAGCTGTTCCAGTGGTCTTCACACCAGCCAGCCGCCCGCCAGCTGGCCATGTGCCGCTCGCGCCGCTCGTTTTTGAACCGTGCTTAAATCACGACAAATGAACAGACACAACATCACATCAATGTAAATGACAGAAATCGACAGAAGCGCAGCCATGACGAAGCCAACAGCTGCGGCCATATCCAACCTGGCTTGGGCACTAATACCAAAACTTCAGGACGGTAGCGGCCCCACGAAATCAGTCTTCTTCTCCCCGCTCTCCATTGTCGTGGCGCTCGGCATGCTCACTGGAGCTGCTGATGCAGAGACAAAACGAATTCTGCTTAGCAAGCTCGGCGTGGAAAATGACAAAGATCTCCAAGACATCAGCGGCCTGGCCACTACCGAGGGCTCGTCTAGCTCATCCAGCCTGTCCGTCGCCAACGCCATCTTCGCAGATCAGACCATCACCCTCTTTGACGCGTACAAGGCCTTTCTCGCGGGTTTCCATGCCGACTTTGTCCAGTATCCCAACCTGGCGGAGGAGGTCGAGAAGATCAACTCCTGGATATCAGATCACACGCATGGCTTGATACAGAACATGCTTAGCCAGGCGGCGCTGAGACAATCTCACGTGGTCATCGTGAACGCCTTGGCCTTCAAGGGATCGTGGGAGACTGAATTCGACGAGAAGTACACACGCTCGGTGCCTTTCCACCTCAACGACAAAGAGCAGAGGTTTGTCCGCATGATGTATCTGCAACAGAGGATGATATGGTGCCGATCAACCTCGAGCTATGACGCGGTGCGGCTCCCTTACGGAACACCTGGGGCGTCTAGCAACCAGACCTCCATGGTGGCGTATCTCCCCAAGATCGGATCCTCGATTGGTCAAGTCATCCAGGTCATACAAAAGGAGGGAGTGAAGCCTCTAGACGAGGTGTTTTCGAAAACGAAATATCATCAGTTTGGTTTCCCACGATTCGAAATCACGGGCGAGTACTCCCTCAAAGCCTCGTTGAGGGAGCTCGGCTTCCCTGTGGACAAGAACTTTCCGAACATGGGTACTGGCGACTCTCTTGTCCAAGAAGTGGTTCACAAGGCCTTTATTCAAGTCGACGAGAAGGGAACAACGGCTGCAGCCGCTACAGCTGTGTTGATGACGAGGAGCCGCCCCGTCGATCCACGGATCTTGGTCTTTGATAGGCCTTTTATCTTTTCAATCATGTTGAATGATTCAGGGGCGAGTGTGTTCTCTGGTCTTTATTACGGCGACTGAATTGAGTCGATAACTTAGCCTAGGGATATTTGCACCTCGAACAATGGCATTGGAACTTATTACTTAAGCAGACTTGACGGAATGGGCTATGCGCAGATGAAATTGCAAAGAACTTGTCTTGGAGACGAGACAGGCTTTTGGTACAAACTTACATGATACGATATAGGGATGCACATACACTTTTTACTTCATCGGACAGATTCCCATGGCAAGGGAGCCGAGCCCTTGATAAGGGTCTCGATCCCACTGTTGATCCCACCTCTGATCCCTACCTTGGTTGTGCCTGCATTGGGTTATCTATTGACAAGCATGTTGATTGCTTGCACCACTGTAGGGATCCATGGGACCCGTAGTGAGGTGGACTGTGAGCGATTCAGACTTGCAGATGTTCCCGAGGAGATGGCCTTGATCTTGCTGAGATCTGTTGTATTTCTCATCTCAAGCTGCATCTTTCCTCCAGTGTTATCTCCTAGATGACTACACATCCCTAAACAAAAGTAACAAAAATGCCATTCTTAGCGAGAGTCAAGAAAATAATTCCAAGTCCAAGTCCCTTTCTGCTTCAGCTGTGCTGTGTGTCCTGACAATGAAAGAGGCTCGCCAAAGTCGTAGGCAGACAGGCAGACACCAGTCAAAGGTACTCAATCCCAGACATGAGCACTTCTCCGATGACCATTTTGTTCTTCTAGCTGGTGACGATAACGCTATACTCACCTGCTAGCTCATCGCCGTCCATGTATGGCGTACAGACTTCACCAGACACGGTCTGTCCGTTGCAGGTGCCGTGGCCTATTCACAGTCAATATTACTCTGTCATTCACGTCTGCAGAGCAATGGAGTTTTGCAACTTACCAGTGGAGCAACGGAGTTTTGGCGTAAAGCCAACATCTCCCGACTGACCTGCGGGGACGTCCCATGTCCGCTCCTTGCTGGTCGTGATGGTCTCTGTGAACGATGTCTCAAAGTGAACTCCGAGGGTGAGGATGTCCGAAAACCCAAAGTCGGCGCCTAGAGTGGTAGTCCAACTCTGGCTACGCGCCTTCGATATGGTCACCTTCTGAGGTCCAGTGACTCCTGTCGCGACTCTCTGGGCTCCGTCTGCAGGACGAATGTAGCTTTCTCTGCCAGCATCGGGAACCCAAGAGTCCTTGTCGCACGAGGAGTCTTCACCAATGCCTGTTTCAGAGCTCGAACGGGCCTCGCGAACCTGGGGTGGGGGCCCAACTTGGGCCGGTTCGATAATGTTCCCGTTTTGGTCGCTGATCAAAAAGCCGAAGAGGCCCCCAGAGATCGCTACTTCTTTCATCTGGGTCGCTTCGTTCCTCATAAATTTGGCAGACATGAATCTCTGAGCTCCCGCCGCATGGCAGTCCCCCTCACCGCAACAATACTGGACCATGAAGCTCTTCTCAAGGTCCAAGACGGCGCACACTGGCATGGCGAACGAGGCTACAATCTTGCCACAACCCACCTCGTCCGTATTCGCCGGTGACTTGACGATAACCCGACACCCTGGATTTGGTTCGTTGACGTCAAGGAAGGCATGAATACCACTGCATGATAGTCATCAAGTCAGTATTGAGCGCCGTCGCAGTGCTGGCTGGGTTGGGGGGATATAATTACCCGCCTACAGAGCCCGGGAAGTTCTGATTTGCAAAGACATCCTCGCTATTGTAGATCACACAGTTGGGGAATCCCGTCCCCATACTTGTGATCGACACTGGGCAGTCCTCACATTTGTTGTCTTTGCAGAACGAGAAGGGATCATCAGCGGTCGTCATGCCGACCAGGGCGACGATGGCGGCAAAGCTGATAGGGAATAGGGCTGGCATTGCTGGTAGAGACTGCGGCTGGTGCAACGAAGGGTTGATTTGGTCGTAGTAGTATGCTGCTGGAAAGCTACGCAGAAGTAGATGAGAAGGTAATGGGAACTTCAACCCGTAGAGTAGTAGGGAGCAGGATGGTGCTGCTGTTTATGCACTCGACGACCCAGGGGGTTCATTACTGGATAGTGTTAAATTGACGATGACACTCAAATCAACGCAACTTGCATGAAGCTTGGGGAGGGGGCGAATCAGGGGCAAGCCCCAACGGTCTAGATGTTGGTAGTTTTCATGCACTCAGCGGCGACGATACCTTGTTTTCCGGATAGCATAGTATCGTCCTTGTGATGACAGAGATGAGATCACGATGACTTGCATGAGGCTCGTTGAGGGGACTGATCAAGGGGCTGCCCCAGCGATCCATGATGTTGGTCGCATAGAAAACCAACTGCCTCTCAAATACCACCCTATCCGGAGCTTTTTCTCCAGCTCTACTCGACAATGATGCACAAACCTTACAACGACGATCGGAGATTCGAGAAGAGATCGACCCAAGCATGCCACGCCTAGGAAAAGGCACGATGTTGGATGGTGAGTCGTAACGTTACGAAGTGGAACTTCGTAGCATCGTGCATCTCCTCAGTTAGCTGGAGACAAGTCTAAAAGAAAAAGAGGATGTTGGTTCGGCCTTACTTGTAAAAGGACCGTAGGCCAACATGGTCCGAGTGGAACATCATGCATAGAGAACAGATATGTCACCCGTCAAAGAAGATGACCTGTGTCCAGACTCGAGTGTTGAGAGTAGGTGATGTAGACCCGGAGAGATCTCTCAGATTAAGGGACTGCTTGTGATTCATTTGTTGCAAATCCGGGGAGACGAAGCATCTATAAATTTGATCATCACCGAACTTGGTTTGCGTAAATCTCAAGAATCAGACAAGTTCACCACACCAACGGCTTTTGACGACTTTGCACTGCTCTTAAAGAATCTCCCTTCGAAGCTTCCCTCTAAAAATGCGCTGTTCTATCCTCCTGGTGGCTCCCTTCGCCGTGCCGACCTTGGCCAACTGGTTCGGGCAACTACAATGTTTGGTCCACCTTTCGTTCCTTTGCGCTAATGGGTTTATAGGTCCCTGTTCTTCTACGAGAGTGGCTGTCCCCCGCCTGGAGAAACAAGCGGAAGCGTCAGCTCCACGGCGGGATCAGCTGATGACTCTTTGCGTTGCATTGCAACAAAGCCAGCCCATAATGTCGTGGCCACGAACATTGGGCTAGAGACCATGGAGGTCACTCTCTTCAGCGACACGATGTGTCGTGATGAAGCCTTCATCTCGACCATTGAGAGCGATGGCTGCAAGATTATTCCCGGTCCTGTGAGTATTTCCCCACTCTACAAGCTACAAGAGCGAAGTGGTGTTAGGTCTCCTTGTTAACGTCATTATTTGTAGCTCCCTATTATGGGTGTCCGCGTCGTCCCGAAGAAGTAAGGCTCTGGTGCTGGAAGCTTGTTTGTTTGCTTTTAGGTCTGATGTCGTTGGTGCTGGACTGCTGTCTGTATCTTGCCAAGTCCTCCGGAAATGTTTGCGTGATCCATTACGGTTACGTTACATGAGTAGTTAGACTGTCAATCGATGTGCCTAGTGCCTCAAATATGTTGTTGGTTGTTCAAACACATGCTCAAATGGAGCCCTCGACTCGGTGGATTACGAGATACAAACAAGCACTCAGAGCCGAGTTTCCACTATGTGCGGCCTGTAGACTCGGCCGTGGTTTACGATAGGCGCGGATGGTTCCGTTTGAAAACCATACTCACGTGTGATTTGCTGCGGTACGGACCGGGTGGTGGCACCGGGATAAAGAACCCAATCCGGCAGCCACAGCCAGCTCCCCGATCATTTTCGGAGCCGAAAACGTCATTGTCTGGAACCCCGGAACCAACAACATTCATCGGCCTATTATAACCAACATATCGTCTTTCTATTCCGATACACTACCGCTTGTCTTCATGACATCACTGCATATTCTATATTGGGAAGGAGACGTTGGGTAGGACGAAACAGAAAGACGGGACCTTGCTTATATCCATGACGCCTCAATCGACCCTTCCCACCTCACCTGTTCCCGCTGCTCACTTCTTTGCTGCGTTTACTTTTATGTTTCCATCCCACATCTCGAGACATAGTACACCGAGGCAGAACCTTGCGGGAGGTGATTTGTGCTCCCATTCTTTCGCATGACTTAGCAGCCTCATCTTTCCTTTCAAAAATGCAGTTTTCCAGGATCTCATCTTATCTTTTGCTGTACGCAGCACTCTCCCCTTCGGCCCTCGCACGGCGCGGTGTGGCGGGGGAAGGCAGCTTCGGCGCGGGGAGAGACGGCCCTTTCGTCATGACGGCCAAGCAATTCGATGAAGCCCTCAAGAGCCCTAACGCGACAGGGAAATTCGACTTTCCAGGCGTTGACATCTCGCAACGATACACGGGCACCTTCAAAAACCTCTCGGGGTGGGCGTGGGACATCGCGGTGGCGGCCGACGTGCAGATGGGAGGCGAGTACTTCACCGGCACAAAGATCTCCATCACAGCGCCGGGTGGTGCGCCCCGGCTGAACGGCTCGCGCAACCTCACAGTCCACGAGACCTGGCAGGCCTGCGTCCTGCATTGGGATCTGTCCAAGGCGTACGACGACAAGCTGCGCTCGGACGACGAGAACTGCACGCATACGTTGGGTTCGGACTGCGTGCGCGACATTGAGTTTGAGGTTGAGAAGGCCTACCGTTCGGCCGAGGGGTGCCACTGCCCTGACTTTGGCAGTATCAAGTCGTGCAAGGGCAAGGATGTGGTCACCAAGAATGAGTGTCTAGTCGAAAGTAAGCATCCCGTGCCTCGTTCCCTTTCCACGGCTGCTAACACTCTCGGCTTAGCATACAACAACACCGAAATAGAGCAATGGCCCGACGGGAAGCTCGACGTCGTCAGATACGGAGGTCCGACGCATGCCAAGGGAGACATAGCAGCGTATAACCAGAATGGAAGCCTGGGGTGGCCTCTCTTGTTTGTGCTGGGGGTGAAATCAAAACCGTGGTTTGATGTCGTTGATAGGAAGGCGATCAAGCTCTCCTGCGTCCGGGCGCGGGATGCGACAGAAGGGAGCGTGGCGCCAAAAGCACAAAGCGATAAGAGCTCGGGTTATCGGAACAGCTTGGGAACTCTGGTTATGATTGCTATGCCGTTGTTTTGGGCTCTCTGGCTTTGAGTAAGAAAGATACTATCGTTTCGAATCTGTCTCGGCGTTGACTCTACTTTTGAGACTTGAGGGACGTTGGTCTAAATATCGGGATCCCACTTCAATTTCCTCAGCCCAAATTCACACTCGCTTACCTATCGTATATCTTACCGTCATGGCAGTAAGAAAATCCTGGTCCCTATCCAGACACTGGTCGACTGCCATGATCGGTTCCTTCCATGAATCTAATCTTTGACCCAGGCTGTAACTTTTGGTGGAAGAGGAGGCTAGAACCCTCAAAGCCCGATCTCGAGAGCCACATAATGCCTTCAGGATTCATACAACCCCCATCGACCTTGATCGTCTTGCTTACATCTTCAGTTTTGGAGAGGCTCGGCCGAGACTGAAAAAGACCAGAATGCTCTCAGGTTCTATGTCTGAACCAGTCGAAGCCCGTTTTGCGCCATCATCAGTTTGGCTTGCGTCTCGTCAGCCTCGCGTCCCATGTCGCTCGGCTTGCTGAGCTGGCTGCTAGTTTCTCCATCCTGAAGGCCATGATAGATAACCGCCAGTACCGATCCCTTCCACGTGCGCGGCGACCCGTGCCCACCGTGGATCACCGCCACTACAAAGACAGCACCGAGAAGGACCAGGACATAGGGGAGGGCCATCCACCGCCATTGCACTTGCACAACAGTCTCATATCGAACGAAGCTACCAGTTGCCCTTTCGGAGCTGCGTGCGCCGAGAAGGCTGTTCAGTGACGCGGTCACTGGCTCGAGGACGCCACTTAGTGACCGGGATCGGACCTCGTTCAGGACATCTTCGCTGGAGATCCACTTTCCTCTACTCCAGCTGGGTAGCCAGTTCGCGGTACCGTTGATATTGCGGCTACTCTCCGCGCTGGTGCCGTCGCCTTGAGTCATTGTCACTTGCCGTGCACTGCTAAGGCGAGCAGAGATATCACTCCCCCAGCCCCAGTCTGTCGTGCAGAAGGCCATGGTTGAGTTATCGCTGACGTATCTGACACCGTCCACACTCTGCGATGAGCCTTTGACCTCAGCGCGTTTGGATCCGGGCGACCAGCAGGTTGCCCCTTTTCCAAGCACGGTTTTGTCGTCTGGGTATGACTTGCCGTAGTGCGAGTCGAGCACGGTGGTGGAAGTTAAGCCGTTGGCCACCGAGACGTTGTACTGCTTACTGCAGAGAGTTAGCACTGCCTGCTCGGCATGCTCGAGCTTGATCTTCTGTGGCGCCAAGTCCTTCTTTGGATCTCCGACCAGGGAGAATCTGGCATAGCCCATAGCCAGGATCGGATTCGATACCCCCATGTATTGGTAGTCTCCGTCCAGCGATGACCCAACCGGTGCCACGATCTCCAAAGGAAAGCTGGTGACGTAGAAAGGTTCTTTCCAGGCGGGATTGACTGGTCTGCCCGCCTGCCAGTTACCGTTCCCCTTTAGAGTGAACTCGATGGGATACGACAGGGGAGTTGTCGAATTCTTGTCCAGATAGATCTTGCAGTCCCTGTAACTTTTGCCAATGGTTCCGCTCGTCGTGATCTGTTCGTAGACTTGCTTGAAATCCGCCTTGTCAAAGGCAATGCTGCAATCGACCGTCACGCCGCTCACGTCGGCCACAGAATTCGTCTTGAGGCACCATCCGAGAGACTCAAAAGGCTGCCATATGCAGTTTCCAGCCGGGCAGTGCGCTTGCCGGTCGTACACGCTGGCCTCGTTCCAGACGGCACCGCTGATGGCTCCGACGTACGTGGGATCATCGCTGGTGGAGTAGTACGACGGAAAAGTGGCCAGCTCCGTCCAGGCTTCTTGTGATTGCACTAGCCGTGGCTCGGAGGAGTACTGAATGACCTGTTGCACAAAAGGATCCACGGCCAGGGCTAGAACAGTGACGACCGCACCTAGGGAGGCGACCGTGAACAGATTGCGGCCTAGGAGCACGCGGACCGATCCGAGCGGCCCTCTGCTTGCCTCGTCGATGGTCTCAAAGTCTCGCAGGCTGCGATATCCGCGGCTGTACAGATCCCATTTCGACTGCCCGATGGCCGCAGAGACGGCGTACATGAGCGTCGACTTGGCGATCGTCGACAGCACGGATATGATGGCGTTCAAGCTGACAATCTCTGGTAAATTCGGAACCGGCTGCCCGTCGAATGCTTTGAGAACGATGCTGATCGCCACGAAGCACAGCGCCGCTACTGCTAGTGCCAGGCCTTCCGATGTCCAGCTGTCGTCGACGTAGCGCTCGATCTTGGAATACAGGCTAGCAATATGTCCGGTTTTCGTAGCTAGCAATGCGAGTCTGGGCCTTTCTTTTCCTTGTCTAGAGGCCGGGATCGGATTGAGCTCGATGTCGTCTGACGTCCTTGTTGAAGGCCCACGAGCGGATGCCTCTGTCTGAGTCGGGCTCCCTGTTGGTGTGAGAGGTGGACATTCTGCATCGATTGTTTCTTGGCGCTGAAAATGTGCCATTGTTGCGAGAGGAGATGCCAAACTTAGGAGACCTGATGCATGTATCTCATGCTGAATCACGAACCAGCGTAAAACACTGGGAAAGATCATGGTTCGGAATAGATCCTTCAATGCAGTCAAAAGCCACCGTTTGGATATGTTACATCTCCTTTGGCGGTGCAGCTTCTTTGTGCACCCACACACGGCAGCATCTGCGGCACAACACTGCCTCTGTCAGCACTTGGCACCAGATCTTGAAGCTTAAAATAGCCATGAAATGCTCTACTAAGCCAGATCAAATTCATGGGAAAAGTAAAACACCAGACGATCTAATCTATGATCGCTCTCACGTCGATGATATCGATTGAAAAGTCGCGCGACGGCGAGGCGGCAAGTGATACGGTGCCCGGCCCCCCGAAGAGGGTGGATTTGCATGTGGCTATTATTGGATCTACGGGGGCAGTGCCAGCTCCAGCGCGCGGGCGGGCGATTGTGTCTATGAGAAGGCCTTTGACTGCCTTTATTTATGGCGGAAGGGATGTCTTCGAGGGTAAGGGCCGCAAAGTGGATAATTGGCGAACTGAGCCGTCGAGGGAGTCTTGCCCATGTCCATACTGTTCTACAAGATGGAGGTTCTGCTAAAACTAAGAGCCCGAATTCCTATGAAGCTGCGCCCCATGGCATCGATCGCTATCTTGAATAATGACATTCTACTCCCTATCACGGTCTGGCCCGCGATGCATGTGGTAGCCGGTCAACGACGCCGAGTGAGTGTCAGTCCTGAGGGTAACGTGGAGCCCCCGCCGCTCGGCTTTCAAAGCCGGCCGCATCCCTCATTCTTTAAGCCCCGTCCTCCTACCTACATGGATGCCTAGATCAGCAAAATACGTCCACGGGTGTTAATAAAAGCGCTTGTGATGAAACAGAGTACATGGAATCGCGATTACGGTATGGCTAGGGGCTTCCGCGCGAACTTCGGCTCCGCTTGCTCAAGATAGCACCTTACTCGAATGAAGATCTGTGTGATTACGGATGGCCTGGATAATATTCTGAGCCACAAGTAACCGACATACATGATATGCGTACCGTTGTCGGCTTAGAAAATCGTGATCAGTGTGGACATCGTTCGACAGTTCGGGTTTGTACATGCGGCTCCTTATTTCCCAGTCTTCAAATCACGACCTCGCAACAATGGCTGGAAAAAAAAAAGGGTGAGAGTCACACACACAGAGATAGAGGTTTTGGTAATTCCATCGGTTGCTAAAGCCTTATCAGTCCAATCCTGGGATTGCTGTCTATTGTCATGCTCTGAGTGTCCATTCTACAATTTTGCCACAGGTGGCGCGAACAAGAAGTCATTCACCAGTGTACCTGCGGCCCTTCCCACGCCAAAGCTAAAGACGTAGCCACCGCCCCCAGTTCCTATTTCCGATTAGCATGAATCGCGGTTGGCATATTGAAGACGGGGTTGGAAACCCAAACTAACCATATGCGTGGACAATGTTCTGCCCATCAGCAACCTCCTTCTCAACCCGAACTCCACCAACTCTGGCTGGACGAATACCGACATTGTCGCGAATGATCTCCACGTTTTCAACTTTTGCTCCCTTGAAGACGCTGGGAGCGTTCTCATGTACGCGCCGTAGAATCTGTGTGCAAGTGTGAATAGTTGTGATACTTGGTCGTGCCTACAAGGGACTACCCGTTACTTACATCGTTTCTGATATCGATGTCCACGTGGGGGTCGCTTCATCTGATGTCAGCAACAGGTTGAGTTAGGCTGGCTCTGACCTTCTATACTCACGTCTTATTGACCTGCTTGATCCCTCCCAAGATGGCCGTTCCGTCCAGACGTGGGATAACGTAGGTGTAGTCCGGTCCGTGCCTCATGACGATCTTGTTGAAGTCGGTCTTGACAAGGATGGTCTGGCCGCGGACCTGCTGTACATTATGGTCGGAAACGTCATGCAGAAACTTGGACCCGCATCCCGTGGCGTTGACGAGAACATCATGGCCAAATCCCTTCAGCTCGGCCAGAGAGTCGACGGACTTGCGGACAAAGGTGACACCGCTGTCCTTCAATCTCTGCGCCAGCCACGAGAGAAAAACGGGCGGGGTAATGACAACTGTCTTGTCTATTCGATGAAAGTGTTAGTGATGAGTAGAGAAAAGGTCTACCTGGAAAGACTTACATGACATGCCCAGGATACAACCTTGGGGGAGCTCCTCTTTCGCCATGACGCGGAACTAGCCTAGGGTTAGACAAAATCACGAGTGTATATATTCTTCAAAGTTACCCACCTCGGGCATCAAATCACGGTACCAGATCTTGTCCAGGGTCGTCTCATCTTGTAAGTCATTCATCTCAATCCTCTGCACCCGAAGTGTCAGCGCCAGAACGAAAGATCATAGCGGGGGAAGCGGGCAACTTGACGACTCACCCTGACACTAGACTCCGGGTTGCTCGCCGCAAGCGCCCACAGGTAGGCGAATGTGTCATGCTGCATCTTCTGTTCTCTGGGCGTGGAACCATCCAATCCGAGGAAGACGGCGCCGGCCCAGGGACTAGCCCAATTCTGGGTTTCGTCATCTCCAGGGAGGTCTCGAGCAACGATGGTCACTTTGTGCGATCTCGAAAGCATACTGGCAACCGCCATGCCGACAATCCTGAGTTGCGTGTTAGTGGATTGGGGAACGCCATATTCTTAGACATGCTGCTTACCCTGCACCGAGAATAGTAACCTTGGACATATTGACTGATTCTTTCTAGACAGTAGAACGTGACTTGGCAATACTGCTGGTTTGTTCGGCTCTGGTGCTTTGTGATAGGGCTCTCAGAGTCAGAAAAATATGCCCCCTGATAAAAAGACATGTGTATGAGGTCCAACAATGCTATCTGTGTCGAGTAAACGATAGAGACTAATAACACCCAGCCACTCTCGATCTGTAGCCAGGCCGGGTATAAATGGCATAGCATTCTGCCCATGAACTCTAGAAGTATCTTCAAAGCCACCGATAACGGCAACTAGGAAAGGAGGCACTCGGCAAATATCACCGATGTGCCCAGCAGGCCATGATGTTAGACCGCCGTTCTCCGCGTAATAGCCCTGGTTGATTCCTCATTCCTCATTCCAGCGGGGCCTCAGACTCTGGGGAATTCGTGGGGCGGAGACGCTAGGCATACACCACCGAGTCTAGTACAAATCCACCGCAAGTTTCCCGAGTTTCCCGATCAAGTGTCGTCTTGGCGTGTCAATCCACAATCCTCTCCCTTCCCCAGGAAATCCAAGCAAGGCCTTGGGCCCTGGGAACGACACGCTCTTGTGGGATTAGCTTGGATTGTCTCGGCCATGCTGGGGTATATATCTCCAGTCACGCGCATCCCCAAGATGAACCTGGACACCTCCAGGCCGTACGATCTCTTCGGTGTCTCGCAACGAAAGAGTTTGCCACATCCACAACGCCCGGCTCTCGACGCATTTCAGCTTAAAGGATGGAAGTCGAGCAGGACAAGTCCTCTGATATCGGACAGGGTGCCACATATGAGGTCATGAAAGAGCCTAGTGCCCCCCGTACGGAGTACGAGGAGTACTTGGAGCTTTCCAGGGTCTTCACTGGCGTTCGCCTGAAGAAGCTTCTATGGAAGGTCGAGTAAGTATATGAACGCTTCCCCTTCGAATGGCAAGACCATAGTTGACCAAGTTTCCCCAGCTGGCATGTCCTCCCCCAGCTAATCATCATCTACCTCATGTCCTATGTCGATCGTACGAATGTCGGTATGTTTGACATCTCCCTTCGCGAGCGCAAATCGCTTGCGAGCTTATGGCTTGAAAAGCGCACCTGCTAAAGTAGGATTAGGAAATGCGAAACTATTTGGCGCCCTTCCAGATCTGAGACTGTCCGGTCAAGACTGGAACACCGCCCTTTCTATCTTTTTCGTAACCTACGCTTTCGGTGGCGTGTAAGTTGTTGCCCGCGAGCAGCCCCAAACTCCCATTTGGGTCACTAAAGCCCCTCACAGGCCGTCCAATATCGGACTGAAGCGATTCGGTCCTAAGGTATGTCCTAGCTTGATACTTGTGTGAAAGAATGTAGTATTAATGCGCAATAGATCTGGTTGCCAGCGCTCCTGCTCTCGGTCTCGCTCATCCTGATATTCTCTTCTCTGCAGCAGAACCGGGCTGGTTGGATGGCGTTTCGTGTTTGTACGTGCCAGCCTTGTCTTCATCTAGAGCAATTGGCTTTCAACCCAATCTAACTCCTCTCCACAGTACTTGGGTGGTTTGAAGCTGGCGTCTTCCCCGGTTGCTCATTCGTTCTCACTATGTGGTACTCCCCAGCCGAGGTTCACTCACGCATGACAATATTCTATTGCGGTGCTTCTGCGTGAGTACAAATAAAACGCCCAGAACTGGAAATTTCCTTCGCCGCTAACACCGCAAATCACCTCATAGCGCCGGCGCTTTCTCTGGTCTCTTGGCGTACGGTATTGGCCATCTTGACCATACATGGGGATTCCGTGGATGGAGGTTCATCTACTGCATTGAAGGTAGGAACCTTCTAATGTCCATCCCTGGAAGGTTGAAATCGGTCTAACTTATCCCCTTTCCAGGACTTTTCTCGGTACTCCTTGCCCTCGGCGCGTTCTTTCTTCTCAACGATACTCCCGCCAAGGTTACAAAGTGGCTCACTCCGGAAGAGCAGAGGTTCCTGGTTCTTCGAAGTCGATACTCGGCGGGTGGTGAGACTGGCATTGCTGAAAAGGAAGAATTCTCGTGGAAATCAGCCAAGGATGCTTTCAAGGTATATTATAGGCCCAAAGCCGACTGAAGCATTGATAGCTCAGAAACTAACACTATACATCCAGTCGTTCCACATTTATGCTATGTCAGTTCTTACTCTAGATAGACGGCATGCTATGTAACCCGACTGACCTAGTTAATCAGTGCTGCTATGGAGTTCACGCTCTGTGTTACGGTTTACGGCTACTCATTCATTCTGCCGACTGTGTAAGCAAGAGGCTACCTAGACTGATCAACCCCTGCTAATACTTGTCCGTGTTCCAGTATTAACAACCTCGGTTACTCGGCAGCCAATGCTCAAGCGATGACCGTTCCACCCTACATATTTGCATCCATCGTCACCGTATTCAGCGGGTGGTGTGCAGACCGTTACAAGCAGAGGATGCTTTCTGTGCTTTTACCCAACTTGTTGGCTGTTACGTAAGTCGGAATATGTTGGACTCTATAGCGATACATACTAACTCCGGACCAACAGAGGCTTTGTCATCATGATGGTCACCGTGAGATATCCTCATCTCACTGGAGTCACATGTGCGTGAATCGATACCCTAACAGCGGCTGGGTTTTGACTAGACTAACCACTCGACTTAGTGCTTGGTGTTTTCTTTGCCACAGCCGGTCTCTACCCCGTATCTCCTAATGTGACAGCGTGGATTGCCCTGAACCTATCTGGTTCAATGAAGCGTGCAGTCGGCATCGGTGCTATGATTTCTTTTTCACAACTCGGAGGAGTGAGTGTCATCGTTCATAAGCCATCTGACTGGGCGATCTAACATGGAGCACAGATTGTAGGATCCAACATCTATATCGCCGAGCAAGCACCTACATACCCGGTGGGATTTGGGATCTCTCTCGGCATGCTTTTCGTCTTTGGTGTAGTCTGGCCGATCATCTACTATTTCATTCTGAAGCGCATCAACGCAAAGCGTGCAGCAATCCCTGCCGAGGAAGTGCATGCCAAGTATACCGACCAGGAACTATCCGAGATGGGTGACCGGAGCCCTCTTTTCAGGTACGCCACGTAGGAGAGCGAGAGTACGTATCCAGTACCAGAACATTGGGCTCCATCGCATCCGATATCTAGATACACTCTATCCGCGTGTTGGTTCTAGATCCAAATAGTGAAGAACCAAAGATGGCTTCAGAGTTAGAGACTTGATGTTTTCATTTAAGCTCACATTTACAAATTGCCATGGGGTGGCATAATACTGAAATTCATATTAACATTCTTGATCCAGTTCTTATATCATATATTGTGTGTCTTATTTTAGCCCACTGACTGAACGTATGAATAAATCCCTCATATGGGCAGAACCAGGATGAAATTGCGCGTCCAGGTACCTGGCTTGAGTTTCCCAATCATTTTGCTTTTCTTTTCATTTATAAAGACCGCGGTTTGTGAGATGGGCGCGGTAGTACACTGGAATGTAAAGTCTGTCATCCCCACTGTCTTGTACCGACCTATTTAAGTGCTTAGTTTCCTCCACCTTGTTTACATAAGCTGCCAATACTTAACCAGTTAGCCAGCTCTCTAGCCTGGCCCATTGAGACTTCGCCTCAACATACCCATGATGCCTCTCTTCACCTCATATGCCAAACGCTGACTACACGATGCACTCAGTACGCTGCTGACGAGCAACATGAGCACGAATTCCCCTACGGTGCCTGAGATACGCCGAGGAGGTGGGCGGAGAAGCACGGCCTGCCGACGTTGCCACAAGCAGAAAATAAAGTGTTCAAGAGGTAAGCTGAAGGAGCACACAATCAAGTCCAGGCTATCATCGAGCACATTTGTGAGAGAGAACTGCAAATAACACTGTCCACTAGAGAAGCCATGTCGGAACTGTCGAGCAGCTCAGGTTGACTGCACCTATGCAGACCATGAGAGGGTTCTCACCGTCCCGGAAAGTTATCTCAGAAGTCTGGAAGCCGACCGTGATCGAAGGAGATGGGACACGCGAAGCCCTCAATCAGCTCCTCATGCCATTCAGGATGCAGATGCCGGAGTTTCCTCAAGCGACACTCGCAATGTCAATGCCAACCACCAGACAATTGAAAACTCTGCGCCCGAGGCATTCTTGGCCAAGGTGAATCAACTTCGCCAGAGCACTACCTTTTCAGCCATTTCTGACCCTTCACTTGGGGACAATCTGGATTCTGCAAATGGCGGCGGGAGCTCAAAAGCAGTGACTGTTCCCAATGCATATGAATACTTTCGCTTGTCTTTTGACACCTCACGTGAGCTTGATACGCTGCAATGTTATAGTTACGAGCTAACTGAAATGCAGATACTCCTATCTCTCTCAGTCTTCCACCCTATCCATACGCAGTTCACCTCTTGGACCAGTTCGACATCTATCTGGCACACGATTACCACTGGTTCCTCTGCAAAACTTTCAAAAAACGCCTAGAGCGTACCTACAGACAACTCAACTCCCCTGAATCAAAAGATCGGCTTTGGCTGTGTCTGCTGCTAATTGTATTTGCCCTGGGAGAAACCTTCGTGAACTACCATACCCCAGTGATCCATATCGACTCGAACGCGAGCTCAGCTTCGCATATGGAAGATCGAAACGAAGACTCCTCGTCGCCAACGGCTCTTCCAGGGACGTCTTTCTTCGAACAAGCTCTCGTTCTTCTCAAGCTACCATATGAAGAGCCGAGCATCGAATATGTCGAGCTTCTGAACCTCGCTGTCAGTCTGGTATCCGTTTTTGCATCTCAGAACCATGAGGCTCATCTCTCATTTATAGACATTCTACTCATATTCCTTAAATCGAAAGAAGACCGCATACATGTACGCGGGCATGAGTGTCAGAGTTTGCAACTTGCTCAGAATTCATCAACCCGCCCCGCAGACATTCTCTGGCGTCGAGCAGGAGCACCGAAAGCGTCTATGCTGGACAGCATATTGCCTCGACAAGATGACCAGCAGTGAGCTCGGCATGATTCCGTCCTTTCAGCCTGGCCAGATCAAGCTTGAGTACCCGAGCAGTGAGCAGCTGCGACCCGAAGAGGCGTGCGAGTTTCACGAGGCCGACTTTCTCCGTGCGCGTATCCAGCTGACGTTCATGAAGGCCGAGGCCGACGTGTTTATCGACATGTGGCAGTCCATTAGAGACGACGTCTCGGATATCCAACGGCGTGTGAGGCCTATTCTGCTGAAGTTGGAGCAATGGTTCCGGGATGATCTGCCGTCATACATGAGCTTTGACTGCGAGTCTGGCTTACCCGAAGCGATGGTACAAATGCCGAATATGCGATCACTCTGTTCGTTTTATCTTCGGTGCCAGCAGGTGAGATGAAGGACTCGAGGCAGGTAATGTCAAGATGCTTCGCTGAACATGTCTGTAACCGCCGATATAGTGCTTTATTCTACTGCTCCGCCCTCTGTTCCTCAAACAGATCACGTACATTGTCTCCGACGACGTGGACAGCGCGGCACAGGATGAAAATCTCAGAGATTTCAGCAACACCTGTCTCCGCGCTGCGCGGACTAACCTCTCTATACTGATCGGCTTGTGGCATTTGGACAGAATTGGTGAGTACGATGCCGCTTCTGCATCGAATCGCTATTAGTCGCACTAAGACTGACCTTCAATCTCTGTGATAGCCAAGTTCGGGTTCTGGGACAGCGTACATCTCTTCTCGAGCCTGACCATATTCTCCCTGGCCATGTCCGTCAACAGGCGGAGGCCTGGGAGCTTTGATGAAAAGGACGTGGACTTCATGACGTACTCGACCGCCAAGGATCTACTCCGCGACATGGTGAAAACAGGAAATCTGGCGAGCAAGGGACACGAGAAGATGCTCTTGGACGTCGAGGCCCTGGGCGAAGTGCTGGGGGCGATGCAAACAGACGGATCCGACTTTGTCATGGAGCAGTACGACATGGATAACTGGATGGCGCAAGTGCTGAGCATGGACTCGATTACCATGTTTTAGGTCCCCCGAGAACGCACAGAGTACGTACCGAGTCGAAATACGCTATGGACTGTGGAGATATGGATGTTTCTCACTTCGTACTAACGAATGGTCACTCCACTCAGGTCGGAGTAGAGCGTTTGTCATGAAGAGATCAAAGTTCAGCATTATGTCTGCTTTTTATTTGGCCTAGGTTGGATGATTCCGCAGAGATCTTCATAGCTATAAAGTGCCGATTAACCACCACAAAGCATCTCATACCAAGCATGTATGAACGAGACAGGATCAGCACACACCAGGACCCAAATCAAATCACTGCTTGAAGATCATTGCCGCCCTCTCCGTGACAGGCGCCGCATCCATGAACGTCCGTAGCTCAGCCGCACGAAAACCAGCAAATCCACCCTCGGCTTGGCCGACCGGGACGAGCTCCACGATATTGAACTCGGCGACCTTGACCTCCAGCCCCTCAGGATCCTCCTTGAACACAGTCGAGCTCGTGCCCTCGTACATGAGGGTGCGCCCGCCGCCGCCGTTGGCAGAGGGTATATCCCAGGCCTGCGACACGTTGTGTCCAAAGGCGGCGAGCTTTTGCGCTCTCATGAGCAGCATGGGCAAGATCTGCTCTGTCGTCTGCGGTGGCCCACCGTTCACGGTGAAGGTTGCGCCCGGGGCGAGGACGGCGGTCAGAGCGAGCGAGGTTTCGCTGTTGACTTCGAGAGAGTCGAGGACGGGGAGGAAGTGCTTCAAGAAAACGAGACCTGGAGAGGCGGTGTCGGGTATGGCTAGATGAGAGCCGGTGTGGGTAGTGGTTGTTTCCATTTTGAAGATTGAAGACTGAGTGCGAATGTAGTGTTCTTTTCTGCGAGCGAAAAGACTTCACTGGGCCACAGTCGTATTACAATCTTGTGTTTCTGGACTGCGGGAATTCAACAAAGTCAACTTGTTCCAAGCGTCCAGGCTCGTTTCTTTTATTTCTACGCCGCCTTCGCCGACGTCACTGATGATGTAGCCCCGCGTTTCGTGTTTCAAGGCGCGCACACTTTTGACTGGACCAGGCTTGCTGCCTAATAAGCCGATCAATGCATATACCCTTGGGTGGAAGGAAGTGCCCTTTTGGCCACGATAGCGACTCCGTGTCATTGGCAAGGCCTTGCATACCTTCCCGCTGGCGTGCTCCGAGCTTGCAGTTTGTAGGCTGTTGGTGATGTTCGGGCAGTATCAAATAGCAGGAAGGCGGTTGGTAGCCGCTGCAAGCAGGCATGGCCGGGCCGACAAACTGGAAGAATTCAAATCTCCATCTCCCACCTTTTTGAGTAAGGTACGCCAGAATCAAAACTTCTCATCCTCAAAGGGAACTCGCGGAAGTAGGACTCAGCCATGCCGTACAACGACTACTTCGAGTGCGGCACTTGCGGCAAGGGGTTCCCCAACGGCTGGCGAGCCCGAGAGAACCACTGCTGGTCTGTAGGCCATTGTCTTCCCAATTTCGAATGCGACACCTGCCATCGAGGATTCAACACCCAGAATGCCTGCATCCAGCATATGGGTGCCATGAACCACTTCGCACACGAGTGCTCCGTCTGTGGTGAGACCTGGCCCACCGAAGAGGAATGCATCGATCACGAAGCCGACGAGCACTACTACTGTGCCAGCTGTGATCGTTGGTTTCAGAATGCCAACAACGTCAAGATGGTATGAAGAATGCACACGATGCACAATGTGGAGTACTAACAGCATAACGAAGCACCGACGCTCTCGAGCTCATCTCGGCCAACCGCTCGATTGTCCTTTTTGCCAGGACCCATTTACGACTGCTACTGGAGTGGTCCACCACCTCGAGTCGGGCCGCTGCCCCAGGGCCAGGGGCTTGAGCCGCGATGCCATCTACAAGTTCGTCCGCGCAAGAGACCCCAACGGCGTCGTCACCAAGAAGCTCGTTGGCTGGGAAGGCTCGTATGAATATGAAGCCAACGAAAATTGCTGGAACGGCTACTGCTACGAGTGCTATATCTGCCACAGGGAGTTTAAAACCCTCGACAGCCTCAACCAGCATCTGAAGTCGCCTACGCGTAAGTTGGATAATGGGCCTCTGGCTACTCCCATATGAACCCTCCAGGGTTTGGTCCGCAGTTCTGAACTAACTGTACATCATTGGGGTGCAGACCAGCAGGCCCTGTACCACTGTCCCAACCCGAATTGCCGCCTGGACTTCAAAGTTCTTGCCGGATTGTTCAATCATCTTGACAGCGAATCCTGCGGCATGATGAGATTCGAGCAGGTCCAAAAGGAGTTTGTCAACATCGTCAGTGGAGCTCGTCGCATTGCTTTCTAATTGTTCGGAAACTGTAGCCAGCACAAGCATATTTTGGCGCCAGGACCCAAATGGAGTATGTCATTTTAGCAGCTATGTATTTCTAGCTACACTGAGAGGATCAACATTCAGTTAGATTAGTGGGAGATGGAAAGCATAGTCTAGGTATCTGTTCAGTTTTATGACACAGTCAATCAAGAGGGCGCATCAATAGATATTCGACTGCTTTTCTCAAGCCGTTCTTACTCGTGAACAGCTTCATTCCTGGCAAACACTCTTAGTAACTCGTCCACCGCCTATTGACGCACCCAATTGCCAATTCTGTGCTCAGAATATGGCCCTTGCGGATGCTGCTGATAGAACCTGGTCACACCAAAGCGTACAATCTCACGACAATCGACCCCGCTGATAGCTAGGATCCTTGAAGCTCCACTGCTCTCGTATGCCCGTGAACTTCTGTAGGATTGCTCGATGCCTCCATCTCAATCTTCGGCTCGTTCCACATCTCTTGCGGGCCGGGGACGATATGCCTCGTCAAGTCAAGCTCCGGGGACTGGTGCGGTTCCTGAGAAGGCACCAAGCGCTCTCGCTCTGCTCGCCTTCTTGCGCGCATCACGAGCAGTGCGATGATAGCTCCCAGCAGAACAACACCACCAGCGACGCCCAGCCCAATTCCAATTTTTGCGCCTTTGGACAAGCCAGTGTCAGGCCCGCTAGCTGCGCTGGGGTTAGCCGTTGAGCCCCGCAAAGGAGCGGTGCTGGTTGGCGTGGCGAGTATAGGTCCGGATGTTTCAAAGTCCGCCTTTTGCCACCTGATGTTGACGGCAGCGGCGTAGATCAGAGGCTTGTCCAGCACGGTCACTTTCTCGGCCTGGTTAGCTACGTTAGGCACGGTCACCGTGACAGTAGAGATGGCGACGGATGAGCACGAGAGCGTCGACCACGGCGTTGCGGCCGCCGCTTGAGCGATGCAGGTATAGCCACTGTTGTTTGGCGTCAGTAAATTGATCCCGGATGCTATTGTCCGAAAGTCATGTCGCAACCCACCGAGGGCAACAGGTCGCGCGTGTCTCCGTGATGGTTCCGATCGCCTCTATCGAGCCACACGCCGATACCATGTCCGATGGGCAAATCCCGGGTGAGTAAAAGGCGTCAGCCGACGGGCGGAACCCGGGCGGGAAACATGCCGAGGTCGTGGTGAGCCCGAGGCTGTGATACTTGTAGGTCGTAGAGTCGGAGGCGTTCGCCGGGTTCGTTTCTGTGTGCACATAGCCGTGGACGACGGAATCGCAGTCGGTAGCAGGCAGGAATGCCGTAGTTAAGGGCCCGAGATTCGTCATCTTGGTGATGCGGGATTGAAGAGACACGAAGGGCTTTGCACAAGGGGAAAGGTAAATAAGACAGAGAGTTAGGAAATATGGCAATAGATTGCTGTATCCCACCTGAATGCAAATTTTGCTCTACATGATACACATTTACCCCTCAGCAATAACGGCGGCATGCATTGTGTTCTGCTGTGCTACATCGGGTGTTGATCTTTTTTCTTTCAGGCCGTCCTCCCAGCAAGTGAAGGTATCTGATCACCGCCTGGCGCAGTATGTTGCAGGGGTGTATTTGGACCATCGGAGGTGCTCCGTCCGGGGCCGAAGCCCAGCTCAACTCAACTGCGTGTTGCAGTCTTCCTGCGTGCAACGAATCGAAAGTTGATGAAAGTCTATTTTTGGAGAAAGTCGGCTGAGAATTTTAATATAATATTACAAACGACAGTTGACTCAACAAGTCCTCAATTATAATTGTGTGATGGTTACTTATGTAGAACTTTTGATTGACTTGCTCATATGAAAGGACTAAGGTTTGGTTTATCCGAGGCAATTTAAATATTCCCTTAGGCCCTGAAAGTCGGCTTTTTGGTTCCTTTTGTAGTACAGATATCTACAAAAAGATCAACATCGATTATCTGAAATCCCTGGCCAAACCCTGACCAAATCTCAGACAAATCCTGATCAATCCCTGTGACCATAGGCCTCATTTATGACAATACCTAGATCATTGACAGGGCTGATAAACTCTTGTATCTTGAAGTGATTATTTTGTCGATCTCAGTATTTCAGAAGCTCCTATTTGATGGGATCCCTGTAGGTGCCACTTTGGTACGAAAAAGCCGACTTTCAGTGCCTAAGGGTATGCATTCTGCGTGTGTGTCAATAGGGCAAGAGTTTATGTACACAACACGCCAAGTGCGTGTGGGTGTTTGAAAGACGAGACCAGTAGACATACATCAGTGCAGCTTCCTGTCCTTTACCATTCTTTAGAACCAGTTCTACGGGCGAGCGCGGTATAGCTAACGGCTACATCGAGCTTCACTCGGAATACAAATGCTGCCTGGGGCTTTGAAGAGTGGCTATAGGAGATTCAGAACAGATGGCCTTATGGCAGCTTACGAAGATTGTGTGGTTCTTCTAAACAAGTAAACGGCCCAAGCATAGTAATTAGTAACAGACTAACAAGATATCGAGAAAAGCATGTGCTTGCTGCCCTCTAGCAGTGGCGTCGCGGTCTCATCTACGGGATATTAGAGTAAGCAGCCACAGAGCCTGGTGTGTGGAGCAACGCCCCCCAGTTCGACGCTTCACCCGACGAGCTAAGAAGCCTCACCCGCCGGCGCGCCAACGGGCTGCGGGGAAAGGATCAGAAACCCCCGAAACCCCACACTAGACAGACCTCCACGCCAGTCACCGAGGTCAGAACGTACAAGTCGGGGTACGGGGATCCAGCCGAACACTTTCCTACCTACCTGCCTTTGCTCTTGTTTGCCTCGTCTCGTGCCCTTGACACCATCTCGCAGCCTCGTCGAAGGTTGATGCCAAGGCGCTTGGCTTCCCAAGGGCGTTGCCCAGACCCAGGACGGCGCCGCCCCGTCTCGACGCCGCACACCAACGGCAATGAGTACCGGGAGATCATTCTTTGGCAATATATGCGAGTCGGACGGGGAGGACTGCAAAGTGGAAAGCCACCTCCGTGTGTAGAGGCCCAGGGACAAGGCCACAGAAAGCAGGCTAGTGCTGTTGCCATGTGCAGTTCCCCATGCTCACCCACCCCCAACGAGCTCATCAAGGGCAAAGGCTGTTAGGCCATCGGATACCACCCCAAACCCCAGATCCCCCACACCCGACGGCAACTCTTTAGATTGTTGGAGATGCCGCGGCTGGTGATCTTGTTCCCCGAACCCCACAGGTTAGGATACATACATGCATAAATATTCGGCCGGGCACTCCGCATCCTTGATTACTGTAGCTTACCTCCTCTGGTGCCCCTTTGTTTCGTACTATCACACCGAGTTTGTCACCACGACATCCTCTTTCTGAAGATCACAGCCTAATACGAAGGGAGCAAGTTGCCAGCCAGCCATGGCCCCGAAGCCTGGGACCACCCACGTGGACAACCACGACACCATCGAGGCCCTAGATACCTCGACGATCCATCATGCGGCCGAGAAAGGCCAGGCGGGCACAGACAAGTATGCATAGGCAGCCAACCGCGAATCATGTTTCGGACCCAGAGAGGGCTAACGAAGCTGAGCAGATATGGGCAGTCGCTGGTGCAATACAACCCTGCAGCGGAGCGCCGGCTGCGCCTAAAGATCGACCTGTACGTCGTGCCGACCGTCGCAGTCCTATACCTGTTCTGTTTCATTGATCGTGCCAATATCGGTAAGCATCCTGGTGTCGACGCTCATTCTGCACCCCTCGTAGCTTACCACGGACATAGGCAATGCAAAGATTGCCGGCCTCGACGCCGACCTGGGCATGAAGGGCTCCGACTACAACCTCATCATCACGGCCTTCTACGTATCCTACATCGTCTTCGAGATCCCGTGCAATGTCATGTGCAAGTGGATGGGGCCGGGCTGGTTCCTGCCGCTGAGCACGCTGCTGTTCGGCATCGCCTCGGTGGGCACCGCCTTCGTCAAGACGGTCCCGCAGGCCGCCGTCGTCCGCTTCCTGCTGGGCATCTTCGAGGCCGGCATGATGCCCGGCATCGCCTACTACCTGTCCCGCTGGTACCGCCGCTCGGAGCTCGTGTTCCGGCTGTCGCTCTACATCGCGACCGCGCCGCTGGCGGGCGCCTTTGGCGGGCTGCTGGCCTCTGCGATCCTCAAGCTGGACCACTTTGGCGGCCTGCGCCGCTGGAGGATGATCTTTGCCATAGAGGGCATCATCACCATCGGACTGGCGCTCGTCAGCTTCTTCACCCTGACCGACAGGCCTAGCACGGCCCGCTGGCTGACCGAGGAGGAGAAGGACCTGGCCATCGCCCGCGTCAAGTCGGAGCGCGTCGGCACGACGGTGGTCCTCGACAAGATCGACAAGGTCAAGCTCCGCCGCGGCATCCTGTCGCCCATCACCCTCAGCATCTCGTTCATCTTCCTGCTCGTCAACGTGACGGTCCAGGGGTTGGCCTTCTTCGCGCCCACCATCGTCAAGACCATCTACTCGGACAAGACGACGATCCAGCAGCAGCTCTACACGGTCCCGCCGTACGCCGTGGCGACCTTCTTCACCATGTTCTTCCCCTTTGTCAGCTGGCGGCTGGACCGGCGGCAGATCTTCTTCCCGATCTGCGGCCTGCTCTGCGTGGCGGGCTACATCATGTTCCTGGCGACGGCGAACCCGTCGGTGCGGTACGGGGCCACCTTTGTCATCTCGTCGGCCTGCTTCTCGCTGGGGGCCATCACCAACGCGCAGGTGTCGGCCAACGTGGTCAGCGACACGGCGCGCAGCGCGGCCATCGGCACGGTGGCCATGCTGGGCAACGTCGGCGGCCTGGTGGCGAGCTGGTCGTTCCTGGCGTGGGACGGGCCCAACTACCCGATCGGCAACGGGCTGAACCTGGCGACCAACGGCATGATCTTTATCGTGGGCATCCTGACGCTGCTGTGGATGAAGCGCGACAACCGGAAGCGGGACGAGCGCAACATCGACGAGGAGCTGAGCGGCATGTCGCAGGGGGAGATCGAGGACCTGGACTGGAAGCACCCGGCCTTCCGGTGGCGGCCTTGATACCGGCCTGTGGCTTTGGATGTTGTCTCTGTGTAGTTATTTCTTTGTATGGGAAATAGAAGAGCGAGTCTTGCTAAGCACCCGAGATCGCTTTGTATCTCTTCCCTCCCCTTTTGAAGAGATTGGTGTCCTTGATATGCGGTTCTTTCTCGATCTGTTGCTAGCTCTGGGTGATTCTAGGGATCTCTGGGTAACATTCTCATGTAGTGGGAATCAGCAAAGACAAGATTGATCTGATCGAGGTACAGTATGATAGATAGGGCTTGCAAGAAATTGTATTCCGACTATGTTCTGCCTGCAATTCTCAATGTTTCTCTCCTGTGTTTGGAGGAACTGCAGGGAGTCCCACTGGATTGAATTCCAAGGCCTCCCATTGGCGACACTCGCCTGTGGGGAAAGGAGGGCGCATTCGACCACTGAGGGCGCTACGACTTACCTAAACCACAGGCCTGCTGACCACCAACACTGTGACGCAGTTGCGCGCCCGACTCCACTTCTGGCACCTACCTGCCCGGGCCACCCAAAGCGCCGGGGAATTTCTCGGAAGGGTCGCTTGGATGTCCCAGCTCAATCGACAATTGATGATAACACCAGCGCGTAAGGCAGCAGAAAACATCCGAGCAAGGTTCCGAGACAGGCTCCGGACGCAATGCATTTTACCTGCTGGCCCTTGCTGCTCGCTTGGATGGATATCAGCCAAGCGGCCAGTGGACGTGTGTTTCTCACCATTTGAATGTCCGGGTTCCCCTTATCGCGGTCCAGTACTTGCTTGTCCTTACCTACCTAGTGGGAGCGAGTCGGGCACTTGCCGACAGACAGGCCCAACGGGATTTCAATCGGCGACTGAGATCCACAAATCCCAGCGCAGCGAACCTATCGAATCGCACAGGCGCACCCCAGCATTCAACCTTGGAAGTCACTTGCCCACTTGGACCTGCCGAGCTCTTGGGTGGCCAGCAGGCGGTCGCCGAACCGGGCTCAACTCACCTCCTCCTCATTCCCGTGCATCCAATCCAGCCCACGCAATCAAGAACGGGCAGGTCGGATGCACTCAGATCATTCCGGACATCCCCTCTCCCAGCATCCTCGGCGACCATCTGCATTTTCGCGATCACATCGTCCATCGTTCCATCATCCCATTGTCGTCTTCATCGTCGTCGTTGTCGTCGTCGTGGTTCGTGATTTCATTTCGGGTCTGCAATCCTCTCTTGACTGCTCCACACCCCACGGGAACACGAGAGAGCGTGCAACACCCCCCTTTCAGCCATAAGCAGGCACGGCGGTAGTGGTGCAAGGCGGTGACACAAAGAGCATGCATCACCATCCACTGCAATAAACCCCTCTTTGGCATCAGGACTGTCCGCAAGACACCCTCCGGCGACCTTCGCCCATCATCAGATCAGGTAAATAAATACCATGGCTGCTCAAGCACCGAGGAGCCTGCTCTCGCAGGTCCTCCGCATCGCGGCAAGACCACAGCCCGCCGTCAGGATACGCCCGTCCTGGCAGCCGTGCAGCCGTCGGTGCATCCACGCCACGCCCCGACGGCTCACCGCCCGTCCGGACCATGCTGGCGGCAAGCGCGCAAACAGGAACAATGGGTCTTTCACCCTGCTCGCAGCTAGCGGCGGCCTTCTGGCCTCGCTCTTCGCCATCCTCCCGCCAGACTCCAAGCCGACCAAGAAAAAGTCCGAGGCAGCCGCCGCGCCGCCCGAGGAATCGGCCCAGGTGAGCAGCGTCATCGATAACAGAGACCCTTCGCTGCCGCGCTTCCGGCTCGCCGACGTCAAGAAGCACGACGCGTCGTCGCCCGAGCCCTGGGTCACCTCGGGCGACAAGGTGTACAACATCACTGAGTGGATCCCCGCCCACCCGGGCGGCGAGGTCATCCTGCGCGCCGCCGGCTCCTCCATCGACCCCTACTGGGACATCTTCACCATCCACAAGACGCAGTACGTCCGCGACATCCTCGAGACCTACCTCGTTGGCTTCATCGATGTCGCCGACCTCGACGAGCACGGCCAGCCCCGCCGCGAGAGCATCGAGGACCCCTTCGCCCAGGACCCGGCCCGCGACCCCCGCCTCCTCACCCTGACCCAGAAGCCCCGGAACGCCGAGCCGCCCGGCCAGGAGCTCGCCCGCGACTTCCTGACCCCTAACGAGCTCTTCTATGTCCGTAACCACATGTGGGTGCCCGTCGTAGACGAGGAAGAGAAGGCCGGCACGAGCGCGTTCGCCCTAACGATCGAGCTGCCCGACGGAGAGACGAAGAAGTACTCGATGCGCGACCTCCGTGAGCGCTTCCCCCACCACCGCGTCACGGCCGTCATGCAGTGCTCCGGCAACCGCCGCAGCGACATGACGCGCGCCGTCGGTGCGACCAACGGCCTGCAGTGGGGTGCCGGCGCCATCAGTAACGCAGAGTGGGAAGGTGTGCGGCTATCGGACGTGCTCGCTGACGCGGGTTTCAAGACGGCAGACCAGTACGCCGCCGCCTCGACCGCCGTCACGCCCATTGATAGCACCTCTCAGACCAGTAATGATGACCAAGTCCCCGACCCCAAGAATATGCACGTCCACCTTGCGGGCATGGAGGCCTACTCGGCCTCGATCCCGCTCTCCACAGCCATCGACCCCAGGGGCGACGTGCTGCTGGCGTGGGGCATGAACGGCAAGGTCCTGCCGCGCGACCACGGGTACCCGCTGCGGGCCGTCGTGCCGGGCCACGTCGCCGCTCGGTCGGTCAAGTGGCTGAACCGCATCGCCGTGGCGGACGAGGAGTCGAGTTCGCAGTGGCAGAAGCGCGACTACAAGTGCTTCGGTCCCAACGAGGGGGCCAAGCCCAACTGGGACAAGTACCCGGCCATGCAGGAGCTGCCCGTCACGAGCGCCGTGACCAGCGTGCGCGTCGGCCGCGACGCCGAGAAGGAAGCGTCGACGACGACGCTCGAGCTCGAGAAGCTCAATGGCGAGCGCGCACCTCCCGGTGTCAAGTGCCCGCGCGCCTGGGCCAAGGAGCACGTCCAGCCGGAGGAGCTGGCGCACGCCCCGCCCGTGTCGCTGGCGGGCTACGCCTACTCTGGCGGCGGGCACCGCGTGGTGCGGGTGGACGTCAGCACCGACGGCGGGCGCACGTGGGACCAGGCGCGGCTGCTCGACTCTGGCGAGGGCGAAGGCGAGGGAGACGGCCAAGGCCAAAAGATCTACGGCAACAAGGCCTGGTCCTGGCGCCGGTGGCAGTACGCTGGTCGGCTGCCTGCTAGTAAGGAGGGCGAGTGCGCGGAGGTGGTGGTCAAGGCGACGGACGACGCGTACAACGGGCAGCCCGAGACGCAGGCGAGCGTGTACAACGCCCGGGGCAACCTGGCCACCGCGTGGCACCGGGTCAAGGTGTGCCCGCGGTGCGTCGGGAGGGAGGAGTGGGTGACTGGGGATGTGTTTGGGAGTGGGTTTAAGAAGGAGGAGCCGAGGAAGGACGAGGGGAAGAAGTGAGAGGGTGATGAGAGGGATGGAGATCTTTTGGCAGGCCTTTCTTTCCTTTTGGTTATTTCGTTTGTCAGAGCGGGTTTTGTTTTCCCTTTAATTCCGACTGCTCGAGCTCACGATGGTGAGAGAGCGAGTGTCCGTGTTGTAAGTCGTTGCATGGCTGCGACGCTTCAAAGACATTGATTCCCTTTTATGTGTCCAAGTCGCTCGATAGGAACTTCAATGACCTAGTAATGCCGAAATCTATTTCCTCACGAGAACAAAAAAAGACACAGTCGGAACCCGGGAGATGAAGTGTAGTCGAAATAAAGTAGTTGTAGGAGTAGGAGTGAGCGAGAGGAAGAGAGAAACCCCAGGCTTGGTTGGTGCTCTCTGGGGAGCGCTAGCTACCCAGCACACACAAAGTGTGGTTGTGGGAGAGCTCGCAATCGCACGGGGTATGGCGTGATTGACCGACAACCGCCGCCCTCAATGCGGGTCTGGCCTGTCTGTGCTTACCTAACTAAGTCAGTCAGTCATTTGGGGGGGGGCGGTTCACTGAAACCGCGAAACAAGGTTGAGCGACTGAAGAAACGGCAACAACTAGATAGATAGACGACATGGACGTGAGATATAATATAGAAAACGGGAATTGAGATAGGAAAGAGATGCATCGCTGGAGTCTTTGAAGCGTGATTAAGATGGTCCGAGGTGATTGTTTTGATTTGTGGTCGCCGCGGCTCACGGGCTTCTAAGGTACTTTACTTGCTTAGATGGGAGACACAAACCAACCACCACCAAGCCAGCATCTTGAACCAGCGCGCCGTGAACATAGTAAAATGCTCCTGCATTGTGTGGATATTTCCACCTGTCTACACTCGTCCACTCACTCGTGAAACCCGGCAACGACCAGCCGGCAGGCCAAGCAGAGATAGATAATTTTCCTAGCTGCTCACAGGCTGCACACACAAATCCCCAGTCAACCCCCATTCCTCCTTTCCTGACAGGTAAGTAAGGGCCGACCAGGAAAGTACACATGTGCAAGTTTCGAAAAACAAAGTATACACGTAACATTACAATCGTACAAACCCCCAACTACGTCTACGTCTACGTCTACCCCCCCCCCCCCCCCCCCCCCCCCCCCCCCCCCCCCCCCCCCCCCCCCCCCCCTCGGCATCTCATCACACCGCCATCCGCCCACCCTCCTCCATCAAGACCAACCCAAGATCAGCTTCACACCCAATTAAACCGCCGCAGCAGGAAGGCAAGAGTCCTGCGCGCCTACAGCTCGTCGTCGTCGTCCACGCCGTCGGAAAAGTACTCAAACTCCCCCGGCACGACAGCCTCCTCATCGCCCTCGGCATCCTCGTCAATGGCCGTCAGCACGCCCGCCGCCGCCGCAGCGCCGCTCCCCGTGCCGGCGTCGCCGCCACTGCCACGGACGGGCGTGCGCAGGCCCAGGCCGCCCGCGCCCGCCGTCTGCCGGAGGAGGTCGTTAAGACTCCTCAGGTCCGGGTTGCCGCGCATGGCCTGCGAGAGCAGGTTCTGCTGGTCGCGTGACGACAGGCCGAGGCTACCGCCTGCCGAGCGGCCGGCTCCCTGGGCACCCGCCACGGGGGCCTTCTCCGTCGTGACCTTCTTCAGCTTCTCCTCGATCAGAGTCTTCTCCTCGTCCGGCTGGGTGTCTTGGAGCAAGAGCGGACCGCCGGTGGGCTAATAAACTGTAATTAGTATTCATAATAACGACTTGTGTGACGAATGCTTTGTGCGCTTACCTTCTTGACCGGCTTGTACCGACCAGCCGGGAAGCTGATGTACTTGAGTTGACCAGGCAGCACACGAGACATGTTCTCCATCTCGTAGCCGACCTTCTCCTTCTCGATCTTCTTCTTTGTCTCGGCCGGGGCCGACGCCTCCTTGTCGTCTCCCTCCTTCTTCTCAGACTCCTTGGCCTCGTCCTTGGTTTTCTTGTCCTCGTCGACATCCATCTTCTCTGTCGGCGCCGGAGTGCTAGCCTTGGCGACGGTGGGTGTCGAGTCAATGTCCATGCTCTCACGTCTGGCCGCGCGCTCCTTCTTCTGGGCACGGCGCTTGGCCTGCGCCGTTGTGGACAGGATAGCCGTGGCGATCATGGCGGGACCCTCCTCAGCCTTGACCTCCTGCTCGGGCGGGTAGTCAAACAAGCTCGGGCGGGAAGCGCAGTGGAACTTGAAGCTGGGGATCTCGAGGTCATGGTCGAGGCCGATGATGGACGTGGGGCTGAACGACAGGTTGAGGAAGTGGGTGAAGGGGAACCAGTACCAGTACTGGGTGAAGACGGCCATACCCACGATTCCGGCCATGTTGAGGTTGCCGGTCTGGGTCTGGAGGCCAATGGTGCAGTTGCGACCACCGGCATCGATGATACCGAGGGCGAGGGCGGCGCCAAACTTGGTCATGGCATCCTCGTGGCGATCACCAACGACCTTCTTCAGCGTCTTACGGATCGAGGCAACCTTGGGGTTCATGGCTTCGTTCTGCTGCACCATGATCATGGCGAGAGCGATCAGGGCACCCTGGCGGACAAAGTCGGTCGGGTCCTTCATCATGGGCTCGAGCAGGTCGATGGCCTCGTCCAGACCAGTGCCGGCACACGAGATGCCCAGAGCCATGGCAGAACCGTACCGGACGTGAGGGTTGTACGACTCGGAGAGGAGCTCGACCATGCGAGGCACGCTGCCAGGCTTGCGGAACAGGATGAAGCCCAAGCTCATGACGGCGATGCGGCGGACATCGTCGTTGACATCGCTGACGGCAATGTGGAGCAGCTTCCGGATGGCCTTGTTGCTGCCGGTGCCGCAGTAGGCCATGGCGACGGTCATGATGCCACCGTACCGCAGGCTCGGGTCGGGGTCGTTGAGGAGGCCTTCGATCATAACGTCGGCACCCTCCTGTCGCCCATACATGATCAGAGCCATGCCCAGAGCACAGCCGCGCACAATCTTCTCGTGGGTCGTCTCGTGAGCATACGTATACATAATCTGGAGAGCATTGGCGTTGCCGGTGCCCAGCATGATCAGGCCCATGGCCAGACCAACAGCCTCGCCGTTGAGAGCAGAGTCGGCCCACAGGACGTTCTTGAGGCTCTCAAACAGGCTCTCGTCACCGGTAGCCATACCGGCAATACCCAGGCCCAGAGCACCGCCGTGCTGGATGACCTCCTCCTCGGCCGAGGTGAACATGTCGCGCAGGTACTCGAGAGCGTCGGCGCCATGGTTGGCATGGATCAGGCCATACGCGTACAGCGCGCCACCCTGGCTGAAGGCAGAGCCCTGGCTGATGCCGCCTTGGCGAGGAAGATACGGCTCAAGCAGCTTCCTGGACTGGGTGAGGTTGCCGCGGTGAATGACACCCAGGGCAGCGGTGGCGGTGAATTTGGACCAGTTAACAGCCTTGCCGAGCCATTCCAGATTGTCGCGGAAGAACTTATCATGCGTGGTGCCGGCATTCATGAAGGCGTTGCAGAAGGTAACTGCAGTGTGGAAGATGGAGTTGCGGCCCTCGAGGCTGTCGCGGACCTTGTTCAGGATGCTGAGGTCGGTGTGGTTGTTGCGGTACAGAAACTCGAGGTTCAGCTTGATGGCCTTGCTACCGTCGAGGATAGATCGGATGTTCTTGTAGACCTTGGAGGTCGCGTCGAGCTCCTCGTCCTGGGCCTCGCTAGTGTCCTGGTCTTGGAGGAGGGGTTTGGTCTCGCCGTTCTCGTCGGCATCCTCAACCTTGGCGGCCTCGGGCTTCTTGGGGGGCTCACCCGAGGGGAGAGACTTGATGACCTTGCCGAGGAACTCCTGGGTGCCGTTGTCGTAGAGGTCAAACGCAATCTGGTAGGCGTTGGTGATAGAGTCCCGGTCGCCGTTGTCTACCAGGGTCCGGAGCATGGTCGAGGCCTCCTCGTCCGAGTTGAGGTAGACGACGCAGCGAGCAATGGCAAAATAGTCGGGGTTTGGTATATCGTTGAGCAGATCCAATATCAGCCTCAGGATCTCGGTCCGCAGACTGCGCTCCTGGACGACGTCCATGCAAATACCCAAGGCGTACTCCATCAACTCCTCGGTTGAACCCTGGGCAGCCTCTTGCGCCTTGCCCTTGGACTTCTTCTCGTCGTCGCTGGCGCGCTTGATGACACGGCGCAGGACATCGAGATTCTTCGCCTCAACAGCGATGCCGACAACCTGTCGGTAGCGGCCCTCCCTCAGGCAATTCTCAAACAAGCGCTCGATGATTCTCTGCAGGGCGGCCTGCGTGTTGTCGTCGGGCAGCTGGACAATCGATCCAGACCGGCCCTCCTTGGTGACAGGCTGGAAGGTCGGGTCGAGGATCGTGTTGTCGGTGTTGGCGCGCGAGAGAAGAGACTTGGAAGGAAGAGTCGACTGCGAGAAAGGGGTGGTCGGGGAGATCAGAGCAGAGCCCTCAGCTCCGCCAGTAGCAAAGGTCTCCTCGAGGTCGGAGAGGGAGACGTCGTTCTTGGAGGGCTTGGTCGGGGTGTGGCCAGCAGAGGAGACGGCGATGTACTGGTCGACACACTTGGAGATGATGGTCTCTTCAAACTCGCCGGGTGCGTCGAGCTTGAAGAGATCGCCAGCAGCCAGGGCAAAGGTCATGCTCTCATTGTAGGCCTGCAGATGGTAGTAGACCTTGGCGAGGACGAGGGCGGCCAGCTGTCGCTCGGGGAAGGATTCGTCTTCGTAGAGTGCCTCGCTATAATTGTCTTGGGGTCAGCTTCCCACAACTTGGGCAAAGGTCTGGGGTCGCAGTGGCGAGCGTGGCTTACATCTCGCTCAACGCGCCGGCGACCTCGGTCCAGACGGTGTCGATGTCATCGTTGAGAGTCTGCAGGGCAAAGACTTTGAGCTCGGGCTCCTCGTCGGCCAGGAAGCCCAGGACACCGGTTGCTGTGACGAGTCCAGGCATGTTTGGTACCGCGACCAGCTGTCGTGGATGGGCGTCTCGACGGAGGGGGGAGAGAGTAATTCGGATGGATTAATTGAATTGTATACTGAGCTGGAAAATGGCTCGATGGGGTCCTGCTGGGGCGAGGACGATGCAATGAAGGAGAGGATGGGGATTGATGCAGAGATTTGCCTGTTGGTGGTGATGGTGGAAGGAGGGAGAAGCTACCTAGGTATGGATGGCTGTAGCGACCAGCCAGCAGGCAATGTTGATCCACGTCAGGCACAGCTTGCCTTGCGACGACGCCTGCTCCTGCTTACGGAGTAGTGCTAAGCAAGAGCTGAGCACGGACCTAGCTGGGCTAACCCGTTCGAGTAAGAAGTTCTCGTGCTCTGCCGCCGCTTATGTAAGGCATCCAGCCGAGAGGGCCTACGCCTTGTTATCGCGTGTGTGGTGTTTCATCCCAATCTCATACGCTCACGTGAGCCGGGCACTAATCCCGACCAGGGCTAGCCCCGCACTCGGGATGGGCAATCGAGGAAATTGAGGCCAGAATTGCAATCCACTTGTTCTCGGAGGATTTTCTCTCTCGTGCTGCTTGTCAGAACGGAAGCTCCATCCAAAGTAAGTCACTGTGCAGCGTCACACGTTGGGGGAGTAATGGATTGGGGTTGCTTGATTACTCTTGCATTCATTCACTCACTCCCGGCTACCTAAAGTACCTACCTGTTACCTTAGGTATTCCGAGTCTAGTTTTAGAGAATGTTCCCTAATCCATCCATCCACCTACCAATTCCCTTTTCCCTTCAAAGCCCGCGTAACTCGTTAGTCGTTACACTCTGTCTACAACAGAATTAAGGTGTGGCTGTTAAGCCGATGGGCTCTGTGTCTCACAATTCACTAACAGCACTGGCCGTGGACCAGGCTGCAGCAATCTTTGCACAAATGGATGGATGGCATGACCAAGCTCTCAAGGCCGCCCCCCCCCCCCCCCCCCCCCCCCCCCCCCCCCCCCCCCCCCCCCCCCCGCCCCCCCCCCCCCCCCCCCCCACACCTCCCTAGAGCTGCAGCATGCTACAGGGGGCCCAGCACCCAAGTTATGGGGCATTCTGGGACCGTAGCCTCCACTACAGAGCGCAGAGCGGGCTGGCGGCCTGCTGGCCTGCTGGCCTGCTGGCCTTGGATGAGGCCGCGCCATCTCTGGCTTCTGAGAGGTCCCGGCCAGAGAGCCTGGCGCACCACCGACAAACCCTAAATTTTTCTGAACTCTGGTTCCTCTTTGTGTCATCTGCAACGTCAATCCCGCGATACCTGCGGCCTTGGCTTCACCCATCAACCCTCCCGGAGGACTCGTCCGGCCGCTCGCTCCTAGTGTGTATTTACCACGCCGTCGTGCCTGTCTCCATTGTCTCTGCGCCGGCCAAGCTGTCGCGACATAGCCACGGCGCCGACTAGCTCGGGCATTCCAGCCCTGTGTGTTTGCCTGCTTGAGCCTCCTTTATGCCGGCCTGCAGCACGATGTAACGCCGCCTGCCCGACTGCCGATCCTAGACTTTTCAAAAACCTTCGCGATAGACATCCTTCGGTCTCGAGCCTTGCAGGCGCGCGTGCTCACGACACTCCTCCGATATCTTTGTGTACACGAGCGCAATCCTTCGATGCTGTGGTGAAGCTGAGTGCCGGCAGCGGAGGAACAAAGCGTCATATCACGGCTGCGACAACGCCGCCGAAGCCCACGGGGAGAAGCGCGTCACTCTCAGCCCGACCCAGCTGCTGAATAGCCAGCAGCACCCAGACAACCTCCGCCGAGATGGATCTCCGGTCCATGCTGAACGCCTCGGACGGCGCGGCCGCGGCTGCTGCGCAGGCCAAGTCGCAACAGATGCGCGAGCCATCGACCCCTGTGCAGGCCATGCCGCCGCAGTTCCGCGACTACAGCCAGTCCACGCAGGCATCGCCTAGGAGGTCTGCCTCCCACGACTTCCCGCCCCAGCAGCATACCCCCGGCCCGGCGCCGTACGCATCGCCGTCTTCAGCGTACCCGCCCTCGGCCGGAGGAGGCCCGTATGGAGGTAGGCCCGGGCCGCCGCCCCAGCTCGTCACGGGCCACGACCCGCGCTCGCCGAGCATCGGCGCCGCTCCCTCTCCCTATCGGCACACGCCCACGGGCTCAATGAGCGGCGTCGCCGGAGGCTATCCGTTCCCGAACACAGGCCCGCCCGCGCCAGTGAGTCCTGTGCAACGGCACCAGCAGTACGCGCCCACTGGCGCGTATCCGCCGAGAGACAGCTACTCTCAGCCCCCCGGCGCCTCCGTCGCTGGTGCCACAGGCCAGCCTGCCCATCCTTCGTATATGCAAGGGCCGCCCCAGACACCTCCCGTGGGCACCCCCGGCGGCCCGAATCCATACCTGCACCAGCGCTCCCAGTCCGCGCAGTCGACGCCGACGCCGACCTCCGCCCAGAGCCAGCACCAGTATGGCCCCCCGTATGCTCAGGGCAGCCCAGTGGTGTCGCACCATCCGCCGCCGCATCAGCAGCAGCAACACTCACAACCGCCTCAGGATCAGATCAGACATCCCTCACAACCACCCACACCACTAGGCCCACCTCTCTCTACCCAGCGCCCCCCCTCAATACCGGGAGGCTACGCACAACCACCGAGCCCTTACCAACAACGCATCGCCTCCACCGGCTCATATCCTCCTCACCTTGCCACCCACCCTTCACCCGGCCCACCTCCACCCCCGTCGGTGCCACGAATGCCCAGCAGCCACAGCACGTACGACCCGACCGCTGAAGCGCACAGGAGGTCTATCTCACAAAGCGAGCGCGGCCGAAGCGTCAGTATCAGCCCCAAGACACGCGTGTCGAGCCTGCCCAGCAGCACCGGTCACCCCGTGCCCGACTCAGACCCGCGTCACGCCAGAGCCATGTCGGGCGTCGAACCCGACCGCGACCGCGCTGTCACGCCGGCGAAGCGAAAGATGGACGATAGAGATCTGGGGTCAGACGAGATCGACCCGCGCGAGCCGCGGCCGGCACCCTTCCAGGGCATCAACGGCTCTCACGTGCCCTCCCGCAGCGGCCCGCCGGCGGCCATCTCGTCGCCAGTCGCCCAGCGCAGGAGAAAGATCCGCTACAGGGAGCCGCCGGTGTGGGCGCGTGCGTTCGAGCACGGTGCGCAGCTCAAGAAGGCCAACTACGTCGTTCGCAAGGGCGGCGGACATCACCCGCAGGTGAACGGCAGGTCAGACGGCGACAGGGAGCCGAGCAGGCAGACCTCGCCCGAGGCCGGGCGCACGGCCACCAGCCAGCCGCCTCCGGCGAAGGTCACCAATCCCAAACTAGCTCTGCTTGGTGGCGAGTGGGAAGAGTGCATCACCGGCCAGAAGCCGTACGAGGAGTTTACGAGGCGGGTCGCCGACTTCTTGTTCCTCAACGTGGTTGCCAACCCCAACTTGCGTGAGATTATGAATCGCGGCGTGCAATTCGAGATCGAGGCCAAGCTCGGCATGTTGGTTAGTAAGAATACCAACGGCCGGTTTGAGCTGCCCGTCACGTCGGAGTGCATCATCCGCGAGGATGCCGAGATTGCGTTTCGTAGTAGCATGAGCGAGGTAAGATATCTCTCTGCCCAGTTCTAACGACACATGACACGTGAAGATGCAAAGGCGCTAATGACACTGTTTCTTTCGCATCCGTCACAGGCACAACACCAAGCCTTCAACGGGTTCCTCAACACCGTGGTGCAGCAGACGCACCCGGACAACCCGGAGAACAAGGGCCGCGAGAAGCCGCGCGCGCAGGTGCGCTACAAGCACTCGCGCGAGAAGGACTGCTTCTTCGAGCTGCCGCCGGCCCTGCAGGACCGCCTGCCGGGCTGCGTGCGCGGGCTGTTCCCGACCAAGCACACGCCCGCCGTGCGCGTGACGTACGACCAGGCCGACGGCACGGTGACGGCCAAGATCGTCAAGGCGAAAGTGGCGAACCTGCACGTCCACTTCCCCATGTGGCCGCTCGACTGCCGGCTCAGCGTCAACCTCGAGATGGACTGGGACGGCCCCGTCGAGGAGCTCGAGGCCGCGGTGAGCCAGTCGGCGCGGGAGCGCAAGCCCGACCGCAACAAGGACCGGCTGAGCTACAAGCAGGGCCACATCCAGGTCGACCTGACGCAGGTGACGCACTCGGCGCGCGGACCGAACGTGAGTCTTTCCTGCCCCTCTCTTTTTTTTTCCTCCCTCTTTCTTCATGACAAGACTGGACCTTGACGTTGACATTGACATTCTTCTCACAGAATACGGAGCGCGTTGAGAAGGAGCACGAGCTCGAGATCGAGATCAACCCGCAGATTGTCATCGAGCAGGGCACGCGGGCGCAGAACGGCGAGGAGCACGCCTACCAGGAGGTCGTCGAGGCGCTAGTCGACAACGTGCGCGCCCTGGCGCGCATCGCGGCCGACTTTCCGTACTGAATGGGGAGGAGGGAGGGCAATTGGGTGGTGCCCACGAGGAGGCAAAAGCAAGGCAGATGATGAGGATGCGCATACTCGGAAGACAACATGGGAGAATGACAGCAGCTCTTATTGACATGACAGGCAGGGGAGAAAAACAATACTGGGTCTTTTTTTTTTTTTTTTTCATTTTAATCATTATTACCTCTTCTGAAGAAAAGGGTCTTCTCTTCTCGAAGAGCTTTGGCAGTAGGGGGGGGATATGACGAAGGACGGGAAAAGCAGAAGCGGGAAGATCGTTCAGAAAGCCTCCTTTTTTTTTTCCATCTTCTGCTTTTGATACCAAAACGGCGCAACCTCTAGGCAGGGTGATCTTGCGGATGGTGGGGCGGGTGTTAAGTAGCTTGGGAGCTTTCGTTTCGGGGATCTTTATTCACTTTGTCTTTCTGTTGCTTGTCTCTTTTTTTTCGTGTTGGGGGAAGAGAGAATAAAGCAAAGTAGGCAAGGACTGGGTTTTCTTGGGCAAACGGAATAGGGATGGAAAGTGTGCGGGTGTGTATTGAGGCGAAAGGCCGAGGGGAGGAGGGAGATCTGATCCGACAGTCTGAATACCTGATTGATGGGCATCCAGTACCTACCTAGGTAGGTAGACTTTGGACGGCTTCCTGCAAAGTGGCACGCACATTGCTGCTTGCCGGCTGTGGCTGAATTCTACTTTGAGGGTGCAGTCCCCCTCCCCTTTGAGACTTTTTTCCAGACGCCGTCATGTGCCTTTTCGTCGAGAGATTGGGCTGTGTGATTGCTTGCCATGCGGTCTTATGACCGAAGAGTGTATGTAATCCACGAGGGCGCTGTCGCAAGAGCTCAACGAAGAGACTTCTTCCCTGTGACTGGGGTGTTATGGGATAAGTGCCACTTCCTTTACCTGGTAACTTTTCTAAGGTACCTACTTACCTACCTTACCTGTCACTTGTGGATTCGGGGTCTAAAGTACCAAAGTCCTTGTACCGGCCTAAGGTACATTAGGTTAGGTAGTTAGGTAGGAATATTGTTTATTGGCACACTATCCGGAGAGCTCTTTCGGTTCCACACTAAGATATCCCTTTTTAGTTATTCCACTTGCCATGCACCCACTATGACCTCGCTAGAAATTAAGCTTAAAGACAAGTACATCCTATATCTTAGCCCTCAGTCAGGAGAGACAGCGGGTATTGTATTGCCGAGATCCTCGCGCCTGGCGTGTCCATCTTTCTCGAATGCAAACAGCTGACATACCCAGCCCACTCACAAGAGCCAGTCTCAGTCACCCTCTTGTTGTGGATACTCTACAATTGAGTTGCCCACCTGGGCAGGAGCAGATCAAGGCTATGTGGGCCATGTTGGATGCCAATGTGGCTCTCGACTGCAAATGCTTTATGTACAAGGAAACCCGTCCCAAGATGTGCTAAACAAAGGCCTCATACGTCATGATTATGATTGTCAGATGCAACATTCAGTGTTGGGTGGTCAGTAAAAATGCTTGGGAGATGCCAGCATGAAACACCCAGAGAGGGGACAGAAAATAGATACATAGACGTTAAGTCCTCCACCTCAGCAGTTGGTAAGTAGGGTTCCTTGTCCGTCATGCGGGCGCAAGAGAGATTGCTTTCAGGTTGGTTCCTCATTGCTAGGTACCTGTTGAACATGCGATCCTCCCTAGGTAAGGTACCTACAGCTCTACCCCAAAATCTAGGTGAGGGTACACTTTTAGACGAGACAGGCCTGTACCCATGCCTTTCCAAAAGCAGATCAAGGCTATGTGGGCCTCCTGGTCAATGTTGGGTGCCAATATGGCCCCAGACCGTCCGTAGATGCTTTATGTACAAGGAAACCCGCCTCAAGACGTGCTAAACAACGGCCTCACACGTTATAATTATGATTGTCAGATGCAATGTTCAGTGTCGGGCGGCCAGTGAAAATGCTTGGGAGATGGGATACTAGCGTGAAACAACATCAAGGTTCTCTTTTGGTCCGACAAGATCAGGTGGACGCACTCTAGCTACTACATGATAGTTATCCAAGAACAATAAAAGCCTCCTCCCTTTAACACCCTCTCCCACCCAGGCCCTCATATCCAGACCGCCAAGCAGTGTTCAGAATAGTCCATCAGGGGAAATGCCCAACGCAGCTGATCCATCTCCTTGCTCCGCAACAGCCAGGTATCCCGCTTTCCCAAACCCGAGGCCAGAGATCTTGCCAAGCCCCACCGCACGGGGCACGAATCTACCGTCCCGCCTCAAGCGGACGAATGCTGGTGATGCCAGACAAGAATGCTGACAAAGTTGCAGAGAATCTTCTGCCTCCCGAGAGGCTGGGTCAGGTCGTGCCACTTTGACCTGGAGACCCTGACCTCTACATCTGCCGGGCATTCAAGCTTGAGATCGGCCCTCTTCTTGGTGCTGGCAGACAGGAACTCGCGGTAACGGCAGCCGAAATCGAATTCGAAGACTCGACAAAAGACATTGGAAGTTGCGATCACAAAGACCAGGGCTCGGCCGTCCTTCTCCACGTATCTTACCTTCATCCGCAAATGCCGACACCGCCTCGCCAAAAGATTGTGCCAGCAATTCCTTCCCTTTGACACTGTTGTCATCAAGCTGATGGTCCTCCTTTAGCGGCAGTAACGCACGCTTAGTCTCGAACAGAGCCACAGCGTCGTCCCGCACAACCCATCGACCACCAGTGTATTCGCGCAAGATCAGGCCGCCGTCGTCTTGGGACTTCACAGACTCTCCGTCAATACCCATGGGGTTTGTTGGAATCTTGCGTGTCTGGTGCTCAAGCCGCAGGTCGTACTTAGCATGCCCATCGGCTGGCACGGTGTCAGTCTTGGCGCCTTTGTCGAGGCTCATCGCAGTGGTCTCTTCGTTATCGGGGAGAAGGCACTGGTGGAGCAGAAAGTCGAAGAGCTGAATGTTCAAGACCTCAGTTATCTGCTCTGGAAGAGACCGTCGCAGCATGAAATCGTCCGCTTCGACCACGCTGTTAGCCACACTCTCTGAGAACGTGCTGTGGGAGGACCCCGTCGTAGCTGATGAGGCGATGGAGTTTGACAAGTCGGACGATGTCAGTTGTCCCTTGTCCGCTTCGACCACACTGTCGGCCACACTCTCTGAGAACACGCTGTGGGAGGACCCCATCGTAGCTGATGAGGCGATGGAGTTTGACGAGTCGGACGATGTGAGTTCTCTCTTGTGCTGCGCCAGGAGAATATATTGATCCGCATGCTCGGTGGGCACCATGCCCGCAAATCGCTCCGGGGGTTTGACATCCCGCTTTGGACGAGACTGAGGGACTTCCTCTTCCTCTTCCTTTGACTGTGGCTTTTGATCACCAGGGAACTGGATTGCACGCAGCATAGCAAGGACAAGATTGGTGATGCGACTGCGGCGGCGGCTCACAAGAAGCGGAGAGGTATGGTATGTGAGCTTTGGAAAGTCATTCAAGAGGGCATTGACGGCCCCCGAGTCCATGGCCGGAAAACCAATGGGATTCTGGCCCGGCTTGCGAGGACAGCAGTTGCGTGTACCATCGTTGTGGACTTTCCTGAGGCGGACCGGGATATCACCGCTGCTGCTCGTAGGGAATTTCAGGCGGTAGCGGTCGAGGTGATCACCCCCCCACTTGCTTGTCGACACTTTGAGGTTTTCGGCCATGGCTTGACCAGACTGATTCCAGCGATCGGTGTGAGCCGGGGAGAAGTGCCAGGCATGCCTTCGTATTAGAGTGCGCCCCTCGGCTGCCATTTGAAGGGTTCGATATAAGGCGACATGGCGCCAAACATAACAGATTTGCTTGACAAGCAGCGGGAGGACTGGTTGGAAAACATGATGCGACATGCCGCCAAACATGGCGGCTTTGCTTGGCAAGCGGCGGTCGGGCTGGTCTCGGCAGGGTGCCAAACATCACGGCACTGCTTGGCAACTGGTGGTCAGAATGGTTGGCAGGAGTTCATCAAGAAACATCACGATACGGGTCATCTCACTACCTAGAGTAGTGGGTTTGACGAGTGACGACATACCTCTGCTGCCAGCCCGTCGACGAATCCGACCACCGCTGCTTCCTTGGCCGGGTCATGACGGGGGCGAGGGGGAAAACAGAATGGCAGAAGGAAGACCCAAAGTAGTTGGCAAAGAAACCAACAGCAAGCCAAGGTAGGCAATCTGATCATTGCTTGCTTGGCCAGGTTTGCCTGTGGTGTGCCGTGAAGAGGGAAACGAGATGACAGAGGGAAACCTAAAAAGAAAGAGTTGTCAACAAAATCAATACAATCTGATCCTCGCTTGCTTGCTTGGCAAGGTCATAACGGACGTGAAGAGGGAAACGAAACAGAAGAGAAAACTGAAAAGAGATGGTCAAAGCAATCAACAGAAGGCTGCACAATCAAGCGTGCCGGAACGGGAGGAGGCGCGAGAGAAGCCCCCGACCGAACAATGACACGGGCATACGAGATGGAGAGACTCAGCTCTCCCACCTCTGATTGTCCTCGCAGCGCACAATCACGGGCTGGATGTTTCAGGAGCACCCGGGGGGCGTCACAGTGGCTCGTAGGGCTTTGCCAACGCCCCAAATACAATTAATTTCACCGGGGTGGGTGGGACAACATTGAACCTCGGAAGCGTTATTACGTTGCCTTACACAGTCCCACTCTTCTGTCCCGTTATTCAACTGAAAGACTGGCCGGCAATCATTGTACGTAGCCAAGACACGGCATGGTCGTTTGTGATTTTTGTAGGGACTTTCACTGCTTGCTCCAGGCTGAAGTGGCAAGCAGACCGACCAGCCTCCAGCTCCAGTTCAGCAAGCTTGAATGGACGGACAGGTGGGCAACGTGAGAGTGAGTGAGTGAGTGAGTGAGTGAGTGAGTGAGTAAGTGAGTGGGGCAGCGCGTTGCAAGTGGGGCGCCGCTTACGCCCTACCCGAATTGTTTGTCCAAGTAACTACAAGTACGTACAAGTACGCATCCAGGTACCTAGGTAACTACCTATAGGTACCTAGGTAGTAGGTAGATCCCTAGGCGGTTGCAAAGTGCAATTAGCTTTCAAGTTGGGTACAAGAGAGGTATATAGGTACAAGTAGTTCGCCCGAAAGAGTGGAGACGCGATTACCGGCCCCTGGTCCGCGTCGCTTCGCTTCAACTGCCCCGCCCGGAACACAAACCGAAAGTACCAGCGACTTGACCCTACCACGCACTTCAAACTACAAATCACACAAGCACGCCTCTTCTTATTTCTCAAACGCCCCATCCTGCCTGCGCACCTCCCCGGGAGGTACCATCCACAGGGTAGCAGAGGTGTTGATCCGCGCGTCGAGTCGCAACGACCCTTTTTCCTCCTACTGATCGAATTGATGACCTGACTTGCAGCATGGCAAATGGTAATGTCGTGGCAGGCACAGGCCTGGTCCGGTCGCCAGCCCATCTTGGCGGTGGCGCGCACTGCAGTCAGGACGGCAGCAGTCTGATCTCGAGCGTGGACGAGACCAAGGACCAAAACAAGGAGAATGAAGACCCGAGCCGCTGTAGCAGCAGCCTGGGCAAGGTGGAGGGCAGGGACATGCCCTGCACTCAGGTCTCCGAGGAGACCCTGACCCTGAGTCGCCCGAAAAAGAGCAAGAAAAAGAAGAAGAGAACGGCCCCCCAGGAGCAGCAGGCACCCCCCCAGGAGCAGCAGGCATCCCCCCTCGACGACACCAACTCAGCAAAGCCTCTATACCAGCCCGAAGAGTTGGCCAAGCTAAAGGCTATGATCAGCTCGGCGGAACGCCGCAGCCCCAACACTCTACCGGTAGCATCCGCACCCAACTCGTTGAACAGCATCCTTCGTCAGCATCCCCGAACTCGCCTGTTCGTTTCCCCCAAGCGCTGGACCAGCCTGCACCTGGAGCTCCTTTGCACATCCATCGTCGACTATGAGCACCCAGAGCCTGGCCCCCCCCGCCCGGCAAAAGACGAAAAGTGGCAACTGTATGGTGCGTCGCGATTCGTGAAGTGCCCCTGCCTCAAACAGAAGGTTCCCTACTTGTTCTTGATGCTATTCCTCAATTGGGACCTGTGTCACTTCCATCCGTGAGTTCTCTCCCTGCCTTTCCCTCTCACCTGGCCCATTCGTCCCCATTCATCCTCACTGCTCACACAACCTGTCCTCGTATTACAGCCCCGGATCGATCGACCCTTTCAAGAGCGAGCTCTACTTCCGGTATGGCCACATTAAACTCCGGCTTCCCGTCAAGGAGCTCTTCTACGATGGCATGGCACCAGGCCTCCCCGACTTCGACTCAAGGCCGGCGCCCTCGGTTGCCGTGGTCGACCTCCGAGATGTCGCCCGTCGTGTCCTAGGTCCAGTACGGTACCAAAAAGGCATTCAGTTAGAAAAATGGGAACCCTACATCCTTGGCGTCCTCATCGCTCTTGCCTGTGGCATCTACTGCCAGCAAATCGAATTGGGCGGGCTTGGCCAGACTGTGCGAGTGAGTTGATTGGCAGTCCACGAATCCACTAACCTGTTTCGCAACTAACTATTTTCTTCCTTGGCTTAGGTCCATGTCATCAACTACTCCGAGGAGCTCGGACGCAGCGTGGTTCTCTATAGCGCTGATGTACCCTTTGAGTTCGTCCTCAAGTTTCTCACCCCGTCCTCGTTCGTCGCTGCTGGCCCGCTCGAGATTCGGCGCACCCGCGTCTGGTTCAACGACGAGCATGATATCGTACCCTTCCTCGACAAGATGTACAGTGTGAAGCGCTGCAGAGGGTACACGAAAGATCATGCACGCAACTGAGACATCCCAATTGCGTACACCCCGGGTCGGGTGTCGGAGTATGACCCTGTCCACGGCAAGGGGGTCAGGGCGACAAAAGGGACCATATCTCATCACCACGGCGCGGGCGCTTTGCATCTCTTCCTCAGCTCGCCGGACGGAATCCAAAGACGTCTCTCTGCCGACACGCCTACTGGCAGGTCCCAATGCGCGCAACTTTGTACTTATTCTTCAAATCGCACGTCAGCGATCTACGAGCCGTTTCATTCTCGCAGGAGCGCATGGAGTGCCTCGGTCATGTTGTTGGATGACTGGATACCCAAGAAGGAATACGGCTCTCGACTGGGGGAAAGGTCGCTGTGTCTGCCACAGCACTACCTACTACCACCTGTATAACACCCCCCGCATCACGATGTCCGAACATGGGGACAGGAGCAACTCTTGATGTTGACCTCATGTTGTCATATCACAGGCGGCCGGCGTTTCGGCAGCCTTCTCTGTGCAGGCTCCTGCACCCTTGCATGAACACTACTTTGTTACATAATCTAATTTCCTCTCTGTTTAATACAGGCAAGGTTTGCCTATCTCGGGTCCTTCACAAATCGGTCTTGCATGCTCCCTAGGGGGTGAAAGCTTGTGAGCATTTGCCCGAGTCTCTACTGGTCTACATTTCGTGAACGCACCCTTCCCTCGCTTTATTCTAGACCAATCATGGCACTGGCGTCCGCTCTCGAGGGCAGACATCACTGGCCGGTTGACTTGCGCGATGGAGCACCCTGCTCTCCGCGTTCCCGGCACTTAGGGGCTTTCAAGGGTATTGCCACACTGGAACTCGCTGATGCCGGTGGTTGTGGAGCATCATCGCGCTCCTGTTGTCTGCGCCCCTCTCGGCTCGCGACTTGCTACAAGGCCTGCCCGGCGTCGTCTACTTCACGTACCATCCCGGAAGGAGCCGTTTCTCTCGCGGCCTTCGCGGCCAGACTCCCTCCACCCCCTCCAGCCGAACCAGGTCTGGCTCTCCTCATGCGGGTCCTCGAGCCAGCGCGAGCGCGAGGCGACGGGCCTATGCCCTGGGCGATGCAAGCATTGCATCGTCAGTAGCTGAGCGACTCGCCCGGCCATCATTCCGGCAGGCAATTACCGCAATACAAGGCCAACTTGCCAAGCCATACAGCGAGGTTTGGATCCAGGTGAGCTCGTTCTCTCGCTCCGGATCCCATCGGAGGCGCGCCGGAACCCGGAACGCTCTCTGTGCCGCCGCAGCGTTGGAGGTGGCGTCTCAGGGGTAGCATATCGGGCGGCGGATCCGCCTGATTGCCTACTGCATTTCAATAGGACTCTGCCAGCCGAGATCGCAGATGTGAACATGTGCCCTAAATGTAAGCGTCGCCTTTTTCTGTCAGCATCCATCGCGGCTCGGGATTGGTTCTTAGTTTCTCTGCAAGAGGGCATTGGAATTTCTCTGAACCTGCCGTTTTAGGACTGGTACGGAGGGTTGAAAGCAACGTCGATCTGTGGCGGAACCCATTTTTTGAACCACCGTTGTCATTGAGGTACTGGGTACTTGACGGGCCAAGTGAACTACCCTGTTCTTGGACGTTTCTGACCCACCACCCACCTTTTAAGGTTATTTTTAGGCCAAAAGAAAAGAAAAAGAAAAAACCGAAACAACCCTTACCCACGTATGCTACTTGTACAAGAACAAGAATTCTCTTACAAGGTAGTATCCTACCGAGATCATGCCATCCCCAACGTACCTACCTGTAGAGAGATCCGGTTACTCCACTACGAAGTTTCGGTACATCATGGCATTCAATGCTCGTTCGAGTACGTACGTACCAGGCGCGGGCCCTGGCCGCCTTGAATTCTGACTGGTTTTCAGACACCAGGATCCCAGCGTTTCCACAGCGAGGGAACCCTCTCTTTGGTGGCCCTGCTTCTCCATCCAAGATCAGCACAAGTCTTCAAAACCACTGGAGAGAAACGTTATCTGGCCCTTGCATGAAGTGGACCTTAGTTAGGTACTGCGGAGTCCTGAGCTAAGATTTACGGAGTACCTTACGTTAGGCAAAGTTAGGTAGTCTATTTATGCCGGCAGGCCTTGCTGAAGGAAGATCGTCCCTGGAACTGTTGCCCCACTCGATTTAGCTCGAGAGCCCTTCCACCTCGGTAGGGCACTTTCTGCACCGTTTACAGGGCCCATGCAGCAAGCACCAGCAAGCGCAAGGGGGGCAGTAGCAGGCCAACGCTCCCCTGTCCCAACTAAGCAGGTACCTAGGTAGGTAGCTAGCTGTACCTGCAGTAGGTAATACCTACCTACCTAGCCTTCGCGCTGACAAGGACAATGCATCAAATCCATTGCAGCCAGTCAGCCAGAACCACCCAGTGTTTACCTACCTCCCTCTAGGTAGGGATTTCAATGCCGGCGGTCTCTTCAAAGAAGCAATAGGTAGGTTTATTCATATGTGGCCTCTGACGGATTTCTCTGCGCTATGGATCCGGACATTCAAGACGTTGCTCTCCTCGCTCATGTTGTCGAGATCGTGCGACTCCAGGCAGGCGTACCGGCTGAGCAGCACGGCCTCGTACGTCCTCTCCGCGACCTCCAGCTGGTAGTCCCGCAGCGCCTCCTCGCGAGACTTGGCGCCGCCCCTCCACTGCTGGAGCTGGCGGACCAGCTCGACGGCGTCGTATATGCCATGGTTGGCTGCCTCGCCGCGATCTGAGAGGCGCGCGCGGGACGCCGGAGTTAGCATCGGGGCATCGGCACAGGTTCGATGGAAGCAAAGAGCGCGCCACACTCACACATGGTCATGGTGTGCGCCGCGTCCCCCAGCAGCGTCACCCGGCCGCCGCGCGACGGCCACCTCTGCGTCGGCCAGTCCTCCAGCTTGATCCCCAGCGCCGGGCTGTCGTCGGGGATTCCCAGGATGGCCTGCCTCAGCGTCGGGAACATGCCCGTGCCCGCGACGGCCGCCCCCTTGGCCTTGGCGATCTGCTCCGGCGCGGTCCGGGGCGTCTCCCCGTGCCGGTCCACCATCCAGCTCATGTTGAACTGGCCCTCGTAGTACTCGCCGCCCGCGGCCGCTGCGCTGCCGTTGGTCTCGGGCGTGGACAGCGCCGAGAAGAAGACAAAGTAGCCCGTGCCCGGGTGGCACCCTTGCCAGATGACCGGGTGGATGTCGAGGAAGGGTTGCATCTGCTCCCGGGGCATCTTGAGCGTCAGGCCTATGAACCCCACGGGGAGGGGGTTGAGCCGCGCGCTCTCCTCGCCTATGAGCTGCCGCTTGACGGTGCTGTTCTTGCCGTCCACGGCGAGCAGGAGGGAGCCCTCGATCCGAGTCCCGTCTGCAAAATGCACCACGACGCCGTCGTCCGTGGTATCGAATCCCGTGCAGCGACGTCCCCAGTTCACTTCGATGTCGGTCGCGAGAAGATGTCGAAACTTTTTGCGGTTCAGCCGGTAGAGCGTCGACGCCGGGACGGAGCTCTTTTCTTCCCCTGTCTCCAGGTTCAAGAAGCGGTAGCGATCGTCCGCTTGATGCCGTTAGTATTCGTGCGCGAAGAGGTCTTTTTTCGTTTTTCCGCCAAGGGGAGACCTGTTACAGACCTTTGTGGCCGGACTTGGGATTGACCTGAATCGACGGGATCTGCGCAAAGACTTCTGGCGGGAGGCAGGCCTGCAGGGAGGGCATCGCCCAGTCCATCGTGATGCCCCAGCCCGCCGGGCGCTCGTCGATGCTGTTATCCCGGTCGTAGATGCGAAAGTCGAACCCGGCCTTCTTCAGGCCTTGGGCCAAGGTGAGGCCGACGAGGCCGGCACCGATGACGATGATTGGCTTTGTGTCTTCGACAGCCATGGCTGCTGCTGCGTTCGTTCGAGAATGGTTAGTGCACAGGAAAGAGGAGAACGCAGATGATGAATGGAATCTTTATCATTCAGTTCGCTTTACAGCATCATCGATAACTTCCCAATGCATCACACATCGGCTATCAATGATAAAAGACCACGCGGGTGATGATACGCGATACACAATATATCGGCGACTTGGGAAAAGGGGTGGCGAGTCGTTGCGCGCTGTTGTCGGCGACTTGACAAGCGAACAACGCTTGAAGCCGAGATGGTTCATCACTGGTGCCGAACTATCACGGGTAAAGACTAAAATTGCTCGATTGGAATTTATTAGTCTCAAACTTGCTTCGGCGACTTCCCTCATCCATCATGGTTGCATACTGGATGATCCCAGAATCACGTATTGGGCACTCTCCACCTCGGGATAAGCATCGTGAGATACTCTATATCATCAAGAGCCATTCATAAGATTGTTTCACAGCAGAAGATCTTCAAACTCAACCCGTACTTTCTCTATCTCTGTACCCTTTCTTCTCACTCGCCTCAAATCAGTGCGAGACTCGCTTCTTAAACCAATCCAACCATGCTCCTAACCAAGGAGATTAACGGCATCGAGATATGCTACGACGAGTCGGGCTTTGCTAGCGGGCCGGCAGTGGTACTCTTATCGGGATGGGCTCACGACCTGAGGCTCTACAATGAGATGCTGCCTCTCCTGGCCCCGAACCACTGGGTTATTCGCGTCTGCTACCGCGGACACGGACCGTCGCGGGACACCATTGCCGACTTTGGCGTTGAGGAGCAGTTCCACGATACAGTCGCACTCCTCGACTCGCTCGGGGTCAACCAAATGTACCTCGTCTCTCACTCTCACGGCGGATGGCCTGCTCTGGAGATGGCCGACCGGCTGGGAAAGTCCAGGGTGCTCTGCCTGTTGATGATTGACCAGATCATGACCCCTCCGCCGCCCCAGTTCGCCGCCGGGCTGCAGGCGATGCAGCAGAAGGAGACCTGGAGGGCGGCGCGGCAGGGGCTGTTCCAAGACTGGCTGGCCGGGAGCGACAGCAAGCCCGTCAAGGACCACTTTCTGTACTGCATGGGCAGCTACGGCTACGAGATGTGGTCGCTCTCCTGCCGAGTCATCGCTGCTGCGTATGGCGCCCATGGCTCGCCGATGGGCCGCATGGCCAAGATCGCCAGCCCGCCGCCTATCCGCCACGTCTTCTCCCACCCTCTGGACAGCCCAGAGTATCGGCAGCTGCACGAGAAGTTCGCACAGGAGCACCCGTGGTTCTCGTACACGGACCTGAAAGGCGAGACGCATTTCCCGGACCTAGAGATTCCTGATCGGGTAGTTGAGCAGCTGGAAGATTTGATCAATAGCGCTGGCAGCTAGGTAACAGGCATTGTCAGGCTTGTGTAGTAAACTACCTAGTCTAGGCAGATAGCTAAAGACATCCCATCTCGTTTAGCAATGGCATGCCGCGTATGTAATTCACCGTGAACTAGTAACATAGCCAGTTAATTCACACCAAGAGACATGGTGATAAGAGATGGCTATTGGTAAGGCCGAGAGCCAGACAGAGAAAGCATAGAAACACATTGAGCTACGTTCTCCCACCACCTTGTTGTGAGCATGGTTGATAGTTAGCCACGGGTTGGTTGATTTCGCTAGCGTTCCAGTCATCAAAGTCGCCGACTTTCACCAAGTCGCCGATATTGCCAATCAGAACTCCACTTGACAAGCTGCGCTAGAGCCGCCAAGACCTGGGGAACCTTCAAGATAACGATATCACGGGCAACCCCTTGAAGCAAGGTTCCAGCATTATCTCGTAGACCACTCGTCGTCACTGAGGGAGGCGCTGATGATACTTAAACAATGAAAGCACCGCTAGGGCTCGGTCCCTCCGTATATCTCTCTTGATACTCCGCCAACAACCTTGGTTGTAATTACACTTTGCGAAAAGATGGCTCCGAGAAACAACCTTGACAAGCCTCTGACTCCAGTAACAGACGTCGAGCAGAACATGACAAAGGTCGAATCCCAGCCGACGACCCCGGAGTCGGTGGTGGAAGAGGGCATCATTGAGGACCTCGTCGCCCCCAGCTCGCTCAAGACGTTTCTCAAGAAACTAGCCTTGGCCGGCGTGGAAGTGCGAGGTCTCGAGCCAATCCCCCCGGAGAAGAGAACCCACACTCGGTACTTCAACGTGCTTACGCTGTTTGGAGGCTCCTTCATTTCCATTCTGCCGTGAGTGCCAAAACTAGACATATTGACATATCTTCATTCTATTAACACTGGGATCGCCAGTCTGAGCATCGGCACCACCCCAACGCTCGTCTTCGGCCTCTCATTCAGCCACGCCGCGGCCATGATCGTGTCCATGCAGCTGATCATGATCATGCCGACCCTGTACATCCTGACGCTGGCCCCAAGGCTAGGGATGAGGCAGTCGGTCCAATTTCGCTATGCTTTTGGGTATGTACTCGTTGTCTCCGTCAGCCTCTCAACAGTTACTGGTATCTTTGACTGGAGCCGACGGCTGATTCTGGCATCTTGTCTCCAGAAAATACCCAAACGCGCTCATCTCCCTGAGCACCATCGTCTCCATCGGCATCTTCGGCATCCTCGCCGCCGTCGCGGGAGGCGAGTGCCTCGCGGCGGTCCGCCCCGGCACCCTGACCGTCGAGGGCGGCCTGAGCATCATCATGGCTGTCGCCATCGTCATCGGCTTCTTCGGCTACCAGTGCCTGCACGCCATCTGCCAGTACATCTGGATCCCGAACCTCATCTGCATCCTCATCCTCGTCGGCTGCGCGGGCAAGGGGCTGGGCAACCAGGCCCCGCAGGCGGCCTCCTCGGGCAGCGCCAAGCCCTACCTCTCGACCGTCACCATCGCCGCGTCCAACATGGCCACCTGGGGCACCATCATCGGCGACTACACGTGCTACATGCCGCCCCGCGCGCCGCGGATGCGCCTCGTCGCGTACTGCCTGCTCGGGCTGTACGTGCCCTTCTCGCTCATGATGGTCCTCGGCGCGGCGCTGGGCGGCGCCGTCGCCGCCAACGAGGGCTGGCTCGCCGCGTACGGCCGCGGCAGCCTCGGCGGCGTGCTCGGCGAGATCCTGACCGCGCGCGTCGGCGACTTTGGCCGCTTCGTGCTCGTCGTGCTCGGCTTCTCCATCGTCACGACCTCGGCCCGGGACATGTACAGCATCTCGCTCTTCATCGCGTCCTTCATCCCCTGGCTGCACCGCATCCCGCGCGTCCTGCTCCTGCTGTGTGTCGCGGGCGTCATGATCGGCGTCGGCGTCGCGGCCTCGCGGTCTTTCTTGCCCGCGCTCACGACGCTCGTCAGCATCGCGGGCTACATGACGGGGCCCACGGTCGGCGTGTACCTGGTCGAGTGGGCCGTCTTCCGCAAGGCGGACCCGTCGACCATGGACCCGGCGATCTGGAACGACTCCCGCGCGCTGCCGTCGGGCATACCCGCCATCATCTGCGCTATTGTTCCCTGGGCGCTGATTGTGACTTCGATGGCCACGCCCTGGTACACGGGGCCCATCGCCAAGCACACGGGCGACCTGGCGTATGAGCTCGGGGCGGTGAGTGCTGTACTTTTGTACCTACCGCTGCGAGCAGCCGAGATCAGGTACCGTGGCCGTCTGTGAGGGCGGGAACTAGGTCAATTTTTACGCTTGGTTGTGGGAGAATAGCGTTGGTGTATCCAGTGTGACTTTAGTCTTGTAGTCAAATATCAGTGAGTTATCATTGTAGTAGGGCTTGAGAGTATGTTTTTCAGTGGTTCTGAGATGTGTCTGTCAAAGCTTTATATTCGAAGAGCTGTTGTTGAGCTGTTGTTGAGCTTTTGAAACCGAGTTTAATGAAGCAGTTGAGATGTATGAAAAGCAACTTAGACACACTTCCACTACCAATTCTAGAGAAGCATTTGACCTCATCATATGTAAATGACCCGGGAGAAGCACGCCCTTGCAGCCAGCAGCTTCAAGAAGGAAGTGTGACCCTATCATATCAATACTATCAGCCTATCAAGATTCAGAAGGTGATAGTTCGGCTTGGTCTGGTTAGCTCGACACGCTTGTCTCGGAATAGACTGAGACGAAGCGTGCGGGGATGACTAGCCTTGCCGGCATTGATAGCATTCAGACCTCCCCGATTACGAACCGCCCAGGGGTGAATGATCGTCGTTGTCAACTACTGCTGTCAATAAGACAGGCCCTCAAATTCCATCTACACGTACGTGTCTTGCTTGCTCGCGATCTGATACTTGTAGAGACTATACGACAAGAGTGTTCCTCGTCTATACCCGCAACATGTCCGAGGCTCAGCCTAACCTGCGTGCGCGAGTCGCTTGCAAGACCTGCAATGCTCGTCGCGTTCGGTGCGACCGGTCGGCTTCCGGAAGGGCGTGCTCCAATTGCCGGCAAGCCGGCACGCTGTGCGAGCTTATAGAGTCGAAACGTGGAAAGTATGGAGAAGATCGCTGACGACATTGATACTATCCTGGAACTGGGCTGACCCAGTACAGACATAAGCGGCTTCGCTCAAAGAAGCACCATACAGAGACTGCTTCCGAGACATCGGAAGCGACGACAATCGCCGTCCAGAGCACGGAGCTGCCGCCGGGCCCCCTGTCGCCAGAACGGACGGACACAGGACTGCGGCGCCAGCAAGCGTCGCCGCAGACCCGTCCGACGAGGAGGTACGTCAGCCCGTCGCTGCCAGACTTTGTCATCCACAAGGAGCCCAGCGATGGCAACCTCCCGGGCGGCGGCGGCGGCAAGGTCGTCTACATGGGCGACTCGGGCAACATGAAGTACGTGATCCACGAGGTCGGCGACCCGTTCAAGAACTCGACGGCGCAGCACAAGCTCTGGGGCGACAACCTGCAGCGCTACATGGTCGACCAGCTCGGCCCGCGCACGCAGGCGGCCCTCCGCGCCATGCGGCTCGAGGACGAGCAGCACCTCCGCGGCCTCGGCGCGCTCCAGCCGCCGCCGCTGCTGCCGGAGAGGCGGGTCAGCGACGAGATGGTCGCCGTCTTCTTCGGGGTGTCGTACCCGGCCTTCCCTGTCTTCAACCGCGCCGACTTTATGGGCCTGTACGAGGCGCAGAGGCTGTCGCCGCTGGTGCTCAACGCCGTGTACTTTATGGCCTGCATCCACTGCCCGGAGCCTCTGCTGCGCAGTCTCGGCTTCACGTCGCGGTACCTGGCCTGCCTGACGTATTATCGGCGCGCAAAGGCGCTGAGCGATGCCGACTACGACTCGGACGGCATCGCCACTGTCCAGGCGCTCGTCCTCATGCTGAACTGGTGGGGAGGCCCGATGGACCAGAAGGATACGTGGCACTGGCTTGGGTGTGCGGCCAACTTGGCGCAGGGCTTGGGAATGCATAGGACGTAAGTTTGGACTCGCTTGGATTCGCATCTCGCAACTTGAACGAATTTTTTTCTTCTAACTTCCAAACCCCAGCAAATCCTACTCAAGCTTGCCTCCTTCACATCAGAGACTATGGCGTCGGATCTGGTGGGTGTTGTATGTAAGTGACTATACAACCTTTCCACTGGCATCTTTTTGGTTTAAAAAGCATACTTATACCTCACAACAGATCAATGACATCCACTACGCAGCCGTGTACGGCCGGCCACCGCACATCCACCGCGACTTCTGCGACATTACCCCTCTCACCAAAGACGACTTCGTAGACTGCGGGTACGACGCCGAGCTCGGGGCCGAGACAGCAGAAGAGAGCAAGCTGTACATGGTCCACCTCGCCGACCTGGCCTGCCGCGTCGGCAACTGCCTCTTTGCCAAGTTCTCGGCGGTGCAGGACCCGGCCACCGAGCAGCGGCGCTACCACGAGCTCGTCGACTTTGAAAAGACGCTCCCGCCCTCCTTCACCCGCCCAGCATCTTCAGCATCGGCATCGGCATCAGCAACGGCAAGCGCCCTCACCCCGGCGCCGGGCTTCTGGCCGTCGCTCGTGCAGCTCTACCACTGCGACTACCAAATCATCTTCCACCGGATGCTGTCCGACGCCGCCGCCGCCGACGCCTCCTCCTCGTCGTCGCCGGACAGCGACGGGGCCACGTTCGTCGCCGCCGGCCGCATCAGCCGCATCCTCGAGGACCTGCTGGCGTCGGGCACGCTGTACCAGGCGCCCTTCATGGTCCTCCCCGCCATCTTCGCCTCGATCCTCGTGCACATCATCCACATCCGCAAGGGCAGCGCGCACATGCAGGTCGTGGCCGAGCACCGCGCGCGCCTGGCCATGCACATCCTGGACAGGTTCCAGGACGCGTGGCCGCTCGCCATCTGGACGCGGCACCTCCTGGACTGCCTGCTCAAGGGGTCTTCGTCGTCGTCCTCTGCCGCCGGTCCGGGAGGGGCGAGGGCGGCGAACGAGCCTGCGGAGCAACAGCAGCAGCAACAACAACAACAACAACAACAGTCTGGGGGCTCCCAGCTCTTTCCAGGCCACCGAGCATATCCGTCGGATGACCAGGCCGGCAACAGGATCTGGGCGCCAAGCTTTTCTCAAGTCGATGTTGGCGGAGGACGGCTGGAGATAACTACACCCGCGACGACGAACGACGACACCTCGCCGGCAGACCACCAGCACCAGCACATGGACTCTTTTCAACTGGACCAGTACCCAGGATTCAACGACCCGAACTTCGGACCGATGCCGCTCATCTTCCCGCTCAACAACATGCTGGAGGATGCCGGGCTGAGCCCAGATAGCTGGCTCTTCGATTACAATAACATGCAGCCCTATCTATAGTATAGTATAGGATCGCTGAAAAAAATCTACGCCAGATCGTCCTCTTCCGAAAATACAAACCCCTCATCAATGACAAAGTCCTCGCTCCTGAGACAACCCCCCTTCACAAACGCAACCCACAGATCCTTGAGCTGCCCGCCCAGCCGCCGCACCTCACCCTCCGATCCGCCGCCGTCCTCGCCCTGGCCGCGCAGCATAGGCGCCTCCCGCCAGCTCGCCCAGTCGCCGAGCACAAACGGGATGTCGACGCAGTGACTCGCGCCGAGCGCGCTGCCGCGCGGCCGCCACCGGAACTCGTACATGCTCGACCGCCCGCCGGCCTGCCGCAGGGCCGCCTCGTGGAAGCGCCGCGACGGCCAGGCGAAGTAGCTGCGCGTGACGAACCACGTGCCCAGGGCCTCGAGGCGCGCGCCGACGAGCGGCAGCGCGAACGAGGCCCGCAGGGGCCCCATCATGCGCGCGAACGGCCGGCCGTCGTGCGCCGTGCAGCCGATGACGACGGGCGTGCGCCGCAGCCGCCCCGCCAGCCGGGCGTGATACCCTTCCTCGTCGGGTAAAGGGTGGTGGCCCAGCGCCGGGGCGAAGAGCATGACCTGGTCGCGCACGGGGTCGAGCAGGAGCTTCTTCTGGACGGCGAGGAGCTCCGCGGCCGACATCTGCCGCGGGTCGCTGGTCAGGAGGGACTGGGCCCGGGCCGAGAGGAGCGCCGCGGTGGGCGCGCGCTCGCAGATCTCGCGCAGCGGGGGGCTCATGAGGATGGCGCGGTGGAGCAGGCCCTCGGTGCCCTCGGACGCGAGGAGGCATATGATGGAGTCGGCGCCGGCAGACTGGCCCGCCGCGGTGACGCGGCCCGGGTCCCCGCCGAAGGCGGCGATGTCGGCCTGTACCCACTCCAGCGCCGCTCTCTGGTCGAGCAGGCCCAGGTTAGCCGGGGCGATGCCGGGTATCATGAGGTAGCCGAAGACGCCCAGGCGGTACGAGACGTTGACGCAGACGATGCCCCTCCTGGCTAGGTCGAGCGGCTGGTAGCAGTCGAGGTCTCCGCCGCCGGAGATGAACGCGCCGCCGTGCAGCCACACGAGGACGGGCAGGTCCTTGGCGTCCCTCGGCGCGGTGACCGTGACGTGCAGGCAGTCCTCGGCGTGCTCGCGTCCCCGGGTGACGGGTCCCAGGACGGACTCGAGCCGGGACGGGAGCTGAGGGCACAGCGTCGCCGGGCGGGTGCAGTCTCTGGGCGTGGTCCATCCCGATGCCGGTTGCGGTGGCTGGAACCGTTCGGCCTGTGCGTACGGGATGCCGCGAGCACGGATCAGGCCGTCCTCGACGTTGGCGAGGATAGGTCCTGCCGAGAGCTGGACTGTGACGGTGTCTTGCGGCGCCATTGCTTGCGTAGGCTCGCAGAGCTCGGTTTGCGGGGTAAAGCAAAGCACCCGGGAATGTCGGTCACCCTTGATGTGACTTGAGATCTGTACGTAGAGCCCAGGCCTCGTACAAACTTAGCAATTTAATTCTCTTTCCTCTCAAATGTATTGTCTTCTGGGTATACTTCAATACGCCGGTGCCAGGAGTAGCCTTAGTCAGCTGTGTCGTCGAGGTTGGGGCGGTAAGAGATAAGGTAAGGTTCATGGCAAGTCGCCGACTTGCATGATTGCCGTTTTCTTAGTCGGCTATCACACACATACTTCTTTTTTTGCCCGCTTGAGAGCGATTAACGACCCAATACCCATGTGAAGGAACGAATTCCCAGTTGCTTGCTTTCCAGGCTGTTTGGTGGCTGCGTACACACCACACTGTTGTCCAGAATTGCCAGGCTTCTCGTCCCGGAAGGAGACTGATGCGACTCTACCAGACCGTGAAGCAGACCGTGATGACTGCGCCGGAAGTTCGGTCGAGACGGCACCGCTTCCAATCGGAGTCAGGGCCGTATGGTCCTACCGACCTTGAAAGGCCTTGCGCGCTCGATATACTCTGGGCAGCTGGTATTCTTTCCGGACGGCTCCATGGGGGCTGTTTGGAGTTCTAATTAATCTCCGCTTAACTTTGGCCAACTTTGGCGGGTGGAGTGCACATTTGCGAAGAACTGTGATGGATGAGGATCTACCTTCGGAGAGCTTGCGTGCATGAGCTGAGCCCCAGCTGACATCCAAAAGCCATGCAAAGTGTAGATCCGAAAGAAAGGATCGCTGCACAGGATGCTAGCTGAATGCGGTTCCAGGTCGAATGCTGCCAAGATGCCACACCACTGGGTCCTAGGCCTAGAACCACCAAACAGTGCTGCAATAGTCCGCCGCAGCCGCCACTGTACAGCTGGAGTTACGTGGTGTCACAGCGCGCGGAACCTCCATAACACACACCATCAATCAATCTTCATCAACAAATGATCTCGGACTCCGAGAAGACGGTGATGAGCATCAAAGGTAAACAGTCTAAAGTAGGTAGCAATGGAAACATTTACCCCAGGATCCACCGCTCGTTACTGGTTTTTTTCCCCAACAATATAAGTGCCGAGAGCGCTCGGGAGGCGCCCAATGGTCCCGAGGCGTCGCACCAAGCATCATGCCACTTTTCCACCCTCCGACGCTCATCATCAGGCCATCGCCGTGGCCGCGACTTGGCCACCAACAAGCGCGTTGCACTGGATCGCAGCCAATGGCTCCCCCTTCACTACATTTAAGAGGAACATCTCTATCTTCATCACCTCTGCCGACATACCTCTATACACTATCTAGAATAACGTACGGCAGTGCTGGCATGACATGTCGCGCGCCCGCCTCCTCCTAACCCTCATCGTAACAGCAGCCCTCATCCCCCTGACCGCGATCATCTACCGCCGCCTCGACCTGTCCCTGACAAGCACCTCCGTCCTCCGCCCTTTCTCCCCATCCCCAAAGTCGTCACTGGAAGAAATGCCGCCGCAGTCGGCGCCCTCCCAGGCCGCCGCTGTCATAGTCGTCGGCTCGGGCCTCGCCGGCCTGACGGCCTCCTACTCGGCCCTCCGCGCCGGCGCCCGCTCGGTCGTCCTGCTCGAGCGCGCCCCGAAGCCCGGCGGCAACAGCATCAAGGCCTCGAGCGGCATCAACGGCTGCCCGACGCGCCACCAGCCCCAGCCCAACCCGGACTCGGTCGCCGCCTTCCGCGCCGACACGGTCCGCAGCGCCGGCAGGCGGCTCGAGGGCGCCGCCACGGCCAACCCGGCGGCCCAGCGCGCGGCGCGCGAGCGCCTCGTCGACGCCCTGACCGAGGGCTCCCGCGCCGCGGTCGAGTTCCTGACCGACGAGGTCGGCGTCGACCTCTCGCGCGTCGCGCAGCTCGGCGGCCACTCGTTCGCGCGCACGCACCGCGGCTCGGGCAAGACGCCGCCCGGCGCGGCCATCGTGACGGCCCTGCTGGCCAAGCTCAAGGAGGACGCCAAGTTCGAGCTGCGCACGGGCTGCGAGGTCTCCCGCCTGCTGCGCGACGACGGCAGCACCGGCACCGGCACCGCCCGCGTCACGGGCGTCGAGTACCGCACCACCACCACCACCCCTCCGCCCTCCACAGACGCTCCCGCCGCGCAACCGCAGGACGGCGCGTCGCCGCCGCCGCAGGTCCTCCGCGGCCCCGTCGTCTTCGCGACAGGCGGCTTCGCCGGCGACGCAGCCGGCCTCCTCGCCACCTACCGCCCGGACCTGGCGGGCATGCCCTCCACCAACGATGCCCGGCCGGGCATGCACCACCTCCTCGAGGCCGAGCTCGGCGCCGCCCTGACGGACATGGACGCAGTGCAGGTCCACCCGACGGGCTTCGTCGACCCAGCGAGCCCCTACGCGCCCGTCAAGTTCCTCGCGGCCGAGATGCTCCGCGGCGAAGGGGGGATCCTCCTCAACGGACAAGGCAGCAGGTTCGTCAACGAGATGGACACGCGCGAGCGCGTCAGCAACGCCATCATGGCCATGGCCGAGGACGCCCAGAGGCCCGAGGGCGTGCAGCATTGGGACGTCCGCATCCTGCTCGACCCGGGCGCCTGCGACGCCGCCGGCGCCCACATCGGCTTCTACACCTGGAAGGGGCTCATGAAGAAGATCAAGGTGCGCGACCTCGACGGCCCCGCGCGCGCCGCCCTGCGCGACTACGCCGACGTCGCCGCGGGCAAGCGCGAGGACAAGTTTGGCCGGACGAGCTTCGGCCACTGGAGGCTCAAGGGCACAGATGCCGAGGACGACGAGGAAGTCTGCATCGGCAGTGTCACTCCTGTCACCCACTTCACCATGGGCGGCGCCGCCATCAACGACAAGGCTCAGATCCTGACATCGGCGCTGGGCGAGGACGAGAAGCCGATCCAAGGGCTGTGGGCCGCTGGCGAAATCACCGGCGGGCTCCATGGCGACAACAGGCTGGGCGGATCGTCCCTGCTCGAGTGCGTCGTCTTTGGTCTCATCGCCGGAGAGCAAGCAGCAACGAGCCTCGACGCAACCACTTGAGAAATAGGATCTTTGAAGCATGTAAAGTAATGAATTATGAAACGCAATAATCAACGCAATGCCAATGTTTAGCGAGTAAATTCTACATCATTCCATTATGTCATTACCTGTCGCCTTCAACAGTACGTCTAAGTCTAAACCCATACACACACAATGAGTAATTATATGGGGCAGTCCTTCTGCCCAAACCTTCCAAAAAGCTGTCCTCTTCTGAGCAAGATCACATCCATGCACGCCCTAAACTCCTTTGCCAATATTTCGTACAAGAATCCCTCAAACTCTAGCAATGGCTTGCCGTCATCCTCAATCCAACACCAGAAACCACATTCGGTTTGAATCATCGTCAACGACGCTGTCCCGCAGTGGCCATTCGCCTGCGGTGGAATCCACTATGAGCCCAGTCGAACCAACGGCGATGGCTGGGCGGCTTGCCGTAGTCTGGCGGGAAGGTTTGCTGTGATGGAGGAGGTGCCGCCGGTGGGCCAGCAGGACTCGGACCAGATGGCGGCGTGGCCGGAGCTGGTGGACTAGACGGTGGTGCGGCCGGGCCCGTGTTTGCGGGCGCTGGCGGTGCGGCTGGCTGGCTCGGTCCAAGACTGCCACCATTTGGTGCCACTGGAGGGCCTATAGTCTTAGGTGAGGCTGGAGGAGACTGTGCGGGCGGGATTGCTCCGTTTGGCGGACCTTGACCAGGAGCTGAAGGTGGAGCTGGCTCTCCCGGAGGAGGAACGTTGCCACCTGGGTTCGTTGGTGAGTTTGGTCCGGGAGGTGGTGGCGGGGCAACAGGTGCAGCACTTCCACTTGCTATGCCAGGCTGAGAGGGTACAGGAGGAGGATTACCGCCACCCGGGCCGCCTGGACCAGTTGCTGGTGGTGATGCGGGAGGAGCTGGAGGATTGCCGCCAGCATTTGGTGGAGTTGTCGGTGAGCCGGGAGGACCGACAGCAGGTGGACTGGGTGGAGGATTGCCGCTCCCGTTGGGCGAGCCGGGAGGGGTCTCTCCTCCGCCCGGTGAACCTGGATTCCCAGGGCTGGCAGGATTGCCTGGATTCCCAGGGCTAGCTGGATTGCCTGGGTTCCCGGGGTTTCCAGGTACGCCGGGTGGGTTCGCGCCCCCATTGGGCACAGTGGAAGGAGGCCCTGCGGGAGGTTGAGGAAGGTTTGGAACGCTGCCCCCTTCTGGCGAGCTTGGAGATGCCGGAGGTGTGCCAGTACTCGGACTTCCCGGAGGGTTTCCAGCATTGGGCTGACCAGGGAGGTTTGAGGGATTCGGCAGACCCGGAGGAGGAAGATTTGCCGGCGAAGGAGAGGGATTCGGGGTAGGGGGCGGAACACCGCCACCATTTGGCGGCGATCCAGGAGGACCTCCAGCACCCGATGGCGGTGAGGGCAGATTGCCTGGAGTAGGTTGTGCGTTACTCGGAGCTGGGGCGCTCCCAAGACCACTGGGGATCACAGGACCGGGACCGCCTTGTCCGTTGGGAATCGTGAATGGGTTTGGGACCGGAGGTTGGCCGCCCAGCGCGCTTGGTGCAGCTGTCTGTATGGAGCTGATGTGGCTCGCGATGATGGACAAATCCGAGTTCACGATGGACTCGACAGTCTGGACGATACTGCTGGCCTTGTCAAGCTCTGAGGAGACAATAGAGCTAGCCTCCTGCTGAACAGAGGTTATGACCGACGAAAGAGACGACACGACGGCGGAGGCGTCACCAGGGGGAAGCTGTGGCGGTGAAGTCATGCAAGATCCGGGGGTTGATGACACTGGCGCAGGTGCAGGGAAGACAAAGATTGGGGTTGTCACCTGCATCACAGTCTGACGCATCCCGCCTGTATGGAGGCTTGTCTCGGCTACACCCGGTGGTGGCTCTGTCAGGGTGAACGCCAGGATCGGTCCTTGCGACATGGCTGGCTGCCCAGTCGGGCCGTAGATGGCAAGAGCCCAAGGACCGCCACAGATGTCGTTGCTGTCTCCAGAGCAGGTCATGTTGCATTTGCTATCGTCGATGAGCCAAGAGTCGACCAGTGCATTACCACAGAAACACTGAGAGCCGTATTCCGTGCCGGAGACGCTAAAGCCTCGCGCATTGCAAAAGTCAATACACATGGCGTTAGACATTCCCTCGGGCCCGGTGGTCAATTGATTGTCACCCTTGAGAGCGCGTGCCTCGCGATCAAGATAGCACCCTGCATAATTCCATCCGTTGACATTGATGGACGGCCTGGGAGGTGCAGGAGGCGGCGGTGGCGGAGATGCCGTGACAGTGACAGTAGCCGTAATCATGGGATGATTTAGAGACATGAAGCCAGATGCGCCTTCCAGTGGTGGCATGCCATGGCCAGGACACATCGCATTTGGCTGTGCGGCCGCAGAGGGTGCTGGAACACAGAACCATCCCCCAGGGCAGTCAGGGCATGGCCAGCCATAACCACAGGGTGCGGATCGGGCCGGTGTCTGCTGAGGCGGGCAGAACCAGCCATCCGGGCAAGAGTCACAAGAATACCCTTTGCCAGGGCAGGGACCGGCCAGTGGATTCGTGGGAAGGCTAGCTTCATGTAAGCTGATGTATGGAGAGGAAGAAAAAAACAGCCAACACTTACGATTGTTGGTCACATGAAGTGACAACGCTGATGACGGTGGTGGTCTGTACTTGAGTTACGGTCCCACCGTAGGGAAGAGCTGGGCTGGCGTCTGACGCCATCGTGGGAAGAATCGGCAGGTTGGCTGGCTGCTTTGACAACTCCGAAAGAGCAGATGAGGGCAGCGGGATCGGTAGGATCGTGTTTGATGCAGAAACAGTCCCCCCGCCGGCGCCAGGAGCAGAGTTAACAATCGGAACGGATGGCATCGAAGGCGAAGCTTGTTGAGGGAGCACGCTGGGCTCTGAGGCAGCAGGACCCTGTCCACTAGACGAAGCTGGAACGTCCGTGGGAATAATCTGGGTCGAGCTGGGAAGCACCAGGACGGGCGTTAAGCTCTTGGGGGCAGACACAAAGGACGACAGGGCAGCGCTCAGACTGGCCAAGCTGGAAGACAACGATGCAAGTGAAGCCGAAGAGAAGGCTGGAAGTGCCACTGAGGGCTTCACGGTCACATCCAGTGTTGTGACGATGACGCTGGTGGTTGAAGGCTGGACCACACTCCCAAGTGTGAGTGATACTGGCAGTGTCGCAACAGGGGGCAGCGTAGACGAGGCCGCGGGTGCATTCTGATTGCCGCCACAGGGACCCAGCAAGGTTGTGACAAGACCGTTGTCAAGGATCGACTCGACTGGACAGAACAAATTCTCCGCTTGGTTGACCACGCCGCCGATCAGATCATTGGCGCTGTCGAGAATGTTGGTGAGATCCAACGGAGGCAGATCGACTGGAAGGACATCGCCGACGACATCAGTGACACCAGTAACGGCGCTTTCGACAGCGGTGATGACGGCTCCCAGAACCTTCGTGGCCTCATCAAGGACACCGTGGATGTCAGGGAGTGGCAAAGGTGCCAGAAGGCCGTCACCGACAGCATCAGCAACACCGCCGACAACACTGTTGAGTTGGTCAGCCGCATCGGCAGCGATTGCTGTCACTTGGCCTAGAACGGCATCGACGACAGCGACGGGAGCGGCGCTCTGCAAAGCTTCTGCAGCTTCGTTTATCAGATTATTGACAAGATTGCCATCCGAGATGAGCGGCAGATCAGATGGGAGATCTATAATGTCGGCGACAGCATCCTTGGCTTTGCCAAGAATGCCATCTGGCCCAATGACATTGTTGACAACCTGTGTAAGAGAGCCTAGAAGACCTCCGAGGAGGCCAACAGAGGCAGGAGAACTGCCTGGCGAAGCTGGCGAAGCTGCATCGGTCGGCACAGGAACTACATCTGGAGGGATAACCTGCGGCACGGTGGTGGGTAATGGAACGGTAGCCAGCGTGGTAGGGGCAGGGTTCGATCCGAAAACCGCAGACAGAACACCAGGTATGACGGGGAGCCCCGGGATTCCCAGGCGGTTGGTATCGTTGGTATCTTGGGTGTTGTCCGAGGGTTGAGCAGGACTGACGTCTACACCACGTTTGCCGTGCAGGTGTGGCCGAGGAGCAACGGAGCCTGGAGAAGAGAACCGCAGCGTAGCAGCAGAAAAGACGAGCAGGACCAGGGAGAAACAGGCGAGGCCTGTCAAGGCCATCCGTCTCCGTCCCCGCAGATGCTCAAAGTCGAGCACCTGAGAGAAAGCCATCGAGGCAAGCAAGTCTCGTGGATGGGCTAGGAATGGGATGGATCTTCAAACGAGGACAGCCAAATGGATTCCAAAATGTCAGACCAAAAAGACGAGTGAAGAAAGTGATGAACTAGAGAGAGACGACGGAATGAAACAAGCAAAGGACAAAACTGAACGGGGGAAGACACTCGGGTAGGAGGACATTTTGTAGGCATTGTGACGATTGGGAATGCTGTGACTCCTGCCTTCCTTGGGGGTGAGTGAAGGAAGGAGTGAGAGGCACTTTTCCAAGACAACGGCAGGCGCCGAGCTGGGAAGACGGCCGCAAGACGTAACAGCGACGCGGTTGTTCTCTCCGGTGCCAGAGAAAGTGACAACTAGTGAAAGCACAAACCTGGTACGGTAGTCTTGCCATTATGATGAAGTCTCCCGAAGGGTGCTCGTCCATGGAAATATCGCACGCAAGAGAGGTTCTTGCTGTCCCAAGATCTGTCGATGCAAGCTGCCTTCCCTGCGACATTACGGCGCTTGCCAGGCATTCTTGAGACTGGAGCCGGAAAGCAATGTCGCGGTCGATTGAGATACCCCAAACTAGCAAAATTAGCAAATCATCAACCACAGATCTAGCTACACACAGACACACGCAACGTAGAAGGATGTTTCGTCGATTCAGGCCATAACTGCTAATTCTTTTTGCTAGCCTCAATGTAATGCCCTTGCCGAAAGCCCATGCAAATTATAAATCAATTCAGACGCCCCGTTGAACCAATCCCTTCTCTAGTAGCGCTTGTTGTCCCTCAGCGTGTCGGCAAACTCCTCCAGCGGGCTCCTGATGAGCTTGGTCTCCTTCCACAGGTCGGGGGTCAGGAAGCCGTAGGTGTTGGAGACGGCGGCAAAGGTGGCCTTGAGGGTGTTCTCGAGGGTCTTGGTCGAGCCAGAGGACGAGGTGTAGGCATCCTCAACACCGGCAAGCTGGAGGAGACGCTTGACAGCGGGCGAGGCGACGAGGGAGGTACCACGGGGGGCAGGGATCAGCTATGTAGGGAGCGCAAACGTTAGCAAACTCTGCTGAGCGACGCATGCACACGCAAATCGACGAGCGCGCGAGGAATTTAGGCACAGAAACTTACGCGGACGGTGACGGAACCGCACTTGCCGCTCTCCTTGGTGGGCAGAGAGTGAGGCAGACCAAGGTTGGTACCCCAGTAGCCACGGCGGACGGGGATGACGCTGAGCTTAGCGATGATGATGGCGGCGCGGATGGCGGTGGCAACCTCCTTGGAGGTCTTGATGCCCAGGCCGACGTGGCCCTCGGAATCGCCAATGAGGACGATGGCCTTGAAACGCGTGCGCTGACCGGCACGGGTCTGCTTCTGGACGGGCTTGATCTGTAGTCGGGAGAAAAAATCACCATGTCAGCACAAATGTTCCACAGATCCCCGGATCGTGCCAGCTCCTCAGGCAATCCTCCATCAGCTCCCTCGTCGTGTTTGACGCCAATCCTGTCGGCCACAGAGGTGCTGTCCCGGTGTTTCGTACCTTCATGACCTCATCCTTGAGCTTGGGCAGGAAGAAGTCGACAATCTGGTACTCCTTGATGGGCAGGGAGTGCAGGTAGATCTCCTCCATGGACTTGATCTTGCCGGCCTTCACGAGACGGCCGAGCTTGGTGACGGGCTGCCACTCCTTCTCGTCGCTCTTACCGCCTCCACGGCGTCCACGGCCACGGCCGCGACCCCGACCACGGTCACCGCCGCGGTCACCACGAGAACCAAAACCGCCGCCACGGGGGGCGCTGCTTCCTCGGTCGGCCATGATTGCTATGCGTCGAGAATTCGGAGGAAGGGAATTGTCGAGATGTGTTGTTGTCGAAGGGTCGAGGATTGGGGGGGAGGACTGAAATTTCGCCAATAACTTTTTCGCGGGGTTTGGGCGGTAGTTTGGCGAATTTTTGGGTGTGGGACTTTTGGACCTAGCGAAACCCTAAGATTCTGAGGCTCGTGCCTGAAGAGCTAGGCACCAAATATTCAAATTCAATTGGTTTTGGCAGCTCGTTTTCTGGGTCCACTGGTTTTGTCGAGCTTGGGCCACGAACAGAAGTCACGAGATTCTGCACGTGCCCGGGTGTTATCGCATTCTCGACTGATTATCGATAAGCATTGATATCGGCTGGAGCATCGAATGGGGCTCTTCTTCCCAAGAATTGCCATGCCCCAGCTTAGGATTAAAAGGCTTTGGTATTGCCAAATCTCGTTGAAAGTTCTTCGAAGCAGCAAGAGGTCGACGCAAAAAATATGACGATGCCCAGTCTAGGCCATTTCTCCTTCCACCTGTTGTTGCCTGTTTTATGTCGAGTCACTTCCATTTCTTAGTATTACAATGTCTAAGTGGCTCTGGCCATGGTACGAAAAGGTAGATCTACTTGATTGCAGATGTCACTTGGCCTCGGTTCAACAACTACGACCCAGAAAAGAAAACCGGGACCAAACCCCATCTGAGTACCGGTATGCCAGGAACGCCGGCGATCTCTTCGCATGGAAGACCTACTCCATTCTTTACTCCGTAGAATAAATGGGATTCTTTTCACTCATAGGGCCCTCACTCGTTACTCCTTGCTAGTATTGATGTGGAGCTCCTCGGCATCCCGTTTCTGGTCCTAGTGACGACTCTCTTTGTCGTTTCTGGGGTTGATGTGCAATTGGCGAACGTAGTGCTCGGTCTAACTCGGCTATGCCCCAATGCTTCGGTAATAACAAATGAACCAATCATGGTGCAGGGTTCTCCGCCGAGTGGACCACGGCCCTTACCGCCCGACCTCCGGGGACTTATCACCGACTTCATGTTCTCTCTCTTACTTGGATTCCTCGAATTCATCAAGACTTGGGACATTGACTCACACGCACTCACTGATCCGCTCACTGGCTATTTAAAGATTCAAAGATTCCGCCAAACGCACATGATCTTGGCAGTACGTGCTTTCAAACCATGCCCGAAAGATGAACTTCGTACACGAATTTCGATCTCCGTCAGCACCGGGGTACGGTGGAAATCGTGTCCTGGAACCGGCGGCCGGCAATATGAAGCGCAAGCGGGCTACGAAGGCGTGCGTCGGGTGCAGGTCCCGCAAGGTCCGTTGCGATGTCGAACGGCACGGGCAGCCCTGCACCAACTGTAATATGGATTGCGTCGAGTGCGTAGTGAAACCGCGGGCTCGCAAATCGCACCTCGTCGCCGCTGCTGCTCGCGAACAAGCCAAAAGGGCATCCAACGCCTCCAATACATCCAGTCCATGTGACTTGGACGAAGCGGCGTCGCCTTCCGATCGAGCTAGAACCATGAAGACTGTGGAACAACGAATAGTGACTTCAGATGCCTCAACTCTCTCTCTACTCCCTCATAATGATCCATGCATCTCTATAAGCCAAGACTACACTTTGACTCCGGAAGACGAGGGTTTTATCCCTACGACAGAACCTTTGACCGGAGACTGGCTTCTCAACCCATCTTTAGCATCCTCGGACTGGAATAGCCCACAAAGCAATGGTACAGAGGCAGGCCTTTCATCGTGTGGTAAACACCCAAGCTGACAGCAGTATCATACTAGACTTCGGCAACTACCCAGCTCCAAACATCTTCTCAGAATCACCAAGCAAAGACGAAGGGCCTTTCATACCCTTCTCGACTTATCCGGCTGTAAGAGCGCATGGCCTGGAGCAACTTGGTCGGGAGGAACTGTCCTTCTTAGAGCAGAAAGGATGTCTGCTCCTACCGAAAAAGCCCGTATTGGATCAGTTCCTGCAGCAGTACTTTCTACGTGTTCATCCCATTCTCCCTGTTCTGAAGGAGAGCGATATCCGCTCCGCATTTCTGGGCTGCTCTCCCTCGTCGACGCTACAAGGGCCAGTTGCGCTTGTGATCATGCAAGCGATTCTGTTTCTTGCCTCTCCGGTAAGTTGTATCGAGAGTCACACACTACATTCGTCTAATCAAATCATAGTATGCTTCCGACTCGATGCTGTCTGCCCTTGGGCTCCCCAGCGTCCACGCTGCCCAGGGCCACTTTTATGCAAAGACAAAAGTAAGTGACACGAGGCACCCTGCTCCTCCGTCAGCTGCAAGAGTGCTAACAGCATATCATAGGCCCTTTACGACATAGACATGTCCCAGGACGATGTCACAAAAGCTCAGGTTGCGCTGATGTTGACGTACTACGCACCCACGGCGAGCGATAAGATCAACACATACTGGATGGTTGTCGCCGTGCACCATGCAAGGAGCGCCCGGGCTCATCAATTCGGTCATCTAGCCAGCGACCCCAGATTCCACGGTGATGAGAGAAAGATAAGATTACTGAAGAGGCTTTGGTGGTGCTGCATCTTGCGCGACCGGATCATGTCGCTAGGACTGCGCCGTACACTGTGTATACATCCAGCCGAGGTCGACCCCGACCTGCCGCATATGACCATGGCAGACTTTGCGGACGAAATCAGCCAGCCTTGGTTCCACTCAAGGACGACCAAGGAGATGCAGGTGAGGCTGATGCTGGCAAACTGCCGTCTCGGGATGATTCTCGGCGACATACTGGAGACTATATATCCGCTGATGCCCAGTCCCTCGTTGTGCAGTCGATCAAAGACTCGGGGACGAACCGATCTCGTTACAACGAGGCTGGAACAGTGGCATGAGAAGATGAGAATTGAGTTCAAAGACCCAAAGTACATGGCCCGGGCGCACGAGTCACTGTACATCCTCATCAGCATGTCGTATATCTACTACCAGTATGTCGATCGCCATTGTCACTCTATTTCCTCAGACCGCTAATCGAACTGAATCAACAGCACCGCTAAAATAGCGTTTTATAACCATATGATGCTTCTCAGCTTCACAGAGGCCGAGGCAGAGACCCCTCGTGAGACCGCGTATTCGACAGAAAAGTTGCAGTTGGAGCTGGATAGGTCACTCCGTCACATCACGGACGATTTTACCGGGCTTGAAGGAAGTGGACTGGTCAAGTATCTACCGAATACGTTGTGAGCACGCCTACAATATCAAGTCTGTAGTTATCACTAACTCGGAATGATTAGCATCCACTTTTCCATACTGCCGTTCATCTGGCACATTATATTTGCCAAGATCGCCAACACGGCGTGTAAAACTAGCGGCAGCGACCTCAAGAGCTACGTTGCCATCATGAGGACATTCAAGTGCCTCTACGGGCGGACCGACAGCGCCATCAAATTCGTCGAAGACATCGTCACCCACATCAAGGCCAACGAGTCACGACAGATATACATCAGCGAACAGGAAACGGCGGGCGCAGGCCAGGGATTTAACCCGCGGGATCGCTATACGCCTGCGGACCCGAAAGCTGCAGGACGGCCGCCGGCGAGGACTGGTGCGAATCTGTTTGGCGTGAAGCCGCACTCGTACCTCCGGATATCGCTGACGGTCGACTACTCGCTGTCGTGTGGCCAGCTGCTGTCGGAGAAAGACTTTCCCAAAGCGCTGCACGAATCCCGCGGGCTGGATCAGAGCGAGTTTTCAGACGGGGGCTTCTACCAGTACCTCCAGCGATCGTTTGATATCAGTATGCCGGCTTAGGCAATGGCTTTTGAACATGGTTGCATACAGCTGTACCTGCGGAGAGAGCAAGAAAACGTAATGAAGAAGATGAGGAAGCCTATGGCTTGTTTAAACACACATGACAATGCAAACTTGAAGCGACTTGCACTGAGGTTGATCTCCCAAGACTCCAAGCTGAAAGAGACCAATTATGAGACCACTACGGTTCACGGGGCTCTATTCTTAGGACGGCGGAAAGCAGTGCCTTACGCAGCGGAGAGCCAAGGCTCAGCTTTATGTGATATCGAATAAAGGGAAGACCAGTCAATTCACCAATCCCATTGCATCCGCCGTACAAGTACAACGCCACCAGCCGGGTGGCTGTCATTAGACCTGCACTAAGTAAATGCCGAGTGTTCATTGCTGAAGGGGTTGAATAGCTGAAAAGTGAACATGGGTTTTGCCCTAGTCTCCGCTCCATCCGCTCTACAAGTACTTGTAAGTCGTTCTGTCTGGGACACAGCTTGAAATTCCTCGCTCTTCAAACCCGATTTGCCTCCCGGACTTGATTGCCCCGTCAAATCAAAATTCTACAAGTAGTACGGAGTACACGCAATGACTGTTTATCTGGCACGAGAATTGTTGAGCGAAGCGAGTACAATACTCTCCGCTTACCCGGCAAAGCCTGCAGCTGGGACGAGAGCTGGGTGGCTGGTCTTATGCATGCAATCTCGCTACTCGAACCTCCTGCTGTGTTGAGGAGGTGGAATATCCCGTGCCAAGACGGGGATAGCTGTTAGTGTCCTTAGGAAGTTCTCTCTGCATTAGCTGCTTCTGATTTTCATTCACCATGGCATGATCAGGAACTTCATTCTCCCAAGGCTAGACAAATATTGCCTAGAGTCGGGCTCTTGAGAAAGAGCCATCGGGCTTGGCACCAACCCAGCCCTCACCTAATTAATCGACATGTTCTGTGGATATCGACTATGATGACGAGACTACTTGTATGATGACCTGCCTGCTTCGTACGCAGACGGACCTGCTTTCGACATGCACTTGTTCCCAAAAAGTGAAAAATAGCGGATCACGACACGGGGGCGGGCATGGGTTGGCCCTGAAGCCTCTCACCTCCACACAACAAGGTTTTTGTGTTCCTGGAGCGGCCTCCGTGCGCGAATTAACAGGGGTTACCTATCCCGGCCGTGGCGCTGGCACTCCCGGCTGTTCCAGCGGCTACACCCGTAAAAGCAAACGGTGCCCATGCCAGTCCGTAGCAGGCTAAAGGGACTCTATTTGACGCGAACCTCAGGGGTTCTGTCCTTCGCAACGTTCCCACAGCCGCTCTTGTCGGGAAGTAACCCGGCGAGCCGACCGGGTTCATGGTTCGCACAGGGAACCCTGTCGCCCCCACGCAGGGGTGTGTTTGACTTCATGAGACTCGAATCTCACTAACATAATAGTGTGTGTCCCACGGCTGACAGCGCGAAGGATTTGCTTGTCATCCGAGTCATCAATAGTCTGTTCAGCCATCTCGACGACAGGAACTGTTGGCCGGGGAATTCTGGTGTTTTAATATACAGGCCGCGAAGGATTGTGTGTTGGTGTCTGTCTGTCCCTCAGAACCTGAGCTACGCCGCACCGGCTAAAGAAGTACATACAGATACTTCGCATGTCGTCTCGCCGAGTGTCTAATCGAACCTGGCACAGATGTGAACAGGGGTGATGCAGTCTGGTTCTTGGCACTGCTAGTTCCAAGCATCCATCATGCTCACTGGCGTCTTCCATTTGCTTCGTGCAGCTGCTGTATGGGCAGAATAGCTCATCCTGAGCTGGTAGGATGAAGAAATTTCCGGGTGCAAACTCGCACAATTATGTAGACTGGTTTCTCAAGCGCCTCCAACCCAGCGAGCACGACTTGACTACCTACTTCGTACACATGGATTCCATGGGTGTATCCCGGTTGATCCTGACTGGGCGGACAACCGCACAACAATTGATCGATTCCTCAGAGACAGGGGGCCTTCCGACTAGACCGTGACAATGGTTCGAGTTGCATCAAAGAAGTTTCGAACTGGTCGACTACAGACGCTAACCTGGAAAAGGGCCAGTCCCGAAGCACTGGTAGGGATTGCCGTTGGCTGGATGCATGCTTGGGTGACATCTGGGAGTAGTAGTGTTTCCGTCCAACCCGGTTCTGTGCCTTTCTTGTAATTAGATGTGCCGTTGTTGCAAGCATGAGGAAGATAGGACAATGTAGAGACATCATTCACTACCTATCCAAGGGGCATGGAAAATTTCGAAGCATGCATGCCGTATGCAGCCACAGTGTTCACATATCACACATCACACATCGCTTTGGGGTCACCAAACACGCCGCGACCGCTGAAGGCCTTTTCCTGGTGCCGGGACCCATGGTCCATGGTTACGTGACCCCAGTCCGCGATCGAGGGCCCTCACGGAGTCGGGGCTCGACAGAAAAGGAGAGATCATCGCCACCCCTCGAAAACATTAAAACAAGCTTATTCCCTTTTCTGCCTGTGATCAGCGCGTCGTACAAGCCCTGGCTGGACTCGGCAACTGGGGTTCTCGCGATTCACGATGGCGCCGGGTGCTCCTCCGGATCCCGCCCGCGCGGCGGAGAGCAATCTTCCTGCGATCCTCGCTCCGATCACGGTCATGCTGGCTATCTCGTTGGCCGTTTTCTCTGCGCGCCTGTATTGCCGCTTGGTGGTCGTGCGGACGGCGGCGAGGGATGACTGGACAATGCTGGCGGCGATGGTGAGCGGCCTCGCAGATCAGCGCTGAGACCTTGACGATACTAACACGGCGTGAAACCAGGCTTGCGCGATTGGAGGATGGGTGACCTTTATCATCATGTCGGCTTACGGCCTGGGGCATCACTCAGACACTATATCGAAACCCGACCTGAAGTCTCTTAATGAGGCCAGCTTCTGGAACTCAATTGTCCAGGCCAACTTGGCCATTGCGTTCCTCAAGATATCCATCGCCTTCAGCCTTCTTCGACTGAGCAATAGCAAATGGTACTTCTGGTCGTTGTGGGTGTCAATTGGTAAGGAGTCAAGTCCGTATGCTGGAGATTTCCTACTTACTAACCCTTCAGGATTCGTGGTGGCCTACACGATCCTCGGTCTGATGACATTCTTCCTACATTGCTTCCCTATGGCAGGTCACTGGGACCAGAGTCTAGGGGCCAAGTGCTACCCGATTGCACTTTTCATCAAATTTGCCGTGATCAATACCGGTAAGTAGTCCTGAGTCCGTCCAGTTCACGACCTCAATGTTGTTGCTGACCAATATAGCGTTCAACATCACGACTGATGTGTTCTACGCAACGATCCCCATCCCCATCATTTGGAAGTTGCAGATGAAGAGGAAAACCCGGATCTATCTGATTGGGATTTTGAGTTTGGGATACTTGTGAGTGCCGCAATAGTGACTCGTATGAGCATTCTTCTTAACAGATCTGGCTATCGCAGCGCGGTCGTCATGGGCATCCTCAAAGCAATCTACCAAATTGCCTTTGGCAGCGACAAAGACAAGACCTTGTAAGATACTAATTGGGAATACTTCTCTCGCTGAGCAGCTTACTGACATCTGTATAGCCACCAATGGGTCCAATTCTGGGGATTGTAAGTCACATCCCAAACACTATGACCTTGCCATGGCTAACCACAGCACACACAAACAACAGCATGCAACTCAGCGTCGGCATTATCGCCGCCTGCGCGCCGACCCTCAAGCCCCTCGTCAGCAAGGCCCTCGGCCTCTCCGAGTACTCGACCAACGCCTACGGGAAATACGGGTACGGGTCGCAGTCGCGCTCGCGGCGCGGCACCGGCGTGCTGGCAAGCGGCCACAACCGCCGCAGCGTCATGCCGCACGCGAGCCGCGCCGGGCGCGGCGAGGTCTTCGAGATGGAGGGCGGGACGCACGCGGGCTTCGGCGAGACGCGCAGCACGGCGGCGGCGGCCTCGGCCTTCTACAAGGGCGACGGCTCCACGGGGGAGCGGTCCGGCAGCGAGGAGTTCATACTGGGCAAGGCGGACTCGGACGGGAAGGGCGGCATCATGCGCACGACCGAGATCACTGTGCATCGGTGAGAGACACGAGGTTCTTTTTCGCGTTGTTTGCCGCCTGTGTTGAATCGACTAGGCATGTGGAAACGGTGGTGGAGTGGATTGTTGAAACAAAAGCGCAATGTTACATTGTACTTTTAAGATATCATAGCTTTCATACCCTTGTATATATCTCCTTTGCTTTGAAATTGGGTGCATACATCTACAAGTTGATCCGTCGTTCGTCGGAAGCGTTCCCGCTTGCAACAGTCGCATTCACCCCAGTAATTTGCAAGCACGGTCCACAGAGGGTCAACATTGCGTATCCGCGTTCTGGACCGTCTCAGAAATATCCTGGTGGGCTAATTAGGTATATTGATGTTCATGTATGCACAGGCCAATTGTTCTAGTATTCACACAAGCAATAGACAGACGCCGCACCCTCCCCTCCAAACACCACTGGCCTACATGCCCTGCAACAGCTTCGGGATAACAATGTCGTTGTACTGCCACAGGATCGTCTGGAACTGCACCGACCAGGCACCCCCGGTGTACCAGGTGTCCCGGTGGCCCTGCAGCGCGTACTGCTCCTGCACGAAGCCGGCGCGGAGCTGGTCGGCCGTGACGCGGACGTGCATGGGCCCGTGGTCGGCAAAGGCCTTGAAGGTGAGCTTCCTGCGGCCGGCGAAGCCCTCGGGGAAGGCGACGGTGCCCGCCTGCAGCATCCTGTCGAGCGAGGCCTGCGCGTTCCTCTTGGCGGCGCAGGCCATGGTGTCGCGGTCGCCCAGGATCATGACGCGGAAGAGGTCGCCGCCGAGGTTGTCGAAGCGCGCCGTGAAGGGCAGCTCCGGGAAGGCCATGTAGTTGGAGGGCGCGGCGTCGGTGGGGAAGTTGGTGAAGGAGGTGGCGCCCGGCAGGGCGGCGTTGGTCACGATGCCGGCGTAGATGCGCGAGTAGTCCATCTTGGCGAAGACGGCGCGCTCCTGGCGGTCGAGGTCAAAGGGCGCCATGTTGTTGCCGACGGGCTCGATGGAGACGAGGATGCGCTTGGCCTTGATGAGGGTCTCGCGGCCGGCCCTGTCCCGGACGGTGACCTCGACGCCGCAGCCGGGCTTGCGCTCAACGCGCGTGGCCGTCGTCGAGTAGAGCACGTCGGAGCCCAGGAGGGCGGCGATGTTGTCGTAGAGGTCCTGGTTGCGGTGCGAGGCGGGCACAAAGGTCGGGACCTGGCCCAGCATGGCGCGGGCCATGGGCGCGCCAAAGGCCTGCAGGACGTACATGGTGAGCTCCTTGGTGATGTCGCCGACGCCGAGGCCCGTGACCGAGAAGATGGTGGGCATGGCGGCCTCGAAGCCGTACTTGCGCGCAAAGTCGCCAAAGGGCATGAGCAGCTCCTCGGGGATGTCCTTGCCCGCGGGGAAGTTCCAGTAGCCCGGCAGCAGCATGCTCTCGTACTTGGACGCGGCGGCGGCGAACTTGGTGAGGCCGGCGGTGCGGTCGGCGGCGGCGGGCGGGACGTAGTCGAGCTCCTCGCCGGTCTTGAAGTCGACGTAGCGCGCCTTGTTGACGATGCGGCCCGGCGTGCCGATGGAGACGTTCATGCGGGCGAAGAAGTCCTTGGCGCCGCCAATGTCGATGAACGACTGGACGCCAAAGTCAATCGGCCTGCCCGATTCGGGATCTATGTAGGTCGAGACGTGGCCTCCCTGGATGATAATCTCTGTGTCAGCATCATGGCCCGAGTTGCTCCCGCGAACTAGATGGTGGCACTTACAAGGCGGCCCTGCTTCTCGACAAGGACAATGCTCTTGCCAAAATCTTCACGGAGACGGACAGCTGCGTGTGCGCCGGAGGCACCGCCGCCGAGGATCACGACATCCTTGTGAATGACGCGCTGGCCGGCGGTGGCTGCTTGCTCAGCCGGAGCAGCACTGGCAAAGGTCAGTGCCGCCAGGAGGCCGGCAGTCCTCAGGAGGACGTTTTTCGTAGATGAGGACATGGCTGGACTAAAAGCAGACGGGGCGGGGGGGGAAAAAAGGAATGCGAGTTCAAAAGAGTGACGATGACAGCCCGTACCCGGTGCGAATCATTGTTGATCTTTGCATTTCGGGGATCTCCTGTTTAAATACGACACCGCACCAGGTTCCAACTACTCCGTAGACGGCACAGTCGGCCAGAGAGCTCCTACGACTTGGTGTGCACCGTCGAGCTAGCCAAGCAAGCCACCCTGGGATTCAATCCTGCACCTCTGATTCTCCCAAAGTACTAACGAAGTAACCCTAGGCGTGGCATGGCGAACCAACAGACCAGGATATGGTGGAGACGAGCAGGGAACATGCTTGTCCTGGAGCTGGGGACTGACAAGGCCTGTCTTTTGGTCTAATTTGCTATGCTGCAGCTCCGGCCCAGAGCCATGCTCCTATTGACCAATCCCCAAGCTGTTGGTTCTCACCCCCTCGTATGTTCTGTGCAGTGCGTCAGATTCAATGAAGGGACGCGGGTGGGAGTCTGCCAAAGCTGTCAATTCCCCGCCGACTTACCAGGTTGAGGGAGCAAGCCCGAAATGCGCATATCGGCTAATATCGACCATTGATGTTGGTTCAATTACTTGTATTGCGCGTGGCACAATGCCTGTCCAGCATGGAAGCAGAGGCGAACTGGTCTAGAAAGATGTAAAAGGGGCGATCTAGACTGCAAGCAGATGGTGGTGTGTACATTCAAATCTCGCTCCCGAGTCCAGATGTCCTTCCTCCAGTCAATGGGTTGCGGCTGGTCGAGGCCCTTGAAGCGGGAGACATGCAGATCCGGCTGGCTCGGTTGACAATCCCCACCGGTCATGACCAGAGATTGGCGCCATGTCCGCGTGGCCAAGTCAAGGATGACGAGGTGGGCGTCAATGGGAGACGGCAGCTATTAGGGTCTGGGTTGAACCTATTCCCGTCTATTGAGCTATTCTTTGTGCCCACCACCAAGGACCTTCGCCTCCACCGGCACCCTCTTGATGATAACATAGCCAAAAGTTTCTCCTCACAAGCTTTGCAAGAACGGCACGCAAATCGACATGTCTACTAGATCGCAGTGATCCCCATGCATCTCCCACACACTACTAATCAGTACTCGGTCCCAAATTCCCAGTCGTTTATGTGACGTCACATTATAGTTCAACTTGCATAAGGGCAGTTTCGAGCATGTATCGTGTTGCACTACATGATCGATGACGAAGGAAGCTGGTTAGATGGGCTCATGGGCCAACATGACTCTCGTTGACTTCGTAAAGGCGGTGTTGGGCACCCTTGACATGAGACTTCATTCCGTAAAGCATACTCTATCGTGTCTCTTCTACGAGAAGTAACTATATCTGTCAGAAGGGGCTGGTCCACTAAGGACAACCCCAGGGCAAATTTAGTATGTGGAGCTGTCTCTGCCCAACCACACCGCCCTTTAGAACCACCCCTAAGGGCCGGCGGCCCCCCTAGCGGCCTTTCCCTTTTCTCTCTTAGAATTAGACATCTTAATAAATAGAATTTAATTAATCTAACTCTTAGTTAATAGTTATAAGTTTGATTAATATTTAATTAAGTAGATTAGAGTAGATCTATTTATCTAGAGTAATTATTATAAGATTTAGACTATAGAGTTATAGATTTCTATAGTTAAATTTAGTAAGAAGTAGTTAGAACTCTTTAAAATATAATAATAATCTAATTAATCTTCTATTTAAGTTAGAGTATTATTTAATTAATCCTCTTAATTATTTAATTATAATATTATAGTTAAGAAAGATCTAGATAATAATTAGATAATAATTCTTATTAATAAAGTAGATTAAAATATATAGTATTTATATATTTATCTTAAAACTATAAATAATAAAATCTAGAAGTATATTAATCTAGATAGAGATTAGACTTTAAAGTCTTCTAGAGATTATTTAAGATCTTCTTTTATTCTTTTAATAATATTTTAAGAAGAATAATTAATAATAATATATTTAAAGTTTAAGATAAGAAAGAACTTCTTTATTATAAAGTTAGATAAATAAAAGATTTTAAATATAGTATATAAGAAAAAGAATAAAAAGCTAATTAAGATAAATAAGCTTATCTATTAAATAGCTAAGTAATATATAGCTTTATTTAATAAGTTATTAGAAAAATAATCATAAGTAATTATATAGATCTTTAATAAGATAAGAGTGATTAGATAATTATTAAAAGTTAGATTAATATAAATAAGACTAATAATATTAAAGAAATATCTTAAGTTATTAAGCTTTAAAGTAAGAGTATAAGCTTAAGCTTAATATTAATAAGCTAGATAACTATCTAGATCTACTAATCTATTAATATAGATTAAATAGTAGGAATAGATCCTATAATATATTAAGAATATTAATATTAATAATATTTAAGATAATTAATCTATAGAGAACTTTCTTATTATTATTAGTAATATTAATAAAGTTAATAATATCTTTATCTAGATTTATATAAATACTTTTAACTAGAAAAGATTAATTCTAGATAGCTATATACTTACTTACTAACTTTAATAATAACTTATAATAATAATAATAATTAAAAGATTAGCTAAGAGATTATTTAATATAATAATAAAGCCTATCTAAAGATTAATAAAGTAACTAATATTTTAAGATAAGACTTCTAATAATAAGAGATCTATCTACTTTTATAGAATAAAGTATAATAAGAACTAATATTAGATTTTCTATTTAAAGAAGAAGTTAATTTATATATTACTCTTCTTATAGAGAAAGCTAGAGAGGGTACTATAGAAGATTATAAAGATAGATTAGTCATAAAAGTAATATTAGAACTTAATTAAAGTAATTAAGAAGTTATTAATAAAGTTATTACTAACTAATTAGAAATCTAATAAGACTAGATAAATTAAAAGTGCCTATATCTAAATAATTTTAGTTAAGAAGGTCTTTTAAAGAGTCTTCTTAAATATTATAATAAGTTTCTTTATTACTATAATATATCTATTAAAGAATAACTTTATCTATAATATTAATATTATTTATTATATTATTAACTTAAAGAAGAAGCTTATTAAGGGTATATATTAACTAATAACTAGTATTATTAATATAGGTAATATTATAATACTATATTATAATATAGAAGAGGTAATAATAGAGATTAATACCTCTATTAGTCTAGCTCTTTTTAAGCTAAAGAATATTATTATTATTAAAGGCTTCTATATTAATCTAGTCTTCTATAAAGTAATAAAAAAGATAGAATACTAATAGAATAATAATAACTATAATATTATTAAAGATTTTATATTAGAACTAATAGTCTTTTTAACTAAATAAATTAAGAGCTATACTATAATTAACTTCTATTAAAGTTAAGAATAGGCTAATAAATAATAATTAGATAAAGCTATTAATATAGTCTTATTATAAAAGTCTAGTCTAAAAAGTAAGATAAGATATAATACTTAGTATAGAAGAATAGAATATCTTAATAATAAAGCTTTAAGCTATTTATCTATTAATATTAAAGAAGTTATAATTACTAGTAAGTCTAATCAATCTTATTAAGTATATATTAAAGCTAAGATAAAGTAATAAGTCTTAAGAAGACTAAGTAGTTAATTAATAGAATATCTATTTAATTAAATCTATTTAGATCTCTTTATAATATTAGACTGCTTTAATAGTTTAATAGTAGCTCTAATTATTAAAGATAAATTCTTAAGCTTAAAAGTTATATACCCTCTACTAGATAAAAAGAAGTACACTCTTCTTAAAACTCTTTATAATTATTATAATCTAATAGATTAATAATAGAGTCTCTAAATCTAATAAGATTATAATAATAATAAACTAGCTCTTAATACTAATATTATTAAGAAGTAGAAATAATATAAAGAAATTATATAGAAACTATTATTAATATATATATATTAATCTAATAACTATACTAAGTAATTTAAGAGAGTAATATAGATAAAGGCTAATATAATATTATTTAATATCAGTCTATTAACTAATTTAATTAATAAGATCTATAGAGTAGTAATCTATCTTTATAATAGATTCTTTTATTAAGTTGATAACTAGAAGTTATTAAAAGAGACTATTAGATAGTAATATTAAAAGAATAGATATTAAATCTTAAGTAGCTTAAATTAATTAAATCTTAACTATATTAAAGAATATAATTTAAAGATATATTATCTTAAAGATAAATATTATAATATTATAATATTAACTAAGGCTAAATATTAACTTTATATTAAGATTAGATATCTTATTAGCTATAAAAATATAAATATTTAATAGATTTAAATCTTTAAGAAAAGAAAGGTTATTCTATTAAGAGATATAATCTTTAAAAAAGGGTTCTTCTTTAAAAAGAAGAATTATAATAGATCTAGAGAGAGATTAACTATATTTATATTATTAATAAAGATCTATAAGCTATTAAAATTAATAGAGAGAGAGCTAGAGCCTAAAGAGACTAATAATAAGATTATCAACCTCTTTAGTCTAATAAATAGACTATTTAAAACTATTAGAGAGAGAGATTAGTTCTAATAGGCTAAAGTAATTAAAAAGGCTGGCTTAATATAAGAGAGGCTTAAAGAGATTATTATTATCTATCTAACTTCTTATTAAAGTAAAGAGCTAGTCTAAGAACTAATTATAATAGAATTAATAGAGAACTTTAAATCTATAATCTCTAGTCTAATAACTCTAGAAACTTTATTAAAGAAAAAGAATAATATTCTAAAGATACTAGAAAATTTTTAGAAAGATTTCTTAAATTCTATATTAATTAAATAATTAGCTTAAAATTATAAGCTAATAGATTATATATAATAATTAAAAGAGTAAGAAAAGCTCTTTAAAAGATAATAATAAGTAGTTAATAAGATAATTCTAAAGAATTATTATAGTATTAATATAGTTTATACTAACTTCTAAGCTAAAGTAGTTCCTATTAAATAAGAGTCTTAATA